CCTCCTCCCTCCCCTCACAGCTACCCCTCCCCAACCCTCACCACCTCCCTCCTCCCGACCCAGCTCTACATCCTCTCGTCGCTCGTCCTCCCGCTCCTCGCCGCCCGCGAGGGCGACCTCGCGCGCGCCGTCCGCCGCTGCGAGGACCTGCCTGCGCTCGTTGGGTGGATCGCGAGGAGGGCGTGGCGCCGTGGCGGGAGCGGGAGAGCGCTGCTTGGGTTCGAGGGGGCCGGCAAGGGAGGAGGAGGAGGAGGAGGAGCGGGCGGCAAGGGCGCCGCACCGGCACCGGCGCCCGCGCGCGAGGACGGCCTCGCACTCGGGCGCAGCACGACCCAGCCACCGGCGGGCACGCGCCGCAAGGACGTGCTCGGCCTCGAGGCGGCCGGCGAAGGAGGCGGCGGCGGTGGGACCGCGACGGGCACGGCAACGGGCGTCAACACGCCGGCGCTCGTTGGACGCGCGTCGTGGAGGGCCGACGAGGACCAGGGACCGTTCAGCGGCGCGGTCGAAGGGGCGGGGTCGTTGGTAGGGACGCCGACTGGCGCTGCTGGGGCGGGAGGGCTGGGAGGGCTCGCGGGCGCGGGCGCGAGCGCGAGTGCGAGTGCGGCGGCGCAGGGTGGGGCGGCGGGCGCAGGCGCAGGAGCGGGCGCACAGGGCGGCGACGGGTCCGGAGCTGGGGCGGCGAGGAAGAGCGTCGCGGCGGCGAGGGCGGGCAAGGGCGGGTGCAAGGTGGTCGTGTGGCGCGCGAGCGACGGGTTCTGTGGCCGTGGCAACACGGTGAGCGGCTTTGTCGAGATCAACCGGGCGGTGCGTCCCTCTCTCTCTCTTTCTCTCTCTCTCTTTCTCTCTCTCTCGGCGTGTGGTCCCCCGGCGTCGACACGGGCACACTGACGAGCGACGACGTGCACGCCCGCAGGCTCTGCGCCTCCTCCCCCCTGCGCCAGCGCCGACGGGCACCCCCTCGGGCGTGTTCATCTCGCCCGACTCGCACCTGCACGCGTCGGTGTACGCCCAGCTCGGCGAAAAAGTCGGCATCAAGCGGTGCATCGTCGGGAGGGGGACCGTCATCGGGAAAGGGAGCAAGCTCACCAACTGCGTCCTCATGGAGAATGTCGTCGTTGGGGACAAGTGCGTCCTCGTCTCCCTCTTCTTCCCTCCCTCCCTGTCCCTGTCCCTGTCCCTCTCTCTCGTCTCTCGCGCGCGCACCAGGACTGACCGCCCTCGCTCGCGCGCAACAGCGTCAAGCTCGACGGGTGCGTCATCTCGAACGGCGTCCAGGTGCGCGACCGGGCGCAGCTCAAGGACTGCGAGATTGGGCGCGACGTGATTGTCGACTTTGACAGTGCGTCTCTCTCTCTCTCTCTTACGGCCGGTACTCGGAGAGAGGGCAGTCACTGACTCTCACGGCCGTGCGTGCAGCTCAGACCAAGGGCGAGCAGCTCGTCGTCGAGGTCGACTGAGCGAGGAGCGAAGGGCCTGGGCGCGCGGCGGCGAGAGCGGTCCAAGAGCGGGCGTCGCAACTTGCAGAGCCTGTGGGCGTTTCTCTCGTGAGGTTGAGCGTCGGTGCTGGAGCGAGCTGCTTTCTCGACAGAGAGAGAGAGAGAGAGAGACAGAGAGCGAGGCGACACGTGCGCGCAACTTGCACGCGCGACGAGCCTCTGAACCGGGCGAGCTGCTGCCCCTCCTCTCCCTCAGCCATCTCCCACCATGGCCCGCTCGAAAGCTGCAGCAGGTGCCCTACCGGACGTCGCCAGCCGAGGCCGCTTTGACGCCCGTGCGTCCCCTCCCTCTCTCTCTCTCTCGGTGTGGTCCGGTCGAGGTGGTGGTGGAAGGGCGGAGCTCGTCATGGGGCAACTCGGGCGAGGGAGCGATGGGGCGGTCCGGTGGACGGGCTGCAGGGCTCTCGAGACGGTGTCTGAGGGGGACTGGAGCGGCGCTCGAGGCTGGCGTGCGGGCGTGGGCGAGCGGCGAGGTGGGTCCGCTCATCGGGCACGACGAGGCGGAGAGAGGGGGAGGGGGGCGAGGGAGCGACAACAAGGCCACCACCGCCAGCGGGTTCGACCTGATCATGCTACTGACACACACGCACTTGCACAGTCAAGCTCGACGACGCGTCGTCGAGCGAAGAAGACGCACCGTACCTGGCCACCACCACCTCGTCGACCACGACCACGACCCCGGCCACGCCGTCCAAGAAGGCCCTCGCCCGCCAACGCGCAAAGCTCCGCAAGCAGTCGTCCAACGCCGCACTCGGCGGCTCGGCCCACGCGACCGACAGCGACGCCGCCGCCGCACCCTCGGCTTCGGCTGTTCCGCCTGTGCCCGCCCTCCCCTCGCGACAGCAGGTCGCCGACACGGTCAACGGCGCACGTGACGCCGTCGTCGAGCGCGCCGAGCAGGCCCGCGAGGCCGTCCAGGACACGGCGAGCGAGGTCGTCGACGCCGTCGCGCCCGCCGCGCAGGCCGTCCAGGAGCAGGTGCGCGGCGCCGTGCCGAGCGTCGTCGAGCCGGCAAAGGCGCACGCCGAGTCGGTCACGTCGGACGACGAGGGCGAGTCGATGGCGGCGTACGGCTCGGACGACTCGGACGACGACGACGAGGACGACAGCGTCGCCGAGCCCGCACCTGCGACGACGGCGCCGACGTCGCCTTTCGCCAACTCGCCGCGCCCTCAATCGCCTGCGCCCGCCCCGGGCACGCACTCGGCGACCTCGAGCGCCGAGCAGCACGCGCAGCAGCACGTCGTCGACCACCGGCCCAAGGAGGCCTACACGGGCGCCGACCACGACCCGGGCAAGAAGCTCAAGGCCATCGTGACGCGTACCGTGTGGGGCGTCGTCATGGCCGGTGGCTGCATCGGCCTCGTCCTCATGGGCCACGTCTACGTCATCGCGCTCGTGTTTGTGTGCCAGGCCACCGTCTTCAAAGAGTTGACGGCCCTGTTTGACGCCGGGTACGCCGGGCCCACGACGGCGGCGGCGGCGGGCGACGAGGCGCCCAAGGCGGTCAGGACGCCTGAGCGCGAGGCCAAGCGCAAGGGGCGCAAGGAGGACCGCGAGCGGTGGAGCCGGCGCATGGCCTGGTGCGTCTCCCCCCTCTCTCTCTCTCTCTCCTCGTGTCGCGCCGAGACCTGACCCGCTCCCCAGGTACTTCTTTGCCGTCACCAACTACTACCTCTACGGCGAGTCGCTCATCTACTACTTCAAGCACATCTTGACGCTCCAGGCGTCGTTCCTCCCGACCGCCTACTCGTTCGCCCAGCACCACCGCCTCATCAGCTTTGGCCTCTACGTCATCGGTGCGTCCCTTCTCTCTGTGTGTGTGTGTACGCGCGTGAGACTGACGGCCTCTCTCTCTCGCACGGAAACAGGCTTCGTCAGCTTTGTCGCGACCCTGAACCGCAACAGCCTCCGGCGCCAGTTCGGCCTGTTTGGGTGGATCCACATGTCGCTCCTCCTCATCGTCGTCTCGAGCCACTTTATCGTCGACAACATCCTCGAGGTGCGTCGTCCCCCTCTCGCTCCTCCTTCCATGGCCCGCACTGACTCTCGACCCGACGCAGGGCATGATCTGGTTCTGGGTCCCCGTGTCGCTCGTCATCATGAACGACATTGCGGCGTACGTGTGCGGCATGCTGTTTGGGCGCCACCAGCTCATCAAGCTCAGCCCCAAGAAGACGGTCGAGGGCTTTGTCGGCGCCTTTTTCGTCACGGTCCTCTTTGCCATCGTCGTGCGTCCCCCCCCCCCCCCCCCCCCTCTCTCTCTCTTTCCTCAGAGATCCGGACGAGCACTAACTCAGGAGAGCGCGAGCAGTGGGGCACGCTCTTTATCCGGTACGACTACATGATCTGCCCCGTCCAGGACCTGTCGACGTCGGCCTTTTCGTCGACGGCGTGCGAGCCCAACAACGTCTTTGTCTGGCGCGACCTCGCCCTCCCGCAGTCGGTCACGGCCATGCTCGAGCCCGTCGTGCGTCCCTCTTTCAGTCGTTGTCGTCGTCAGCGTCGGTCGGGTCGGGTCGGGTCAAAGCGAGCTCACCTCCCTCCCTCTCCCTCCCCTTCCCTCCCTTTCTCCTTCCCTCCTCGCGCCCCCTCGTCGTACGCACGCACACCCGCTCTCGCACAGCTGCGCCGCCAGGTGACGTCGATCCCGTGGGCGCCGTTCCAGCTGCACGCCGTCGTCCTCGCCGTCTTTGCGTCGCTCGTCGCACCGTTTGGCGGGTTTTTCGCGTCGGGCTTCAAGCGCGCGTTCAACATCAAGTGCGTCCCCGTCCACTGCGTGTATAGCGAGAGCAGAGAGTCGTCGGAGAGAGAGCGAGCGAGACTGACCCTCCTCCTCCTCCCCTCGTCCTCCTCGCGCAGGGACTTTGGCGACTCGATCCCGGGTCACGGCGGCATGACGGACCGCATGGATTGCCAGTTCCTCACGGGCATGTTCGTGTTCGTGTAAGGGGAAACTCTCGCATTTTCGCGCGAGGACGACGAGGACGACTTGGAACTGACCCCGAGGTCCGTGCGCGCGCAGGTACCATTCGGCCCTGATTCGCGACTCGCACTACACGGTCGGCTCGGTCCTCGCTACGGCCGTGTCGCACTTGTCGACCGAGCAGCAGGTCGAGCTCGTCGCTGCCCTCCAGCAGGCCATCCGCAGCCAGATGTGAGGCGCTCGAGGTGGAGGAGAGGAAGCGCGACGCAGCAGGCATACCATCTCGACAGCTCCTGAAAATAAATGCATCGTTGTCTGGCGAACGAGAGGGCGAGCGGGAGTCGCCGACCGAGAGAGAGAGGAGGGACGAGGCGAGGTGGGCAAAGTTGACGCCTCTCGCGGCTTCCCTCGGCGCGCCCGAGCCCGAGCTGCGAGTGCAGACCTCGCCTGTGTCGCCCGCGCGTCCTGCGGCAGGTTCGGCGACGCCGTTCAGCAAGTTGCTCGACGCCCGCCCGGCTCGCTCGCCTCGTTTGAGCAGGCCGTTTGCACGTCTTCGGTTCTTGCTCGCTCTCGCGCTCGCTCGAACTCGCGAGCGGTCCATGCTCCCAAACTGAGGAGCACGCAGCGTCCTCGTCGTGGAACTGCTCGAGCTGTGAGATGACGACGAGGGAGGAGAGGAACGAGCGCTCGAGCGGGGTCGAGCCGCGAGGCGCAAAGAGTGCGGCAGACACGTCGTCGAGCGACGTCTAGCTTCACGAGCGAGCGATGTACGAGCTGCAACGGTGCGCGAGAGAGAGGCAGGGCTGCGCACGAGCCTCTCTCTGGAGCGAGCGAGCGAGTCGCAGGAGGTGCGCTCGCCCGGACACGGCGAGCTGTAGGCGCAGCTCTACTCTCGTCAGACCGCGAGGCGGCTCCTTGTACTGCACGCTCCGGAGCGGAGCACTGCGAGCGAGCGAACCTCCAGCCGACTCGACGCTTCGACCTCGGCTGTGGGCCGCACCAACTCGCTTCGCTTCTTTCGCCGCGAGGGCGCTGCTTCTGCCCGAACCTGGACTGCTTCACGGAGCTCGCATAGGATCGCGACGCAGACAGGCAGCCGCCGATGAGCTTGCACTCGAGCAAGTGCAGCTTTGCGGGCCTGGGAGAAAGGTGCCCAGGATCCGCAAACTCTCCCCTCGGCATTCCCGCCCCTGCTGGCCTTCTCGAGCTCGCATTGAATAGTACGATCAATACTCTCGTACTCAGAGCGCTTTCGACGACCGTACAACGACAGCAGCTGGCCGACCTCGCGCAGAAAGAGAAGGAACAGGAGGAGGAGATTCGCCCAGATTCGACGTCCCTGCCCGGTTCCGTCAAGTACAGTCGGCTGTGGGTCCTGACAGAGGTCTGCGACAGACTTGTGCCCTGGCCATGATCGCTCGAGGCGAGCGGGATCGCGAAAGTCTGGCGCGGCAGGAGCGAATCACGGCGCGGTCGCCCTTTTGCTCCTTCGCGAGCGTCCGTAGCTCGTCCAGCAATCGCGAAGTAGTCGTTCCGGTCCCGTGTGCAGTAGTGGCTCGCCTACGAGCCGGCAAGGCCGTCCGTTCTTGCGCTGCGCGGCTCGCTCGCTCGAGCGCTCGGGCCTCTCGCCAGATCTTTCGCAGAGTCCGTCTCCCGGCTAGCGTCTCTCGAAACTCGAGTGCCTCGAGTCTGCGTGGGCGAAAGCTGGGCTCGCCCGAGTGTATCGCCAGGCAAGTGCGCAGGACGAACCGGGCGCCGCCGCGCGAGCCACGTGCACGAGCCACCTCGTCGCCGCGTAGCCAGCCCAGCGCGGCTGTGGACGACATTTCTCCGTGTCCAAGAATGCGAGTGCAGCGCGGGAACCATCGTAGCCGCGGAAAGGAGCGAGCTGGAGCCGGATGACGGCGGCCTTCTCAAACCGAGTCGAGCGCGTCGAGCGCCGCACACCCTGATCTGCCGCGAGCAGGATATGCCAGCGCCGCGGGCAGCCCTAGCTTGCGAGCTGAGGACCCAACGCATGGGTGGGAGCGAGCCGAGAGACGCGTGAGAGAGCTCGTTGTCCTCGCCGCTCGGCCCCCTCTCCCTCCCTCCCCCTCTCTCTCTCTCGGTCGGCGACTCCCGCTCGCCCTCTCGTTCGCCAGACAACGATGCATTTATTTTCAGGAGCTGTCGAGATGGTATGCCTGCTGCGTCGCGCTTCCTCTCCTCCACCTCGAGCGCCTCACATCTGGCTGCGGATGGCCTGCTGGAGGGCGGCGACGAGCTCGATCTGCTGCTCGGTCGACAAGTGCGACACGGCCGTAGCGAGGACCGAGCCGACCGTGTAGTGCGAGTCGCGAATCAGGGCCGAATGGTACCCGCGCGCGCACGGACCTCGGGGTCAGTTCCAAGTCGTCCTCGTCGTCCTCGCGCGAAAATGCGAGAGTTTCCCCTTACACGAACACGAACATGCCCGTGAGGAACTGGCAATCCATGCGGTCCGTCATGCCGCCGTGACCCGGGATCGAGTCGCCAAAGTCCCTGCGCGAGGAGGAGGAGGAGGAGTTAGTCCTTCTTGCTCGCTCTTCTCCGACTCTCCGACTCTCTGCTCTCGCTGTACACGGAGAGACGGGGACGCACTTGATGTTGAACGCGCGCTTGAAGCCCGACGCGAAAAACCCGCCAAACGGTGCGACGAGCGACGCAAAGACGGCGAGGACGACGGCGTGCAGCTGGAACGGCGCCCACGGGATCGACGTCACCTGGCGGCGCAGCTGTGCGAGAGGGGTGTGTGTGTGCGTGTGTGTGCGACGGGGCGACAAGAGGGGAGGAGGGAAGGAGGGAGAGAAGAGGGAGAGGCGCGGGCGCCTCGAAAGCTCGCGCAGTCACTTCCGGGACCTCTCGTTCTCGCCGCAAAACACGTCGAGGTGGAGCAAATGTCGCCGACAGGCGTAGATAGAAGGACCGCAGAGAGCGCGCGAGGGGTATGCTACAGACCGCACAGACGAGGGGGACGCGGGGCTCGAGGGCGAGGGGGGAACGAACGACGAGGGCGGAGAAGGGGGGGTAAATGCAAAGAAACGAACGAGGGCGCGGTGGTAACGGCACTGAAAAGAGAGGAGGACAACAAGAGGGACCTAGGAATGAGGGTGGGGCTGTGGACAGATCGAGGACGAGGAAAGAGGGAGGGAGGGAGGAAGAGGGAGGAGCGAGCGCTCACGCCCGAGGGCGGAAGAGGGCCGACATCCACGGGTGACGACGGATCTGCGAGATTGTGATGCGCCTCGAGATGTCGACCTCGAGGCAGGCGTGCATGAGGTGCTCGACCTCGGGGTTGAGGCGGACTTTGGGGCGCGACAGCACGCCGGCTTTGGCCGCCTCGGCGTCGACGAACGGGCACTCGCCCGTGACGAGGATCGACAGGAGGACGCCGAGCGACCACACCTCGGACGGCGGCGCCTGGTGCAGGTCGCCTCGGAGGATCTCGGCGCTCGCGAACGACTTGGTGCCCTGGAACCGCTGGTACAACGGCGAGGGCTGGCGCGGGTCAAAGATGACGGCCGAGCCAAAGTCGATGAGCTTGACGCGGAACTGGTTGTCGATCGCGAGGTTCTCGTCCTTGAGGTCGCGGTGGCAGATCCCCATGAGGCCGAGCGAGTAGACGATCTCGACGATCTGCGCAAAGACGTACTTGGCCGTCGCCTCGTCAAAGCGGCGGTACTGCTCGATGCCTGCGAGCGAGCGCGCGAGCAGAAGCGAAAGAGTCAGTGACGAGGTCCGGGCGCGCGAGAGACGGCGAGGGAGGAGGAGGACGAGGAACGCACACTCGAACAGGTCGCACGAGCTGCGGCGCTCCATCGGCGCCGGTCGAGGTGGCGCGAGCAGGTTGGGCGACGGCGACACCGGGTTGAGGACGAGCGGCGTCGGCATCGTCGGCGACGAGGTCGGCGTCACGACGCGCTGCTGGCCGGGCGCGACGCGAGGCCAGCTCGACGTGAGGGTCGGCGCCATGGCCGACGACGAGAGGCCCAACGATGACGACGTCTCGGCCGCGGGCGCCTCCTTGTCGGGGATCTGCCAGGGCGAGCCGTGGTGCTCCATGACCTGGGAAGGTCGAAAAGGGACGAGCGAGTCAGTGACGGCCTCGACGACGGGCGCAACGGGGAAAGAGAGAGAGAGAGAGAGAGAGAGAGAGAGAGAGAGGCGACGCACGAGGTAGAAGTACTTGTCGTCCTCGAACAGGTCGATAAAGGCGACGACGCCCTCGTGGCGGATGCTCCTCAGGACGAACGCCTCCATCGGGACGAGCTTTGGGCCCGACGGCTGCGTCAGGCCGGGCGTGTCGCCCCACGAGCGCGACTTGACCCACCCGTGCGACGGGATCTTTGCGCGCTCGATAAACTTGACGGCGACCGGCGCGCCGTCGTGAGTGCGCTCGGCGCGCACGACGAACCCGAACCCGCCCGAGCCGAGCTCCTCGCAGAGCGAGTACGTCGACGCGAACAGCGGGTGCAGGGCGTGGAACTGGAGCGCGCGCGCCGAGATGGTGGCCGGGCGAGGCGGCGGCGACGGCGAGTGCGGCAGCTCGACGCCGCCGGCCGGGTACAGGTTGTGGCGCGGCGTGAGCGGCGGCGTCGGCGGCATGGCGTCGCCGGTGGGCGAGTGCAGGAGCTTGGCGGCGCCCTTGAGCTTCTTGGACGGCAGGCGGCCGTCGGACGGCGACGAGTCGAGGAGGAGCGGGCTGAGCGTCGCACGGACGCCGCTGCCGCTCGGCGCCATCGACGCGCTCGACCTCGACGCCTGCGGCGGCGTCGCAAAGGCGTCGGCCATGGGCTCGTCGTCGGGTGCGGCGGCCGTCAGGCCGAATGCGGAGGCGGCGACGGGCGAGAGAGGCGTCGGGGGAAGCTGGACGCCGTAGGCGAGGGCGGCCGACTCGGCGGCGACGGACACCGGGTTGGTCGTCGACGTGAGGTTGACGGAGAGGCGGCGAGCTTTGTCGGGCCGGCCTTGGGAAAAGCCCGGCGACGGGGTGGTGAAGAGGAGGGGATGGCGAGAGGCCGAGGCGAGGTGGGCGTCCATGTGCGGCCGGCGGCGGGCGATGTTCTGCTCGTCAAACGATGACCCGGCGAGGACAAGAGCGGTTAGCTGATGTCGATAGAGGCGGGCGAGGGACGACCGAGTGGGGGATGTACGGACCAGGCGATGAGCGAGCGGACGGGACGAACGGCGACTGGTCGACGACGACGACGACGACGACGAGCGGTCAAAGCGGTCGGGATTGAGGCCGAGGAGGTCGAGACTGTTGCTCAAGTGCGCGAGGGACGGCAGACGGTCAGGACCACGCCCGCTCTTGGCCGTCGTCGCGAGGGGAAGGAAGAAAGGGAACGAGAGCTCACCTCGAGGTTGACGAGGGCGAGAGGGCGAGAGCGAGCACGAGTCGAGTCGAGGCCGGTGCGTCTTGACCGAGTGAGGTCGAGGGTGAAAAAGGAAGGACAAAGGAAGGGACGGCGGGTCGAGACGAGGCTGCGGAGGAGGAGGAGGAGGGGGAGGGTCAGCTTCTCGTCCTCGTCGCGCGGCTTGGGACTCGCGCCGAGGCTGCATAGTGCTGCACGCCGGACTCGCGCTCTATGCAGCGCCGCACTCCCGGCTCAGTGGGCCAAGCGCCCGGCTGCCGGCGAGGAGCCTCGAGCGGGCGAGGCGGGGGAGGCGGCGAGGCGAGGGGAGAATGGACTCTGCTCGCGCCCCCTCCTCAATGCGCCTCGGTGTTCATTCCCACGAGCGAGACACAGAGAGAGTGTGTGCGCACCTTTCACCGGGCCGCAAGCGTCGAGACGGGGAGGACGACCAAGAGGCGGACCGTCTCGGGTCGATGATACGCTCGCGATGTGGCCGACCGTGTGGGGCTCGCAGGCTGCTGGAGGACGGTGTCGGGTTGCCGGGACCTGGAGCGCGCGCGCGCTGCGGGGAGGGAGCAAGCGAGGAGAGCGAGAGGAGGTGTGGTCGACGAAGACGCGACGGTGGACGGAACAGGAGGCGTCGGACACGGCTTCTGCAGCCCAAGGGATGAAAGGGCGATGTCGATCGGGGAACGGGCGGCGAACGAGGGCCACAAGGGCGCCGCCGGTCGGGGCGGAATGAACGAGAGCTTGCGCCCGCCGACCGAGCGTGCTCGCGAGGTGCGGGGAGGCGCCCCGCTACGGCGATGAAAAGGCGGTGCCCTGATCTGCGGAAGCGACGCCGACGACGGTGTCGGAAGGTCGGGCAAGTCGGCCGGGTGACCGCGTTCTGCGTGCGTGCTCGAGGGAGGGACGAAGCGTACGGAGGAGCAGGGAGACGACGTCCTCCCCCCTCCTCGACAGCTCGCGCTCGTGCCAGAAGCTCTCAGTGGTCACCGGCAGTAGATTGTCGTTCGAGAGCTTGGCCCGCGCTGCACAGGAGACGCGGTCGTCGAACGCTCGCAACCCGGCCCGCAGAGGAGGCGTGCGCCCGCCCTCCGAGAGGCTCGAGCGGGACCCAGTCTCGAGGTCTCGACGGCCGGCCGGCGCTCACACTCTTGCTCTCGTGCGCTCTCGAACGCCCAAACTCTGTCGCAGAAGCTGAGCGTCGGTTCGGGCGCCCAGGCGCATTTGTGCCTTGTTCGGGGTTCGGCGGCGGAACTTGTCACAACTCTGGCGCGTCGAGGCGCGCGAACCTGAGCCGTCGAGTTGACCTCCAACCTCGGCGTGCGCGTGCGTGCGACCCGGGTCGTCCGTCCTCGAACCCTTGCGACCGCTCTCTAAAGCGCGCAGACGTCAAGTGGAAGCCTCCTAGCTGAAAGCAAGCGCCGATCCTCGCAAGCCAGCCGGCCGTCGCTCGCTCGTCGTCGTCGTCGACATCGCGCACTGACCCCCATTCACCCGCTGCGCCTCGTCTCGCGGCTCGCCTCGTCCCGGACAATTGCTGCGAGTGGACGCGGCGCCGCTGCAGATCACTCGCACGCGGCTGTCGAGCTTTCCTCTCTCTGCCGCAATGCCCACGCTGCGTCGACAAGGGAGAGAATGGCCTCTGTGATCGGCTCGAGTCTCGGCACCGTGCGCCGTGCATGCCATGCGGCCTCCTGGCGCATGGACACAAAGCATCGCTCTGCGTTCAGGCCCAGGCAGCTGCCCACCGAGAAGATGCGCTTGGAAGCGAGGGAAGCGAGCGCAGTACAGGAGCGCCAGGAAGAAGCTCGACGTACGCAGCCAGGTCCGTGCGAGCGCGTCTCGACGGGCAGGCCGAGCGAGCGCGCGCGCCCGTCCAGGGGCTCAAAGGGGTGCAGCTAGTTTAGAGCGAGCTCCCTCGTAACCGTGGACCAGCCTTTCTTTTTCGGTGCGATTGGGCGAGCGAGCGTCAGTGAGGAATGAAGCGCTCTAGAGCTTGGGGGAGGAGAGGAGGGTTCGGCGACTCGGCGAGGGGCGAGATTGCAGGGCGTTCCTCTCGTGAGCTCGAGAGACAGGGACTCGGGAGCGCCGTGTCGAGCGCGAGCGGGCAGCATCGTGCGGCGGTCGGCGAGCGGTGAACGTTGCGCCGCGCGAGGAGGCGAGGCGAGCAGCGCAGCCTCGAGCGGTAGCGCCTCGGCGGTGGCACGAGCGCAAAGGTGGGACGCAGGAGCGCGCGTCGAGTAGAGCCGCGCAGTTGGATCGCAGGAGACCTCGAGGCTCTGAGCCGGGCGAGGAGAGCCAGCAAGTGGCCGTCGCCGCACCGCAGCCGAGCTGTGCGGCGGCCGCCTCCTGCCCAGACGTCGTGCTGAGCGGACCACTGCGAGAACGCCGAACACGCCCGCACGAGGAGAGTGCGGTGACGCGGCGAGCGGAGAGAGCGGCGAGGTCGAGCGCGAGGACGACTCGACTCGATGCGAGCGTGACGAGGGCCGCACAGCCTGGCTGCAGAGCTGTACGATGCGCACGCGCTCAAGCAGAGCGCTCGAGAGGGCGTGGCGGACGAGCGAGAGCGCGACGGAGGAGGGAGCGAGAGAACGGACGGCTGCCCGCTCGACGACCAACTCGCGCCCCGAGCCCTTGCTGCCCGCTCGAGCATGGAGCTGCTCTCGTGCACGAGATGCGCCCGCGCGTGCCCGTCCACGCCCATCGACGTGGACCCACCCCCGCCGTCGTCGTCGAGTCCTCACTCGGCCGCCGCGAGCAGTTGCGGGCCTCTCACCGCCTCGGCGACGAGGACGACAGCTGGTACCGCACGGGCGTGCGGGCTACTTTGAGCTGGGCCCGCGCACGAGCCGGACCGGTGCCCGCTCGGTAGAGCGAGCTCGGCGGGCCGGGAAGCAGGCTCTCGTCCGCTCCCTCGTCGCTCTCGCTCTTGCTCCTCCTCGACCAGCTGGACGACAACGGCGACGACGAGCACGATGCCTGGCACCGCTCAGCCGGCCGTGCAGCTGCCTCGCATCCAGTGGGGCGTGCCCCGCCCCTCTCTCTCGGAACCCCTCCCCCCGCGCGTCCCGCACGCCCGAGCACCGCCCACTTTGTTGAGGGGGCTCGAGGTGAACGGCAGCAGGACTGTCGGAATGAGCATGGACGAGCTGGGGACCGGCGCACGCAGGCGCACACGAGCCAAAACCGAGCTGACCCGTCTTCGTCCGTCGTCCGCAGCCCGTACACGGCCTCGTCCTGCCCGCTCTTCAACCCGACCTTTAGCGCGACCGACGTCCTCGGCACGAGTGCCGTCGTGCGCGAGCGCGCAAAACCGCCTGCACCCGCCGCCCCGCCGCCGCCGCCGCCGTCGCACGAGCAGCTCGTGACCGACACCGTCGCCGCCCGCGACCACCATCCCGGCGCGCTCCCGTCGCCCTCTCTCGGGTTCGTCGACTCGATGCGCAACGCCCAGGCGCTGCTGCCCGTCGTCCACCACCGCTCGTCGGGCGACTCGACGGCCTCGTCCGGCACGCTCGTCGTCGCGCCCGCATACTCAGACTACCCGATCGCGCCCTCGCCAGAGCTGTCCGGCGGCGGTGGGCGCGGCAGGACCTTGTCGGGCGGGAGCGCGAGCCCGCCGACGCCGGGACCGTCCTCGTACAAGCCCCTGTCGGCGGCGGCGGCGTACCCGTCGTCGTCGTCGTACGGCGTCGGCGTCGGCGAGCCCGTCAGCCCAAAGACGCTCCCGCTCGTCCTGAGCCCCGCCCTCGCCCACCTCCCCTTTGCCGGCCGCCTCCCGAGCATCGACCTGTTCGACCCAGCGAGCTCGCGCCGCCCGTACCCGCCTCCTTCACCCGGCATGCCCTACTCGTCCTCCTCCCGCGTCGCCACCGCCGCCGTCGACTCGCCCTTCTCGCCCTCTCAGCGCTATGCCTACGAGCGCGCCCGCGTCCCGTCCGGCGTCACGACCGCCACCACGACGAGCACGAGCGACGCCTACCTGCCGCACGCGCCGCCGCCCGCCGCCGCGTCGCCGCCCGGCCTCGGCCTCCTGTGCGCCGCCGGCGCCGTCGTTTACGATTATGGCGGCGCGCCGGGCATGGGTATGTCGTTCGGCGGCGGTGGCGAGCAAGAGCAGCCGCACGAGCAGCAGCAGCAGCAGCAGGTGCCCGGCCCGGGCTTTGCACCGCCCTCGTCGCTCGCCATGCCGAGCGAGTGGCGGCCCGTCCGGCGTGCGGCTCTGCCGTCGCAGTGGGACGTGCGGGTCGAGGAGCTCGACGAGGACGAGGTCGTGGACGAGGGCGCGCTGGGGCAGGAGCAAGGGCAGGGGCAGGGGCGGCGCTCGAGCGCGGGGCACGGCTTTGCGCCACCGCCAGGGCCGCATCGGGTGGGTGCGCAGGCGGGCGACGAGGGCGCGACGCCGGCGCCGGCGCACGAGGGCGCGTCGACGAGCGCGACGCCGTTCATCACGAGTGCGTCCCTCTCCTTCTCTCTCTCTTTCGCGTGCGCCCTCTCACTGACTCGGACCACCTGCGTCTCCTCGCGCCGCAGAGCTGCAGCACGTCCTCGTCAATCCGGCGCACCACGACGTGATCCGCTGGAACGCCGACGGGACGTGCGTCGTCTACCAGCACTCGTCGCAGCGCCTCTTGTCGATCCTCGGCAAGTACTTTCGCCACACGAGCGTCATGAGCCTCGCGCGCCAGCTCAACATCTACGGGTTCCGCCGCCTGTCGGTCGCCGAGATGCTGCGCGAGCTCGAGCGCATCCCTCCTCCTCCTCCTTCTCTCGCCTCGACCACGTCCTCGACCTCGCCGACCGCCGCCCAGCCTCCGCCGGCTCCGCCCATCCTGAGCGCCACCGAGTGGAGCGGCTTCACGCACCCGAGCTTCTGGCGCGACGAGCCCGGGCGTCGCGCGCTGTGCGACCTGTCGGTCCTCAAGCCTCAGGGCCCAAAGACCGAAAAGGGCCGCGCCAACCTCGCGAAAAAGATGGCGGCCGGCGACGGCAACAAGAAGCGCAAGAAGGCGGGTGGCGGCGGTGCAGGTGGTGGTGGTGGGGCGGGCAGGGCCAAGGTTGGCGCGGTGAGGAAGGGCGGGCTCGACCTCGAGTGAGGGGCGGTCGGTCGGTCGGTCGAGGCGGAGTGCAGTCTTTGCCGCAGCGTGTTCTCTCTCTCTCTCTAGCTTTGCGCTTCTCGCGCTTGTTGTCGCCGTGCCATTCAGCCGTTCTTGCCTCTTTGCGGTCGAGGCGAGCCAGCTTTCCAAGGCTTTCTCTCGAGGGACTTTGAGAGGAACGACAAGCGATTGCAAGCGACGACGACAGGCTACACACACAGAGAGAGAGGGAGAGAGAGACTGAGAAAAGCGAGAGACCGTCAGAGCGCCCGACCTCCCCCTCCTCCGATCCGCTCCTCCCCCGCTCAGGCCGCGACACCGAGTCCGACACCCTCGCCCTCGCGCTCGCCAAACACGACGCAGTGCGCGTCGAACCCCTCGTGCGGCACGCGCACGGCGTCCCAGCACTCGCGCACGCCGACGACGCCAAACGCGTGCTTGCGCACCGACACGTGGCGGTGCAGGTCGTGCGCGGGGCAGAGGGCGAGCGCGCGGTGCATGGTCGGGGCCTGGAGGGCGGGGAGGCCGCGTACCGTGAGGGAGCGCGAGAGGAGGACGCCTGCGACAGAGTGGGCGAGGAGGGTTAGTGCGGCTCGAGAAGGTGGGGGAGGAGAAGGGGCGAGGAGGACGCACCGACAGGGAGCTCGAGCTCGCCCTTGCCGCCGCCAGCATCGATCGACACGAGCGACACCTCGCCGCCGGGGCACATGGCGTCAAGGAGCTCGCCAAAGCCCTCGCTCGAGCCCGGCTGGTCGACGCACACGGCGAGCTCGACGCCGCCGAGCTTGCGCAGCTCGACGTCGAGGTGGCCCAACTTGCCGACCTGGAGCAGGTCGCCCGCCGGGACGCCGTAGTCGCGGTGCGTGTGGTGGTGGTGCGAGGGCGAGACGATGACGATGTGCTTGGTCGGGCCGGCGACGGCGCGCAGGAGGTGGTAGGCGAGGCTCGCGTGGCCGCTGGGGGACGGCGACGACGGCGTCAGGGCTCTGCTCAAGGACGACGAGGAGAAAGAGAGAGAGAGAGAGAGAGAGAGAGAGGCCGCACCCGCTGCCCCACACGACGACGACGCCCGCTCCGTCGCAGCCGCCCTTGTCCTCGCCGCCGCCGACCGGGTGCGTCGAGCACATGCGGCGCAGGGCCTCGCGCTCGTCGTCCGTCTTGCGCTCGGCGTCCGATTCGAAGCGGTCACACACGGCGAGGACGCGGCCGCCAAAGACGGCGACGACGCACTGCTCGAGGAGGGGCATCGACTGGACGGCGTCGCACGTCGAGACGCCGGGCGCAGTGCAGTACTCGCCGAGGCCTTGGTGCGTGACCGAAGCTGTGTGTCGGAGTGGGTCAGGTCTGGATCGCTCGCGAGAGTGAGAGAGAGAGGAGAGCGCACCGATGACCGTCTCGCCCGGCTTGAACTTGCGGTGCAGCTCGCCGCCGACGTCGCCCGCCGTCGCCGACCCGCCGCCGCCGCCGCCGCCGAGGTTGAGCTTGCCCATGACGCTTGCGAGCATGCCGCTCGCCGTCACCGGTCCTCCCTCGCGCGCGCCCGCACCGACCTCGACGACACGGCCGACGACGGCTTGGCCGGGCGAGACGGGGAAGTGGTCGTGGCCGTGGCGGAGCCCGAGGGCGGCGATGGCGTCGTTCTGCGACAGGAAGCAGGCGTCGACCTGGAGCGTGACGCGGCCCTTGGACGGCGGGCGGTACTCGACGTCGACGAGCGAGAGAGGGGCGCGAGGAGAGGGGAAGACGGCGCTGCGGAACTGGGTCGGGGGCGAGTCGTGGTGGGCCTTGTGCGACGGGAGGGTGGCCATGGTCGTGGTCGAGGTCGTGGTCGTGGTCGTCGTTGGCGAGAGAGAGGAGGTGGCGAGTGAGGGGAAGGAGGAAGAGAGAGGCGAGGGGAGGCCCGCTCTCCTCGAGGCGAGCTGCAGCTCGCACCTCGAGCGGCTCGGACTTGTTCGGGAACGACGTAAGACGTCGCTGCGAGTCGAGTGTGCCCGGCAGGAGCGGCCATCGAGCGCCAGGTGTTGTCCATCTCGCTCGCCCGCTCGCACCTCCTCCTCCTCCTCGACCCACCTCCTCGCCTCGACGACATGCGCCCGCTCTCCCGGCTAGATGTCACTCCGATGCAATGCACTCTCGATACACTATCTACTGCCCCCACCGTGCGAGGAACCTCTCAATCTCGCTCCGGATCGCCTCTCCCGCCTTCTCGTCCTCGAACCCGACCCTCCTCGCGCGCTCCTTGGCCTCGCGCCCGAGCTCGTACGCCTCGTCAATGTGCAGCTCCCACCTGCCGGCCTCAAAGTCGACCCGGCTGAGCTCGAGCGACGCGCCTCGGGCGTGCATGAGCCGCTTGAGGCCGAACTCTTCGACAAAGAGCGGGCGAGGGACTGTGTGTGTGCGCGGGCGAGGGGGGAGGGTCAGGGAGGTCGCGACGAGAGGGACGACGGAAGGGGTGGTGGACGCACCGTAGATGAAGGGCGTGCGGCACGACAGCGTTTCGGAACAGGTGCCGTACCCCTGCGCGCGAGGGAGAGGGGGAGAGAGGCTTAGTGCGTCGCGGTCGCGAAAGAGGACCGAGGGAAAAAGGTTGGGCGCAGACGCACGAGCTTGCCGAGGACGCAGTCGGCGATCCACGTCAGGTCGGGCACGTAGACGTCCTTGTCGCTCGCAAAGAAGCCGTACGGCAAGTCGTCGCGGATCGCGTTGTCGCCGCCGCTCAGGCCCGTCACGATGGCGATCCACCCTTTCGGGAGCAGGCCCGCCTCGCGCCGCTCGTCCTGTTGCGGCGCTTCGAGCGACGACAGGCTCGACGACAGCTGGCTGCTCATGGTGCGGCGCAGGAGCGGCGACGAGAGCGGCGTCGGCGGGCGCGTGCGTGGGCGCGGGATGGCCTGGCCGCCGAACGAGACGAGGAGGACCTTGCTCGACAGGAGGTGGTGCGGGACGCCCATCGACTCGAGGAGCTCGGCGCGGAAGGCGGGCGTGTTGGCGTCGGGCGAGGGCGCGCGCACGATGAGCGGCACGTCGATGACGGTGCGGCCGTCGGCGGCCGACGGGATCGAGTCGGTCGGGCGCGACAGGATGGCCTCGACCTCGGGGACGAAGGCGGTGCGCTCGTCGTTGACCCACCGGCCGGACGGCATGGGCACGTCCGTGTCGAACGCCGGTATGGGGATGACGCCGGGCAGGCGCAGGAGGAGCGACGCGCTCGAGTAGTCGGCGACGGTCTGCTCGACGAGAGGGTGCAGGACCGCGTGGTCGAGTGGCGGCTCGGGCTGGGCGACGCCGTACTCGTGCGAGGGAAGGGAAGGATGGGACAGGTACGAGTAGCACGAGTCGAAGGTGAAGCTGCGCGTGCGGCGAGCGAGGTTGAGCTCTCGCGTGCGCCGCAGAGAGGGACGAGAGGCAGGGCCACGCACTTGGAGATGATGATTGCCGGGAGGCCAGCTCCCTTGGCGGCGGCACTGCGAGGAGGGAACGAGGTTCAGCTCCGGCGCCGTCGCTGGCGAGGTCGAGAAGGGGGGGGGGGGGGGGAAGAAAAGGGGCGGACGCACCAGCCGAGGAACGTCGCGTCGCTCAACACTGCCTCGATCCCGGCCTCCTTGAGCCACGCCACCTCCTCGGCGAGCGTCTGGTCGCGCTGGTTGAGGAACCCGTCGAGGACGTCAAAGGTCGCCTGGCGGTCGACGTCGTACGCCTTTGGCTGGACGATGCCCGCGTCAATGTTGCGCCTGCGGTACTCGGCGTACTGCGGGAGCGGGCTCGTCTTTGGGCCCGGGTTGGCGATGTCGCGGTCGGCGGCGGGGAGCGCGGTCGGGGGCAGGATGGACGCGAACGGGATCTCGGGGGCATTGGTGACGACCGTGACGGCGTGGCCTGCACGGAGGAGCTCGAGGCTGACGGCAGAGACGCGTGTCGCGTGCTGTGGGCGGACGAGGGAGCCGAGTTAGCTCGGGTCGACGTGCGGGGGGAGGAGTGAGGCGAGGGCGGCCGCGCGAGAGAGGGGGAGGGGAGGGACGCACCCCGAAGCCGTGCCCAGAGCAGTAGAACGCGAACCGAGTCATGCTGCGCAGTGGCAGGAGGAGGCTGGAGAGAGTGCGAGCGACCGTGGAGAGCTGGCGACGACGAGGCGGGCTCTGACCCGACCCGCAACTCCGCCCACCACGCCGGGACCTTGCCAGTCGTCCCGCTGCAGCGCGATAGCTCCTCTCGACGCCGTGCACGCTCGAGCGGGTCCTCCCAAAGCCCCTCGACCAGGTCCTCCCCTGCTTCCCTCCTCGCCCGCTGATGAGGGCACTGCGCGCTCGCAACGCACTCTGCCCGGATGCGCGCTCGCGTGGACGTACAGACACATGCTCTCGAGGCACTGAACCCCCAAGCACCGCAGCGGCCGCTGTCGTCGCGACATGGGCGACCTCGCCGCCTTCTCCAGCCTCTCTCGCTCTCTGCCTCTGCGACGCTCTGCAGCGCCACTGTGCTTCTGCTGCCTCGCGCGAGGCATACCCGTGTCGCAGAAGACGAAGCGCAGCTCTCGTACGCAGCTAGGCCGAGAGTCGGCCCCGTATCTTTCCCTGCTCGTCCCTCGACTCGCGTTCTCGCTGCTCGACAACTCTCTCTCGTCGACGCTCGCGCTTCTCGAGGGTACCAACTCTCGACACGAACGAGGCAAGAAGGAGGGACTTGCGAATGACTACTTTGTACGACAAGGCGCAGCGTCAGACCCCCAGCCCGAGCCATCTCGGCGACTGGCCAAGTCCTTCAAGGCGCGACACAGAGAGCGAGAGGAATCCGACAGAGACCGAGATGAGGGGGACAAGGAAAGGGAGAGGGGACGAAACGAGGAGCTGGTGGCGCACGCTAGGCGGCGACCTTTGCGCGCTCGAGGCCCGTGCCCGACACCTGGAAGTCCTTGTTGGCCTCGAGCGTCTCGGCCTTGACCTCGTACGTCTCGAGCTTGCTCTTCTTCATCGCCGCGTCGTAGTTGCGCTGCACGTCCAGGTTGGCCTCGGTCAGTCACCGTCTCCTCCTGCGACCGAGAGGGGGAAGGAGGGAGAGAGAGAGAAAGGGACGAGGTTGGGGGCGCACCTTCATCGCCTGGGCGAGGAACTCACCGCCCGTGATGGGCGGGTACCGCTTTGCCGGGCCCTGGATGACGGCGTCGCGCCGAGCCTGGTTGAAGAAGCCGAGCGAGAACCGGGCCTGCTGGTTCTCGCCCGGGCGCGGGCACCGCACGCGGTGGAACGTGCTGCGAGGGGGCGAGGGGCGAGGGGCGAGAAACGAACTGATCGTCAGGACGTGGGTCGCAGAGGAGGGGAGGGGAGGAGAGAGCGAGGGAGCGCGAGAGGAAGAGAGGGAGAGAGGGGGGAAAGCGAGAGACGCACGACTGCAGCCGGTCGTCGCTCCACCGCTTGAGCTGGTCCCCAACATTGACGACGATGGCGCCGCGCTCGACCTTGACCGGGGTCCACTTGTCGCCGCGCCCAAACTCGGTCGTGATGTCCTTGCCCGGGCAAACCTCGAGGCCGTCCTGGCCCTCGCGCTGGAACAGGAGCGTCAGGACGTCGAAATCGGCGTGGGCGCTGCGACGCGACGGTGTGGGGTCAGTCGAGTCTCGTTCGCGGGAAAGCGAGTGGACGAGAGCGAGAGAGAGAGAAAGGTGACGAACCCAGCGCGGAAGTAGTCAGGCCCGAAATCCTTGCCCTCGCACTCGGAGTACTTGAGCATGCGCAGCGTCGTCATCGAGTCGTTCTTGTCGCCGCCGTCGTCGGGCGAGACGGTGCCCTCGGTGAACGTGTCCTTGGGCTGCAGGCTCGACGCCCTCGTCAGTGCACGCTCGAGGAAGCGAGAGAGAAAGAGGGGAAAAAGAGAGAGGGAACGCACGAGCCCCACGCCCTCAGCGAAAAGCTCCATGACCCTGACGCTCAAGTCGCGCACCTCCTCCATGAACCGCATCGCGTCGTCGCTGAAGCCGGGACAGTCGTCGTCCGAGGGCCACGACAGGTCCTGGTCGCGCGTGCGCTGGAAGCCCATCTGGAGCGACTCTTTCGGGTCCGGGTAGCCCGTCGAGGGGCGGATCTGGGCGTTCTGCGGCGCGCACGCGAGTGGGGGGAGGGAGGGAGGGAGGGGGTCAGGGTCGTGCGAGGAGGGGGAGGGAGAGTTGAGGGCGGGTCGGGGCGAGCAAGGGAGGGAGAGAGAGAGAGAGAGAGAGAGAGAGAGAGAGAGAGAGAGAGGGAGAGAGAGAGGGAGAGAGAGAGGGAGAGAGCCTCGCCAGCGCTCCTTCTCGTAGCCCATGTTCTTGCCGTTCCACGGGGTCTTCATCTTGACGTCGTCCGGCAGGCTGAAGAAGCGGTCGGCGAGCGCGAACGCGGCGTCGACGCGCTCGAGCGGGATCAGGTGGGTCGACGAGCGTGCTGCGGGCGGGTGGCGTGTTCGCGCTGCTGTCAGTGACTGCTCTGCTCACGACGTCTCGCGCGCTACATAGAGAGAGAGACAGAGAGAAAGAGATAGAGATAGGAGGGACGCACAAGAAGCCGACGTCGGAAGCAGCGTCCATGAGCTGCTGCCGGATCTCGTCGCGGCGCTCGTCAAAGTCGCGCAGGCTGATCTGTGGCACGCCGACGTCCTTGACCTCGATGACGGCGGGCATGGCGAGGCGGCGAGTGGGTGGTCGAGAGGGGGAGGAGGAGGAGGGAAGGGAGGCTTATCGGGAGGGAGGGAGGGAGGCGAGGGGCGGCGAGGGCGGGTCCGAGCGGTGCGGGTCCGAGCGTGGGCGGGTGCGAGTCGGGTGTTGGGCAAGGTGTCTGGTGTGCGCTGAGGACGGAGGAGAGAGCTGCGCGAGCGAAGCGTGAGGACAACGACGAGCGAAAGCAAAGTCGGCCGAGTCGAGCCCCGACGATCCGACAGGCCCTAAGAGCGCGGGGTCGGCGGACCTTGAAGCGAGCGCCCGCGCTCGCGGCGAGTCGTGCTCCTCGGGGCGGAACGCGGCCGAGCGTCGTCGGAGAACTCGGTGCTCGATGCCGGGCTCGTGACGGGCGGGAAAAAAAAAAGAAGGCCGAGGACGAGAAGCGCTCTCGCGGCGACGACGACGAGGCAGTGCCGAGCACGATGAACGCGTCGGCGGTCGCATTGCAGACGTGCTAGAACGGCAAGGGTGGATCGGAGAGGAATGCCTGCGAGTCGACGAGGGGTCAGTGCGGCGTCGAGAGAGGACGCGAGAAGAGAGGAGAAAGAGGGGCGCACCAAGACCTCCTCGACGCTCGCCGCCGACTCGCCCGCCACCCGCCGCACCCTCGCCTGGTCTATGACCTCGGTCGCGTCGTTCGTGATCGACTGGAAGAGCAAGAACTGCGAGGGAAGGAACGGCGGTTTCTGCGGGCGCGTCGTGCGAGGGGTTAGCCAGGTGTCGAAGCGACGACGAGAGTGGGAGAGAGGTGCGCAGACGCACCTCTTCTGCGAGCCCGTGACACATGACCCAGTCGGCCTCGCACACCGTCGTGCCCTCGCGCTCCTCCCACCGCAGCCCGACCACCGCACGCATGACGCCTGCGACGACGACCTCGAGCGTCCTCGGGCGGCGCGTGGACCGCCCCTTGCCGCCATCGCCGACGCGGACCCGCACGCGCGGGTGCTGCGCCTCGCACGTGCGTGCGAGGGCGACGAGCTCGTCGGGCGAGGTGGGCGGGTCGAGTTGCGGCACATAGGGCGCGCGCGCCTTGCCCTTGCGCGTCGTGGTCGTCGTCGCCTCGCCGCCGTGGAGGATGTCGCCGAGCGTGACCCAGGGCTTGTTGTTGTCGTCGTGCTCGGGTTGCGCTGGCGGTTGTGGTTGTGGCCGTGGTTGTGGTGCCGCGGGGTCGTGCTTTGAGCGGAGGACGATGCCGGCCGGGTCGCGGCGAGCGCTGTCCTCTGCGTCTTGGAGGACGGCCTCGAGCGAGTCGAGGTGGTGGGCGAGTGCGGTGATGGCATTCGAGCACTCTGTCGACGCGGCGCGGTAGATTGCGGTGCGGTCGTGCGGGGCGGCCGAGTGCGAGGTCGAGACGGCCGTGAGGAGGGCGGGGAGGGACGAGCGGGTGCGCGAGAGGGTCGCGAGGAGGGCGTCGAGCGAGGCGAGGTGCTCGCTGGATGCGCTCCTCTGGCCGGGCATGGCGGGCTGACGCGGGAGAGCTGTCGTCGCGGGGAGGAGGAGGAGGACGAGGTTGGCGGCCTTGACACTCGCCCGCCTCGCTCAGACCAACTGCTGCTGTGCTCGGTCAGGTCCTACGGCTCGCTCTAGCCCTCTGCCTGACCAACGAGCAACCACGCGCCGTCCCCGACCCTTCCTCCCTCGCCCTCGTCTTCATCTCCCTCACCCAGCCACGCTCGCACAGCCCCGCCAGGCTAGTGGGACTCCTTCTCAAAGGTACCGAGCTGCTCAAAGCTCGGCATGACCGCACCGTCACCCCCGCCAAGGCCCTCTTGCCCTCGACCGCCTCGACGACCCGCACCGCCTCGCTCCCTCGACCGCCGCGCACCGGCTGCTCGTGTCGATCGATGCCGGTGGCGGCAAGGGCGAGCTCGAGCTCCCTGTCGGTGCGTCCCCTCGCCCCTCCCCCTTCTCTCCTACTTGAGCCGCACTGACCCTCCTCCTCCGCCCACCCACTCGCAGGCGTCCTCCTCTCGCGCTCCCTCACGGTCCGCGGCCTCCCCGCCCTCCAGGCCCCGACCATGGCACCGCGCGCTCGCCCTCTTACACCGCGCACGACCTGCACCTGCACCGCGCACGTGTCGGCGCACAAGCACGCGTTCGGCGTCGACGGCACGCGCGAGTGGCTGGGACGCCGGGCCGCGTGCCGCACGAGGGGGTTCGACGCGCACTGCGTCGTGTTTGGCGAGCGCGAGCGCGAGGGTGTCGGACTCGGTGTCGCGGCCTGAGCGGGGGAGGAGCGGATCGGAGGAGGGGGAGGTCGGGCGCTCTGACGGTCTCTCGCTTTTCTCAGTCTCTCTCTCTCCTTCTCTCTCTCTGTGTGTAGCTCGTCGTCGTCGCCGCTTGCAATCGCTTGTCGTCCCTCTCCAGGTCCTTCGAGAGAGTAGCGAGGTGAGAGAGCGAGTGCGAGAACGACCCTTCTCGGCTCTCACCAAAAGCGGCTCGCCCGTCGACCGAGAGAGACCCTGATACATACTGCAGTCGCGCTCTACATCGCCCGCCGCCGTCGCAACTCAGAGCTTGCCCTCCCTGCCGCCCTTGATCTTGACAACAGCCTTTCCCCAAGTCTCCCTCGCGCCGAGCGCCCTGAGGCCCTCTGGCACGCTCTCGAGGCCGTCAAACACCTTGTCAAACACGGCGCCCTTGACCGAGCCCTTGTCGAGCAGGTCGAGGAGCGCGAGCCACGTCTGCGGGACGACCTCGGGCGTGCGCGACGTGAGGCCGCCCCAGAAGACGCCCATGGCCGACGCCGACTTGAGCAGGAGCAGGTTGGCCGGGATCTGGGGTGCGCGTGCGGCTCGTCAGTGAGATCCGGGACGACGAGGGCGAGCGAGAGAGAGAGAGAGAGAGAGAGCGGGGCGGCGCACCTTTTCGATCGAGCCGGCGGCAAAACCGACGACGACGAGGCGGCCGTTCCACGCGATGCACTTGAGGCTCGGCACGATCATGCCGACCGGGTCGTACACGACGTCGGCGCCGTGGCCCTCGGTGATGGCCATGACCTCCTTCTGCCACCCGTCCTTGCGGTAGTCGATCGCAAAGTCGGCGCCGTACCGCTTGGCGACGTCGAGCTTGGCCTGCGAGCCGGCGGTCGCAATGACCTTTGCGCCCAGGGCCTTGGCGATCTGGACGGCGGCGAGACCGACTGCGGGGTGTGGGCGTGGAGGGCAGGAGCGGGTTAGTCGGGGCGGCCTCGAAAGGAGAGGAGGGAGAGAGAGAGAACGCTCGACGCACCTCCTCCGGCGGCGGCGTGCACGAGGACCCATTCGCCGGGCTGCGTGTTGGCCCTCGTGACGAGCGCAGCATAGCTCGTCGGCGCCGTGATGTACAGTCCCGCCGCCTCGTCGAGTGCCATGCGCTCGGGCACCTCGATCACCGTGCGCCAGTCGACCTTTATCTTTTCGGCGTACGCGCCCTGGCCGGCGCCAAAGACGCGCGTCACGCCCGGAACGTAGGTGCAGCCCTCGGGGATGGGCGACGACGACGAGACGATGCCGGAGAACTCGCAGCCGGCGATCCAGGGGAACGCGGGCTTGTTCTGGTACTTGCCCTGGACCTGGAGGACTGTGGGGAAGGGCACGCAGGGTCAGTCGTGTCCTCTCTCTCTCTCGAAAGGGAGAGGCGCGTTGTGAGGAGAGACGCCGAGAGAGAGGACGCACTGTCGAAGACTGCGAACGCGACCAGGGGGTCAGTCGCCTGCTCTCACGTCCGAGGGGGATCAAGGGGACGCACAGTTGAGGCCGGCGTAGTGTACATCGACAACGATGTCGTTCTCGGCGGGCTTTGGCTCGTCCCACTCGACGAGCCGGGTCGGCAGCTCCTCGGGCTGGATGTACTTCTCAATGACGAACGCCTTCCTGCGTGCGGGCAAGCATTGTCAGCTGTCGGTCCTCGGTCGATCCGGAGGGCAGCGCGGGGCGTACATAGGGAGAGCGAGTCGGCGGGAAAGTGGGGAGCGGAGAGTCGAGGAGGAGGACGAGGCGGCGAGGTGCGTTGCGGGTCTGGCTTGACGGCGACGGGAGCAGAGAGAAGCGGCTCTTGATGGCAGGGGCAAGCTGCTGGGCTCTAGCGGTGTGGGGAGAGGAGGACGACGAGCGTCTCCGTCGTTGTCGGCTCGTCGGCCTGGTCGGCTCCCCGGCTCTCGCTCAACCGGTCCTCCGCTCCCTCTCTGCTGGGCCAGCGACACCTCGAATGCACTCTCAGCCTACAGCAGGACCCACCTGTGTCGAACCGCCATCGCCAACCCGCCGCCCCGACCACCCCGCCTCGTCACCGCCCGCCTGCGAGCGATGAGGGCGATGCGCTGCGACGACAGCCTGGGCGACCGCTGCGGCACTGCGGGCGCGCTCTGAGCAGGCTGTGCTGCTGCTTGAGTGGGTCGGCGGGCCGCACCGAGGGTCCTGCGAAGCTCGCTCGGTGTCGGGGCCCGACGCAGCTTCGATGCTGCGCGCTCGTCCTCGCTTCTCTCGCTCGCCTTCTTGCTTCCGGCTTGCTTTCGCTCTTCTTCCTCAGCCACGACCTCTGACTCGTCAGGTGCGTCTTACCCCTCTTCCTCTCTTCTCTCGATCCTCGCCCACAGTACTGAACCTATCGCTCCCCCTCGCCCTTTCGCAGCTCGACTGCGCCCTCGCCGATACCGCACGATCGCGACTCGCCCTTTCTCAGGCTCACGTCGCCATGAAGGTCGCAGCAGGGTCTTTAGTTCTCTCGGCACTCGGTACGCCCTCTTCCTCGTCTTCTTCGTCGGCGAGTGTGCGCCAAACTGACAGCCTTCCTTTGGCCCGCTGCGCAGCGCTCGCCGCAGCCTCTACCGCCGCGCCCGACGCTGCCGCCGCCATCGGCGCACTCGTACTCGACGAGACCGACATGGCGAGCAGCGCCGTCGCCGACTCGGGGCGCCCGCTCGACAAGCTCGCCGTCCTCGCGGCGGCGTTCAAGGACGCCGACGTCCCGATTAGTGCCGCCGCCCTGGGCGACCTCGTCGGGCAGCTCATCAGCGCCGAGATCGCTGCTGTTGAGGAGCTGAGCTTCAACGCGGCCGTCGCCGGCAACGACGAGGGCGAGGACGACCCCGGCGCCACGTTCGACGACTTTCTCGACGACCTCGTCTCGGGCGATGAGCCTCACCCGCAGCACGGTCGTCGCCCTATTCCTCCTCCCCCTTCACCGCCTCACGGGCCCGAGCACGGCCACTTCCCGTACCCTCCTCCCGGCCCGCCTCCGCATCATCGCCTTCCCCCTCCTCCTCCTCCGCCGCCGCCCACGCACGGCAAATGGCGCGGCCCGCCTCCCCTTCCTCCTCCTCCGCCTTTCGAGCACGGCCCCGGACACGAGCACGGTCGCGCGCCGCCGCCGCCGGGCCCTCCTCACGGCCCTCCTCGCGGCCCTCCTCGCCCGCCTGGCCCACCGCCGCCGCCGCCGCCGTTCGGGATGCGCCCCGTGCGCCGACCACGCCCCTGCGACGACGGCGAGCGCGTGCCGCACCGCTGGTTCGTCGACGAGGAGAGCGACGAGGGGCGCGCGCGCGCGCCGCGCACGGGGCAGGCGCACGGGCAGCACCACCACCGTCGTCCGCACCATCACCGCCACCGGCACGACCACCACGACGCCCACGACGACGCCCCGCACGCCCTGTTGCGCCTCGTCCATTCGGCCCTCGACACCGCGCGCACGCTCCTCGCGTCGCCCGTCGGCGCCGGGGCGTGGGCCGCGCTCCGGCTCGTGCTGACGGGGTGGGCGCTCGTCGTGCTCGTGAGGGCCGTCAGGGGGAGGCGCGAGGGGCGGGTGAGGCTCGAGGGAGAGGAGGACGCGGCGCTAAGTGAGGAGGAGGAGGGGCAGGAGAAGGTTTGAGTGGGTTGGGCGAGGAGGAGCGTTTCTCTTTTGGCCTCGTGTCTCGTTCTCTTTTCTGTCGAGCGATGGTCTAGCACTCTGCTGTAGACGCCCTCTCACCCTGTCAAGCACTACTGTCTGTTCGCCCGTCCGAGAGCGGTCGAGAGAGATTCGACGGGGCCCGAACGCAGGATCGAACCGGCGCCGCCCTACGAGTCGACAATTGCGCACGTGCTGGACTTGCGTAGCGCCCGTCCCCGCCGATGCTCGCCCCACTTCGCTCGCGTCGCCTCTCGCTCACTCGCTCGCCGTCCTCCGAAGGCTGCGCTCTCTCGCTCTCCTTCCAACCACACGCAGCACCAGCACACATGTCGTCCATCGTCGGCAAGATCTTCTCGCTCCAATTTGCCCAGCAGAACGTGCCGCAGCTCGTCGGCCGCAAGTACATCGTCACTGGCGGTCCGTCCGCTCCCTCTCTCCTGAATGCGTCCTCGCCCGCGCACTAGGGCAGGGCGAGTAACTGACCTGTGCACGACCTCGCAGGCACCAACGGCATCGGCTTGAGCGTGTCGCGCACCCTGTACTCGCACGGCGCCGACGTCACCATCCTCGGATCGCAGCAGGCGACCGCCGACGCTGCAGTCGCCTACATCAAGACGGGCGAGCTCGCCCGTGCGCCGCAGGACTACCAGGACAGCTTCAGCGGGATCCTCGGCACCTGGACCGACAACTCGGCTGACGGCGCCAAGGAGAGCGGCGAGGTGCGAGCGCGCGTCGTCGACTTCAAGGACCTCAAGGCCGTCGCCAAGGTCGCAAAGGACCTCGCTGGGTCGCTCGACCGCCTCGATGGGTTCCTCGGCATCGCCGGGCTCGGCGTCAACAAGTTCACCCTGACCGACGACGGGTTCGAGTGCGTCTCCCTTTCTCTCTCTCGTGTCCTCCTTCTCGAACGACTCGCCGACTCTCCTCATCCGCCTGTGCAGCTCGCACCTCACGATCAACGTCCTGTCGCACCAGCTCCTCCTGTCGCACCTCCTCCCCGTCCTCGAAAAGACGTCCAAGGAGCACCCGGACGCCGACGTGCGCGTCGTCCTCGAGGCGAGCGAGCTGCACCGCACCACGTTCGGCGGGCCGTCCGAGTCGTTCGGCGGCGACAAGTTTCGCACTGTCGACGAGTTCAAGAAGGACGTCGGGCAGCAGAACCTGTATGCGCGGTACGTCGCCGCCGTTTCTCTCTCCCTCGCGTTCTCGTCGAAGTTGGCGGCACCAACCTCCCCTGTTCTTGCAGGACGAAGCTCGGCCAGATTCTCCTCACCAAGGTGCGCTCTCTCTCTCCTCGACCTGCATCAACCCGACCCAAACTGACGCTGTCGCACTCGCGCAGGCGCTCGTCCAGCGCTACCTCTCGCCGCCGTCCAAGATCCTCGGCTACTCTGTCCACCCTGGTGCGTCTCCTTTCTCTCAAGCGGCCTATCACGTCGACTGACGCCCCTCTCCCCTCTCGCAGGCGCCGTCGCGACTGATGAGTCCCTTCTCCCGCCTCTCGCCCTCGCCCTCGCCGGTCTTCTTCCCGCGCTCGAGCCTGACCTCCTGTCGTTCTCGCAGCTACGCCAGACCCGCCAGTACAAGGAGGCGTATGGCAACGCCGTCGGCGGCCTCGTCGAGGCGGCTGTGCGGCCCATCATGCGCGCGGCGGACGAGGGGTGCGTGCACGCTCTCGCCCTGTCGGGCTCTACTCTCCTTCTCCTGGTCGAGTGACTGACTGAGGGGATCGCGTCCGGCATGCAGTGCACTTTCGGCGCTCTGGGCGGCGACCGCTCCCGATGCGCGCGACCCCAAGTACGAGAACGGGCGCGTCTCCCTCTCTCTCTCTCTCCTTCAGCCTCCCCACGCGCCGTTGACGAGCAGGAACTGACTCGCCGCACGTCCGCAGCACCTACTTCAGCGACCCGGCGCAGAAGGGCGGCGAGACGAGCGAGGCGAGCGACCAGGAGGTGCGTCGCGACGGCTTTTCCCTCGTCTGCTCCTCTTCCTCTGCTTTTCGAGGACGACGAACTGACTGTTCTTGAACTCGTGGCGTGCAGCTCATCGACAACCTGTGGTCGACCGGCCTCGAGGTCATCAAGCAGGTCGTCGGCGAGGACAACGTCGGCGGGTTCAAGGCCTGAGCGCCACGCGCTCGCCTCGCCTCGAGCAGCTCGCCGGTACGGGCAGCAGCTCTCGTGGCCAATTGTATGTAGCTCGACGAGCATGAACAGAAGTTGCAGTGGCAGTGCTTTCCCCTCTCTCGGTCCTGGCTCGAAAGCTCGCGGCGAGAGCTCCTTTCTCGAGATATTCAAAAGCGCGTGTTGAACGTCTAAGTACAAGCACCTGGTCTACATGCCCTCGCTCTAGCCACGTCCTGCACCGCAAAGTCTAGTTGAACATATCCGGCCTCGTCCACCCGCCTCGTCTATCGCAGCTCGACGTTCCCGCTCAGGCCTCGTCGACCTTGCTCGCCGCGTCGTCGAGGTCCTTGATGGCCGCGACGCCGGCCTCGTCGATGCGCTCCTTGGCGTCGTCGTCGTCGAGGAGCGCGGCGGACTGCTCGACTGCGAGCGGGTCCGGGGCGTGCGAGAGTGTCAGTTTGGGAAGGCCGACTTGGTGGAGGAGGGAGAAATGTGAGCGCACGCGTGAGGCCGGCCGTCTCGGGGAAGAGGAAGTAGACGACGACGAGGTTGACGGCGATGACGCCGATGTACGGGTAATAGTAGGACGTGCCGAGGCGGTCAAAGCCGATCGGGTTGACTGTGCGGGGTGCGGCGAGGCGAGGACGAGGGCGAGAGGGAGGCCGAGAGAATCAGTCATCGACGCTCTGCTGGGCTTGGGAGGCGGGCTCGATGCGTGGGAGGAACAGGCGTGACGCACTGTACTGGTTGAAGAAGAGCGCGCCGTAGTCGGCAAAGAGGCACAGGGCCATGCCACGCGTGCGGCATCGATAGGGCAGGAGCTCGATCACGTAGGAGTAGAAGAGGACCGAGTACGCCACGTCGTAGAAGGCCGAGTACCTGCGAGCAACGACGAGAGGGTGTGCGTCAGTCGCGGCCGCGAGAGGGAGGAAGCCAGGCGGCAAGTGAGGACGCACAGGAAGATGAGCGCGACCGCCGCTCGTCCCGCATGAACGTCGCCCGTGCTGTTGAACCTCGCCGTCGCGAGCGTGAACATCGAGTAGCACAGGAGGATGCCGCACGTCGAGAAGAGCCAGATGAACCGGCGCGAGAAGCGCTGGATGTAGACGCTCGCGATGACCGAGATGACGAGGTTGAAGATCTGGAGCCTGTGTGAGAGAGTGCACGAGTCAGTATGAGGGGCAGGAGACGAATGGACAAGAGGAGGAGGCTAGTTCGTGGAGCGCGTCGAGGAAGAAGGGGAAAGGAAGGGGGACGCACCCGCCGTTGATGCCCTGCTGCTGCGCCGAGCCGGCGATGCCGATACTCTCGAGTACTGGCAGGAGGTAGTAGCTGTAGACGCCGTTTCCGACCCTGTGGTTCCGCAACCGTCCGAGTCAGCGAGGAAGGACGAGAGCCGCAGAGAGCGAGATGAACGGTCGTGACGAACCACTGAACGATGACGCCGATCCAGATCGCCATGAAGAGGCGGTAGCGGTTGGCCTTGGTGCGCAGGAAGTCCAAGTAACCGAACGACGAGCTGACCTTCTCAAGTTCGAGCGCCGCCTTGATCCTGCGCGAGGGCGCACAAGTCAGTGGACGTCGAGGGAGGAATTAAAGACACGTTCTTGACGTACTGAGCCATCTCGGAGAGGACGAGCTCGTCCTCATGGTCGCCGTTGGCGTGGTAGGTCGCGAGGATCGTGTGCGCCTCGTCAGTGCGGCCCTGGGCGCACAACCAACGCGGCGACTCGGGCCTGCAGGAGAGCCAACTAGTCAGTGCGTCGTCGGCGAGAGGAACAGAACAGGGAGAGCACGAGGAAGGGACGACGTACACGGACCAGAGGGACGCGAGCTGGACGAGCGACGCGAGCCCCTGCAGGAGGGACGGCAGCCGCCAGCTCCAGTTGCTCGACAGGAACGCCGAGCCGTACGTGCACCACGCGGCCGTGACGGCGCCGACCCAGTAGAACGCGCCGAAGAAGGTGACAAACTCGGCGGCTTGGCGAGGGTGCGCGAGCTCGAACAGGTGGGCCGAGCCGAGGGTGAGGGGAAAGGCGGCGCCGAAACCGAGAAGGATGCGGGCGCCGAAGACTGCGTGAGCGAGGAGGGTGCGTCAGGGCGTGCTCCTCGCTCGCGAGAGGCTGCTATGCGCGCGCTCGAGCCGCCGAATCGACTCGAGCCTGACCGACGCTGCCTCGACTCGGCGCGCCGGTCCGCTCGGCAGCTCGCGCGGACGAGAGAGAGGGTGTGTGCGAGAGAAAGTGTGACGCACACTTCCACCCGCCGACGAGGAAGCATTGTAGCAGGACGGCCACGACGACGACGGCCGAGCCGAAGATTTGGGGAAGCTTGCGGCCCCAGCGGTCGCCGGCCCAGCTGGAAGGGAAGAAGCCGATGAGGTACCCGAGCGAGATGGCGGACGAGATGAGGCCAAGCTTGTTCGCGTCGGGGTTGTCCATGTCGTCGAGGAAGGCCGGGAGGCCAAGGGCGGCGTTGAGGACGCTGCCGTCGTACCCGCTGCGGACAAGTGTTGAGGGTCAGTGTCTGGTCGTGTAGTGCGCTCATCTATCGGCTCACGACGTCGACGCGGCGAGCGAGGGCGACGCCGTCGTGCCACGAGACGCCTCCCGACACAGTCGACGAGGAAGGTGCGAGATGGAGCGGACGCACCAGACGAAGGAGCCAAGGAGGAGCACGGCGGCGTGCATGTTGAGCCTGCGCAAGCCCGGGTCGCGGTACCACTGCTCGTGGGCGTTGTTGACCGGCGGAGCGGACTCGGCCGAAGCGGGCGGTTTGGGCGCGAGGATGGTGAGGTTGAGGCGCATGGTGGTGGCGGGTGTTGCGAGTCGCCGGGCCGCACTGCAGCGAGTGCACACGGGTAGCAGGAGAAGGAGCGAGAGGGAGCTGGACAAAGAGGGCGAGAGGTGTGATCGGGGGAGTCGGAAGACTCTCGCCCGCGCCCGGCCCGGTGCCGGTTGCTTGCGAGAACCAGCACACCAGCCTCTCCATCTGCTCCACCGCTCTCTTGTATAGAGCTACCGAGTGCGCCAGACCTGCGCTCAGCTCCCGATCCGCGTCACCGCCGCACGCCAGCTCGCCGCACGCTCTGCCAGCCTCCGACTCGACCCTCGTCTCGACCCTCCCTCGCCGTCCACCGCGCCGCAACCAGCTCTCGAGGTACGCCCACGATGCCCTGCGCAGTCGAGGCGGCGCGAACGTGACCACGGCCTGTCCAGAACTGACTCGGCCACCTTGCCCCTGCAGCTCGCATGACACTCTCCCTCCTCGCCAATAACCCTCGGCCGCTCGAGCAGCGCTCTGCCCCGATCGACATGCCCGACGCTACGCCTGTGTGGAAGCGCGACCTGGACGAGTACGGCTTTGCGGTCGTCAAGGGCGCGGTCCCTCCTGAGCGAGCGGCTCAGTACGAGGTGCGCCAGCTTCTCCTCTCCTCCCCTCTCCTTGCCCTCCTCGACTGACGCAGAGCGGTACACGCAGCAACGAGCTCTCGCCTGGGCCCGCCAGTTCGGCTTCGACAAGGACGACAAGGCGACCTGGACCGCCGACCACCTGCCCGTCGGCGAGAACGGCCTCGTGAACGACTACGGCGTCTCGCACGAGGCGTGGGTGTGGGACGCGCGCCTCGAGCCCAAGGTCCTCGAGACGTTCGAGGCGCTGTGGGGCACCGACGAGCTCCTCGCGTCGTTCGACGCCGTCAACTTCTCGCTCCCGGTCGGGCCACACGGGCGCACCGACCTCGAGCCGGCGGCACCGTGGCCACACATTGATCAGCAGCCGGCACCGACCGAGTGCGTCTCGATCACGTCCTCTGTCTCTCCCGCAAGGTCGTCACTGACCTCGTCCCCAACCCCACTCCCCTCCTCGACCGCCAGCCGTCCCGCTTTGCAGTTCGAGCTCGCGCAGGGTCTCCTCGCCATGACCAAGAGCGGGCCACTCGACGGCGGTCTCGTCGTCCTCAAGGGCTCGCACAAGCTCCTGCCGCAGTTCTTCGCCGAGACGGGCGGCGTCAAGCCGGACCAGGACTGGGGCGCTCGAAACTAGTCCGTCTCTCTCGCTCCCCGGCCCTGATCGAATTCGTCACTGACGACAGCTCTCCCTCGCACAGCTACACCTTTACGCCGGCCGACCTCGCGTGGTTCAAGCGACAGCCCGGCGTCGTCGAGGTCAAGGTCGAGTCGGCGCCGGGCGACCTCGTCCTGTGGGACTCGCGCCTCATCCACTGGAATCGCTCGCCGACGGCCGACCAGGTGCGCGTCGTCGTGTACGCGTGCTACGCGCCGAGGAGCATGGCGAGCGACGAGGTGCTGGCCAAGAGGAGGGACTGCTGGGAGAAGCGGCGGGCGACGACTCACTGGTGCGCCCCTCTCTCTCCTCTCTCTTTCTCTCTCCGCCGCCGAGCTCGACGAGTTCTCTCGACCTGACCACTCCTCCATGCGCGCCGAAACAGGCCCGCGCCGTTCGTCGTCGTGCCACGCAACGAGTACGGTCCCCCGCAGCGCAACGGTGTCGACGACCCGCGCGACCACGACCGGCCGCTCGAGGAGCCGCGCGAGACGGAGCAGCTGCTCAAGCTCGTCGGACTGCTGCCGTACTAGAGCGTCGAGATGCAATGCGAGACGTTCTCGAGCGAGAGTCGGAGCGAGCTGCGAGGTGGGAGCGGAAAGTCCGGTTGAGCCTGGCAGTGCGGTTCTGATCTCGAGCGCAGAGTACTGGGACGAGCCTGCAGGCTTCCCTCGTGGCAAACAGAGAGCGCGTCACGAGCACGGAGGAGGCAACGAGCGCCTCGAGGTCAAGGTCCGGCTCGGAACCTCGCCTCGCAACCGCCGCGCATGGCGTGAAGCAGGCTCAAAGAGCCAGCAGACCCACCTGTGGCCACCCAGCATGCCCGACCCGCCCTCTGCCGCGCCGTGCGAGCCCACAGTCGCCCCTCAACTTCCCCGAGATGATGAACGTTCGACGCCGACAACGGCGACCGCCGCGAGTGCGGGACCGGCACACGGCACCGCAGAGCAGTCGTCGCACGGCCCTGGAGGCGACTGGCTTGTCGTCAGCGAGGCGCTCGCCGACCTCGCCCCGCCGGCACCGCCCCCTCGGCTCACCTCTCGCTCCTCCTCGTCGTCCCGCCAGCCGGGCACGTTCTGCATCCCCGTCGAGCTCGTCAAGCCCGGCATGGAAATGCTCAAGGTGTCGGCCAAGAGCGCGCGCCGCGTCAAGCCGCGCAGGGTCTGGCTCGAGCTCGCGAGCGAGACGCCCGACGACGGCGAGATGGGCCTCGAGGTTGGGATCGGCGTCGTCGGCGGGCAGGACGTCAGGCTGTGCTGGGAGAAGAATGGACCCGGACTCGGTGCGTCCCTCGACCGTCCTCGCCGCCTCGTCGTCATGCACTGACTCTGCCTCGTCGACCGCAGGCTTCTCGCGTTCGCCCAACTACGCCTCGGTCCCGCTGTCCCGCATCCGCGACCTGCGCTTCGCCTCGGCCGGCTCGCCCTACCGCACCTCGCTCCACCTCCCGCCGTCGGTCGAGCCGCGCTGGATGACCGTCATCTACGCCGCGCCGCCCTCGTCCGGGTTCCTCAGCTCGGTCGCCGGCAGCCCGTCGTACAAGCTCGTGCACTTTATCGCCCTGTCGCCGCACGACCTCGACCTCGTCCAGAAGACGCTCGAGGGCTTCAAGGAGGGCCGGCTCGCCAAGGGCATCTCGGGCGGCTCGAGCGCGCACGACGTCCCGCCCGAGGAGGCCGACCGCGTCGTGCACGAGGTCGAGGTGCATCAGCTCTGCGCGCGGTTGGGCATGGGCATGAGCAAGGGCGAGATCAGTGCGGCGTTTCAGGTGCGTCCTCGCTCCCCCCTCTGCGTCTTCCTCCTTGGTCCCGACTGACCTCGCTCGAGCGCACCTCCCGCGCAGCGCTCGGCCGCCCCGAACGACTTTCTCGACTTCAAGGCGTTCCAGACGTTCGTCAAGCTGCTCAAGCGCCGCGCCGACATCGAGGAGATCTACCGCACCGTCGTCGGCGTCGACCAACCGGGCGGGTTCGACGAGGCGGCATGGACCGCCTTCCTGCGCGAGACGCAGGGCATCTCGTCGGACGAGACGATCGACAAGACGTTCAGCAAGTACGCGTCGCCCGGCGAGCGACCGCTCGTCACGCTCGACGGCTTTGTCTCGTTCCTAATGTCGTCCGACAACGCGGCCATCAAGGACGAGTCGAAGCAGGACATGACCAGGCCCTTGCCCGAGTACTTTATCAGCTCGAGCCACAACGTGCGTCCCACGCGCGCTCTTCCTCTCTCTCGTCATCGTCGTCCCGTGCGAGGGCGACACTGACCCTTTCGAGCCCGTGCGCAGACGTACCTCATCGGCAGCCAGTTCCAGGGCCAGAGCACGGTCGAGGGCTACATCCGGGCGCTCCAGCAGGGCTGTCGCAGTGTCGAGCGTGCGTCCTCGGTCCCCCTCACTCCTCGTCGAGAGCCGGAACTGACCCTCTCGTTCGTGCGCGCAGTCGACGTGTGGGACGGCGACAACGGCGAGCCGGCCGTCACGCACGGCCACACCCTGACGACCAAGATCCCCGTCCGCATGGTGCTCCAGGCGATCGCGCAGTACGCCTTCCTCGCGTCGCCGTACCCGGTCGTGCTCAGCGTCGAGGTGCACTGCGAGCTCGACCAGCAGGACAAGCTCGCCGCCATCCTGCACGACACGCTCGGCGACCGCCTCGTCAGCAGACGGCTCGACGAGATGGAGGCCGACGCCGAGGTCGACAAGCTCCCGAGCCCACACGACCTGCGCGGCAAGTTCCTCCTCAAGGTGCGTCCCCCCTCCCCTTTTCTCTCGTTCGCGTGCTCGAGCGGCGTGACCTGACTCGCCTCGAGCGTCCTCCTGCAGGCCAAGAACAAGTTCATGACGTCGAACGAGAACGGGTTCCCCGTTAAGCTGGTCCCGAGCGGCGACTCGTCGTCAAGCGAGGTGTCGTCCCAGTCGAGCTCTGACGGCGACTTCAAGAACAGCAAGTGTGCGTCCCTCTCTCTCTCTCGACGAGCCACGGACAGACACAGCTCACACTCTCGCACGACGCAGTCTATCGCGCGATCCGCCAGTTCCGCGGCAGCGACAGCAGCTCGACCCGACCGCCCATCCTGCGCGGCCGCAGCTCGCGCTCGTCCATCTCGTCCGTCGGCTCGCAGCCTGTACCTGTCCCGTCGAGCCTCGTGGCACCGTCGAGCACCATCACCGGCAGCGAGCTGTCCGTGTCGCCGCCCAACATGCCGTCCATGCTGTCGCCGCCGTCGCTCGGGCCGCCGACGCCGACTTTGCCGGCCAAGCCCAAGGACATGGCCATGTCGCACGCGCTCGCGAGCCTCCTCGTCTACACGGTCGGCGTCAAGGCACGCGGGTTCAACAAGAAGGAAAAGTACGCCGCGACGCACGTCATCTCGCTCGGCGAGACGCGCCTCGCAAAGATGCTGCGCGACGAGGCGACCCGCCAGGACTTTGTTGCGCACAACCGCGCCCACCTCACGAGGGCGTACCCCAAGGGCAGCCGGCTCACAAGCAGCAACTTTGCGCCGCACCACATGTGGGCCGCCGGCGTGCAGCTCGTCGCGCTCAACTGGCAGACGTTCGGTGCGCCCCCCTGTTTCTCTCGTCGACGGGCCGAGCACGACCCCTGACCAGCCTCGTCGTGCAGATGTCGGCATGGAGCTCAACTCGGCCATGTTTGCGCGTGCGGCTCGGTGCGGGTACGTCCTCAAGCCCGACTTTCTGCGCAAGAAGGGCGCCGAGAAGGACAAGGTCGCGTCGCTGCGGTCCGAAAAGTACCGCCTCGACATCGAGGTGCGCCGGCTCGTCCTCTCTATCTCCCAGGCCCCGACCCGAGGCGGCGGCCCTGACTCGTTGCGAGCACGCGCGCAGGTCATTTCGGCACAGCAGCTTCCTCGTCCTCGAGGGTCGGGCAGCGACATGGACGCGTGCGTGCTCGACCCGTTCGTCGAGGTGTCGCTGTTCGTCCCAGGCGTCGTCGGCATGCAGAAGCGCCGCACGCCGGTCGTCCTGTGCGTCGAGCTCTCCCTCCTTCTTCTACGCCCTCAGCGACAAGTCTGACCTCGTCTCGTGCGCAGCGGCAACGCCTTCAACCCGACCTTTCGCGCAGCGTCGAGCACGTCGCCGACGTCGGCGTCGCAGTTCTCGTTCACGTTCTCGTCGCACCCGTCGCCGGGCATGCTCGACCTCGCCTTTGTCCGGTTCGAGGTCCTCAACGCCAAGGGCAACGTCAAGGCGGCGCTCGACGAGGGCAAGGGCGACAGCGTCGGCGCCTACACGATCGGTGTCGGCGCACTCATGCCCGGTGCGTCCCCTCTCGCTTCTCTCTCGAGTCGTGGAGGAGGAGGGGGAACGAGCGCTGACCCCTTGGCGTTGCAGGGTACCGCCACCTCCCGCTGTACGACGGCATGGGCGACCAGCACCTGTACTCGACGCTGTTCATCAAGTCTCGCGTCGTCGCGACCGGCGTCGCCGGCTGAACCTGTCGTCGTCGTCGTCGTCGTCGCCCCTTTCCCCTCCTCCTCGTCCTCGCCGATACCCTCTCGTCCTCGCTGTTCATACCCTCGGCTCGCTGTAGATTCCCCCTTGGCAATTGTGTCTTCTGTTGCCTCTCCCTGCGAGAGTGCGAGGGAGGCTCGGCCGGGCTTCCTGTTGAGGGGGATCGTCCTCGTCCCGTGCAACCTCTGCGTCGGGCCGTGGGACGCGCACGAAGCTTCCAAGTCGTGGCTCGGCTCGGTGCTCGGCGTGCATGTCCGCCCGAGAGGCAGTCCTCGTCCTCCCTCGTCCTCATCAAGCACGACGACGAGTGCGTCTCCCTCTCGTCCCAGCCTCGATGCGGTGTGCCCTGACTGACAGCTACGTGCGCCCACAGTGAACCAGTCGGCTCGTCCTCGCTCCACCTCGGACCAGGCGCCGGCAGCAGCATCCTCGTCGACTGCCCCGCATCCGACCCGCTCTCGCCTCACGCCCCTCATCTTCCTCCTGCCGCTCGCCCTGTCGGTCCTATTCAGCCAGCTGCAGCGCATCGATTCAGTACGCGACTGGGCCGCGAGCCGGTTCTCGACGAGCGAGGTCGTCGACACCGCCCCGCTCGTCCTCGAGGGCGTCAGCTGCCCGGCCGTCGTCGAGCCGCTCAATGTCGGCGTCGACTGGCGACCTGAAGACGACGAGGTGTACAAGATGCTCGCCGTCGAGCGGCTCCAAGGCGCCGTCCGCATCGTGCGTCGACCCTTTCCCTCCCCTCCCTTTCCGGCAGAGCCCGCTCACTGACCTCTGCAACCTCGCAACAGCCGACCGAGTCGTTCGACGACATGCTCGGACCCGACGACCCGCGCTTCGCCATCATGGGCGACCTGCACGCCTACTTCGAGCAGACGTTCCCGCGCGTGTACGCGACCCTGGACGTCGAGACCGTCGCCCAGTGGGGCCTCCTGTTCACGTGGAAGGGCTCTGACTCGTCGCTCAAGCCTGTCGTCCTCATGGCCCACCAAGACGTCGTCCCCGTCAACGCCGTCACGGCCAAGCGCTGGACGCACCCGCCGTTCTCGGGCCTGTACGACGAGCAAGGCTGGATTTGGGGCCGTGCGTCCTCCGTTCTCTGCGCTTTCTCTCTATCCTAAGCACGTCACTGACGAGCCGAATCACGTGCGCAGGAGGATCGGCCGACTGCAAGAACACGGTGCGCCCCTCGTCCTGCTCCCCTCTCGAGAGCCCTCATCGTTTCGCGACTGACATCCTCTGCAGCTCGTCGGCGCCCTTGCAGCAATCGACAAGCTCATCCAGGAAGGGTTCACGCCAACTCGGTGCGCCCTCGGTCCTCTCTCGAGCCTTGGCGCCGTGACTGACTTTCCCTCTGCCTTTGCGCACCTGCAGGTCGATCATCATCTCGTCGGGCGCCGATGAAGAAGTCGGAGGGCGTCGTACGGCCCTGCCGATCGCTCGCGAGCTCGAGGCGCGGTACGGCAAGGACGGCGTCGCGCTCATCGTCGACGAGGGCTCGGGCGGCGTCGACACCGTGTTCGGCGTGCCCTTTGCGCGGTTCGGCACCGCCGAGAAGGGCGCCGTGTCGGCGCACATCGAGATCTTCATGCCCGGCGGGCACTCGTCGGTCCCGCTGGGCCCGCACACGAGCATCGGCGTCCTCGCGAGGTGCATCGTCGCGCTCGAGGACCACCCGTTCTTGCCCGGCCTGCGCGCCGGCAGCCCCATGCTCCAGCAGCTGCAGTGTGCCGCCGACCATGGCCACGTCAGCGACGCCTGGCGCCGGCGCGTGCGCGACCCGAGCCAGTGGGCGAGCCTCGGCACCGACCTCGCCAAAAAGGACCCCATCTTCCGCGCTTTCCTCGGGACGACCCAGGCCGTCGACCTCATCGACGGCGGTATCAAGCTGTGCGTCTCTCTCTCCTTCTCTCCCTTCCTCCCTCCTCCCTGACGATCGCCGCGCTCACCCGCTTCGGCCCTCGCGCAGGAACGCCCTCCCCGAGTACGCGTCCGCCTTCATCAACTACCGCATCGACTTCCAGTCGTCGGTCAACGAGACGCTCGAGCACATCGCGTCCATCCTCGAACTCGTCGTTACCTCGCTCGGCCTCGTCTTTGCGCCGTTCGGCACGCACCCCGAGGTCGACAACAACGTCGTCCGGCTGTCGCAGTTTGGCACAAGCGGCATCGAGCCGGCACCGCTCACGCCGACCGAGGGCGCCGTGTGGGAGCTCATGGCGGGCACGACGAGGCATGTCTGGCCCGGCGCCGTCGTCGCGCCGAGCGGCATGATCGGTGCGTCCTCTCTCTCCCCGCCTCTCTCTCTCTCTCTCTCCCGCCCCGCCAGGCCTCGACTCGACGACCCAGTCCTGACGCTCCTCTCGACCGACAGCCAACACCGACACGAAGCACACGTGGAACTTGACGCGCCACATCTATCGGTTCGTGCCGGCCTCGACCGACCTCATCAAGGGCTTCCACACGGTCGACGAGCGGTGCGTCTTCCCCTCTGTCCTCTCCCTCCTCGTGCATCACCGTCGAGCGTGCCTGACTCGCTTCCTCGTCCGCCACAGCATCCACATCGACGCGCACATCTCGACGATCCGCTTCTTCCACACGCTATTGCGCAACACCGCAACGTGGCGGGCACCTTGAGCGGCTGGGCTCGCCCGCAGGCGGCGCAGCGTCGTCCGCAGCTCGTCGGCACGGGCCAGAGCGGCGCGAGTCGTACATAGAGGTGCGCCCCTTCTTCCCTCTTCTCGGACGGTCGGATCGGTTCCTGACCTTGTCCTTCTCTCCGCCGACGCAGCGTTCCCTTCCCCGAGCCGCACAAGTCCGTATCGAGCCCGTGGAACGACGAGATCTGTTGCAGTGAGCGGCGCGCGAGTGCGAGAGAGCGTGAGAGCGAGCGTCGTGAGCGAGACGACGAAAGTCGTGACAGCTTTGCCTGAGCGAGACGCTCTTCTGGGTTGCTCTCGACACAACAACCCGTATGCTCTGCTTGCGCGAAGAGCAGCCCCGTGCGACGTGACAGCCAGCTGTCGCGCCGTTTCACCCGAGCGAGCCGTCGGCTCGTCCTCTCCCTTCCCCACAACCTCTCGCAACGAGTGAGCGCGCCCGTTGCCGCATGCATGGACGCAACTGACAGGCCCTTACCACGCAGTGGGTCGCCCCGAGGTCCTCCCGCTCGCAGGAGAGCCCGCCCTCCCCACCTCGTCTTCATCGCCCTCCGCGACTCGTACCTCGCGCGTCCGCCTCGCAGCGCTCCTGGTCTTGCTCCCCCTCGCCTTCTACCTGTCGTTCCCGCGCCAAGAGCTCGACCACCTCAGCTGGCTCGCCCCCTCGACCTCTGCCGACCGCCCCGTCTCGATCCTCGGCGCGAGCTGCCCCGGCCAGAGCGAGGCCAGGAATGTCGGGCCCGACTGGCGCCCCGAGCAGGACGACGAGTACAAGCAGAAGGCCATCGAGCGCCTCCAGGGTGCCGTCCGCATTGTGCGTCCCATCGTCCTCCTCCTCGCTTCCTCCCACTCGTTCCTAACCTTCTCGAACGCGCAGCGCACTGAGTCGTTCGACGACATGGCCGGGCCCGAGGACCCGCGCTTCGACGTCATGGGCAACCTGCACGCCTACCTCGAGCAAACGTTCCCGCGCGTCTACTCGAAACTCGACGTCGAGAAGATCCAGAAGTGGGGCCTGCTCTTGACGTGGAAGGGCACCGACGAGCACCTCAAGCCTGTCGTCCTCATGGCGCACCAGGACACGGTCCCCGTCAACCCGTCGACCATCGACCAGTGGACGTACCCGCCGTTCGACGCCCACCTCGACGAGAGTGGCTGGATCTGGGGCCGTGCGTCGCCCGTCTTTCCCCTCGCCGCAGCCCCCGGACCGTCACTGACTCGGACAACTCTCTGCAGGTGGTGTCGCCGACTGCAAGAACACGGTGCGTCGCTGCATCGACGTCTCGTCGCTTCAGCCGGGTACTGACTCTCCCGCCCCCTGCGCCCGCAGCTCATCGGCCTCTTTGCCGCGCTCGACAGGCTCATCGAGGACGACTTTACGCCGACTCGGTGCGTCCCCTTCCTCCCTCTCTCTCGACGCGCGCGTGCCCACACTGACCCGTCGCGCGCGCCCTCAGGACCATCATCCTCTCGTCCGGGTTCGACGAGGAGATTGGCGGCCACCGCTCGGCGGCGTACCTCGCGTCGACGATCGAGTCGCGCTACGGCAAGGACGGCGTCGCGCTCGTGCTCGACGAGGGCTTCACGGGCGTCGACACGGCGTACGGCGTGCCGTTTGCGCGGTTCGGCATGGCCGAGAAGGGCGCCGTCAGCGTCCAGATCGAGGTCCTCACGACGGGCGGCCACTCGTCTGTGCCCTTGTCGGCCCACACGGGCATCGGCGTCCTCGCGCAGTGCATCACGGCGCTCGAGGCGCACCCGGCGACGCCGCTCCTCCAGAAGGGCAACCCGCTCCTGCAGCAGCTCCAGTGCGCGGCCGACCACGGCGACGTCGACAAGCAGTGGCGCCGGCGCATCCGCAACCCGAAGCAGTGGAAGAATATTGGGCTCGAGATGGCCAAGCAGGACCCGATCGCGAGGGCGTTCCTCGGCACGACGCAGGCGGTCGACCTCATCGAGGGCGGCGTCAAGCTGTGCGTTCCCTCTTCCTCCTTTCCCTCTTCCCGCACCTCGTCCTGACACTCTCTTCCCCTCGCTCGCAGCAACGCGCTTCCCGAGTACGCCTCGGCGTCGGTCAACTACCGCATCGACTTTCTCTCGTCGGTCAACTCGACGCTCGAGCACATCTCGTCGATCCTCGAGCCCGTCGTCGCCGACCTCAACCTCACCTTTTCGAGCTACGGCTCGCACCCCAAGGTCGACAACAACGTCGTGCGCCTGTCGATGGTGGGCACGAGCGCGATCGAGCCCGCGCCGCTCACGCCGACCGATGGCGACGCGTGGGAGCTCATGGCTGGCACGACGAGGCACATCTGGGAGGGCGCTGTCGTCGCGCCGAGCGGCATGGTCGGTGCGTCCTCGAACCTTCTCTCTCTCTTGAGGAGCAGGGGAGCAGGAGCGAGAACTGACCCTTCTCGTCGTTTTCCTCGACTCGCGTGCCGCAGCCAACACCGACACCAAGTACTCGTGGCCGCTCTCGCGGCACATCTACCGCTTCGTGCCCGGCTCGCTCGACCTCATCAAGAATTTCCACACGGTCGACGAGCGGTCCGTCTCCTCCTCCCTCTCCCTCTCTCGTCCTGCAACCTCCTCGAGCTCTCGACTGACTCGCCTTGGTCGCGCTCGCAGGATCCACATCGACGCGCACCTGACGGGCGTGCGGTTCTTCTACAAGCTCTTGCGCAACACGGAGGGGTGGCAGGCGGCCTGAGCGTGTCGACAGGTCGAGGGAGGTGGTCGGTCGGGAGGCGAGGCGAGAACGGGCGATTAGAGGAGGCGACCCGCAACGAGAACACTTTTCTGTGACCCGTTCTGTGGCTCGCGTCGTACGAGAGGCCAGCTGCGATCAAAAAAGGCGAAACACCCCGGATTCGGGTCGTGGCCTGATGAAGACGAAGGTCGTTCGAGCGAGCGACGCTCTCCTCGCTCTTCCTCCACCGCTCACTCGCACCCGCTGCGAGGACCATGAGCACCGACGACATGTTTTCGGCGCACAGCGCCTTTGCGACCGACTGGCTCGCGCAGAGCGACCCGCGCGCGTTTGACGGCTCCGCCTCGGGCCCCGACTCGTCGTCGTTCGACCACCAAGACTCGCTCGGGTTCCTCACGGGCAACGCGTTCGGCGGCTTTGACGGTCTCGCAGGCGGTGGTGGGACCAAGGGCACGGGCATGCTCACGCAGGACGAGCTCGCGCGGGCCCTGATGGGCGGAATCGACGGCGGCGGCGGCGGCGGGGCGGCGAGGCTGGGCGACCTCTCGAGCGCGGGCACGTCGACCACCGGCGCGAGGTCCGACGCCGGCAGCTCGCCGTACAGCTCGAGCATGAGCCAGTACGGCGGCGCGCACCACCCGTCGTCGTCGTCGTCGGCCCAGTTCGACTTTGCCGCCGAGTCGGCCGCGCTCGCCAACTCGCCGCCGTTCTCGCTCCCGCACAACCTGTCGTGCGACTTTGACACGGCGGCCCTCCAGAGCCTGTTCACCAACTCGTCGCCGACGACGACGGCCGGACCTGGCATCAACGCGCACCTGTCGCCGTACCCGTCCGCACCGACCTACCCGCCCCTCCAGACCCGCTCGCCGGCATCGAGCGTCTCGCCCTACGCCGCCTCGGTCTCGACCTTCCCCCAGCACCATCAGCAGCAGCCGCAGCCGATCGACATCCGCGGCATGTCGGGCTTCAACCCGGCGCAGCTGTTCGCCCCCGCGTCGGCGGCCGCCTCGGGCGCGTCGCCCTCGGCGCCTCGCCTCTCGGTCGACTACACGTCGCCCCTGTCGACCTTCTCGTCCTTCTCGCCTCCTGGCGCCGCCCAGGCGCCCGTCGCCGTCGCGCCACAGCCGCACGCGCACGCGCAGCACCACCACCAGCCGCTCGCGCAGCAGCAGCAGCAGCAGCAGCCCGCCTTCACGTCGCTCGCCGCGACGGCCGGCATCGCCGTCCCGTCCCTGCACGCGGGTCCGAGCGCCCAGTCGGGCCTGTACGGCTTCTCGGGCGCCGCGCACGACCCGTCGACCCTCGGCGGCGCCGCGCGCGGTCGCACGACGCGCACCCGGACGCAGGCGCCGGTCGGCGAGGCGGGCACGACCGAGAGCGAGCAGAGGGGACGCAGCCCGATGGAGGTCATCGCCAATGCGGGCCTGCAGAGCGCCATGCACCCAGCTCGTGCGTCCTCCTCCTCCTCTTTCAATATCGAGGCCTCGAGACTGACTCTGCCTCTCTCGCGCCGCCTGCAGCTCTTCTTCAGCTCAACCCGGACGTCAACTTGCCGGGCCTGAACCGCAACTCGGCGCGCAAGAGCGAGGACGGCGAGGCCGAGCACGAGCAGAAGCCGGCGGCGGGCAAGGGCGGCAAGAAGGGCAAGAAGGTGGACCGCGGGCACAGTGCGTCCTTGCTCTTTCCTTCTGCCTCTCGTCGGCCCTTGCGCGAGCTCGACTGACTCGGTGCGACCCTCTCTCACAGACGCCGTCGAGCAGAAGTACCGCAACAGCATCAACAACGCTCTCGCCTCGCTGCGCGACACGATCCCGGCGCTGCATCACCTCAAGCCGCTCCCGTCGATGCCCGTCTCGAAGCGCAAAGCGTCGCAGTTCACGCTCGCCTCGGCCGCCATCCCCGAAACCCCAACCGGCCTCGTCGACGGCGTCACCCCGGCCAAGACGCTGTCCAAGGGCGTCATCCTCAACAAGGCCAACGAGTACATCGACTACCTGCGCTTTGCGCGCGAGAGCCGCGACGCCGACATCGAGCTCCTCAAGACCATGGTCCGCGACATGGTCGGCGGCGGCGACGCGCTCGTCGCCGAGTTTGAGCGCCGCCGCGAGGTCCTCGAGGTGACGCGCGCCGAGGAGCGCGAGCAGCGTGCGCGGGACGAGCAGGACGAGGACGGCTCGGGCGGCGACGAGGAGGACGACGAGGACGAGGCGCCGGCGCCGGCGGCCAAGGCGCCCAAGGCCGCCCTGACGGCGGGCACCAAGCGCGGCCGCAAGGCGGATGCGCCCTCTGCGGCTGCCGCACCGGCCAAGAAGGCTCGCGGGCGCGGCGGTGCCCCCGTCGCGAGCTCGGCGTCGGGCCTGTCGCCGCCGCTCACGGAAGAGTACCGCCACGTCCATGCGCACAACCAGGCCCACCTCGACTCGCTCGCCGGCCGCGCGCAGAACGTCTTCCCGCCGTCGCCCGTCTCGTCGGGCGACGAGCTGTCGGTCTCGCCCGGCGCCGTCATGGGCCAGCACGGCGCGGCGTCGGCCAACGGCCGGGTCCTCCTCGCGTCGTTTATGGGCGTCAGCTTTGCCGGCGGCCTCGGGTACGACCTCGTCGGCTCGGCTGTCGTCGCCGAGGAGTCGATCGGCGCTGCGGCGGCGCGCGTCCTCACCGGGAGGATCGTGCGCCGCTCGGGCGCCGGCAACGCGACCGACTTCCCGCTCGAGGTCACGCTCGCCGACCGCCTGCACCCGTCGCTCGTCAGCGGCCTCGTCGCGCTCGGCGCAGCCACCTTCCTCGCCACCGTCGTCTACCTCGTCCTCCCCCTCTTCTCTCCCCGCTCGTCGCCGCCGGCCGCCGCCGGGCCCTCACCTCGAGCCCGCCGTCGCGCCCAGGCGGTCGCAGCCCTGACGGCGCTCTCGACCACGTCCGCCACCGCCGACAGCTCGTACGCGAGTGGCCGGGCGTCGGCGCTCGCAGCGCGCCGCGAGCTCCTCCGCATCGTCGACGCGCCCGGGCCACTCGGCCTGCCCGTCGCGCTCGCCAAGGAGGCCCTCGTGTGGGTCGCGAGGAGGGTCACGGGCCTGACGTGGTCGAAGGACGGAGCGGGTCCGAGCGAGGAGGACGTCGAGGAGGCTGTTGCCTGGGTCCGCGTCGCCGAGATCGAGGCGACCGTCGGTGCGTCCCCTGCTCACCTCGTCCTTCTTCTCGCGCTCAACATGCACTGACACATTTCTCTGCCTCGCAGGTGATCGTCTCGCCCGTCCTGCGCGCCTCTACACCTTCCTCCGCCTGTGCAACCTCTCGCGCTCGCCCGCCTGGCCGCAAGTCTCGCCCTCGACGACGCACTCGGCCGTCGACGCCCTCCTCGCCATCCACCTCCTCTCGCTCGGCCACGCCCGCTGGGCCGAGGCGCGCTGGCAGCGCATGGCGGCGCGCCGCAAGAAGGTTGACGCGCCCGAGGGCGACTCGTTCGTCGACCTCGCGCTCGCGAGCGAGTGGGCCACCGTCGCCGGCCTGCTCGCGCCCGAGTCGAGGTCCGTCAAGCAGGCCGACGAGGCGTCGGCGTCGAGCGACACGGTGCCGCTCCTCGTCGTCGCCGAGGACGCGTGCCACGACGCGATGAAGGACGCGTGGTCGACCATCTTTGTCGCCGTCGCAGGCTCGACCGCGTCGTCGTCGTCGTCGCCGCCGACAGCAGAGGCTGCCGCAGAGTCGCTCGCCAGCCTAGCCGACGCCGATGAGACGGCCGGCGTCGTGTACCGGGCCATGCCCGAGGGCACGGACCTCCGCAACCTCGCCCTTGTCACCAAGGTCTTCCTGTCGTGCTACCGCGCCGGCACCTACCCGTCGACATCGTCGTCATTGCCGTCGTCGTCGCCCTCGTCGACGGCAGGTGACCTCGCCGAGGCGCGCACGCTCCTCGCGCAGCTCGTCCTCGGGTCCAAGGACGCGCTCTCGCGCCTCGCATGCGCCGCGCCCCTCCTCCGCCTAATCGCGCCCGCCCTCACCGGCCCCATCAGCACCGCCCTGTCGACGTTCCTCACCTCGCCGACCGAGCACCCCTCGTCTGACGTCGACCTCCTCGCGACCGTCACCCTCTCGTGGCTCCTCGTCCGCCGCCAGGGCGCCTACGTCGAGCCGACGACCTCGAGCGGCGACAACGACGACGTCAAGGTCGCACTCAAGCCGAACCCGGCCCTGCACGCCGAGACGCTCTCGCTCCGCCGCCTCCTCGGCAGCGACCTCTTCCAGGCGCGCGAGCACGAGCACGACGCCGACGAGCTTGTCGAGGACGACGAGGTCGTGAGCCGCGTCGAGGACGCCAAGGAGCTCCTCGTTGACGCCCTGACGGGCATCTCGCGGCGGGCGGCCGGCCTCGCGAGCATGCTCGACGAGGACTCGGGCGTCGAGCTCGAGGCGTGAGCGACGCGCGCGCACCTGTACCACTCTGTCCTTGGCTTTCCCCTCGTCTCTATTTCGTAGGACACTTGTCGCTTGTAAAGTTTCCAGGCCCCTTTCGTGCGCGAGCAGGAGGACGTCGAGAGAGGGCCGTCCGCCGAGGTTCCGGTGCGAGCGAGAGCTCCCTCTCTGCGCTCGAGCTTGTTCCGCCGCCGCCGAGTCGCGAGGTGCCACTGGCTTGAGCTGTGTGCACGCTCAGCGACGACGGCCGGGGCGGATCGAGCCTGCGATGAGGCGCGCCGCTCTCGAGGGAGGGAGCCAGCAGGCAGCTCGCGTTCGACGCTCTCGAGGACAGCACGACCGAGAGGGAAGGGGTGCGGCTTGCAAAGCGGTATGGGCGTACAAACAACAAGGAGACATGACCGAGAAGAGTGCTCAATGCGACGCCGACGTCCCCTCCTGCGCCTCCTCCTCAACAGGTTCGTCTCGACCATCGTCCTGCTCACGCTCCTGCTCCTGCTCCTCGTCGTCCTCCACTTCTTGCTGCTCGTTCTGCGAGAAGGACGGGTGCAGCTCCTCGAGCGCCGCTGCTGTTGGGCGCTCCGAAAGGCCGACCACGAGCGGCGAGGTCGGGTCGGGCCTGAGCGCGCGGTTCATGAGGCGCTCAAAGAGGGCGAGCGTGTCTGCGCGCGCGAGATCGGGTTAGTGAGGTGACGCTGGTGGGCAGGGAGAGGGACACGCACAGTGCGCGTCGTTGCCGGCGTTGTGAAAGAGCTCGCGGTCCGTGCGCACTTGCAGCTCGGCGCAGGCCCGGTCGAGGCCGGTCCTCGGCGCTCGCCCGACCCACGCGCTGAAGAGACGCTGCGTGTCGACGACTCGAGCGACGCGCTCGTCGGCCGAGAGTGGCTCGAGCATGCGCAGGTTCGTGTGAAAGTCGCGTGCCGTGTCGAACCCGAGCAGGTCGAGTGCGCGCAGGTCGCCGCGAGGGTCGTGGAAGATGAGGAAGAGCTGCTTCTGGTACGACAGGGTGTGGATGACGGCGGCGAGCGTGTGTGATACAGGGCACGTTGGGGCAGGACGACGGTCCGACCGAACGGAAACTTGACGTTGTCGAGTGAAGAGAGCTTGCCCTGGCGCGTGTTCTCGCGCACGACTGCAGAGAGAGAAGGCCTTGTCAATAAGGGAGACACCTCGAGCATAGAGAGAGGTAACAGGGACGCACAGGCTTGTAGACCGTCTCGTCGCTCCTCGACCTTGCCCGTCTCCGAGTCGACGATGAACTCGAGCGAGCTCCAGCCGACCTCGGTCAGGTACGTCGCACGCTTTTCGGCCCTCCACTCGAGGTCGATCGACAGGAAGGCGGCGCTGCCGTGCTGCACGGCGTGCGCGTAGGCGAAACGCATCGCCTCGAGGTCAAAGTGTCTCGAGGCGACCCGGCTCGCCTCCTTGACGACCTCGTAGTACTTGAGCGGCAGGTGACGAGTAGGAGCGTCTGGCGCTCGACTAGTTGAGCGCTCATCGACGGCGACATCGGCGTCGAGGACGTCGGCGAGGCCATCGGCGGCCGGTTCGACAAGGCCGTCTGGAACAGTGTCGTCGAGAACAGGCGACACCGTCGACAGGCCTGCTGCCGATGAGCTCGAAGACGTCGGTCGAGATGTGGAAGAGGAGGAGGATGCCGCAGGAGGAGCTGTCGCCGACGACGGGTTCTTGGCGGACAGGTCCGTGCCCGGCTCGACGACCGGCGCTGAAGGCTCGTCGCTGTCCTGCAAACGCCGCAATGCCGCTCGTTTGAGCGCGTTGCGGCGGCGCAGACCTCCGAGGACGCTGGAGAACGTCTTGTCGGCGACGAGGATGGGTCGACCACTGGCGAGACCTGGGTTCTTGAGGCCGGACGAGAGCGACAGCTTGGGCATTCGAGCCGCGCTCGCTCGTCCAGAGCTGACGAGATAGTCCTCCACCCGAGCGATCTGCACGTGGCTGACGCCCAGATAAGAGAGACCGTCCTCGTTGCGGCGCTCGACCATCTTGAACGGCGGTGCGCCCTTGGGCAACCAGGTCGACGGCCTGTAGAGCTTGAGGTCGCGCAGGTGGAAGGTATTGCGGAGCGCAAACAGGTACCGGCTGACTGTGCGTGCGGGAAGTCAGGTGGGGGCGAACACCAGGCGCCAAAGAGGAGCGGACGTACAACATAACCAGCGAAAGAGGCCGGCACCTCGCGCTCGCCGCCATGCCCACTCGTCGACCTTGACCGCCTTCTCGACATGCTCGACCGTCGCCGTGGACGTAGCTGCTGCCGGTACAGGAGAGCTTGACGGCGACGAGAAGGCGGAGGAGGAGGCGGTCGTCTCGACGACCTCGTCCTGCTCGACGACGACGCTCGGCGCCGCGAGTCGACTCGCCGGCTCGTAGATGTACCGCTCAGGTGCTGACAGGCGCTTGAGCTCGACAACTGGGCCGGTCGCGGAGCTGCAGGAGCGGTTTGAGGCGACGGCGGCGACGAGCGACCGGGCGGCGAGGCCGTGGCTCGCTGCGCGTCGACAGGGCGCGAGCAGGCGCAGCAGCATCGCAGCCAGTCGGCAGGCGAGCGTGCGTGTAGCGTGCAAGCTGTGCGAGAGAGCGAGGAGAGCGAGCAGGGACGAGCCGAACCAGCTTACCCCGCTTCTCCAGGTCCTTTGTCGTCGCATCTCGGCCCGGCGCCGGCGGAGCGCTGGTCTCGCAAAATGACGGCGACGCCCTGCTTGAGAGTACATACAACACGCCCTACTACAGCACCACCTCGCACCTCGTCCAGACGAGCTGCGCTCGGCCAGACGCAACGACCCTCTCCCCGCTCGAGCCTCCTCGCTCGCGCTCATGCTGGCGGCACTCCCTCTGCTGCGGCCGCCGCCTCCTGCTGCGCCGCCGCCATGCGCCGCTTGATAAACTCGCTGCGGGCGCAAAAGAGAGAGAGTCAGTATGCGTCGGCGAGTTCGTCCGCGCTCACGCGCCCGACCACCTCGACGAGACGAGGAGGGAGGGAGAGCGAGAGGACGCAGCGCGACGCACCGGACCTGGAGGTGCCCGTCGGCCGTGACAAACACCTTGCGCATGCGCGGCTCGTCAAACACGATGGCGCCGATCTCGCGCGCATAGTTGACGACGAGCTCGTAGTCGTGCGTCGACGAAAAGTCGTCGTACAGGAACCCTGTTTTTGCGGCGAGGGAGGGCGAGCGACGTCAGGGGGTCGTTGCGCGCTGAGGAGGCGAGAGAGAGACGAGGAAGGAGGAAGGGCGGGACGCACCGTCGGTCGTCTGGATGCGGCGCCGCTCGTGCTCCCACAGGCGGATCTGGTCGACGACCGTTGTCGGGAGGAGCTTGTCGTCATTGCCGGCGTGGGCCCGCATCTGCGGGTGCGCACGAGAAGAGAGGTACGAGATGATCTGCTCGAGAGTGAGGCAGAGAGTCAGTCTCGGTCGGCCAGAGAGCAACGTCGGCAAGAGAGAAAGGGCGGCACGCCGACGCACCTGGTTCGCCGTGATGCCGTTGGCGAGGCCCTCGCGAATGCTCTCGCGCGTGATGTGGCCCGTGACAAAGTTGGCAAAGCGCGTCTTGAGGTGGGCAAACAGGCCGAGGACCGAGATCTGGAGCGGGTTCGACGTGTAGGCGTACAGCTTGTAGTTGGTCTCGAGCACGATGAAGCCCTTTTCCTCGTTCGTGTGACGCGACGAGACGAGGGGAGGTGCGGACGAGGTGAGGGTTGTCGCGAGGCGGGTCGGGTAGAAGAGGGACGAGCGCGGCTGTTAAGGTGGTCGTCATGAGCGCGCCGTTTGGGCTGTCGAGGGAGGGAGCGAGGACGCACATCGGGGTAGTAGACAAGCCCGTACTCGGCGAGGTCCTGCAGGACGCCGAGCTGTGCCCGACTCAGGCTGTCGGTGAGGTAGGCCTGCGAGGGACAGGACGATGTCAGGATCGACCGTTGGGCGAGAGAGAGAGAGCGGCGCCGACGCACCCGTCCCAGCTCGAGAGAACTGAGCATGAAGAGGAAGCCGATCGTCTCGACGAGGTCCTGTGGCGGGCGAGAGAAAGAGTCAGTTTCGAGGCTCGTCGACAAAGAAAGGCGATGGGGCGCACCTGAGACTCGTCGAGGTAGACGAGGAGCAGGTCCCACAGCTGCGTGTTGACGTCCTCGAGAAGGAACTGGAAGCCCTTGGACGTGATGCGCATCTTGCGGAGCGAGGCGGTCCTGCGTGGGTGGTGGCGAGAGGGTCAGTCCCGGGCCGGCAGGATGAGGGAAAGGGAAGCGAGGACGCACGTCGACAACATGAGGCCGCTCTTGGCCAGCAGACCGAGGACCTTGTCGCCAGGCTTCTTGGCGCCCGACTCGGACCCGACCATGAAGTGCTGGATCGTCTGCTCGATAAAAAGGGCCGGGTCAGGCTCGCCCTTTCGATGGTCGACAGAGTGGGACGGGCACGACGCACCTCCCACTGCGTCTCGGCGTACGTGTCGAGGTACTGCACCGTGATCTCGTCGTCTTGCACCGTCGCCGCTGCACCGAACGAGCCCTTCTTGCCGCTGCAGGCGAGGAGGACATGGTGAGCGCTCGACTCGAGGGCGAGACGTGCGACGAGGGGAGGGGTTGGACGCACCCGCCAGTGAGCGCGAGCTTGAAGCTGTCCCGGAAGCCCTCGCTCATGTCGAGAATGGCGTCGTCGCTCAAGGCGCTTGAAGGGTGAGCGCCTCGCGGCGAGAGGATGTGCAGGTGGAAGAGGGCCGACAGGGTCGCCGTCAGGTGCCTGCGCGTGGGGGGCCGCAGTCAGCTCACCTGGTCATCTTGGCCGCCTCCACAGGCGTGCACAGCCCCGGCAAGGACCCGCAGGAGGAGGAGAGTGGACGCACCGTCGCTCGCCCTTGTCGCCGCCCTCGCTCTTGCGCTCGCGGACCCACAGGGCGACGTCGCGCACTCGCACGAGCTCGTCGTACCATAGCATGTTGAGCACGACATGCCTCGCCGTGACGGGGAGGATCCTGGAGGTGTCATCAGTGCGAGGTGGGGAGGAGGTCGAGAGAGGGTCAATACTCGCTCGTTGGGGCTGCGCGCGCATGCGAGAGGGAGAAGAGTGTTGAGGAACGCACCGGAAGATGGACAGGCAGCTCGCCGGCGCGGCGTAGAGTCGGCCAAACTGGGCGGAGGACAATCTGTCGAGGAAGGAGGTGACCAGGGGCGACTCGGGTGGAGCGTCTGCACCGCCAGTGCCGCCGTTCAAGGCAGCCATGGCACGTGCACCCAGTCGTGGGGGCCGGGGAGAGCGGTGGGAGAAAGCCACTCGTCGTCCGGCGTCGGCGGCGGCGCCAGGAGGAGCGCTCTCTCTCTCGCTGGCGTCCTCATCTTCTGGCAGTTGCTCTCGTGCAAGGCAGTCAGAATCTCTCACTCACGGAACTGACCCGAGAAAGAAAGACAAATGTGATCTCTCGGACTCTCACGGTCGCTCTGCGAGGGCGCAACGAAAGGAACGGCAAGCGCGTCGCAGCAGAAGTGCGCCCAGCGCATCTACATAGATCTCTAGAGGTTGTGGGAAAGGTCGAACGAGACGAGGAGCCGAGGATGAGAGGCGACGAACGCAAAGTGAAGGCAAAACCATGTACGAGAGGCGGAAAGGCAAGAGGGCGAGCGAGAGTTTGTCGGCGGTGCGAGGGCGTACGCCGTTAGGCCGGGGCGCAGAAGTTGGGCAGCTCGGGGTGGTGCGACAGGAACTGGTTCCAGCCGGGAGGGCAGCCTGCGCGGCGAGACGCGGGGCGAGGAACCGAGGGTCAGTGCGCGCGACGGAATGAGACGTGCGCGACGAGCTCGAGACGCACGGAGCTTGCAGTGGCCGTAGTCGCAGTGCGGCGTGCCGACGCCGTTGTACGAGGCCGGGCACTCGAAGAAGGGCTGCAGGGAGTACGAGGACTGGTCAGGCTGCGGCTCAGGAAGGTCGAGAAGGCGAGCGTCGACGCACCCTGCCGCAGTTCTTCGGGTCAAAGTCGAGGTCGGGCCCGTTACCGTGACCGTGACCCTTGCCGTTGTTGCCCTTGCCCTTGCCCTTGCCCTTGCCCTTGCCGCGACCGTTGCCTTGCGAGTGGCCGAACGCAGAGTTGCCCTGGCGCTTGGTGAGGTTGGCCTGCTCGGCGGCGTCGCGAAGGGCGCGAACCTTGATGATGCGGGCCTCGCGAGCGTCGGCGGCTGATATGCGGGGCGAGAAAGTCAGTAATCGGGTGACTGAGAGACGAGGAGGGAGAGGAAGAGAAGGCGACGCACGTACGGCGCCAGCGACGGCGACGCTCAGGAGCGCGGCGAGAAAGACGGCGAGCGAAAGCTTGACCATGGTGGGCTCAGAGGTGACGAGGAAAGGAGGGACGAGGGGGAGGGCGAGGAGACGAGGAAGGAGAACGTGCGGCGAGGTCGGTGGGAGGGGGAAGAGGAAGAGCCGCTCGCCGCGAGACGGCGACCGCCCTCTCGCTGTTCGCGAGAAGCATCGAGCGATTGAGTGCGCGCTGCCCCGCAGCGGTCTCTAGGGTCGTTGAGCGAGGACGGGCGGAGAAGAGTCGAGGGGACGAAGACGAGTAGGTGCTAGCGCGCTTCGTCCGCCGCGCGTGGAGAACGCGATCGCGGCTTGTTCGAGCAGGCGCGAACTGTAGATAACTACAGTAGCAGGGAGAGCGGCGCACGTGTGGGCCAAAAAAAAACGAAGCGAGAAGCGGGAAAAGCAAACTCGCGCTTTGACATCGACGCGAGCGGGTCGAGCGCCGAGAGGAGAGGCGAACTTGAGAAGGACGATGCTGGCTTCGCAAGACGCGCAAGGTCTACACAGAGCTCTATGGGCCGAGTAAGAGAACGAGACGAGACAAGACGAGGAACGAGAGAGTCGTGAAGGAGGGTGGACCCAAAGAGGCGCAATCATGTGCAGGAGGAAAAAGGAAGGGGAGGAAGGACGGTGCGGCGGCGACGACGACGACGACGAGGGAGCGTGTACGCTTAGGCCGGGGCGCAGAAGCTCGGGAGCTCGGGGTTCTGCGAGTTGTAGTTGACGTAGCCGGGCGGGCAGCCTGCGTGGGGAAGGAGGAAAGGCAGAGCGAGGGTCAGTGCGGGCCGAGGACGAAAAGAGGCGGCGATGACGACGCACGGAGCGAGCAGACGCCGTACGTGCACGACGGGGTGCCAACGCCGTTGTACGAGGCGGGGCAGACGGCGCCACGCTGCGAGAGGGCGTCGAAAGCTGAGTCAGGACGAGGTTCGAGGAGGGGGAGGAGGACAAGGCGAACGTCGACGCACGCTGCCGCAGTTGTACGGGTCGAACTGGAAGGGGGGAGGGACGCCGCCGTTGCCGTTGCCGTTACCGTTGCCGTTGTTCCCGTTGCCGTTGTTGCTGCCGTTGTTGCCGTTCCCGTTGCCGTTCCCGCTGTTGCCGTTGCCGTTCCCATTGCCCGCGTTGCCGTTGCCATTGCCGTTGCCCGAGTTGTTGTTGCCGTTGCCGTTGCCGTTGTTGCCATTGCCGTTGCCGTTGCCGCGGCCGTTGCCCTGCGAGTGGCCAAAGGCCGAGTTGCCCTGGCGCTTCACGAGGTTGGCCTGCTCGGCGGCCTCGCGCAGCGCACGGACCTTGACGATGCGGGCCTCGCGAGCGTCGTACGCTGTCGAGAGAATCGACGAGAGGCGTCAGGGACGGGCTCGAGCGAGGAGGGAGAGGGAGAGAGGGAGAGAGACGAGGGGACGCACGGACGGCGCTGGCGATTGCGACGCTCAGCAGGGCGGCGAGGAAGACGGCGAGGGAGATCTTGACCATGTTGAGCTGTAGGACGGCGAGGGGTGAGGGTCGAGGAAGGTAGACGAGGTGGAGGTTGGCGGGAAAGAGAGGGAGCGAGAGGTCGGGGTGCTGCAGGACCGTTGACGACCCTGTGTGCGCGGCGTGAGAAGCATCCTTCGATGGAGAGTCTGCTGCCCGACAGGTTTCGGGGCTCTGTGCGAGTGTTGCGACCTTCGACGCCGGCCGGCAGGGCGAAAGAATCCGAGCCTTGACTAGCGCAAAGGCGCTCGAGGCGAGAAGCGATCGGGCCTTGTCCGAGAAGCGCAGGAAACGAGCGTCGGACAGGTTCGAGCACAGGCGCTGAAGGAAAGGCAGAGATCGCGCTCGTCGAAGGTGGCTCCAGCTCGCGTCGGCGTCGACCGCGGCGGGAAGGTCGAGGTCGAGAGGGAGCCAACCACTGACGCCGTCTGCGCAGCGAGATTGAGGGGGAGCGAGCGCAAGCCAATACACGCTTCGACCCAGCGACGAGGGTTCTGCGTGCGAGCTCTGCTGGACGGTGCGAGAGCTCCGCCTCGAGGACTTGGGCAAGCTGCGGCGCTCGTAGAAGCCTCGAGCGCGCGCTTTGGACGCAGCTGTGCGAGGCGGGGCCGGCAAACTGGAAGGCGGACGCGCTCGACGCCGCGCGCTCGACGAGGTTGGACGAGAAGACGGCGACCATCGGCGTTTGCGCGCGAGCGGAGCTGGCGAGCCCTGCAGCGCCTGAGGCGGGCCGTCGTCGAGCCGCAGGGCGCCGGGAAGAAGGCGACGCGCTACGGCGCGAACGCGCTACAGCTTAGGGCACGTCCGCAGCCGCCGCGCGCGGCTTCTCCATGCGCTCGCGGCATGCGGGGAGGCGGCCGCAGCCCTTCGAGCGGGGTCGAGGAGGGATGCGGAGTGTGGGAACGGCGGCGTCGCGCGGCGAGCTGCCGGTGAAGCTGAGCGGCGGAGCGGTCGACCAGGTTGCCGTCCTTGCTGCTGCAGCACGTGCACGAGCTGCCCCGTCGTCGTCGGAGCAGGAGGACGACGACCCGCCCCCACTCGCGACGGAGGAGGCGACTGGCGAAGCTGCCGTCTCTCCCCCCCACTCAGGCCGTGCTACAGCCAGTGCAACTTGCTCTACTCGCTCCAGCCTGTCCACCCGTCCAACTCGCAGCCGCCGCCCTGCTGTCCTCGTCGACGGTCTTCATCTCGAAACCTCGTCATCTCCATCTCCCCTCCTCAGCAACCAGGCGAGTCCCAGACCTGTTCAGCCACTCGGTAGCGCAAGGGACAGTCTCGGGGAGACCTGGCAGAGCTAACCCGTTCGCATCCCTCGCAGTTGCCGACCTCCTCGTCGAACCTCCCCCGCTCTGCTCCCGACTCGTCCCTCGCCTGATCCTCGCCAGCCAGACCATGGCCGCCACGCAGAAGCGCCTCATCCTCCTCGGCGCGACCGGCGAGACAGGCCGCCAAGCTCTCGCCGCCGCCCTCGCCGACGCCCGCATCTCGACCGTTCTCACGCTCGGCCGCACCGCGCCGCCCGTTCCCGCCCACCACAAGCTCCGCCACGAGTCGCTCGACTTTGAGGCCCTCCTGAGCGAGGGCACGGCGGGCGGGCCCGAGACGGCCAAGCTGCGCGACGCCGACGCCGACGCCGTCCTCATCGCGCTCGGCACGACGCGCGCCAACGCCGGCAGCGCAGAGCGCTTCGAGCGCATCGACCGCGAGTACGTCCTGGCGGCGGCAAGGGCGGCGCGCAAGGAGGGCAAGGAGCAGTCGGTCGTCTACGTCTCGGTCCGTCCCCTCTTTCTCTCGCCGACCTGGCTCTCGCCGACCGTCGTCGCGGTCGGCCTCGTGCACGTGCAGCGACTGATACTCTGCCTGCGCATACAGTCCAAGAGCGCCGACTCGTCGTCGTTCTTCCCCTACTCGAAGTCGAAGGGCCTCACGGAGGAGGGCTTGGCCGCGCTGGGCTATGCACGAGCAGTGATCGCCAGGCCGGGCGTCCTGCTTGCGCCGGGTGGGCGAGGCGAGCGGCGCATCCCTGAGCAGGTGGCTGTGTGAGTCGATCCCGTCCTCGGAGCCGAACCTCTCTCTCTCTCTCTCTCCTTCCCTCCTCCTTGTCACTCGTCGACTGACTCTTTGCCTCGCTCCGCCTCTCGCGCCCACCATCCTCTCGTTCGCCGTCTCCCACACCCCCATCCACGTCGACTCGCAGTGCCCTCGTCCCTCGCCTTCCCTTCATCGGCTCGTCGCTCTCCATCTCGACCGTCACGCTCGGCCGCGCCCTCGTCAACGCCTGCCTGTCGACCGCACCGCTCGGGCACCAGGAGACGCTCGCCGGCCACCCTGCGACGATCCTCGACAACAACGACGCTCGCGCGCTCGGTGAGGCCGCTTGAGCCTCGTCTCTCCCTCTCGTCGACGATGCGCTCCTCTCCCTCGTCATTTTTTGTTCTCTCGCCGGTCGCGGGTTCGTAATCTCAGTTTCTCGAGCACGTCAGTGGCGACGAGCGGTTCGCGCGAGAGAGGGCCGTGGAGTTGCAGCGAGCGGAGGCGTCGCCAAGAACGACGCCGAAACCGCCAAGCGAGAGCGATCGACGCCGCCGGCCCGCTGCCGCACGTGCCGGGCGAGGCGTGTGCGCCGCGGGCCGGAGCCCGCTCGGTTCGCGCGCACGGGCCGCTTCGTTTCTCATCTCGTGCTTGCTGCAGCGCGTGCAGAGTGGCCAGGAGCTCGCGGGACAGCCTTCAGGAGAGAGCGCGAGTGCAGAGATGGAAGGTACGACAGGCGCGGCAAGGCGCGGAGTTCGAAGTCGAGAGCCCGGTCTTGGCGAGGGTCGACCCTCCTTGGTTCGGCGCCGTCATGCAGCTCCGCTCGCGCTGCAGGGGAAGACGCTCGGCCTCGCTGCCTGCTTCTGGGCTTGGCACGATAGCCTTGCCCCCACGGCAAGCCAGCCTCGCGCGACGCTCGCGTCCGGCCGCCGACAGCTTCTTCCTCCTCCTCCTCGCTCATCGCGCACCAGCTCTACCACCCCACCAGAGCTCCGACACGCACCTAGAGCTCTACCTACAGCACTACAGCACCCTATCTACACCCACCCGCAACCACCAGCAGCACCTCTCGACTTTCGCATGCCTGCATCCGCCTCGAACGGCAAAGCGCCCGCCGCCGATGAGAAGCTAAGCCCGAGCATGTCGGGCCAGACGGCGACCGAGACGTTCTGGTTCGCGCTCAAGGCCAAGGAGGTCGCCGCGCGCGTCGAGACGTCGCTCGACGACGGCCTCACCAAGTCCGACGCCGACTCGCGCCTCAAGCGCGACGGGCCCAACGAGCTCCAGGGCGGCGGCGGCGTCTCGCCGTGGAAGATCCTCGCCGGCCAGGTCTGCAGTGCGTCCCCTCCCCTCTCTCTTTGTCGCCGCAGGCGCAGAAACTGACCTCGCCGGCCCGCCCGTCCCCCTCCTCCTCCTTCTCGACCTCCTCCTCCTCTTCTACCTGCAGACGCGATGGTTCTAGTCTTAGTCGCGTGTGCGGTGGTATCGCTCGGTGAGCCTGCGCAGCCGCTATCGTCGTCGGAGCACTCGGCGGCGAGCTGACCTCGTCTTCCTCCTCGCACAGCCATCAAGTCGTGGATCGAGGGCGGCGTCATCATTGCCGTCATCGCCATCAACGTCGGCGTGGGCTTCTTCCAAGAATTCAGCTCGTGAGCCCCCTTCCTCTCTATCCTCCCCGCCGACAGCGACGCCGAACTGACCCGAAACCCGCCCGCAGCGCCAAGACGATGGACTCGCTCCGCTCGCTCGCCTCGCCCAACGCTCACGTCATTCGCGACTCCAAGATCATCACGGTCCCGTCGCCGACAGTCGTCGTCGGCGACATCGTCGAGGTCAAGACGGGCGACACGATCCCGGCCGACCTGCGCCTGTTCGAGACCGTCAACGTGCGTCTCGCTGCTTCTCTCCTCTCGAGTACGGCGTCTGACCTTCGTCCACGTACACAGTTCGAGACCGACGAGGCGCTTCTCACCGGCGAGTCGCTCCCTGTCGCCAAGGACGCCGAGGCGAGCTGGGAGGAGGAGACCAAGGGCGGCAACTTCGACCTTCGCGACGTCGGCGTTGGCGGTGCGTCTGCCTCTCTCTGTCTCGCGAGACCTATCTACGACACGACCTGACTCACATACTCCCCTGCAGACCGCATCACCATGGCCTACTCGTCGAGCACCGTCACCAAGGGCCGCGCCAAGGGCGTCGTCGTCGCGACCGGCATGAACACGTCCATCGGCGCTATCGCCGAGTCGCTTCGCGGCGGCGACTCCAAGGTCCGCAAGGTTCGCCGCAACGAGGACGGCAAGGCGCCGTGGCACCGGTACCCGGCGGCGTGGGCCCTCACGACCTGGGACATCATTGGCCAGTTCCTCGGCACCAACGTCGGCACGCCCCTGCAGCGCACCCTGTCGTGGCTCGCCATCTCGCTCTTCGGCATCGGTTGCGTCTTTGCGCTGTTCTGCTTCGCCGCCAACGACTTCCAGGGCAAGAACGAGATCATCCTGTGCGTCCTCTCCCTCCTCCTCCTCCTCCTCTCCCTCGAGCGGTCCTCCTGACGCGTCTGCGCCCTCGACCTGCAGGTACGCCATCGCGACCGCCCTGTCCATGATCCCGGCCTCGCTCGTCGTCGTCCTCACCATCACGCTCGCCGGCGGCACCAAGGCCATGGTCGCCCGCAATGTCATCGTCCGCAAGCTCGACTCGCTCGAGGCCCTCGGCGCCGTCACCGACATCTGCTCCGACAAGACTGGCACGCTCACGCAGGGTGAGTCTCTCCTCGTCTCTCTCGTTCTCGACCTCGGCCAAAACCTGACCTTCCCAAACTCGTTCGCAGGCAAGATGGTCGTTCGCGCGGCCTGGCTCCCCGCTCGTGGCACCATCTACGTCGGCGAGTCGCCCGAGCCGTTTAACCCGACCATCGCCGAGCTCTCGCACTCGCCCATCTCGCCCGCCGAGTCGGCCGCCGCCGCCGACGCCAAGAAGTCGGACGGCGAGACGACCGAGGCCGCCGAGGCGTCGCAGGAGCCCAAGAAGCAGTCGCGCCCGCAGCCCAAGGGCCCGTCCGACCTCCTCAAGGACGGCGGCGAGCCGCTGTCGACGTTCCTCAACGTCGCGAGCATGTGCAGCACGGCCAAGGTCTTCAAGAAGGACGGCGAGGGCTGGACCGCCCGAGGCGACCCAACCGAGTGCGCCATCCAGACGCTCGCGCACCGCTTCGACTGGGGCCGCGAGCGCTGGGTCGAGGGTGACTCGCCCGACTGGCGTACGTCCTCGCTTTCCCTCCTCAGCCCGTCCGAGCCCGTCCTGACTCTCTCTCTGCCCCTCCCCTGCGCAGACCTCATGTACGAGGCGCCCTTCGACAGCGACGTCAAGCGCATGAGCACGCTCTACGTCCGCAAGAGCGACGAGTGCGTCCTCATTCCCCTCGCGCTCGAGCCCCTCGACCGATCCCGAGAACTGACCTTCTCAAACCGCCGACTCGCAGGAAGCAGTTCGTCTTCATGAAGGGCGCTGTCGAGCGCCTCATCGAGGTGTGCGACACGATCGAGACGGCCGAGGGCCCCAAGCCGATCGACGACAAGACGCAGGAGGAGATCTTCGCCAACGTCGAGGCGCTCGCCGAGCAGGGTCTTCGTGTCCTCGCCCTCGCCGCCAAGCCGTTCGCCGGCCCGTCGACGTCGAACGGCGACTACGACCGCACCGAGCTCGAGAAGGGCATGACCCTGTTCGGCCTCGTCGGCCTGTACGACCCGCCTCGTCCCGAGACCAAGGGTGCCGTCCGCCAGTGCCACGGCGCCGGCGTCCAGGTCCACATGCTCACGGGCGACCACGCCGCCACCGCTCGCGCCATCGCCCTCCAGGTCGGCATCCTCCCGCGTCAGGTCAACACGATGAGCAAGGAGGCCGTCGACGCCATGGTCATGACGGCCGCCCAGTTCGACCGCCTCTCGGACGACCAGGTCGACGAGCTCCCGATGCTCCCCCTCGTCATCGCTCGTTGTGCGCCGCACACCAAGGTCCGCATGGTCGAGGCGCTTCACCGTCGCAAGGCGTTCGTGGCCATGACCGGTGACGGCGGTGCGTCCTCCTCCTCCTCCTCCCTCTCCCGCCCTCCGGACCCGACCCTGACGCCTCTCCCGCACACAGTCAACGACTCGCCCTCGCTCAAGCGCTCGGACGTCGGCATCGCCATGGGCCAGAACGGCTCGGACGTCGCCAAGGACGCGTCCGACATCGTCCTCGCCGACGACAACTTTGCCTCGATCCTCGCCGCCGTCGAGGAGGGTCGTCGCATGTTTACCAACATCCAGAAGTTCGTCCTGCACCTGCTCGCCGGCAACGTCATGCAGGCGCTCGTCCTCCTCATCGGCCTCGCGTTCAAGGACGACGACAACCTGTCGGTCTTCCCGCTCGCGCCCGTTGAGATCCTGTGGGTCATCATGATCACGTCGTCGTTCCCGGCCATGGGCCTCGGCGCCGAGAAGGCCGACCCGGACATCCTCACGCGCAAGCCGCACAACCTCAAGATGGGCGTCTTTGCTCCCGAGGTCCTCCTCGACATCCTCGTGTACGGCATCATCGGCGCCGCCGTCGACATTGGCACGTTCGCCGTCATCGTCTTTGGCTTCGGCGACGGCAACCTCGGCCGAGACTCGAACAACACCATCAACGGCGACCCGGGCTCGCGCCTCGTCTTCCGCGCCCGCTCGGCGACCTGGGCGACCATGGTCTTCTGCCTCCTGTTCCTCGCCCTCGAGATGATGGACCTGCGTCGCTCGTTCTTCCACATGGGTCGTCCGGGCACCGAGAAGCGGTGCGTCGGCGACGTCCTCCTCCTCCTTCCTCGCCTCCTCCTCGCGCCGGTACTGACTCTGCCTTCCGCACCTCAGTCCGTACACGCAATGGGCTCACGACGTCTGGGGCAACCAGTTCCTGTTCTGGAGCGTCGTCATCGGCTTCCTCATCACCTTCCCGTGCGTCCACCTCCTCCTCCTCCTCCTCGACGTCCCCTGCCTGACCCTGGACCTCCCCGAGCAGTCTCGTATATATCCCAACTCTAAACACAGTCGTGTTCAAACACGATTCGTGCTCCTGGGAGTGGATTGTCGCGTTTGTCGCCACGTTGCTGTTCTGCGGCGCGGTCGAATTTTGGAAGTTCCTCAAGCGCGCGTGGTACAGAAAACAGCACGCCGCGCACCCGGAGCAAGACGACGGCTTCACCGGGGTCTTCTCTGCGTGGAAGACCATCGGCGCCGACACGACCCAAGATCCCGCGCACTTCGCCTGAGCCCTCGTATCTTCTTCTTCCTCCCTCTCGCGCTCTCTTCCTCCCTCCTCCTCTCCTTGCCCTCTACTCCCGATGCCCTCCTCGGTCCTCCTCCTCGTACACCCCGCGTCCTCTCTGTGCACCACATGTTGTACCCCTCCTCGTAGAACGTTGTCTAGCTCCTCGCACGGCCCTCGCAAAGCACTCGTTCGACCTTCTCTCTCTCTCGTTCAAGCGAGAGAGCTTTCGCGAGACAGTCGACCGTACAGAATGATGTCGAGCCGCTACTGTGCAACGCCGGCTCGCTCGGAGCCACGGCCGTCGACTTGAGAAGGCCGGATCCTCGACGAGGGCCCGAGAGCGAGACGCTCGAGAGCACGGTCGAAGCACTCTCCCTTCCTCTCTCCTTGCGAGCACCCGAGTAACGTTAAGGAGACCAAAAGGGCTTGCGCCGAGCTACCAAAGTGGCAAAGGGAGAAAAGGTGCGAGGGCAAAAGCGCACGACGAGTCTGGCAGAGAGAGAGAGAGAGAGAGAGGGGAACGAGGACTTGCCGACTCGACCGGGGTTGCGGTTGCGAGGTCGGACGGCGGGGTACTGACACGAGAGAGATATCCAGAAGGACGAGAACGACGACCACGACGACAAAAAGGAGCCAAGGAAGGAAGAAGGTGAGGGCGACGGCGGGAGGAGGAGAGAGGCGGGTATGTCGAGAAGGGCGAGAGGAAGACGAGGACGGGGTGGGAGGGGTCGGTCCAGCCGACCGGGGCTCAGGGCTTGACCTGCGACGGCAGCCGTACCGAGTCAGGTCTGCGACGTCGCGCTGACGAAAGTGAAAGGCGGGCGCACCGTTTACTCGGTCGACTGGGCCTCCTCCTCCTCGTCGTCATCGACGAACGACTCCTTGTTCGAGTCGTTAGTCTCGTCGTCCGTGTCGACGACGAACGCCTTCTTGCCGTGCGACGTCGGGCGGCTCGTGCCGCGACGCGGCGCGCGCTCGTTGCTGCCGACGCTCGTCGGGCGCCCGTTCGACGAGCGCGAGGTGGACGCGACGGCGTTTGTGACGCCAAAGAACGACGCCAACGTGCCGCACGAGGCGTTGGTCGCACCGCCCTTGCCCTGGCCCTTGACCTTCGACGACGACGACGACGACGACTTCTTGCCCGCGACCCTCGACGACGACGCCGAGCCGCCCTTGCCGTTGACGCCCTGCTCGACCGCGCTCGGCGTGCCAAAACCTCCTCCACGCTGGCGGTCGCCCGTCGAGGCGGCGACGTCGTTTTTCTGCTTCTTCGAGACGCTCGTCTGCTTCGAGGCGCTCGCCTCGGCGATCTCGCGCGCGCGCTTGGCCGAGTTGCCCGGGTCCGGCAGCGTCTCGTCGACCTGCATCGCGTTGTCGTCACCGTGCGCGGCCGAGCTGCCGTCGAGCGCCTGCTGCTGCTGCTTCTGCTGCTGCTGGAACGCGAGGTTGGCGGCGCGGTACTCGGTGGCGTCGTTGAACATGCCCTTGATGGTGACGGCCATCTTCTCCTTGACGACCGTGTCGTCGACGCGAGCGTAACCGGCCTCGATCGTTGCGATGACCTGCGAGAGGGGATACAAGCCGTGTCAGTCCTCGCGAACCTGAGGAGATTGGGTCGAAAAGAAGGCGCACCTGCTCGGTCGTGAGCTGGTGGTCGTTCTTGTCGAGGTCCTCGATGCCCTGCAGGCCGTCGCGCTTCTTGGCGGCGCCAGAGAAGTCGAACGGGCCGCCCTGCGAGTGCGCGAGGTCAGTCTGACGATCTGAGGTGCGTGGGACTTGCGCATGGACGTGAGCTCACCGCCTGGCGGTCGAGAAGCTGCTCGAGCTCGCGACGCTGTCCTGCGTCCAGGTTGGTGACGGCCTTGAGCTCCTCCTTCTGGTCGACGGGCTCTGACGGCGTGAAGGAAGAGGTCAGCTCTCGCGCTTGAGGAACGCCGGTGCCAGATATCGAGTGGGAGGTGGACGTACGACTCGTCTTGGCCTTCTCGATGACGGCGCGCAGCTGCGCAAGCTGCTCGGGCGTGAGGATGCCCTCGTGGTCGAGCTCGGCGGCGAGGTCCTCGCACGGGAAGAGGTTCTCCATGTTCGTGTACAGGCCACCTGTGTCCCAAATCGGCGAGACTGTCAGTATGGACGCATCTTGAGATCTCGAGGGAGGCTGAGAGGAGGGAAAGGGACGACGGACGCGAGAAAGACGAGAGGTGCATCACGTTGACGCACGCCTTCCAGAGCCGGTACGCCTTGCTCTTGTCGCCCATGATCTTGACGAGCGCCTCGGGCTTGCTCACGCGGAACAGGTAGACCTCGCCCTCGCCTGTCGCGGGAAGAGGGGGGAAGGGCGGGTCAGCGAGGCGGCTTGAAGTGGAGCACGGGGAACGCAGAGACGCACGCAGCTCGTGAGTCGGGCCCATCGTCGTCTCGGTGTAGTTGCACAGCGTAAAGAAGGCGAACACGGACGGCGTCATCGGCAGGACGCCAATGCGGATCCCCTGCGAGCGGCGACGACCTGTCAGGATGGCTCGACGACGAGGAGACGGGAGGGCAGGGACGCACCTTGCCGCCGCTGAAGTAGGTGACCCAGGTGAGCTGGATGTCTTGCTCAGGCATAGCGACGAGACGACGCGAGGCGAGGGGCGAGCGAGAGGTGCGTGTGTGGGGAGGAGGGCGACTGAGGGCCGTGGAGAGCGGCGAGGGCGGCGTGCTTTGCCGGTGCGAGTCGGTAGGGGGTGCTCTAGACGTGTAGTGAGGCTGCTCGAGCTGTCGAGGCGACTGGCTTGAGAGAGACGAGGCCCCGTCGGCGTCGCTCGCTGTCATCAGCTCGCTCGCTCCTCTCGGTCGACCACCCACCCTCGCCACCTGTAGCGAGAGACCAGCAGCGCTCTACCGCCTCAGCACCAGCTCGCCAGGGCAGCCTCGTCCTCAGCATCCTCTCGCACCGCCCTCCCACCTCCGCCCCCTCGTCGTCAATGAGCTCCCCCGGTTCGCGCTCGCCCTCGCCTGCCCTCGAGCCGTACGGCGAGAGCGACGACTTGGGCGAGGACCTCGCCTGGGCCGACAACCTGCCCGTGTTCGCCGACGCCAACCCCGACCTCGCCCCTCCCGACAAAGAGCCCGACTCTTGGCTCGCCTTCCGCGCCGAGCACGCCCGCAGCTTCTCCGACGAGACGCTCGGCCGGCGCATCGCTCAGCGACGAGCCCTCAACGTCAAGCTCCAGACCGAGCGGTGCCAGGACCCCCAGTTCCTGCAGCTCGCCGAGGACGAGTACCAGCGCATCAAGCTCGTCTTCGAGGAGGAGCTCGAGGCGGCCGATCGAGCACTCGGTCCAGACTTCCACACGCACCACAAGACGCACTGGTACGTCGGCTCTGTCTCCCTGTACTCTTTGCGCCGAGCTCACTCTTCTCGTTGTTCTGCAGGGACGCCTCGGTCCTCACGCACCCTCTTCTCGTTCGCGGCTTCTACCCGCCTGACCGCACCGATGCCGCCCTCGGATTCGACGACACCTCGATCCCGACCCTCCGCATGCTCGAGAAGCTCGGCATACTCGAGGCGCGCAAGCGTGGCCAGGTCCGTCCAGTCCCCCTTGGGCCTTTGCGCGCGCCTGTGACTAACTCGCTCTCTTCCCAGGTTGCGCTCCTCGACCTGCACGACGACGACAAGCACAGCGCGTCCACGAAGCACCACACGTTCCCGATCGCGCGCAACGGCCGCGTCAGCTGGGGCAGCTGCGGCTGCTCGGCCCGGCACCATGCCGCTTTTGTCCGTCGCGACAACGCGATCGAGAGCTTCCGGACCAAGTTCGTCCTCGGCGAGACGCTCAACTTTGGCTACGGCATCGTCAAGCCCTGGCACGACGCCTTCCTCGCCGCCGACAACGGCCTCAAGGTCACTATCCCGCGCGACTTCCACTCCATCCCCAAGTACGAGGAGCTCGCGCCGCCCTGGATGGCCGACGTCACGCTCCACTGGGCTCAGCCCTTGTCCTCCTCGCCTGCGCCAACGCCCAACGACCTCGAGCGGCGCCTCGTCGACCACGTCCCGTCCTTCACGTACCTGTCGCAGTCGACGTCGCACGTCTCGCTGGGCATGTACGCCCCCAAGGACCAAGCACTTTCGCGACTCGCTCGCATCCACGCGACCGATCGCGCCATCAACGAGGTCGCGTTCCTCGCAGGCGTCGAGGTCGAGAAGGACAACCTGTGGGTCCTGTCGCGCCTGTACATCGCCAAGTCGCGCGCCGCGGACACCGGCTTCTTCATCCCGATGCCTGTTGCCTGGGCGTACGTCCAGCTCACCAAGAATCGCGACGCCCGAACCTGGACGTCGGACGAAGCTCAGCCTCGTCTCGGCGCGTCGTTCACCGACACGCTCAACCAGTACGCCGCGTCGTGGTCTGCGTCGGGCCGCCACTCTATCGGCAAGTCGGTCGGCGTCGTCGGGTTCCTCGAGTCGGCCATCGCCGGGTGGAAGCTCAGCCTGATCGCCAGCGTCAAACGCACCCCGTTCCCGCTCCTCCAGGACAAGCCGAGCCGCATCATCGGCCTTCTCGCCCCGGCCACCACCGCCGACGGCCGTACGGCGGCCGTCACCCACCTCCTGTACAACGCGGTCGGCCTCGACGAGCCGTGTTACCCTGCGCTCTCGGACGACCCCGACCGCATCGTCGGCCTCGTCGCGCCTGCGACGACGGGCGACGGCCGTACGCCCGCCCTCAACCAGTCGATCCACGGCATAGCCATCCGCAACCGCGTCGGCTGGCCCTCGCTCCCGGCCGAGCTCTGTCGGCGCGTCGGTCTCGTCGCGCCGGCGACGACGGGCGACGGTCGCTCGGCCGCCTTCGTCCACCTCGACCGCGTCACGGCCGACAACGCCATCCGCGCCTACCCGTGCCTGTCGGAACGTCCTGGCGGCATCGTCGGTCTCATGGCCCCGGCGACCTCGGGCGACGGTCGCTCGCCCGTCCTCGACACGATGGCGCACTCGAAGGAGGTCGAGCGTCGCCGCGTGTACCCGTTCGCGCCCAAGAACCAGATCCTCCTTGCGCCGGCGTGCACGGGCGATGGCCGTAGCGCTTTTGCCTCGGCCGGGCAGCGCAACCAGTTCGGCGCCCGCAACCGCGACGGCGGTACGTCCCCTTTTCCCTCGAGCTCCTCACTGCCGGCCTCGCCTGACTCGGTCCTCCACAGTCCTCACCGAGCAGCGCCTTCTCGACGACGACGATGACCTGGAGGACGTCGGCGTTGTCGAGGTCATCCGCTACTTCCGGGAGAAGAACTGGAGCAAGCGCAATGGCCCCCTCGCCGAGTCCAAGATCACCCTCGTGCGTCGCCCTGTTCCCCTACTCTTGCTGTGACTGCCGCGATTGACGTCTTGCCGGCGAGGCGGCAGCGACGAGTGCGCGCCTCGCTGATGCGGCGTCGCGGTCGAACCGAGGCGAGGGGTGGACGAGAGGGGCGACATGACGTGGGCGGGAGCGGTGATGGGGCGCAGGTCGGTCACAGGTGACGCATGGTCGTAGTAGGCCTGCTGTCGAGGACCGGCGGGCGGTGGGCGTTGGGCAGAGGCGGGTTGTCGGTGGGCGAGGGTGATGAGGACGAGACGGGCGACGGCGCACGAGACGGCGCGAGGGCGGCGTGGACGGGTGCGCGCACTCGTAGGGACAGCTGCAGCGAGCAAAGGCCCAGCCAGTGTGGCCTTTGCAGGCGAGGAAGGGAGCGCTGTCGCTGTTCGCTCCCCCGCCTTCTCGCTCTCGCCTCGTCGTCGCCCGACTGGCTCGCTCTGCTGCTCTCGTGCCGGTCTCTCGACACACTCGCCTACCGCGCACATGCCTCAAGATCCTTGACCCGCGCAACCCGTGCGCCTCGAGCTCTGCCTCGGTTGCCCCTCGTTCGGTGAGTCCAACGTCTCGCTCGTCCCCTCTTCCCCCCTCCCCATGTCCTGCGCTCGAGTGTGACACGCCGCCGAGCCTTAGCAGCACCTCGCACGAGATACTCACGCCCGCCGCGAGTCCCCGCGTGGCCGCTGCCTCGGCAAGGGTGCGCGTCGTCGTCCGCGGGCTCCCCCTCGCAGCGCGCAGGACAAGGGTCGAGAGCCGCTGGGGCTGCGGTCGTCGAGGTCGAGAGCGGCGGAGCGAGGGATTGCTGGGTGCAGGACGCACGCTCGCCAGGAACTCGCGCTGACCTGCCTCCTCGTCCTCCCCCTCCTCCCCCTCCTCGATCCGCCCCCCTCGCCCCGTACACTCGCAGAACTGCTCACCTAACGCTCGTCAAGATGGTCTCCTGAGCTGGTGAGGCTTCGCCCCGTCCCCCGCCCCGTCCCCTCCTCGTCGGTCGCCTCTCGTCGGCGTCGTCAGAAACTAAACCTGCCCTCGTCCACCCTCTACAGGTCTCGACCGTATACGTCTGTGCAGCTGCTCGATAGCCTGTGAGTCGTCTGGCATTCCTCCCGGCGATTCTTGCCCGTCGTCCGCCCTGGCTCGAGCGAGGCTCACCGCCATTTCTCACCTCCTCCTCAGACAGGTGCGGCATAACGCGATCCTCGAGTGCGCCGGCGTCGTCTCTGCCAGCCGACAACGTCGACGACCGGCGAGAGCGGCACCGGGCCCTGTCTTGCCCCGTCCTGTACGTCCCTCACTCACTCGTTCCCCCCCCTTCCCCCTCGACATGCCGGCGGTCACCGAGGGCGTGCGTCAGCTCGTTCGCGAGCTCGACCAGGGCCTCATTGCGTAAGGGGGATGTGCTCGCCCCTCGTCGAGCACAACGGCTGGCAAGGAGGGATGGGAGGAGGAGCAGCGGACGGACGGACGTCGGCGAGAGTAGCGAACGCTGCGACTCTAGATGCTGCAATGTACACAGGTGGACGCGACTCACTGGACCAGCCCGTCTTAGACGACACGAGCGAGCTGGACCATCGCACGAGGACGAAGCAGTGTCCCGCGCTGCGGCGCGCGAGAAGACGGAACGCCGCTGGGTTCTCTTCCTTCGCCTCTCGCCCGCGGTACCGGCCCGCTCCAGCTCTCGCTCGAACTCTCCAAGTCTCTCAAACGCGCGCGAGAACCCTCCAGAGCGGCACGAGAGGCTGCTCGGCTTCATCAGCTCCGTGCGGCAAGGGCGATTTCTGGCGCCTCTCTGCCTCGCAGTGCCTGCTCGAGGACACACTGCCGGTCCAGGACTCGCTCTCGAGCTGGCGTGCACCGCTCACGGGCATCTGCGCCCTGTCGACGACGCTGCAGAGAGAGACAGAGAGAGCGGGGGAGAAGTTCCAGAAACGCTCGCTCTGCAGCGAGCAGAGTATCGTTGAGCTACGGGACAGCGCGCGAGGGCTACTGGTGAGGTTGAGAGCGAGCACGAGTGACAAGAGAGCGTCCCGGACCCACAAGCTGCGACTTGAGAAGGCCAAAGCGGTTCTCGCTCTCGGTTCGGGATCGCTTTCGGCGACTCTCGCTGCCTCGTCGTAGGCTGTATGAGTTCGAGAGGAAGGGATAGAAATTGCAGAAGAGGGAAGGGGATCCTCGAGGTACTCAGAGAGAGAGAGAAGACGGGAGGGAACGACGAAGGGAAAGGGAACGACGAGGGGAGAGGGACCAAAACGAGGACGACGGTGGGCGAGAGAGAGAGAGAGGTACGACGAGGAGGGGCAAGTGACCCGAGGAGAGAAGCTCAGACAGGGAGGTTGACGGCAACGTCGGTGATTTCGAGGCCCGCCGCGTGCTCCTCGCGAACGACGGTGCGAGCAATGTCGCGCCAGGCCTCGGACTTGTTCGACCCGGCATGTTCGAGCTTGTTGGCGAAACGGGCGCGGAGCTGTCGCCCCGGGCGCGGAAAGGAGGGTCAGTGCGGGCTCTTGACGTTAGGCTGCGAGAGGACGGGCGACGCACAGCCCTCTCCATGCCGGCGATGCGGTCGTACTCGGCCCTCTCGACGAACGCGACCTGCTCGACGAAAGGTGACGACGGTCGGTGCGGGTTCCTGCGAGAGGAATCGAGAGCGAGAGCGCACCTTGTGAATGGCGAGCGTCATTTTGTAGCCGCTGACAGTCTTGAACTTGACCCAGGCGCGCCTGCCCTGGCCGACGAGCCTCGTGTCGACCATCATGCCGGCGAACTTGACGTTGGGGCACGACGGGCCCTCGAAGACGAGAGGGCGAGCCTGGTTGCCGAGCTGCGAGGAGGCGGAAGAGGGTGAGCGACGGCGGCGGAAAGCGAGAGGAAGGAGAGCGCGGCGCACCTGGCCGGCCTTGTAGAGCGGGTCGGACGGCGAGATGGTGATCGAGGCGGACATGATGCGGGATGAGGTGAGGGCGAATGCGAGCTGGGCGAGAGGAGAGGAGAGGTGCGGTGGAGGAAGGACAGAGGGAACGGGGTCGCTGCCACCGAGCCTTTGCCCCCCCGGGCTCCGTGCAAGGTCCTTCCCCCACCCCAGAGCCGTTCAGCCCCTGTCCGCCGCAGTTCCGGGCGGCGAGCTCGGAATGTCCGCGGCCCTTTCTCCTCGAACCTGCTCTCGTCGTGGTCGACAACCTCCTTTGGCACAGCCTGGGAGAGTCGAGCACGTAGCACAGGAGAGAGTCGTCCGGCTTGCATCGTTAGAGGAGGTCGGTGAGGAGAGGAGAGCATGCTGGCCGCCGGAGAAGGAGAGAAGAGTCCCCCACGGACACGGACGAGCGAGGCTCGAGCGCGACCCCTGTCTCGAGACTCCTCTCTCGGCTAGGTTCGCCCGGCGGGCTCGCGCCGAGACGAACGGAGCTAGGACGAGACGGGCACTCGGGCGGGAACCGTGCACGATAAGGTAAAAGGCGAGTGAGCGAGGCGGGAGGGCCGCAGCGGGAAGCCCTTTTTCTCCCTCTCTCTCGCCTTCTCTCTCGGTCTCGGCCTCTCTGCGCCTTGGGGGCGACACGAAGGACCCTGGGCAGATGGCTTGAGGTGGAGCGCGGCCCTTGTTCGTTTGAGCAGATTGCACATAGACCTTCCTGCAGCGCAGCCTCTTTTTCTCCTTCTCGCGCGCCTGCTCTCTCGTTCTTGGTCTTTCTGCACCTCTCTCTACGCTTGATCAAGAGAGGACGAGCTTGCCGAGCCTCCAGCGGTGACCGAGAGCCTCACAGTGAGCTTCACCGCCAGAAGAGACGAGGAGGAGGAGGAGGAGGAGGAGGAGGAGGGCAAGGAGCGGCCCGACTGCGTCCTCCGACGGCGGGCTTGAAAAGGAGGCTCTGCTCCATCGTGAGAGACAGCTTCGACGCCTGCAAGCCTCCCTGCTCGTCCAGTACGCCAATCGAGAGGTGAGTGCAGCTTGAGAAGGTCGTCCGCGCGCGCACGGGCCGCTCCCTGCGGCTCCTCCCGCTCTCAACTCTCGCTCGAGACGGCTCGTGCCCCGCTTCGAAGCGTCGGTTAGGCACACGCTCAAGCGCATCTGACTGGCAGCGTCGACGGTGCGCCTTCGCAACGGCCACCTCGCACGCTTCAGCTTTCGGAACGACTGCGCTGTCGCTCTGCTGCTCTCGAGAGACAGGAAGACTCTCGACCGAGCTCTGACGCTGCAGCTGTCGCTCGTCTCGTCGCAGGAAACGATCAGCAAGGGACGGCGAAGGGGAACAGCGCGAGCAACGTGCGCTCGAGGTTCGAGCGGCCGAGGCGCAGCCAGGCTCGTAAGTTAGCTTCACGCTTTCGAGGGCGACGAGGGAGAATGACGCTGCTTCGGCTCGCACCCGCTGACGAGCCGCTGACGAGCTCGACGGAGCACGCACGAGAGAGGGAAGCTGCGGACCGGCCGACGGTCGGAAGGATCGGCGCGCGGCTGCGGCCAATTGAGGATCGACCACCGCTCGAGTGTTACTTCGCAGATGACGACAGCCGACTGCCTCAACAAGAAGGCGGTGCAGAGTGGGGATTCCAGCTCCTCGTCCCTCGCTCCCCTTTTTCCCACCTCTTCCACCCGCTCAGCGCACCGCACGACACCTTTGTGAGCACTACAGCACTCTCTCTACTCTCGAGGACCTGCCACTCACTCGAATCCGCCCTTTGTCGCGCTCTCACAGCCTGTTCACCATGCGTTCCTCGACCGCCCTCCTCTCGCTCGCCGCCCTCGCCGGCATGGCCACCGCCCAGCTGCCCGCCAACGCTCCCGTGAGTCACCTGTGTCTGTTCATGGCGCGCGGTCAGGGCTTCGAGGGGTTGTGGTCGCACGGGAGGTGTCGGCAGGCTCGCGAGGTGATGAGGAGCGAGGCGGCCTCCCGCCCGTCCAGGCGGGCCCGACGTGTGCGGTGGACGGGCCCAGTTTGACAGAAGCAGCGCTACAGCGCGCCGCAGGTTCTTGCTTCGCACGCGCCCGCGAGACGAGACCGCCCGACTGACCACCTCGTTCCTCCCCCTACCTTCGCCTCTCTCACAGGGCTGCGCGACTCGCTGCTTCGCCATCAAGATCACCGAGTCCAACTCGCTCGCGCCGGGCGTTGCCTCGACCGACCTCGCTGGTGCGTCTCCCCTCGATTTGCCGGACTCTCCTCGACTCGTAGTGCTCACCCTTCTCTCGCTCCCCGCAGGCCTCTGCGCCACGCCCACGTTCGTCGCCGCCTACACCCAGTGCCTCGCCGACAACTGCCCGAACACGTCCGACTACGCGACCGGCGTCGCCCTCGGCCAGGCCGTCTGCGCCAACGCCGGCGCCCAGTTCGGTCCGTCCCCTCTTGTTGTCCTTCACGTCCTCTTGCCGACGACTGACTCGCTGTCGACCCGCTCGCAGCCACCTCGAGCATCCGTGACGCCGCTTCGGGCGTCCTCGCCACGCTCTCGTCGGTCCCCGTCGCGAGCGGCACCGCCGTCTCGTCGGCGCAGGGTGCCTTCTCGAGCTTCGTCGCCGGTGGCGGTGCCGGCGCCGTCTCGTCGGGCGCTTCGGGTGCGTCTCTCCCTCTCTCTGTGCCCTCGAGGCTTAGTGCGCGCTCGAGAACCAGCACTGACGCTCGAACATCGCAGGCGTCACCTCGGCCGCGTCGAGCATCGCTTCGGGCGCTTCGGCCGGCGCGTCGTCGGGCGCCGCCGCCGTCAGCAGCGGCGCCTCGTCGATCGCGAGCGGCGCCTCGTCGGCCGCCTCGTCCGCCTCGGGCGACGCCGCCTCGGCCGCGAGCTCGCTGTCGTCCGGCGCGTCCGAGACGGCGTCGGGCGCGTCGGGCTCGGCCGCGTCCGTCCTCTCGTCGGCGACCGAGTCGCTCGCGTCGATTAGCTCGGTCCTGTCGTCGGCTGGCTCCGAGGCGACGAGCGGTGCGGCGGGCGCTGCCTCGTCGGCTGCGTCGGGCGCGAGCGGCGCGGCTGGCACCATCACGTCGGGTGCTGGCGCTGCCGCTAGCTCGGCGACGGGCGCTGTCGGCTCGATCGTGAGCCAGGCGACGTCGGCTGTTGGCGGTGGCTCGGTGCGTCCCACCTCTTCCTCTCCCTCGTCTGCGCCTCTCTCTCGAGCCTTTTCTGACACGCTTTCTCTCCTCGCGCAGAACGGTGCGTCGGGCCCCGTCTTCCCGACCGCGACCCTCCTCGTCGCTGTCGCCGGCGCCATGGCCATCTTCGCCTAAACGCCCTCCGCCTCCTCCCGCTTGACGGCCTCGCCTCGTCCCTCCTCTCTGTCGCACCCGCGACACCCTCTCTATTTCCGGAAACCCCTACCGCCTACCTAGTCCCTCCCCTATTACTTTCCCACCCTCGCCCCTTGTATCCCTCGAGGCCCGCGCTCCTGCTGCCCTCGAGTGCGCGGGAGACGCTCGGCTCTCCCTCTCCCTCTCTGCCCTTTCCTCGTCGCCTCGCGCTTGCCGTGACTGGTAGCTAGCCTATGACTCGAATCGCGCTTGACTCAGTAGCAAATCGTGCGTCTGCGAGAGACGAGAGAGCTTCCTGGACAACTGCGAGCGGGTTGGCGGCGGCAGCGCCGGGTGCTCGTCGCCTCTCTCGAGAGCGGTTCCTGGGAGAGCTTGGTCGACAGTTCAAGGCACTGTCGGTGGTACTGCACGCAGCCACAGACCCGCAAGAGCGAGCCGAGTCGAGGTTTCGCCGCCTCCTCGGTCTCATTCAACCTCCGTCCACCTTCCGCCTTCCTCGCTCATCTCGACCACCGCGCAGCCGCCCGACTACACTCGGTACCTGCGCAGCTCACCATCAGCAAGCACACATGGGCCGCCGCACCCGCACCCGCGTCACCCTCGCCCTGTGGGCTCTTGCCGGCACCTCGTCGTCGCGGACGCCCGTCTTCTCGGGCGCAGAGCACGGCTCGTCGAGCTGGCTGGGAGGTGGGGCGGTGCTTGGTGCACGGGCACAGACTGTGGATAGCTCGACCGGCCGGTGCGTCCCCTCTCTCTCTCTCTCTGTCCCTCGACCTCTTCCTCCCTCGGCCGCGCTGATCTTCATCTCCCTCCACGCCGCAGCTGGGCACAAGCCTCAGCGCTCCTCTCGCCGTCCGACGATCCAACCCTCCTCGTCATCTCGGGCAAGACCGCCGTCGCAGGCCAGACCGTCGACTCGGCCCCGTCCACCTCGTCCGCCCTGTCGCTCAACCTCTCTCAGCCCATCCTCGACCTCGACAACCCGCCGTGGTCGACCCTCGACGCGACTGGGCCTATAGCGTCCTATGCTTCGCTCGTGCCCTTGTCGTCCTCGGCGGCCCTCTTCTTCGGCGGCGACGCCTCGAGCGACCCGGCCGTCGCCGTCCAGACGGGCAACGACAGCTCGTGGCTCCTCGACCTCGCGCCTCCCTCCTCCACGACCACCACCTCCGACACACTCGTACCCTCCTGGTCGCACGAGACGGCCGCCCTGTGGCCCTCGCAGCCGCAGCGCCGCGAGCTCGCCTTCACGGCCTCGGCGACCAACGGCACACTCTCGCGCGCGTGGCTGTACGGCGGCCAGCGGCCCGACGGCTCGGGCACGACGTTCGCCGAGCTGTGGGAGCTCGAGGTGACGGTCGGGCGGGACGGTGCGCTCGACTCGCCGAGGTGGGCGGCGTGGGAGGCCGACGACGCCGGCGCCGACGTCCCGCCGCCCATGTACGACGGCACGGCGGTCCTCGTGCCCGGCGCCAAGTCGACCGACCTGCCCTCGGTCTACCTCGTCGGCGGCGCCCAGGTCGACCAGGGCACGGCGTCGCTCGTCGACCTGTCGCGCATGTGGGCCTTCACGCCCGACTCGACCCTCGGCGGCGGCTCGTGGGCGCTCGTCGAGACGTCGGGCGCCAAGGTGCCGCCGGCGAGGAGGGGCCACGTCGCGGTCGCGGTCGGCGGCGGCAAGGTGTGGGTCCAGGGCGGGAGGAGCCTCGATGGGTCGACGGTGCTCGACGATGCGTGGATCCTCGACACGAGGAGGAAGAGGTGGACCGAGGCGAGAAAGGGCGCGCAGGTGTGGGGGCACTCGGCGGCCATGGTCGGAGAGACGGTCGTGCTCACGTTCGGTGCGTCGCTCTCGTTTCGTTCGAAACCTCGTCTCGCCGCCGTCAACTCACCTGTTCCTCGACCCGCAGGCTACGGCGTCAACGCTCCCGCCTCGACTGCCCTCACCGTCTACGCACCGGGCAACAACACGTGGCTCGACGCCTACTATCCGTCGTACGCCGTCGTCGTTTCGAACCCGAAAGCCGGCGGCTCGTCCTCGTCGCCCTCGACCGCCGTCAGTCCGGGCGAGCCCTCGACCGACGCCGGCGCCAATGATCAGCCTACCGGCACCGCCATCGATCCGCCCGTCGACCCTGCCGCGACCGGCTCGCCGTCCTCGAGCACCGGCGACGGCGACTCGTCCTCCTCGAACGACGACTCGCCGCCTGCTCCCGCATGGACCGCTCCCGGGTCCGCCGGCACCTCGCCGAGCGACGCCGACAGCTCTTCCTCATCGCCCGACGGTACCTCGTCCGACGGCGGCTCGAGCAGCGACGGCGGCGCGCCGTCCAAGTCGACCATCGCCGGCGCCGTCGTCGGCAGCCTTCTCGGCGCGCTCGCCGTCGTCGCCGGCGCAGCGTTCGCCGTCCGCCGTCACCGCGACGCGCAGAGCGGCGCGCGACGGTACGCCGGCGCCGGCTTCACCGGCGACGATGACGAGTTTGGGCGGCCGCGAGGAGGAGGAGGAGCAGGGGCGGGCAGCCTCATGGCCGAGCACCGCCTCAACGGCGGCTACGCGAGCAGCGAGGCGTACAACCTCGACAAGGTGCACCTTGCGCCGGCTGCGGCGCCGGCGGGAGGCGGCGTCCTTGGCGCGCTCGCCGGCCTGTTGAGCCCGCGCGACAAGTTCGCCTCGAGCACGGCGGCGGCGGCGGGCCGCAAGCGGCGGTTCGACATCCTCAAGGACGAGGAGAACGACGAGGCGCGGGACGGGCGCAAGGAGGGCTGGGCGCGGTTCGACGACGACGGAGAGGGCGAGGGCGAGGACGAGGCGGGCTCGGCGCTCGGCGGCGGGCGAGGCGGCATGGGCATCTGGGAGGGCTTCGGCGGCGTGTCGGGCGGGATCGACCGCCTGAGCGACTCGCTCAAGTCGTCGAGCTCGTACCTCGGCGGCGCGCTCGGCGGCTTCGTCGGCGCGACGGCGACGTCGAGGTCGGGATCTCGTCGCCGGCGCAGCGGCGGCGGCCTGGTCGGCGACGACGACGAGGACCGCTTTGCCGACAGCGAGCCGGTTCAGCGCACGCCGCACGACCACGCTTACGCCGCCGTCGGGCTCGTCGGCGCGCCCGCAGGCGCCGACCCGGCCTTGGCGCCGATCGCCGAGTGGGAGGAGGACGACGGCGACGACGACGAGGCGCGGTACGGGCGCGACGAGTCGCGCACGCTCGACACGCACTCGAGCGGGACGCACGCGACGGGCTCGACGGTGCCGTCGAGCGGCGCCGAGTCGTCGCCGACCAAGGCGGCCGCCGTCCGCATCGTGCGGCCGTTCTCGCCGGCGTCGTCGCTGTACGGCTCTGCGTTCGAGGGCCACCAGCCGCTGTACGGCGTCGACCCGGCCCTGACGCGCACGGCATCCGACCGCAGCCTCGCGAGCGCGACCAACCGGCTCGTGCACCGGAGCAACTCGTCGTGGTGGAGCCGGCTCAACCTGCCCAAGCCGTCCGCCGCAGACGTCTCGACGCCGACTGCCGCCGTCGCCATCCGCGACCCTGCACCTGCACCCTCGGTCGTTGGCCTCGCGACCGCGAGCAACCCGTTCCTCGACCCTCCTCCTCCACCTGCGTCCGCCGAGTCGGCCGACGCACCGACCTCGTCCTCCTCCCACTTTGCCGCACCGACCCGTCAGCCCTCGTACCCTGTCACTCGCCCTGACGAGATGGGTCGGTTCGGCGCCGGCGGCACCGGGCACCTCGTTCGCGGCGAGCACGACTCGTCCATGTCGTCGAACGCGACCGACGTGACGGCGACGTCGTCGGTGCTCGAGGAGCGCCTGCGCCACATGGACGTCGTCGAGCGCATCCGCACGGGCAGTGCCGGCGACTCGTCGGTCGAGGTGACGCCCACGCTCGGTGGCGACGGCTCGTCGTTCGGCCAGCTCCCGTCGTCGTCGTCGGCGCTCGACAACCCGTTCGCCGACGCGCCGACGCGCCCTCAGCTCGCCTACACGCCTGCGCAGGACTCGGTCATCTGGGCCGGCAGCCTCGCCGGCGCGCTGTCCGAGGTTGGCGGCAGCGCTCGGCCCTCGACCCCGCCGCCTCGAGTGCCGTCCGTCCCGGGCATCCTGCCTCCGACGCCGACCTACGCGCCTCCCGACTCGCCGCGCAAGCGTCTCGTCGGCCCTCGAGCGCAGCCCATGTCCCCCGGCGGCAGCAGGCCGGCGCCGTTCGGCACGCCGACGCGGTCGAGCAGCGTCAAGGACCTCGTCGCGAGCATCGAGCAGCGCAGGGCCCCACCGCCCGCGCCGCCCGTCCTCGCTCCTGCGCCGTCGTCGGGCGCGGTCGCTCGCAAGCGGGCCAAGGTCGAGCACGGGCTCGTCAAGAAGCCGCTGCTGTACGTCGCCAACCCGGACGTCTGAGTGGCGCGCTCGGCTCGTCGACGAGCACAGACACTTTGTTCTCTCTCTTTCGTACTGTAGTGTTCGTATGTCGTTGCAGTGCATCATGGATCTGTCGTCGTCGCTTTCGTCGCGCAGAGAGAGCAAATCGACTCAAGTCCGCGGATTCCGACGGGCCGGCCGCCGGTCGCGACGAAGAGCTCGAGAGCTCGCCGCCGCCTGCATCTCGCCGCGCCGCTCCCAGCACTTCGAGCGCATCTGCTTGCGCTCTGGCAGCCCACCCTGCCGCTACTCGCCATCCTTCGACCAGCGGCGTCCCTCCGCCTCGCCACTTTTCGTTCGTCCGCCGTCGGCCGCCTCTTCAGCTCGACGCCGGCGCCTAGGGACGCGCACGAGCGTCCGGTCATGCTGCAGAAGCTCGCAGGCGAGCTGGACGAGCGCGTCGGGTCCCCCTGCGGCGCGGCCGCCCGGCCGGCGAGCGCCGCCGTCGTCGAGTCGAGGGACGCCTCGCCGTCTCGTCTCAGCTCGTCGAAGCGGGCAGCGCGAGCGTACGCAGATTGGGCGTGGAGGACTCAGCGAGGCCGGGGCGTGCTACGGTGGAAAGAGTGTACGTCCTCGCGGTTCCTCCTCTCCTCGTCCGTCTCCTCCTCGACCTTGTCGCTGAGCGCTGACCTCGGTACCCTCGCGTGCAGTCCGGCGATGGAGGAACTTTCTCGTCCAGAGCGCCGGCGGCGACCTGTTTCGGCGGTTCAAGCTCCTGCGCCCGTCGAGCTGGCTGCCCAAAGGCGAGCCGCCGGTCGAGTTGCGCAAGTTCGTCGGGCGCGACGGCCAGATCCAGCTCGCGGTCCGCCACACCGACCTTGGCCGCATCGAGCGCCACATGGTCGACTCGGGCATGGCGTCGCCCGCGCAGGTCGCGCAGGCGTGGCGCTCGTTCGCGGCGAGCAAGGGGGCCCTCATCCCCGTGTACAAGGGCGACCTCGTCACCGTCACCGACGACTTGTTCGCGCAGCACCTCGACGACATGACCGAGCACAACGCGCCCATCGTCGCCGCTTACAAGATGGCGCGAGCCGTCGCCGAGGCGTCGGCCACCCCGGCCTCCTCAGCCCTCCCCGACTACTCGACGCTCGGCCCTCCTCCTTCAGCGCCGTCGTCGCCGCCCTCGCCCGCTGTCGACGATCCTCTCGTCGCACCCGTGTCCGACGAGGCGACCGCCACCCTGTCGGACCCGGCTAAACCTGTCGAGCTCGTCGCCGACCCGCTCGAGGACCTCGACGACGCCCTGCGCGAGGTGGACCAGGCCGTCGTGTCCGGCGCAAGGCGGCCGTCGCGCAAGAAGGACTGGATGGTGCACTGGGGCCAAAGTGCGTCCTACCTTCTCTCCCTCTCGTCCCGCCTCGACTCGTCACCTGACTCTCGTTCCCGCCGCCACAGTCGTCGAGGGCTGCAAATCCTGCTCCACGAAGCACTTCATGCGCGAGAAGGCTCAGCCGGGCACGACGCTCAAGGGCATCCTCGCCATGTTGCCTCTCACGCCCGCCAAGCTCTTCGAGTCGACCCTTGCGCTCGACTTCGAGGACTCGACCTTTGCCCACGTCGGCCCCGACGGCACCCGCAGCGTCCTGCTCCGCCACAAGGTCTTGCGCGACGCCTTGCGCGACTTTATGCGGCGCTGTGGACACGACCGCGACGCCGAGCAGCCGCTGTTGCGCTTCCCCGTCGTGCGGCACCCCGACATCCACGACTTCCCGGGCGCCGTGCGACTTGGCGCCGCGTCGGTCGCCGACATCGATCGTGCATGGGCCGCCGCAGGGCGTCCAGTACCCGCGCAACGCACTTCCGCCGCGAGCGAGCCGATCAAGACCGTCAAGTCGGCGCTGCCAGTGCTCGCCCTGAATTGGGCCCAGAGTGCGTCCCCGTCTCGCCCTCTCCTCCTCCGCCATCAGGGCAGCACCTGACAAACCTCCTACTTGCAGTCGTCGAGGCCTGTCGAGCGTGCAACGAGGCGTACGCCCACGCGCACACGTTCAAGAAGACGAGTTCGGCCGTGCCCGCCCTCGTCGCCATGCTGCCCCTCACGCCCGCCAAGCTGTTCAAGTCGGCCGCGCCCGGCGACATCTACACCTACACGTTCAAGCACACGCCCGACGACGACGACGGCCCGCCGAGCGTCCTCGTCGGCTACAAGTTCGCCCTGCGCGCCGTGACCGACCTCGCGCGTCGCTGCGCCATCGACCCGAGCGAGATCGATCGCTTGCGCTTCCCTTTGCCGCCCAGGTCGAGTGCGGCCCGCCTCGTATCGCCCGACCTGCTCGGCGCCAAATCGATCGAGGACGTCGAGCGAGCCTGGCAGGCGGTCGCCCGTCGTCACGCTGGACCCGTACCTGGCCCTGTCGTCGACTCGCCCGTCAGCAAGAAGCGTCCCGTCGACGCCGTCGCAGCCTCGCCATCACCGACACCCGCCTCGTCCGTCCCGACGACGCCGGCGCTGTCGTCCGTCGAGTCGACGCCCGAGCCGCCGTCGAAAAGGGCCCGCACGACCGCCACCGTCGCCGCCGTCCCTCGCCCGGCACCCGCGCCAGTCGAAGCGCCCGTCAAGGTCCCCGTCGTCGTCGTCGAGGACGAGCACGCGCGACGCGCCTCGCTCGACGAGGCGAAGGAGCGCGGCGCCACGCACTTTGAGCTCGAGACGCTGCGGCTCGCGCACGCGCACGCGCGGCAGCACGGCGCGGCGGCCTTCCTCTCGATCGACATCGAGATGTGGGAGCACCGCACGAACGACCTGCTCGAGTTTGGGTGGAGCACGCTCGAGTTCGTCAAGAACCGCAAGACGGGCAAGGTCGAGACGAGGCGCGATACTCAGCATGCAGGTGCGCCGCTCTCTCTCTCTCTCTCTCTTTCCGTCGTCGAGAGCGTGACTTGACGTCCTCTCGGTCACAGTCGTCAAGGAGAACGCGCACCGCCGCAACGGCCGGTACTCGCCCGACAATCGCGACAACTTTGCGTTCGGCCGCACGGTCCGCCTCCCGCAGCAGGCCATCTACCACACGCTCGCGGCGCTCCTCCACACCCTGTCGGCGCACGCCCACGTCTTCCTCATCTTCCACGACCCGCGCGCCGACCTGCGCGCGCTCGACCGCATCGGGTTCGACACGGCGCGCGAGTTTGAGCCCGACTTGCGCCGGCTCGGCTCGACGGCGAGCGCCAAGGTGCAGAGCGACGGCGGCAAGGTGTGGGTCGTCGACACGCAGCGCCTGTTCTCGGCGTGGCTCAACCGCAAGGTGCAGGCCGGCCTCGAGAAGGCGTGCGTCGAGGTCCAGGTGCCGACCAAGCCGGCGCTCCTCCACAACGCCGCCAACGACGCCTACTGTGCGTCTCGCTCTCTCTTCCTCTCGTCCTGTTCCCGACTGAGCGCGGCGAGCTCACCGATGTCCGTCCTCGCCCCGCTCGCAGACACGCTCAACCTGTTCGAGCGCCTCATGGACCGCCAGCGCACGCCGTCGCCGACCTCGAAGCTCATCCAGAACCTCGACGAGCGTGCTCGAGTCGACGCGGAGCGCAAGCGCAGCGTCGCGGCGGACAAGGCGCGGCGGGTCGAGGAGAGGAGGGAACAGACGGCTCTGGCGCGGTGAGGTCTAGCGGTGTGGCTCGCGGTCGTGTCCTCTGTTGTGCTGCATCTTTCCCTTGTTGTCTTTAGACCTTCCCCCTCTCGCCTTAGACGCTTATCGCATTGCAACCTGCATCGAGTCGACATCGTCGTCGACGACGACCTTCTCCTCCTCGTCGCGGACCTCCTCCCGCAGCGAGCCTCTCGTCCTCATTCTCGGTCCTCGACTTTGCAATACCTCGAGACGCTCGCCTGGCTCCTGTCTGTGGTCCGCTCGCTCTCAAGCGAGGCGGGATCGTCTCGCGCTCTCAGCTACCATAAGAGGCTCGGGTCGCGCGGGTGGCCCAGCTTTTCCTCGTCGCTCGCGAGGCTTGACTCTCTGCCCTTCACTCGCACCGACCATGCTCCGCTGCACCGCACGCGCCACCGCACCCGCACTGCGCCAGGCCGCTCCTCGCCGCCTCGCCTCATCCTCATCAGCGGTCCGTCGCCCCACACACCTCGTCTCCCTCTCCCACCACACAGACTGACCTGGGAAGGGCACACAGCAGGTCAAGCGCACGGCACTGTACGACTTTCACAAGCAGCATGGCGCAAAGCTCGTCGAGTTTGCCGGGTGGGAGATGCCGCTCGTGTACGAGGGCAAGGACACGAGCAGGGTCGCGGGCGGCGCAGGTGCGTCCTCTTTCTCTCTCCAGGGTGCGCGTAGGAGCTTTGTGGAGCGCACGGACAGCAGTACAGGCGCCGGCGGGGCGTGCTGGGTGGCCTCTCGTGCTCGACCGCGGATTGCCGGGTGTACGGCGAGGGAGCGGCCGGATCTTGCTTCTCCTGCCTGCGGGACAGAAGAGCACGTCCGCCATGAGCCAGAGTCTACGAGCGGCACGAAGCTAAACCTCGCGCTCGCCGCACGCAGTTGCCGAGCACCACCAGGTCCGCAACTCGGCGGGCCTGTTCGACGTCGGGCACATGGTCCAGTCGATGTGAGCCAGCTCTCTCTTGTCGCGCATTCTGGACCTCACTGACGGTTCACTCGAACGCGCGCAGCTTCGAGGGCCCCGGTGCCCTCCCCTTCCTCTCGCACCTCCTCCCAGCCTCGCTCTCGTCCCTCACGCTCCCCGGCGAGGACGCCCACCGCCCGTTCGGCTCAACCCTGAGCGTCCTGCTCAACGACGAGGGCGGCATCATCGACGACTGCATGATCACGCGGTGGGGCGAGCAGTCGTGCGTCCACCTTCCTCTCTCTCTTCCTTTCTTGAACCTCGGAACCTGACGCCCAATCCTGCAGGTTCTACCTCGTCACGAATGCCGGTCGCTCGGACGTCGACATTCCGTGGATCGAGAAGCACGTCGACGAGTGGAACGCGGCGCACGAGGACAAGGTCGCGTTCAAGGTCATGCCCGACAACGCTCTCGTCGCTCTTCAAGGTCCGTCTCTGTCGGCCTCTCTGTTTTCTCTCGAGCACTCTCGCGCACTCTTCTGACACTCTCGACGACGTTCGCAGGCCCCAAGGCCCACGTCGCCCTGCAACGCCTCCTCCCCTCGGACCTCTCGCTCCAGAAGCTCCTCACCTTCGGCCAGTCGCTCCACCTCTCGATCCCTTCTCTCTCGTCGTCGTCCGGCACGGTCCACATCGCGCGCGGCGGCTACACAGGCGAGGACGGGTTCGAGATCTCGGTCCCGAACGCGCACGCGGCCGACTTTGCCGGCATGCTCGTCGAGCAGGACGAGGTCAAGCTCGCCGGCTTGGCGGCGCGCGACAGCCTGCGGCTCGAGGCGGGACTGTGCCTGTACGGGCACGACCTCGACGAGTCGGTCGGCGTCGGCGAGGCGGGCCTCGCGTGGGTCGTCGGTCCGTCCTCCTCTCGCTCCCTCTCGTCTCTCCCCCCTCCCCCTCGAACCCCTCTCCTGACGTCCCCTCGCGCCCCCAGGCAAGGACCGTCGCACGCCCGGCGCCTTTATCGGCAGCGAGCGCACGCTCGCCGAGCTCAAGAAGGGCGGCACGACGCGCAAGCGCGTCGGCCTCGTCGTCGAGAAGGGCGCGTCCGCGCGCGAGGGCTCGCCCATCTTTGACCCGGCGCACCGGGACGGCCCGCCGATCGGCCGCGTCACGTCGGGATTGCCTGCGCCGACCGTCGGGAGCAACATCTCGATGGCGTACGTCGAGACCAAGGGCGGGCTCAACAAGAAGGGGACCGAGGTCCTCGTCGAGGTGAGGAAGAAGCTGCGCAAGGCGCAGGTCGTCGGCATGCCGTGGATCAAGACGGGCTACTACCGGGGCGAGTGAGCGGGCGGCGATCTCTTTCTCTTCTCTCGAGACGGCGCACGAGACGGATCGGGGTTCTAGTTCCGGGTCGTTGCAGTTCAAGCAGTGCTACGTCAACTTGGCCTTGGCCTTCTCGAGCTTGGCCTTTGCCTCTGCGCACGACATCGAGAGATGCATGTCAGTTGCCGCGTCGTCGAAAGAGAGAGAGAGAGAAAGAGGGACGCACCGCTCTGCACGGTCCCCGACCCCGTCCTGACAGCCTCCTCGAACGCCTTGACCGCCTCGCCCGTCCTCTCGAGACCCTCGAGCGCCTCGCCTCGCCGCACGTGACCCTTGGCCCATGCCGGCGCGAGCGCGACGGCCGCTTCGGCGTCCGAGAGCGCCGAGGAAAAGTCGGGCGGTGAGAGCTTGAGCGAGGACAGGGCGCGGTTGCCGAGGAGGATGAAAGAGGTTGGCTGTGCGGAATGAGGGAGGACTCGAGTCAGTCGCTGTTGTTGTGCGGGAGCAGAACGGGAAAGAGAGGGAGAGGGGAAGGGACAGAAAAGAGCCACGCACCGCCAGCTCGATCGCCTTGCCGAACGCCTCCCTCGCCTGGACGTACTCGCCCGCCTTGAACAGCGTATTGCCCTCGTCCTTGAGCTGCTCGGCCTCGGCGCTGAGAGGCGGCACGGGCGGGTTCGGGCCGGCGTGCGCCCGCGCGAGGCGCGTCAGGCCGGCCGGGTCGGCGCCCTTGAGCTGCGGGCGAGGGCGTCCGGGCGAGTCAGAGACGGGGTGAGGAGGAGAGTGAGAGAGAGAGGGAGGGACGCACCGTGTCGACGACTTGGCCGGCCTTGATGGCGAAGAAAGTCGGCATCGCGCTGCGGGCCGCGGCGTCAGTTCGGTGCAGGCTCGAAGGAGGGCGCCAGGCTGAACGTCGACGCACCTGACCTTGTACTTTTGCGCAATGGCGGCCATCTTGTCGACGTCGACTCGCACAAAGAGGACGTGCTCGAGCTGGGCGGCGAGCCTGTCAAAGACGGGCGCGATGGCTGCGGGACGACTCTTGATCAGTCCGGCGCTTCTTGGGAAGCTCAGAGAGAGAGACGCGCTCTTGCAGGGACCGCACCAAACGGCGTAGCAGTCGACGACGACGGTCTGGCCGGCGGCGGTCGCACCTCGCAGGGTCGAGTTCCACTGGGCGACGGACGTGATCTCGATCGGGTGCGGCATAGTATGCACTGTAGGAGCAGCTTCGTCAGTGTATCCGGGCCTCCTGAGGCAGAGAGAGCGGACGCACCTGAGGAGATGCTGAGTGAGCGAGTGAGGCGGAGAAGAGCGAGGCGAGCGCGGACGGCGACGGGACAAAGCTGAAGCCGAGCGTGTGTGGTCCGGAGCGAGCTAGCCGTGCTCTGCTGAGCACTTGTTGTGGTAACGAGACGAGGAGGAGCTTCATCGCCCTCCACCTCCTCTCCTCTCTCTCCACCACGCCACTTTGCTCCTCTTCGCCATGGCTGCACGAGTGACACGCTCCAGCACAAAGAGCCAGTCGACCGCCGAGTCGCTCCCACCGCCCGCGTCCCCGTCGAAGCGGACTCGTCCCCCCACCTCGGCGGCGGCCGGCTCGTCGTCATCATCTCGACCCGCACCACCCTCGACGCCCAAGAGCAAGCGCGCAAAGCAGCAGCATCCCGCACCCGACTCGCCCTACGTCCCGCCGACCCCGGGCACGCAGCGCCAGATCGAGGACGACGCGCATCGCGCAGACGAGGAGGGCGAGAAGGAGGGCACTGTGCTCCTGCATCCCGCCCTGCGCTTCAACTACGCCGACGCCAAGGCGCATCTCATCAAGGACGACAAGCGCTGGCGAGACGTCATGGCCGCCATGCCGTGCAAGCCGTTCGAGGGCGACCAGCTCGAGCCCTTCAACCCTTTCCGCACCCTCGTCTCGTCCATCCTCGGCGCCCAGATCTCGTGGCTCGCCGCGCGCGCCATCCAGCACAAGTTCATCCGCCTCTTCTTCCCGCACCTGCCCGAGAAGCTCGCCCCGCCTGCGTCGGGCGCCCCCAAGCTCGAGACGCCGTTCCCGACGCCGCGCATGGTCCTCGACCTCCCCGACCGGTTCGCGACCCTGCGCGGCGCAGGCCTCAGCGGGCGCAAAGTCGAGTACGTCGTCGAGCTCGCCGAGCGCTTCTCGGACGGGCGCCTCGAAGCGCGCAAGCTGTGGGGCATGGAGGACGACGAGCTCGACAAGGTGCGTCCCGCTCTCGTCTCTCTCGCTCGCCGTGCGCCAGTCCTGACTCTATCCGCGCACGCAGACGCTCGTCGCCATCCGCGGGGTTGGGCCATGGACGTGTGACATGGCGAAGATATTTGCCATGAAGCGGGCCGACGTCCTGCCCGTTGGCGACCTCGGTGCGTCCGTCCCTCTCTTCGTCTTCCCTCTCCTCTCCTCCCACTGACTCTTCTCTTGTCCCTCGGCCACCCACAGGCATCCAGAAGAACCTGTGCAAGTGGTTCTCGCACGACCCGTCGTTCGTGCCCGCCATCCACCCGGCCAAACTCGCCGGCGCGGCGCCGGCGTCGCCGACCAAGCTCGCGTCGAGCAAGGGCGCCGTGCATCCGCCGCCGACGCCGGGCCCCGGCGAGGGCAATGGCAAGGGTGCCGAGCCGGAGGAGGACGAGGACGAGGAGCAGGAGCAGGGTCGCGAGCAGGGGCAGGAGCTGAGGAGCGCGGCGCAGCCGGGAGGGGACAAGCAGGGCGAGGGACACGGGCTCGGCAAGCTCGCTGCGCTCGGCGCTGTCGAGGTCGAGCAGGAGCGCGTCATCGACCTCGATGGCGAGGCGGGCGCGCCCAAGAAGGAGGAGGACGACGAGGACAAGGTCGAGAAGGGACAGGAGGAGGAGGTCGAGGGCGGCGAGTTCAAGTTCCCCGAGACGTCGAACGGGCTTACGCCTGGGGTGCTCAAGGCGCGGCTCGGCGGCAAGAAGCTCAAGTGCGTCTCGCTCTGTCTCTTTATATCTTCCTCGTCGGCCCGTCGACCTGACGAGCGCGCACCTCGATCGTCCGCAGGGGCAACATCTACCTTTCGCCCAAGGAAATGGAGGAGCTCACGGCGAGTTGGCGGCCCTACCGCTCGGTCGCGTGCTGGTGCGTCGCCCCCCTTCGCCCTTTCTTCGTCGGCCAGGAAGGCCGGATCTTGACACGCTTTCATGTGCTGCAGGTACCTCTGGTCGCTCGCCGACGGCGACGGTGACCCGTAGCGGCCCGGTTCGCTTGTGTAGCGTTGTCGAGGAGCGTGCAAGTCGTGCATGCGACTCGACGGCTGAGGAGAGAGAGATCTCGAGCGAGTTATTGGCGTCCGCGGCCGCCTCACTGCCTCGCTCTCTTGCGTACTTGCATCTTTTGTGTGGTGCGCCTTAACTGAGTGCGCGCAGCCGCTCGACCGCTCTCGTCCTGCTCTCAAACCCGCGAGAGTGAAAGTTGGCCTTCCCAAGTTGCGTTGCCGCGGCGCTCGCGCCGCCTCCGAGCCTCGCGATCCGCTCATCTCATCCTCGTCCGGGTGCTCGCTGTTGCTCAGCGAAGCAGCGACCCATGCTTTGCTAATTTTGAGACTGTGATCGGTGGCCGTGCCGCTGGCCGAAGTTGGACTCGGAGACTGTGACGCTCCCCACTCTGTTCCCGCTCCTCTCTCTCTCTCTCCTCAACCGCTACTGCTACCGCTGCTTCTATCGAGCATCATGTCGAACGCTCCCAAGACCTACAAGGCCGCCGTCATCACCAAGGCGAACGCGCCGTTCGAGATCCACGACGTGCGTCTCATTCATCGCTCCCGCCTCCTCCTCCCGCCTCGGCGTTCAAACTCTGGCCGGCACACACTGACTGGAGTACCCGCCACGCAGATCGAGTACAAGAAGCCGCAGAAGGGCGAGATCGTCGTCAGGGGTGCGGCCGCTGGCCCCTCTCCTCTCGCTCGACCGGCGTTTCTCACCTCGTTCTCCTGCACGCAGTCCTCGCTTCGGGCGTCTGCCACTCCGTACGTCTCGACACTCCTCTCTCGCCGTCTCGGCGGCTCTTGCGGCCTGCATCCCGTCTCGGCGGCCCTCGCGGCCTGAATCCCTCCTTTACGACCGACGAACCGTCTGACTGACCCTCGCTTCGCCTTCAACAGGACTCGGTCGTCGTCCAACAGCTCATGCCTACCGCGCTCCCCTTGACACCTGGACATGAGATCATCGGAGACGTTTTCGAGGTGCCCGAGGGCGAGACGCGCTGGAAGGTTGGCGACCGCGTCGGGAGTGGATGGCATGGGGCACATTGTTCGTCGTGCAAGCGCTGCGTGCGCGGCGACTTTGTCACGTGCGAGTCCGAGGGGATCAACGGCGTCACTCGCGACGGCGGTTCGTTTCTCTTTCCTCCTCTTTCTCGAGCGCGTCGGGGTCTGACGTGGCCGCATGCGACGCAGGACACGCCGAGTTCGTCACCTTGCGCACCGAGGCCGTCACCTACATCCCCGAGGACATCGAGCCGGCCAAGGCCGCCCCTCTCCTGTGCGTCCCGCCTCTCGGAACGCGCCATCGTCGTCTTTCTGACGACCTTGCCCTCCAGCTGCGCCGGTGTGACCGTGTACAACTCTATTCGCCACATGGACGTGCACCCGGGCGACGTTGTGGCTGTCCAGGGCGTAAGTCGCCGCTTTCTTGCGCTCGTTCCCTCAAGCCGCCTTTTCTGACCTCCTCTCCTTCCTCCCTCTCTGCAGCTCGGCGGCCTCGGTCACCTCGCCGTGCAGTTCTCGGCCAAGATGGGCCACAAGGTCGTCGTCGTCTCGCGCGGCACGAGCAAGAAGGACCTCGCGTTCAAGCTCGGCGCGCACCACTACATCGACTCGGAGGCCGAGGACGCGGCCGAGGCGCTCCAGAAGCTCGGCGGCGCCAAGGTCGCTGCGTGCGTCGCTCCGTCGGGCAAGGCCATGGAGTCGCTCATCGGTGGTCTCGCCGTCGACGGGTGCGTCCCCTCCTTTCTCTCGTCGTCTCGAGCCGGTTCTCCTCCTTCCGACCCCGACTGACGCGCCTTGCGTTCCTCCCACAGCCAACTCGTCATCCTCGCCGTCGCCGACAAGCTCGAGGTCCCCATGATGTGCGTCCCTCCTTCTCTCTCTCTCTCTTTCTCTCCCTCGCGCCCTCGTCGGCGCTCAGGCCTCGGAATCTGACGCTCTCGACCTCGTCGCAGGCCAATGATCCAGAAGCGCCTCTCGGTCCGTGGCTGGCCCGCGGGCACTGCCGCCGACTCTGAGGACACGGTCAAGTTTGCCCAGGCCTCGGGCGTCGAGTGCCAGATCGAGACGTGCGTCTCCCTCTCTCCTCCTCCTCCTCCTCGGGCTCGCCGGCGCCTCGACCTCGTACTGACGACCAGCTTCTCTCACACAGCTACCCTCTTGAGAAGATCCAGGACGCCTACGACTCGATGATGAACGGCAAGGCTCGGTGCGTCCCTCGCTCTCTCCTCTCCTCTCGTCGTCGCCGGCACGCTCTGACCCCTTGCCGCCGCCGCACCACACAGCTTCCGCGCCGTCATCAAGTTCGACTAGGCATCGTCCGCCTTCCTCACCCCTTGTCGGTACAGAAATCGAGAACGAGCTTTGTCGTGCAGTGCAGTTTGTGTTTGTCCGTCGGGTCGAGCGAGAGGGTCAAGGACCGGCTCTGCATGGACCGGCTCTGTCACTCTCCTCGCGTCGAGAGAGGCTCGACAGCGAGCGCTTCCTCCTCGAGGGCACGTCTCGCTCGCCTTCCTCGCTCTCGGGCCTCTCGAGCTTGGCGCGACCGGGACCGAGTGAGGGAGCGGTGGCGTTGCACTGCAGGGCTGCCATTTTCGGACGAGGGAGGGGTGCGGCGGCGAGGGTGACTGAGGGTGGCACAACAGGTGGATGAGCGAGAGAGGGAGGTTGCGGAGGTGGGAGGGAGAGGGGAGGGGTATGTGCAGCGAGGACGGGAGGTCGAGGGGGAGGCGGAGTGGGAGCGAGTTTAGGGCTATGGACAAGGCGAGGCAGTGGCGGAATGAGGCGAGGAGGTGGTCGAGGGCGACGACGAGGAAGAGATCCGAGGAAGAGCTGAGGCGGGCTCACGACACGTGCGGCGGCGACGGTTCGCGGCGCACCTCGTCGGGCATGCGCACGAGGTCGGCCTCGGGGTCGGCGAGCGTCGGGTCGGCGTACTGGTACTCGCGCAGGGCCGCGTTCTGCCACTGGATCGGCTGCGGGGCGAGGGCGAGAAGGGTCAGGACGGCGCTGGAGAGAAAGGCCGGAGGAAGAGGGAGGGGCGACGGACCGACTTGAGGCGGTCGTGCGCGTGCGGGGCCTTGACGATGCGCCGCAAGAGGCCGTGGTGGCTGATGACGACGACCTGCTTCTCTGGCCTCGAGCGGATAAAGTGGCGGACCCAGCGCGCCCTCGCCACGTTCTTCTCCTCGGTCGCCTCGAACACGCCCTCGTTGCGGTTCCACTCGACGTTGCGCTCGACCTCGGACCAGTCGAGCCACGGCTGCGGGAAGCGCTCCTTGGTCTCGGCGAGCGGGGCGCCCGTGTCGCAGGGAAAGGCGCCGCACTCTTGCAGCTGCGGGAGGATGACGACCGGGATCGGCTTGCTGTTGGTCGACGAGGGGAGGTGCGCCGAGAAGCCGAGGAGCATCGTCTGGAGGGTGCGACGCAGCGGCGAGACGAGGATGACCGTGTCGGCCGGGTTGAGGGAAGAGAAGAAGGTCGGGTACGTCGTCGGGATCGCGATGCACTGCGTCACGCCGCGCTGCACAGGAGAAAGACTCGTCAGTGAGAGGCCGCAAGGAGGAGGAAGACGGCGACGCGGGACGCACGCTCGTGAGCTCCGGGTCGAGTTGCGCGTGGTCGGGCGGGGGAAAGGGCGGTCCGACATTGTGCTGCGCTTCCTGCGAGCGTTGAAGGAGAGTCAGTGCTGCACGGCAAAGAGGGCGTGTCGGTGCTCCTCGCTCGAGCGCGTGAGCCGGCGGAGCGGTGGGGAGGAAGCGCCGTGGCCGCAGCGCCCTGCTGCGGGACATGCCGGTCGTCCTCCTGAGCACCTCGTGAAGCTGCTGCGCCCGCTCGCCGCTCCACCGCTCGCCTTGGAGCTGAACCCGGCCACGTCCGACCGACCCTCATCATCATCGCCAGCTCGTCCGCATCTGCCCCCGCTGGCCCAACTCGACCCGGAACACCGTCCACAGATATCCCTCGCGCGACCTGCGCCGAGAACATGGCCCAGGAAGAGCCGAGGCGGTGTCGTGTGGCCGCCGCACTCGGCCGGCGCGAAGTCGAGGCGGAGGGACGAGGAGGAGGCGGCAACTCACGCCGTGGCGAAGAAGAAAGACGCGAGGCGGCATGGCGAGCTGTCGGTGGTCGTGTTCGAGCTGTGCAGCTTCGTACGGGAGCAAAAGGCGGAGGTTGGAGCGAAGGTCCGAGGTGGATCGGAAGCCAACGTCGCTTTCGCTCTCGCCGTCTCCAGCTCTGCAGCAGACCTACCGGCCGACATGCACCCTCCGTTGGCAGATCACCAGCAGACCGGTACGTCCAACTCTCGCTTTCGCCCGTGCCGCCGTCGCTCATCTCTCCCCCCTTTCCTCCTCCCTCTCCCGACCTTGATCGGCCGCCAGCCTGCATCGAGGTCATGAACCAGCTCAAGGCCTGCCACGACTCGTACCCGTGGCTCAAGTTCGCCGGCCTGTGCAACACGGAAAAGGGCGCGCTCAACGCCTGTCTGCGTCAAGAGGTGCGCCTCGCTCTCGCCCCTCTCGTCCAGCTCGACAGCGAGCCCCTGACTCTTTCTTGCGCACGCAGCGTCTCGAACGGACGTCCAAGAACGCGCAGCTCGCCAAGGACAAGCGGAAAGAGATTGAGCGTCGGTGGAAGGAGATTGAGCAGGACTCGTGAGGGAGGTTTGGGCTCGTCCGGTCGAGCAGGAGCTGGGTATCGAGGTGCGCCCGGCTGTTCTCTCTTCGTCGTCGAGCCACTGCGACAGCTTTACTTACCGGCTCTGCGTCCACAGCAACCTAGATTGGCCCAATCGCCTCGCCTCGACTCGCCGCATCTTGTCGTTCTGTACCTCTACGCAATGCACATCTCGCACCTCGTTCTCCTATCACACCTGACCTCGATACAGCATCGTCGACGCTCGTGTCGCGGACACGCACGTCGAGTTGGGCTGCGCGATGGCGAGCTAGTGCGTCGGGAGAGACAGAGAACGGGCGGGAGGAGCACGGAGCGAGCCTCTGTCGGCCAGCGGTCGAGTCGCCCTCGCCGTCGACGATCTTACAGCTTGCCCAGATCGATTCGGCGTGGCAGATCGAGCGTTACAGGCGTGGCTGTCGTGAGGCGAGCCCCCGCCGCTGCCAGCTGCTCGAGAGCTCAACCTCGCTCGCTCCGCTTTGCCTCAGGCCTCATATCGCTACGCCGGCTCTTGGACAAGTTCGAGCTTGCACTCGTAGACGTCTGTGCGCAAAGAGAGCTTGTACGAGCGAGATCTGAAGATGCGACAAGCTCCCCCACCTCGTCCCTCTCTCCTCCTCCTCACCTCTCGCTGTCGCCCTCGCACGCCCACACGCTGGACGAAGCGTTCGGCTTGAACCCGCTCACCGCAGCGCGCAACCTCAGCACGGCGCACCGCCGCCCCGCCTCGTCTCGACCCGCGTCAGCCGCGCCGACGACGACCACGATGGCCGACAAGGTCGTCCACAACCTGCGCACCAACGTCGAGAGGCTGGGAGCGCGGCTGGGGGAGAACTTGGCAGGTGCGTCTCCCTCTCGCGCGCTCGGGGGTGACGCTGTCCTCTCGTCGTCGTCGTGAACCCGCCGAGGACGATGAGGTCGATCGCCTGGTCCACAGCGTCGAGCACAGCACTGAATCGTATGTTCGTCCTGCAGAGCACTCTCGCGACCTCGGACTCGTCGTGTGTCCTGCTCTCTCTCTCGTAGCTGCCGTGGGCGCGAAGCTCACCTCCCTGCTCCCCCTCTCCCCGCACGCGCAGGACTCGTTCGCCTCGGGCAGCGGCGGCGGCGCGGGCAAGTACCTCGAGAACGGCGCGGTCTTGACGGCGGCCGGCGTCGAGGAGACCAAGCGCATGCTCGCCTCGAAGCGCGAGCTCGAGCGGACAGAGGGCCTCAAGCGGGTCATCGCCGTGCGTCCTCCTCTCCCTCTTTCTCGTTGACCAGAGTGCAAGAGAATCGACTCGCGAGCACTCGCAGATGATGACCAAGAACCTGCCCGTCACGTCCTTCTTCCCGCTCGTCACGTCGCTCCTGTCGCCGACGACGTCGCTCCAAGCGCGGTCCCTCATCTCGCTCTACATCGTCCACTGCGCGTCACACGCGCCCGAGCTCGCCCTCCTGTCGATCAACGCCTACCAGAAGGACCTGTCGGACCCGAACCCGCTCGTGCGCGCCGGCGCCATCTCGACCCTGAGCGCCATGCCGCTCCCCGACATCCGCGAGCTCGTCGGCATGGCCATCACCAAGGGCGCGCGCGACACGGCATGGTACGTCCGGCGCGCGACGGCCGACGCCCTCAGGGCCCTGTACCGCGCCGACCCGCTCAACGCCGACAACCGCAACGGCCTCATCGCCGTCCTCAAGGTGCTCCTCGACGGCGCGAGCCCGCTCACGGTCGGCGCCGCCTTGAGCGCGTGGGAGGACCTGTGCCCGACCAACTGGGACCTCGTGCACCCCAACTATCGCCGGTACTGCAAGATGCTCATGGACGTCGAGGAGTGGGGCCAGACGGTCGTCCTGCGCGTCGTCGCGCGGTATGGGCGCACGTTCTTCCGCGACCCGGAGCAGCTCGGCGGCCAGGTCGATCCCGATGCCGAGCTCGCGCTCAAGAGCTCGGAGCCGCTCCTGCAGCACCTCAACCCGGCCGTACGTCCCTCGTCCGCTCTCTCTTTCTCGGTCTCGCCACCCCGACGACTGACCCTCCTCGCCCTTTGACAGGTCGTCATGGGCGTCGTCAAGCTCCACTACTACCTGTCGCCGCCGGGTCGGCTCGCCAAGATTGCGCCGCCGCTGTTGCGCCTGCTGCGAGGTCCGCCAGAGGTCCCGACCGTCGCCCTCGAGGACTGCGCCCTCATCGCCGAGCAACGACCTGTGCGTCCTCCTATCTCTCTGCACTTCTCGCCTCATCGTTCAAGTGAGGCAGACGTACTGAGGAGACCATGATCGTGCACAGGAGCTCTTCGCCAAGCACCTCTCAAGCTTCTTCGTGCGCTTCTCGGACCCGGTCGAGAGTCGCAAGACGCGCCTGCGGGTCCTCGTCGCCCTCGCCACCGAGTCCAACATCCGAATCGTCCTGCGCGAGCTCCTCGTGCGTCCGCCTCTCTCTGCGCCGCTCATTCCCCTTGCGAGACGAGGGGCAGCCCGCTCACGAGAACGGCCGGTCGCAGACCTACATCAAGGACGACGACGACGCGTTCGCCGCCGACGCCATCACGGCCATCGGCACGTGCGCGATGCGCGTACCTGCCGTCGCGACCGAGTGCCTCGAGACGCTCACCCAGCTGCTCCAGAGCAAGCACGGTGCGTCCGCTTTTCCTCTCTCTCTCTCCTCTCTTACCTCGCCCACTCACCAAGCGACGCTCGTGTACACAGACCGCACCGTCACGTCCGCCGTCCTCGTCTTCCGCACCCTCCTGCGCTCGTCGTCGTTCCCCTCGTCGTCGTCGTCCAAGTCGCCCTCGCGCACGGCCATCGTCACGCGCCTTGCGGCGCACCTCCACGCCGGGCGCATCACGGACCCGGCTGCGCGTGCGACCATCTTCTGGCTCGTCGGGCAGTACGCGGCCGAGGACGGCGGCGCCATCGTTGAGGGCTGCGGGGCCGAGGTGGTGCGGCTCGGAGCCAAGGGGTTCGCGACCGAGGTGCGCCCGCTTCTCTCGCCCTCTCTCTCCCTCTGCGACACCCTGATTGACTCGTACCACACGTGCGCGCAGGCCCTGCCCGCCAAATTGCAGCTCCTCACCCTTTCGGCCAAGCTCCTCGTCCTGTCGCACCTCGCGCCCCTCACGCCCTCGACGCACGGCGCGCTCGTCCTCCTGTTCCAGTACGTCGCCCTCGTCGCCCGGTACGACCGCGTGTACGAGGTGCGCGACCGCGCGAGGTTCCTCGCCGGGTTGGTGAGCGCGGGCGGGATCGGGCGCAGGAGGAAGGGCGACCCGGCGGGCGAGGGGGACGAGCGCGAGGGCGAGGGCGCAAAGGTCGTGCTCAGCGCCGAGGACTTTGCGCGAGGGGTCAGCCTCGAGGACGTGGGTGCGGCGGGGGCGAACGGCGGCAGCGGCGAGGGGCAGGAGGACGAAGAGGAGGCGCAGACGATGACGGGCGAGCAGGTGCGCGCGGTGCTGTTCGACGGCAAGGCCTTCGAGGCTGCATCAGGTGCGTCCCACTCTTTCTCTCTTTCCGTGTCGCCCAACGCGCCTAACGACCGTCGACCCGCAGACCGCCCCACCTCGACCGCCCAGCTCGGCACCCTCTCCCTGTCCCTCTCCTCTTCCTCGAGCACCTCGGCCCCATCTCGCCCGTTTGGCCCCTCGACCCTCTCGCTCGCGCACATCCCTCCCTACCCGACCTCGGTCCCGCCCTCGTCGATCCGCGACCCGCCCACCGACGCCAACGGCTCGAGCGCCACTTTGCGCGCCCAGACCCCTCTCCAGGGCTTTGGCAGCGAGTCGTTGCGCCCCGGCCCCGGCGTGCGGCAGCAGGGCGCGCCGAGCAGGGTCGTGCTCACGCCCGGCGCGGGCGGTGCCGCCGCCGCAGGGTCGTCGTCGAGGAGGACGGCGAGCCCGATGCTGACGGCGGCGGCGGCCGCCCAGCAGAAGAAGGTGACGCTCAACGATTTTTTCGAGAGCAGCGAGGACGAGTCGGAGGAGGACGACGACGACGAGGAGGAGTCGAGCGCGGCAGAAGAGGAGGTCGAGGTCGAGGAGGACGAGGACGAGTCGGGACCAGGAACAGAGGAGGAGGACGGCTCAGGAGAGGAGGACGAGTCGAGCGAGGCGGACGATGAGGCGCAATAGACGCTGTTCGTGCCGCTGTCCAACCTCGTGCTGTCGACAGAGAAGTCAAAGATAAGCTCCGAGCCGCTTTCGTCGGTCCGGCGTCGGACGCGAGATGCGAAGTCCGACGGGACGCGAGCCCGTCCTCTCGCTCTTGCTCGTCCCACACACTCTGCGCTGCTGCAGCCTCGGGCACCTGCTGCTCGCTTGATCTATCTTCATCGCACGCGTCTCTCGAGCTGCCTACCGAGCCCGTGGCCGTCGTCGTGAGCTTGCCCCCGCTCATCTGCGTCCGACCATCCGAAGCCGTCTCGCTCATCTTGCACCCCCTCTGCAGAGCCGCCTACCTGTGGACAGCATCTTCAACCGCTCCAGCTACCCGCCATGAACTCGAACGCGCCTCTCGGTGCCGTCATCCTCGCCCGCCATGGCGACCGCAGCGGCTTCTACCGTCCGTCCACCTCTCTCGCCCTCACATCCCAGAGCCTGAGCTGAGTGTCCACGCATGCCTACAGAGGACCCCAAGACCTACACGGCATCGTCGACGGTGCTCACCTCGCTCGGCGAGCAGCAGAACTATCAGCTCGGCCAGCTCATGGCGAGCGTCTACGCCGGCGCCAACGAGTCGACGGCGATCGCCAAGTTGAGCAAGGACGTCTTTGTCGACTCGCAGGTCAACTCGACGGCGGATGCGGGAGGCGAGGGCAGCGTCATTAGCGACTCGGCGCTCGCGTTCTGGCAAGGTGCGCCCCCACTCTCTCCCTCTCCTCTTTTCACCAGCGACTCGTACTAACGTTGTCTTGTGCGCACGCAGGCTTCTACCCGCCTCGGACAAAGTGAGCCTCGTCCCTCAGATCGCGCAGGTCCGGCTCTCGACGTTGGTCGAGGCGCCTGACCTACTGCTTGTTCTTCGGGCTGCGCCTTGCGCCTTCTCGGCATCGTCCTCACCGACGTCTTGACGGCCGTACTGACTCTCTCTATCGTCCGCAGCGCATCTACTACGACGCTCGCCAACGGCTCCGTCGTCTCGTCGCCTCTCGGGGGATACCAGTACGTCAAGGTCGTCACGGTCCTTCCCGAGGACGACATCGACTTTGAGCCCTGGACCAACTGCGCCGCATGGACCAACCGCACGAGCGAGCTCTATGCGTCGCCGGCGTACACCGAGCGCGCCGAGCAGGACCAGGACTTGCTCGACCTCATCTCGTCGAGCGGGCTCGTCGGCGAGCGCACCGTGTCCATGGCCAACTTCTACAACGTCTGGGACTACGTGAGTCTGCCTCTCGGTTCAATCGCGCGCACGAGCTTTGCCGGCTGTCCGAGCACTGACTCGCGGTCGTCCCTGCCCCTTTTTCCCTCCCTCGCGCCGCGCAGATGAACGTCAACTCGATTCACAACGCCTCTTTCGTCGCCAAGCTCAACGAGACGGGCGGCGAGAACACGCTCGCACGAGCGCGCGACCTGGCCAAGTGCGTCCCGCTCCTCGAACCTCCTGCTCCTCTCGTCCACGACCCTGACCTTTCCTCCTCGCCCGCAGCTTCCACGAGTACAACCTTTTCACCGACTCGACGCCTGGAGGACTTGGCAACTGTGCGTCGTCGTCGACTCGAGCCTGTCCTGCTCGGACACACACTGACCTCGTCGCACCACGTGTCCGCAGTGCCAGGCCGCACCGTCTTCTCGCGCATCCTCGAGTCGCTCAACGCCTTTACGGCCGAGGACAACGACGTCGTCCTGTCGCACTATCACTTTGCGTGCGTCCCCTCGTCCTCTCGTCTGTGCGCGAGCGCACGAGTCTGACCTCGCTCGTCGGCTCGCAGCTACAAGCCCTTCCTTTCCATCTTTAGTGCGCCTCGCTCTCCTCCTCCTCCTCAACCAGCACTGACTGGATGCCCCCTCACAGACATGACCAACCTCGCCGCCGCACCCGGCATCGAGTACCCGAACGCCATGGTCGACTATGCGTCGGCGGCCGTGTTCGAGCTGCGCGATGGCGGCTCGGGCCCGAGCGGGTTCGACGTCCGGTTCGGGTTCCGCAACGGGAGCGACACGAGCGACGCGCTCGCGTACTACCCGCTGTTCGGCACCGACAGCGTCGACATGGACCTCGACACGTTCCAGGGCAACCTCCAGGTGCGTCGTCCCTCGTCTCTCTCTCTCTCTCTTGGCAGTCTCAGTTCAGCCAGCCGACCCACACGCATGCCTCGCCTACAGCCGCACGTCATCCCGAACAACACGGTGTGGTGCAACCTCTGCAACAACAACGGCTCGGTCGCCGCATGCTCGGAAATCGCCCTCGCCCAGTCGTACGAGGACCTCGCCGCCAAGTACAAGGACATCGCCGACGGCCACTTTACGAGCGTCGGGTCTGGCTTTATCGGCGCGTGCGTCACGATCGTCGTCGGGCTGGCGGTCCTCGGCTGTGCGTCCCTCTCTCTTTCTCTCTCTCTCTCTCTCTCTCTCTCTCTCTCTCTCTCTCTCTCTTCCTCCCCCCTCCCTTGGCTCTCAGGGCACGCTCACTGTCTCTCTCTCTCTCATCTATCGCAGTGCTTCGTGCACTCGGCTGGGTGCAGTTCGGCAAGCGGCGAGCGGGCGAGGAGGACCGGTACCCGCTGCATAGTGCGCAGAGCTTCAAGGGCTCGGTCGCGAGCCGAGGGTGAGCGGCCGTGGCTCAGGGTCGAGGGCAGCTGTGGGGCCCTCGCTCGTCTTTGTAGATCGTGCAACGATGTAGCTGTTCGTGTCGAGCTGTCGCGGCGCGCTGTTCGAGAGAAGGGTCGTCTCCTCTCGCCCGCTTTGGCCTTCTTGCTCGCTCGTCGACTCGACGGATCAGCGTGCTTTTTCCGGCTCTCTTTCTCTCTCGCTCGATGCGCTCTGTATGTAGCTCCTCGTCTCGCTCTGACAGGTACATCGGCCCCGGCCGTGCGCGCGGTCGACGCTCAGCTTGACCTTCTCAAGTTCGCCTTACAAGTTCGCCTTGGAGGCGTTGGCCTTGAGCCACGCGATGTCGATCTCTGTGAGGCGGGAAGGACGACGACGACGGCGAGGACGACACGAGGGACAAGGGGGAATGGACAGGTACAGAGAGTCAGTACGAGCTCACAGAGTGCGAGAGACAGAGGCCGAGCGACAGAGACGGCGGTGCACGACGAGCCAGGGCCCGTCGTCGCCGCCGCCGCCGCCGCTCGAGCCGCAGCGACGCGAGGACTGCTTTAATTTGCGAGGAAAGACTCGCCGCAATCGAAGTGCCGATGCTATTAGAGGAGGAAGAGCAACCAGCCCAGGCTGCGGGCGAAGAGCTGTTCTTGCGCTCGTTCCTCTCTCGCTCGCGAGCTCCTCGCGGAAAAACGACCGTCGCGACGAGGCTCGGGCCTGCTCTCGACAGACCCATCTCTGCTACTCTCGAGAAAGGGACTGAGAGAGAGAGGGGAAAGAAACAGAACATTGCCCGCACGGACCTCGTCTCGCAAAGCCGCCCTCCAAGTCCTCATCGTCCATCTGTGCGACGCTCACACGACGTCGTCCTCCACGGCTTCGCCGGCCACCGCGACGCCCGTGACGCCCGACGTCGCGCGAGCGACGAGGTGCTCGTCAACGACGACGTCGCCGAGGACCTGCCTCGCGAGCCGGTGGTCGCGCTGCTCGTCGCCGTGCGCGAGATGCGCCGCGCGCCGCTCGGCCTCGAACGCGGCGTGCCACTCGAGCGCCTCGAGCGTCGTGCCCTCGACGACGATGCCCCTCGCCTCGGCGGCCGTCATCGCCTGGCGCAGACCCGCCTCGGTGCACCCGCTCGGGTACTCTGGAGCGAACCACCCGGTGCACATCGGCCAGTGCTCCCAGCGGCAGCGGGTCGATGAGGTCGCTGCACGGCCGACGTCGGCGACTCGCCCGCCCTTGCTGCTGACGATGTGCGACAGGCCGAGACGCTCGAGGCGAGGCAGGTGGCCCGCGTCCTTGAGGACGTGGGCGAGGAGCTCGTCGGTGGCGATGGGCCCGAAAATGCGCAACGAGCGGATGTGCTCGAGGCTGCGCAGGCACTGGAGGCGCAGGTTGAGGTCCTTCGACAGGACGCCGTTGCACACCACGAGGTGCTCGAGTTGGTCGAAGCGCGGCAGGATACCGTGGATCGAGTGCGCAGCTCCGCTGTCGACCGGCACGCCGACCGACTTCATCGACAGCTTGCGCAGACCGGTCGGAGCTGTGTTGAGGAGCGAGGCGAACCAGATGACGGGCGAGAAGTCGGCCATCTCGAGGTCGACGAGCTGCGGCACGAGCGTGCGCAGGTCCGGCCCCCTCCAGGTCTCCTGGACAATGGTGCCCTTGAGAGAGAGGCGGGTCACTCGCGGGAGGGTGAGCGGGACCCGCAGGACCGGCAGAACTGGTGCGTCCGTGCGGTTCTGGGCGACCGACAGGAACTCGAGGGCCGACAGACGAACGAGTTGCCCGACCCAGGCCCGCTCGGCATCGGCGTCGTACTCGTTGCCGGTGTGGCCCGGCTCGCCCTCGGCGCTTTGAAGCACCAGGCGCTTGATCGAGGCGAGCGAGTGAGACGCCGTCTCGCTGAGGACGACGGCGAGGCGGGCCGATCGGAGCCCGTCGAGCCTCAGGGCCTCGATACGGGATAGGCGAGAAAGGACCGCAGCTATGGCGCTCGGCGGGATGATGCTGGCGGCCACGTCCTCGGGCGACAGCGCCTCGCCGTCCTCGTCCGGGTCGCTCAAGCCGTCGTGCTCGTCGCGGACGAAGATGGACAGGTCCATGACGAGCTTGCAGATCTCGGGTGTCGTCACGACGGTGCGGCGGAACAGGGCAAACTCGTCGGGCGAGTGGATCTCGACGCGGCGGTACAGGTGAGCGCGCTGGATGGGCGCGAGGCGGCGGCAGGCGGGCATGCGGCCGAGGACGCGGTCGTCTTGGTCCGCGTAGGCGTGCTCAAACACCTTGTCGATGAGCTCGTTCGGCAGGCGGAGCAGAGGGAAAGGCGGAGAGTGATCTGGTGACGACGCGCTGATGAAGATCTGGTGGGGGACGGGGACGAGGTCAGCGGGCGCGGGAAGGGCGAGAGGACGCGCAGACGCACCTCGTTGTCCATCTTGAAGCGCTGCACAGGTCCCTTGAGCGAGTTGAGAAGAGCGAGCAAGGTGGACGAGGACAAGAGAGCGTGAGCGCGAGCGCGAGGTCAGGGCTCGAGTCGCTTTGTCTCCAACTTTCAAGCGCGCGCATGCGCAGGCAGCGCAGCACGCCCTCGTAGTGTGCGGGAGCACGAGAGAGCAGCTTCTTGCCTCACTCCCGACCCAACCTTCCTCCTCGGCCGAGTTCCTCGCAAGCTCTCTTTCTCCTCGAGTTGGCTCGCGCGCGGCCGCAAAGTTTGGGGAACAGTTGATGTCATTCCACGACTGCTAGCGAGCTCGCGATGCTCGACTCGATGCGAGGGAGGGGTACAGAACGAGGGAGGGAGAGAGGGTATCAAAAGGGAGGAAGGGAGGAGCGAGGCCGTTGAGGACCTCGGGTTCTTTTAGCCGCACGCCGGCGCTCTCCCCGAGGGGACAACGTGGACGTGGACCACCGTGCGAAACCGACTTGGGACCCGGAGAGAAGAAAGCGAAGGAGGAAAGGCCGCGAGAAGGCGACGACGCTTAGTAGCGGTCTGCGAGGGGTTCGACGGTCAGTGAGGAACGGCTGAGATGTCGACGGCGGCACGTACAGTGGTTCGACTTGTACGGGCCGTTCTCGGGGAGGCCGAGGTAGTCGGCCTGGACCGAGGTGAGCTTGGTGCTGCGGACGGGCTCGATCGGGTCAGTGGACGTGCTCGACGTCGATAACGCGTGCAGGACACTCACAGGCGGACGTTGAGGCTCTGGAGGTGAGCGCGGGCGACCTGTGGACGAGAAAGAGGGTCAGGAGGCGGCGGGAGGGCGAGGAGAGCTCGCGCGACGCACCTCCTCGTCAAGCTCCTTCGGCAGGACGTGAACGCCGAGCGGGTACTTTGAGTTGTCGGGCCAGAGGGCCATTTGCGCGAGCACTTACTGGCGGGTAGAGGCGTCAGGACGTGCGAGGGAGGTGTCAGGCGAACGAGAAGGAAGAAGGCGGGCCGCGCCGGCGCCCAACGCGCGGCCACGACCACGGCTCTTGCTCTCGCTCGCTCGTTGAGCTGGAGGACTCATCTGGTTGGTGAACGAGCACGACATGACCCACGACGGGTGGCCAGTGGCGCAGCTGCGGAACGGAAGAGGCGAGTCAGGGCCGGTCGACGACGACGAGGTGACGAGGCGACGGACCCGAGGTTGACGAGGCGGCCCTCGGCGAGGAGGATGATGTGGCGGCCCGACTTCATCGTGTAGCGGTCGACCTGGGGCTTGACGTTGATGCACTCGGCGGCGTTGGCCTTGAGCCACGCGATGTCGATCTCTGCGAGGTGGGAAGGACGACGACGACGGCGAGGACGGTACGAGGGACAAGGGGGAATGGACAGGTACAGAGAGTCAGTACGAGCTTACAGAGTGCGAGAGACAGAGGCCGAGCGACAGAGACGGCGGTGCACGACGAGCCAGGGCCCGTCGTCGCCGCCGCCGCCGCCGCTCGAGCCGCAGCGACGCGAGGACTGCTTTAATTTGCGAGCAAAGACTCGCCGCAATCAAAATGTCCGATGCTATTAGAGGAGGAAGAGGTGGGCGGTCAGTTCAAGGTCCTGCGATGCCGAGAAACCGTCTGGAGGTCTGGGAAGGTCGGGGGGGCCGGTCGGCGCCGACGACACGGTCCCGGCGCCTGCGGCGCAGCTCAGACACCGTAGACGATGCACAGAGTGCACGCGAGGCGCCTGAAGCCGCGTCGAGGCCTGCTCGAGGCTCGAGGCGAGGAGCGGTCCGGGTACGTCGAAAATTGGCGACCACGTTCCCGGCGCTTTCGCTGCCGCAGCGGCGGCGCGCCGACTCGCAGACATCTCCTTGAGAGTGCCTGAGAGGGCGGAAGGTAGGCGGCGAGGAGGAAAGACCTCGAGAGGCCCGCTCGGGATTGGCCGGGAGGAGGTCGAAGAGGAAGCGGGCCGACTCACTTGCAGACAATGGCGTCCTCGGGCATGACCTCGAAGTGCTCGGCACGGATGATGTCGCGGCAGCCGGTGGTCGTGACGAAGATGTTGCCCTGAGGAGCGGCGTCCTCCATCGTGGTGACCTCGAAGCCGGCCATGGCGGCCTGCAGAGCGTTGATCGGGTCGATCTCGGTGATGATGACACGCGAGCCGTACGAGCGGAGCGACTCGGCGCACTGCGAGAGAGCGAGAGGGGAGAGGGTGCAGGAGAGGAGGTCAGTGCGCGGTCGGGCGAGACGAGGAGGACGAGGAAGAGGGGACGCACGCCCTTGCCGACGTCACCGTATCCGGCGACGATGGCGACCTTGCCGGCGAGCATGACGTCGGTGGCACGCTTGATGCCGTCGACGAGCGACTCGCGGCAGCCGTAGAGGTTGTCGAACTTCGACTTGGTGACCGAGCTGTTCGAGGACGAGAATGAGTCAGTCCTCGGGATTTGCCATGGAAAGAAAGACGTCAGGACGCACTCGTTGACGTTGATGGCCGGGATCTTGAGCTTGCCCTCCTTGTGGAGCTTGTAGAGGTGGTGGACGCCGGTGGTGGTCTCCTCCGAGACGCCGTTGATGCCTGCGCGACGAGGCCTCAAGCTTCAGTTCACAGTCGACAATGTCGGAGAGCGCAGGAGACGCACCGGCGAGGAGCTCGGGGTACTTCTCGTGGACGAGCGCGGTGAGGTCACCGCCGTCGTCGAGGATCATGTTGGCGGCCTCGCCGTTCGGGAACGACTTGATCGACTGGTCGATGCACCTGCAGAACCGACGAGCGTCAATAAGACGTCACCGAGACGAGGAGACAGAGCGAGGGACGCACCAGAGGTACTCCTCCTCGGTCTCGCCCTTCCAGGCAAAGACGGGGACGCCGGTCGCGGCAATGGCGGCAGCGGCCTGGTCCTGGGTCGAGAAGATCTGTAGAGAGGCACAGGACGTCAGTAGGACGTCGACAACCGAGCTGGACGAGCAGGACGCACGTTGCACGACGACCAGGTAACCTGGGCACCGAGAGCGGTGAGGGTCTCGATGAGGACGGCGCTGTTGCGGGGCAACATGGTCGTCAGATACGCTCGCCGTATAGGGCACGAGAGGCTCGACGCACGTCTGGATGGTCATGTGGAGGCAGCCGACAACTGAGGGAGGAGAGATGTCAAGAGTGCGCGCTTAGGAAGGCTCGAGTAGAGAGGTCGAAACGCACTGCGGGCGCCCTTGAGCGGCTGCGACGGGCCGTACTGCTTGCGGAGGTACCTGTGTGCCGGATCGAAGCGTCAGAGAGACGAACGATCTAGAGATGCGGCGAGAGGGAGGAGGGAGACGCACATGAGACCGGGCATCTCGTTCTCGGCGATGACGATCTCCTTGCGGCCCCAGGCAGCGAGGGAACTGTGCGGCGTGACGAGGGCGACCGAAAGTCAGCACGCAGGCGAGGTTGAAGAGCGGCGGCCCGAGAGGGGGAGCAACGTGGGGGCGAGGAGCGAGGCTCACATGTCGGCGCTGCGCGGTGCGAGTTGAGGGTCAGTGCGGTTCTCGAAAGGCGGAACAGACAGAGGACGTCACGTACACCTTGTAGACCATCTTGGCTGTTGAGAAGAGGGGAGGTTGGGGGAGGGTTGAGAGGCTGGAAAAGTCGCGGACGAGCAGGAGCGCGACGAGACGACGGGGGGCGGCGGTACAAAGACGGAACGGGGCAAAGGTGAGCTGTCGTTCGATCGAGACGGCTGGCGTGCGCAGGGACTCACGGGACGGGTGGGTGGGGAGGGAGAGGAGTGCGAGCTTGCTGCTGCCACGCTTCCGCCGGTCGAGCCACCGCCGCCCGCTCCTCGTCCGGCTCCGCTCGGCAACGCCGCAGTGCTCGATCTCGCCCTGCAGCCATGCTCGGTCGACCCCATCCACCGCTCGAGCCCAAGGCCGAGTACTTCCAGGTGCGAGTCTCTCTCCCCCTCCTCCCTCCGTCCTCATCTCACCTCGCACTCTCCCCCACAGATCGCTCAGTACACCTGCCTCTACAACGCCGACAAGCGCGCAGTCGACTGCCTGCCCTTTGTCCGCACCTTTATGCAGCTCGGCCGCCAGTGCACCGAGGTGACCCCGACCGTCAACGCCGGTGGTCGTCTTCCTCGAGGCGGGCTCCTCGGCGTCCCCGCCGACGTCGAAGCTGCACAGTGCGTCCTCCTGTTCCCTCTCTCTAGTCTGCCGCCGCCTTCAGCGAGAAGCTGACCTCGCTGCGCCGTCTGCAGAACGGTGCCGGTCAAGGGCTCGCCTCCTCCCGGCATGACCTGAGTCGTCCGGCGCCCTCTCTGAGCTCAACGCTCTCGACATTCCGTACCTGAGTACTCGTCGCTCCTCTCGAGCCATCTGCGACACCGCCGGCGGTCGTTGCCGGCCGTCGAGACGGTCGCGCGAGGCTGCGGCCCCACCTCGAACACCTTCGGCCGCCTCTCGCGGCCGCCAGCCGCTTTTGCTAGAGCTTGCGCGGCCTCTGTGTAGCTCTCTAGATAGTCTGCAACTCGAGCATGTATTCTCCAGAGCAGCGCAAGCCGAGAGAGACTCGCTCGTGCACCGCCTCCGAAGCCGAGCTTGGTCGAAGTTGGAGCGGGCGCGACCTCATCTCGCTCCGCTCCAGCTACCCCCCACGCGCCCCAGCACCGCTAGCATGGCTGCCGCACAGCCCAGATCGATCCTCAAGAAGCGCCCTCGCGCAGCCGTCGACCCGGTCGTCGAGGAGCAGCCCGTCGCGCCCGGCCAACAGCCCTCGGACGCGCCCGTCCGCGTCCCCACGAGCGAGGGCGAGGACGACGACAACGAGGACGAGGACAGCGCAGATGATGCGGACACCGAGGAGGACTTCTCGGCCGGCAGCGACGACGAGACAGAGGGCGAGGGCGACGACGAGGACGACGAGGAGGCCATCCGCGGCATGATGGACGACGACCAAGACCGGCCAGCCAAGAGTGCGTCCAACTTTCTCGTTCACTCTCTCGAGTTTCCCTGGGCCGACTCACTGACGAGCTCGTCCTCCTGCTCGCAGAGCTCAAGCACACGACCCTCCGCCCGGCGACCGCGACCGACTTCTCGACCTCGCTCCAGCACCTCCTGTCTCTGCCCCAGACCGCGTCCAACCCGGTCCCGAAGCACGCCCCTCCCTCGGCGGCGACGCTCCGCCTCGAGCGCCGCGCGCGCTCCGTCCTCCGCGACACCAAGGCGCAGCACCTCGCGCGCGGCCACGTCCGCGACGTCATCGGCGGGTGGGGACCGCGCCCGCCGCTCCCGTTCTCGCAGTGGGACAGCGCGAGCGCGCGCCAGTTCGAGGCGGCCAAGCGCGGCGGCAAGCTCGAGGCCGAGGACAACGAGACGGGCGCCGAGCGCGAGAAGCGCCTGCGGAAACTCGCCCAGCGCGGTGTCGTGCGCCTGTTCAACGCGATTGGCGCGGCGCAGGGCACGGTCGGCAAGGACAAGGACGTCGAGGAGCAGGAGAAGCGCAAGAAGCTCGCCGTCAAGGTCGGCGTCAAGGAGGGCGCCACCGGGCCGGCGACCAACCCGACGGGCGGGCTCAGCCGCAGGCCAAACGTTCTCGGCGCTCGCGGCAAGAACGATGCTCGTGAGTCTCTCTCCTTTCGCCGCAACCGGGACTGCCGACGAGCACGAGGACGGCGAGCTGCGGCAGCCGTTCCTGTTCTCCTCGTTCTCCCTCACTAACTCTCTCTCTCTTTCGCGCGCAGTGACGAGTCTGTCCAAGGCGTCTTTCCTCGACCTCATTCGTGCGGGTACCGGCGCGTAGCTTGTTGCAGTTCTAGCGCGGTGCGAGAGACTCGAGTTTCTGGCGGTTCGGCTCGAGAGAAGGCGAGGCTTGAGCGCTAGCGAGTTGTCGCTCGCTGCACATCCCCTGCCGCTCTGTGAGAATAGGAAATGCGAAAGCGCACTCGCAGAAGCCTCTCGCCGAGAGTACGAGCTCCCTCGTCCGCCTGAGCTAGCCTTCACCGCCTCGCTCGCTGTTCGCGCTTGCTCTACGCTCTCGTCCCGCCACGAGCTTCTGCGTCCTGCTACGCACGCGTTCTCAGCCACTTTTTGCCGGCCCTGCAGCCCCTGTATCGCCGTCAAGCACCTCCAGTCGCGCAGCAAGTATGGCGACCTCGACCCCGGCCGAGGCGACTTTCCTCGAGTGGTTCAAGGCGGCGGGCGGCACGGTGCACCCGGCAGTGCAGCTCAAGGAAGACTGCGAGGGTATGGGTCGTGGCGCCATCGCCGGCGAGGACATCGAGGTGCGCTTGACCTCCTCGCCCAACTCGTCGCTCCTTGTCGACGAGCGATGACAGCCTTACAGGGGCCGCCCGACTGACTCGTCGCTTCCACAGGCCGACACACTCCTCTTTTCAATCCCGCGCAACATCCTCCTCACGACCGCGACCGCGTCGCTCCAGTCGCTCCTCCCGCCCGACGCCTGGTCCTCGCTCGGCGGCTGGACGCCCCTCATCCTCAGCATGATGCGCGAGTACCTCCGCACGTCGACCTGGACGCCCTACTTTGCGCTCCTCCCGACCCGGTTCGACGCCCTCATGCACTGGTCGCCCGACGAGCTCGACGAGCTCAAGGGCAGCAATGTCCTGACCAAAGTCGGGCGCGACGAGGCCGACGAGGAGTACGAGGACACAGTCAAGGCGTTCGTCAAGGAGCACGAGGACGTGTTCGGCAACGCCGACGAGTACACGGCCGAGCTGTTCCACCGGATGGGCAGCCTCGTCCTGAGCCGGAGCTTCCACGTCGACTCGAAGGACGAGAACGAGGACGAGGAGGACAGCGACGACGAGGACGACGAGGAAGAAGAGCGAGAGGACGTCGCAGACGTCGCCATGGTCCCGTTCGCCGACATCCTCAACGCCAAGAGCGGGTCCGACAACGTGCGTCGACTCTTGCCTCTCTCTCGTTCCCCTTTCACACGGTCCGAGCACCCTGACACTCTTTCCTCGTTGCACAGGCACGCCTCTTCTACGAGCCGGCGACGCTCAACATGATGTCGACGCAGCGCATCCCTGCCGGCGCCCAGATCTTCAACACGTACGCCGACCCGCCCAACTCGGACCTCTTGCGGCGGTACGGCCACGTCGACGAGTTCAACGACGCCGACTTGGTCGAGATCGGGCTCGAGACGGTCGTCGACTTGGTCGGCGCGGCGGCGGGCCTGAGCGAGGAGGAGCGCGAGGCGAGGGCAGAGTGGCTGCTCGAGGTCGGCGTCGACGAGTGAGTCCCGACTTCCCTCCCACGTCCGTTCGCACCCCATGTCCTGCCCACCTTTTGCCGACCGTGTCGAGTAGGCGGTCCGTCGACGCCAGAGAAGGAGAATTGACTCGCCCCGTCCCGACCCTCCCCCTCGTGCAGCACCTACGCGATCGAGACCGACCACAAGCTGCCCGACGAGCTCATCATGGCCATCCGCACGTTCCTCCTCGACGAGGCCGACTACGCCAAGGCGCAGAAGAAGGAGTCGCCGCCCAAGCCAAAGGTCGACCCGGCCACGGCAGAGTGGGCCCGCAAGATCCTCGACCACCGCCTGAGCGAGTACTCGACCAGCATCGAGGTGCGTCCCCTCTTTCTCTCTGCCCGAGTACTGCGTGTCGGCGGTCGGCCTCTGCGCGCCCGACGCCGCCGCGACGGCCGCGCGCGCGCGCGCTCGCGCTCGTCGACGGGTCACCCCTCCTCTCCCGCCCTATCTCGCCGCCACTGCGGCCCATCCGCTCTCGTCGCGCCTATCTTCCTTTCACGAGCAGTGCCTCTCATTGCGAGTGGCGGTTACTGACGATCGGGTCGAGCCCTGCGCAGGACGACGAAGCGGCTCTCAAGCAGGTCGACTCGGCCGTGCTCCCTCTGCGCAAGCGGATGGCCCTGATCGTGCGCGTGGGCGAGAAGCGCATCCTGCGCGCCGCACGAGACAAGCTCGTCGCCGAGTTCCCCGCGACGGGCGCAGCGCGGGCGCAGAAGAAGGAGAAGAAGCGCGCGAGGGAGGGCGAGGCGGCGGGCGGCAAGGCGTCGTCGTCCTCGGGCAAGAAGACCAAGGTCCGGCAATGAAGCTGCGCTCTCTTCTCCTCGTGTGCGTGGCTGCGAGCGAGCGCAGTGTCGCGTGAGTCTCGAGCGAGGACGGGCCGCCCCTCGCGCTGCGCCGTATCGGGCGAGCCTCCGGAATGCGATTGCGGTTTTATCCCGCCCGGCTCGTCCGCTCCACCCGCGCCCTCGCCGAATCGCCGCTATCATGCACCTGCCGCAGGCCACAGAGAGCTGCTGGACCCTCTAGAGAGCCATGGGAGCAAGCAGCGCGCGAACTTGGGAAGGTCCTGCCAAGCACTGACCGACGATTCCTCCCCCCGCCGTTAGCGCTTTGACCATGCGGCGTCGAGGCCGACGACTGAGAGCCTCGACTCGTGCCTGGCACAAACCGAGCGCGGGGTAGGGCAAGATAGGCGCGGCCGGCTGCTCTTTCCTCGACCCCTTGCTCTCGCTCGTCCTTGCTCCTCGCTCTCTCTCTCACTTCACCACTCGCTATCCCGACTAGCGCCATGGCGTCTCGTCTCGCACGCACCAAGGCCGACCTCAGCGCCAAGAAGCACCTGTCTGGCTGGGTGCTGCCGAAGCCTGAGAGCGCCGTGCGTCCCTCGCCTCGCTTCCCTCTCCCCCCCTCGAACGCCCCCCTGACGGGGCCTGCACCGCCTGCAGTTCACGCCCGAGCACCAATGGTCGAACCACGGTGCGCTCTCGTCTGCTCGAGCGGTCGCGGCGGCGTGATTCAGGATCATCGCTGATCCCAGCTCGACTCCCCCTCTGCCCCTCCTCCGCGTCGCCCACCACACTCTGGTCGCCATGCGCTGCTGCAGACATGGAGCCTGTACCGGTTGAGGAGCAGTCGTGGACGAGCGCGACCTTTGCGGCGTGAGTCAGCCGGTTCCTCTCTCCCTCCCCCTCGTCTCGCCATCGCGTTGCCGACCTGTGCCGCGAGTCGACGACTGACCTTCTTGCGCCCGCCCACGTCTACAGCTACTGGTTCAGCGACTTGATCAACGCTGGCTCGTGGTCGCAGATCTCGTCGTTCGTGTCCCTCGGGCTCACTTGGTGCGTCGCCATCGCCGTTCCCTCTCTCGGTCTCTCGTTCGCGGCACTGACCCTCATCCCGGCGCACAGGTGGCAGGGTCTTTTGGCAACCTTCACGGGCGGTGTCTTGCTCTGCGTCGTCATCGTCTTCAACGTGCGTCGACCGTCCCTCGATCCTCGTCCTCTTCCCCCTCCTCCCGGCTCGTTTCGCCCTCTCCTGCCTCCTCAACGTCATCATTTCGAGCGTCAGCCGCCTCCTTTCGAGGTCGGCGAGACTGGCGCGAACCGCACAGAGCAGCTCGAGCCCGGGGACCGTCACTGACGCGCGCTCTGTCCTCCCTCGCAGGGTATCATCGGCGCTCGTCTTCACGTGCCCTTCTCCATCAGCTCCCGCGCCGCCTACGGGTACCACCTGTCGCGCTTCGCTGTCGTCTCGCGCATGGTCATCGCCTGGTTCTGGTTCTCCATCAAGTGCGTCGCGCCGCCGAGTCCTCCCTCCCCTTTCCTCCTCCCTCCCCCTTCCCTCACCTCTCTACCCTCGCCTCGTTCCTCGCTCTCTCTCTCTACGGTCCATGAGCGAGTATCCTGACCGCTCGTCGCCTGCAGCACGTACCAGGGCGGCACGGGCGTCAAGATCTGCCTCACCGCCATCTGGCCCTCGTTCGCCAACCTGAAGAACACCCTGCCCGAGTCGGCCGGCGTCGACAGCTCCAGCATGCTCTGCTTCTTCCTTTTCTGGCTCTTCCAGGTGAGCCGCACGGTTCCTCAACCCACTCGGGCCCAAGTCGCCGCGGCAGCCGAACTCACCCTCTCCTTCCTCGCCGTTCACAGTTCCCGTTCACGCTCATCCACCCTCGCAAGCTCCGCCCCATCTTCCTCGTCAAGGCCATCACGCTCCCGATCGTCGCCATCGCCATGATGGGCTGGACGATCCACCAGGCCGGCGACCGCGCGTCCGAGGTCATGCGCGAGCCGTCCAAGCTACACGGCCTCGACGGCTGGTACGCCTTCATGACTGCGGTAACGGCGTGCATGGGAACGTGGTCGAGTGCGTCCTGCCGCTCCATGTCGTCTGCGCCGCCTTTGCGCCCGCAACCCGGACTGACCTCGTCGTCCCTGCGACAGCCATGGCGTGCAACATCGGCGACTTCTCTCGGTACAGCAGGAAGGAGACGGCCGCCTGGCTCCAGATGCTCTTCGTCCCCGCCATGTGGACCATCTGCGCCCTGTTCGGCGCCGTCGCCGCCAACATGACGACCGTCATCCCTCGGTACGACGGCGTCGCGACTTTCCAGCCGTTCGACCTCATCGAGAACGGCGGGTGGCTCGAGTCGAAGGGTGGGCGTGCCGCAGCCTTCTTCTGCTCGGCCGCTTGGGCGCTCGGCAACATGACCACCAACATCACCGCCAAGTTCGTCCCGTCTCCCTTGCCTCCCCTCCTCCACCCGCAACCTCTCTCTCCCTCGCCACTCTTTCCCCTCGCACACCTCTTTGCTATCCTCTCGAGCGCCGTCCGAGTCCCGAGCGCCTCGAGCCGCCGTCGCTTCCCTTGTCCGTCCACCCACTGACCCTCCTCTCCTCGTCTCCCGCCGGCCCACAGCTCGATCTCGTCGGCCAACGACCTCGCCTCGCTCTTCCCCAAGTGGGTCAACATCTTCCGCGGGCAGATGTTCGCCGTCATCATCGGCGTGTGGGCGTTCGCGCCGTGGAAGGTCCTGTCGTCGGCGGGCTCGTTCATCAGCTTCATGTCCTCGTGCGTCCTCCTGCCCTCTTCTCCTCTCCCACGACGACTCTTTTCACGAGTCCCTGAACGAGGACTGACAAGGACCACGTCGCAATGGCAGGTACTCGATCGTCCTGGCGCCCATCGCCGCCATCCTCTGCTCGGACTTCTTCCTCGTCAAGAAGAGCAAGTACAACGTGCCCGAGCTCTACAACTACGGTCGTGGCCTCTACCGGTACGTCCCTCTCTCGTGACCCTCGCATCGCCGTCGCCTGAGCGCTTGCAGAGCCTCGACACCCGCGCACGGTCCCTGACTCTCCTCGCCTCGCGCAGCTACACCTACGGCTTCAACCTCCCCGCGCTCGGCGCCCTCCTCGTCAGCATTCCGCCCAACTTGCCCGGCATGATCAACGCCCTCAACTCGAGCGTCGAAATCGGCAACGCCAAGTACATCTGTGTGTCCCTCTCCTCCCCTCTCCCTCCCTCGCCGAGCGCCGACTGACTCTCTCGGCCGCATCGCGCAGACTGCATGGCCGACATCTTTGGCATCTTGATCGCCGGCTCCGTTCATGTGGGCCTGTCCAAGGTACGCCCCATCTCGCCCGACCTCCCTCGATCCGAGAACGCGCCTGACCTGGACTCTCTCGCGCGCAGCTCTTCCCCAACCGCGACTCGCTCATCGCCGAGGCCGTCCTCGCCGAGGACGTGCTCGAGGGCCGTGTCCCGGGCTACGAGCACCTCGCGCGCCGCGAGTTCCGGCCGCAGGGCTCGATCACGCCGAGCGACGAGAAGCTCGACGGCGACGCTATGGTCGGGTCGGTGTAGACGGACGCGGCAAAGTTCAAGGTCGTGTGTCTGTGCGTGTGTGTGGGCTGTCGCTGTTGTGTTTCCCTGTCGTCTCGGGCCCGTTCGCGAGGGAGAAAGGGCCGCCGGATCCGTTCCTCGTCGGCGAGCCTCTTTAGACTTCTTTTTTGTAGACTCGCATCGCGTAATGAGCTCTTGTTCTTTCACTCGCGGGTCCTCACAGAACGCTGTGCCTCGTTCGAGCGGTATTTGAGCGTGAGCCACGCTGCGTCGGCGAGCGAGCGACTCGCGTCGCGCTCGCCTCCTTCGTTCTCGTCCACCTCGCTCGCTCTTCTGTACTCGCTCAAGATACCTGTGCAGGTCGTCAAGACGAACGACGAGGTGCGTCTGCACGCCCTCCCACTCCTTTTGTGCACGCTGACCCTCTCCCACACCTGCAGCTCCTCATCAGCTCGTCGTCCTCCCCGAACTCGACCTCCCCTCCTCCCCTCCTCCGCCTGTCAAACGAGCTCCTCGGCACCATCTTCAGCCTCGCGTACGAGCATTGGGCCAATCGGCCGAACGCGCGTCGACCCATCTGCCGCCGCCTCCTGCCGTTCCAGCGCGCCGTCTTGTACCGTCGCGTCAAGCTCCGCAAGTACGAGGCGCTCAAGCTGTTCCTCCGCACGGCGTGGGTTCCAGCACCTGCGCTGAGCTGGTGCGGCACCTGGAGATCGAGGCGGCCTACCAGAACGAGTTCGAGGCCGACGGCAGCAACAAGGGCCACCGGACAGGGTATTTACCCGGCGACCCCAACCTGCGCAAGATTGTCACGCCCGTCGAGTTTGCGACACTCGTTCCGCGCCTGTCGAACCTCGAGTCGCTCAAGACTGCCGATTTCGACCCGGCGCTCCTCGACGTCGTCTTCCTCGACCAGGACGCGTCGCGGTCCTTGTCGTCGCTCACGACCCTCGAGTTCTCGATGGGCTTTGTACCACTCGTACCGCCCGAGTGCGACGCCGGCGACTGGGTGCAGCGCCTCTCGTGCCTGCCTCGTCTCGCCGACCTCGCCCTGCACGAGCTGGCCGTCGATCAGCCGATCCTGCCCGTCATGTCCGTCCCACCGACCTTCCAGTGCCTCACGCGCCTCGTCCTCAGCTCGGGTCCGTCGTCGAACGCGAATCCTTGGGCATGCCCCGCGCTCGACCAGATGGCGCCCAACCTCGTCGAGCTTGCGCTCTCTCGACCGCACCCGTCGACCTGCGCCGCCTGTCGCTCATCAACCGGTTCGGCTTTATGCATGGCGACCGGCCGTCGCCTATCGAGGTCACCGCCATCCTCGCCCGCTTCGAGCGGCTCGAGCGGCTCAGCCTCGGCTACGGCGCGCTCGACGTCCACCAGCCGTCCGGGCTCGCCGCCCTCCTGGTCCTCGACAAGCTCCAGCACCTCTCCTTCGACGATGTCGAGCCCATCCCCGACAGCTTCTTTTTCACCCTCCTCGCCAGTCCGACCAACCTCCCCAACCTCGTCACCCTCGAGCTCCACCACGTCTACTCGGCCCGAGGCCACACCATGGAGGAGATGCGCGGCGTCCTTCCACCCTTCGAGGACCAGGCGGGCTACCCGCACTGGCCCATGTGGGACAACTGGGTCGAGCCGCAGTACCCGGACAGCTGCTCCGAGGCGGGCCTCGTCGCCGTCGTCCGAGCCGCCGAGGCGAGGGGCATCGTCGTCACGGGCGCAGCGTGCGACGCGCTCGAGTGGCGGGCGGCGTTCGACGCCGAGCTGCGCGTCGCGCTCCTCGCGCTCGGCGACCTGACGGGCGAGTACCGCCGCGCGAGGGAGGTCCTCGGCAACGCGGTCGTCAACGCCCACATCCTCGCCAGGGCGCGAGCGAGCGTCGAGGGCGGCGGGGCGTGAGGAGCGGTGCGGTGCGGCGGGACGTCGGGCGAGGGCTCGACTCGAGAGAGGTCTCGGCGCGAGGAGGGTCGGGCGTGCAAGGTCCCTTGTTCTCGGCCGTCGCGCTCTCTATCTCTCGCCTCTCGACTCGAGAGACGTACCGAGAGCTGCTTTGTGAGCTTGCGCCACGATTCGAAGCATGAGCGGCGCTGGCGACAGGCTTTCGAGGGCTCGAGAGCAGCTGCCATCGCCCGCTCATCTCTGACAGCGCTCGTCTCTCGTCTCTCGCCAGCTGAACACGTCTCGAGATAGCGTCAAGCTGCGGCTCGCCACGCATCAGCTCTGCTCGGCGCGAGCCTGGGCGTCGTCGCCAGAGGACGGACGAGCCTCCTCGTCCTGCTGCGCCGCTTCTAGCCCGCCGCGCGGTCCCGATCCTCGACGTGTCAAGTCCCGCTCGCGGTCAAACCGCTCGCCGCAGCTCGCAGTTTGCGGTAGCGCGAGAGCTCGACTCGAGGACAGCGCAGGCGCGAGTCGAGGGACAGCAGCGTGTAGGCGACGGCGGCGAGCGAGTCGGCCGGCCGGTTGCAGCAGAGAGGGTCCTCGAGGTGGTCGAGCGCAGAGAGCGTGCGTGCACTCGGAACCATGGCTCGAGGATCGCTCGCGAACGAACGAGCTGGCGAGACGCAGGAAGCAGAGGAAGCCAGTGACCGCGGCCGAGACTGGCGCGCTCGACAAGAGCGCATGAGAGCGATAGAGCACTCTGCCCGAGCGCCAGGTGCCGGCGAGCGTGAGCCGTGAGCGTGGACGGAGGAGAGAGGGACGAGGAGGAGGCGAGCCGGTTGTCGCTCGTCGCTCGTCCCCGCACACGCTCAGTCCCGGGCCAGCACTACTCGCCCGCCTGTTCCCGCACACCTCAGCACCATGGCCAACCTCGGAACGCCCATCCGCCTCTTGCACGAGTCGCTCGGGCACGTAATCACCCTCGAGCTCAAGACTGGCCAGGTCTACCGCGGCAAGCTGTACGACGGTGCGCTCCCCTTTCTCTCGCACCTCTCCTGGGCAGGTCTGCGGCGCGCGCTCGGCCACGAGCGAGCGAGACGGCGAGGGGCGAGGTGGACAAGGTTGGGCGGGGCGATGAACTCGAGGGCGGCGCAAGCGGGCAGCGGGCTGGGCAGAGCGGTCCATGGGCGAGCTCAGGAGTGCTCTGGCGGGTCCTAGACGCGCAGGCGAGCTCCCACAGGCGATGCTCGTCCTCGCTCCTCCGCCCCTCTCCTCCTCGACCCACTCGGCTCCCTCCTCCCTCTCGCGCGCAAGGCCGAGCCCGCGCAGCACATTCGTCCGAGCCAAGGATCACCACTGACCATCTCTCGCACCTGCGCGCAGCCGAGGACTCGCTCTCGGTCTCGCTCACCAACTGCACCGTCACCCACCGCGACGGCCGTGTCACCCAGCTCGACCAGGTGCGTCCGCGCTCTCCTAGACTGCTCTGCCTGCTCCTCAGGAGTAACCGAGCTAACTTGACGGCGGTTACGCGCAGGTCTACATTCGCGGCGCGTCGGTGCGGTTCTACGTCGTGCCCGACATGCTCTCGCAGGCTCCCATGTGCGTCGCCAGTCTCTCTCTCTTCCAGCTAACTGAGCCACAAGGTGCACACGAGCGCACCTGCAGCTCTACTCCCAGCTGTAGTCCTGAGACTGACTCGCTCGCCTCGTACTTCTGCAGGTTCAAGCGCGGCGTCGGCGCGACGGGCCTCAAGGGTCGCGGCATTGGAAGCGCACGTGGCCGCGCGACCATCATGCGTGCGCAGAGTCGGCGGGGCGGTCCGGCGCGCGGCGGTGCGGGGCGTCCGCCTATCCGTCGTTGAGCGGGAGCCGCGAGAGCTTGTTGCTCGAGGTGGAGGAGGGCGAGGAGGACGAGCTTGTAGGGAACCCGCAATGGCCCGCTTTGTACACTCTCCGGGCTGTGTGAGAGCAGTGTATCGCTCGTGAGCTGCGTGTACGGTCGAAAGCTTCGAGATTGAACGCTCGTCGCGGTCGGTCAAGACGAGAGCGGCGCGCCGCCTTCTTCTCGCTCATCTCGCCTCGTCCGCCTGCTGAACGAGCGCGTAGCCGCTGCAGTAGAGCCCTATACTCGACTGCAAGGCGCTCTACATGGACCCGCCGCCGCCTCGCGCGTCGTTCGCCCCCTCGTCGACTTCATCTCTCGCTCCCTCAACCTCGCCAACCGCGTCCCGGTCCAAGTCGCGCTCGATAACAGCAGCACCAGCGGGCACCTACAGCACCTCGGGCACCACGACCCGGTCCGCCAACGCCCCAGCCGCGCCCCCGACCCCCGCCGGCCCCTCCTCCTCCTCCTCGGCCGCGCTCCTCGCCGCGTCGACCGCCGCCTCGCCCCACTACACGACCTCGCTCCGCTCGCGCCACTCGCTGTACGGCACCGAGGACCGCGTCGTGCTCGACCTCGGCAGCAGCGTGTGGAAGGTCGGCTTCAGCGGCGAGTCGCAGCCCCGCGCGTGCGCGAGCGTCGTGAGCGAGCTCGCGCGCGAGAGGGCGAGGGGCCCGGCGGCGCCGGCGCCGGTGGCGAGTGCGGCCTCGAGTGCGAGGGCGGGCGCGGCGGGAGGGGAGGAGGGCGCAGCGCTGTGGGGGCTCGAGAAGGGCGAGCCGGGCGAGGTCGAGTGGATGGTGCGGGAGGAAAGGGTCAAGCGGTTGCTGCGGCGGCTCTGGTTCGAGTGAGTCGAACTCTCACTTCCTCCTCGTGCTGTCGAGCGCCAGCCATGAGTTGGTCGAAGACGGTCCGCGTCGTCGCCCACCTCTTCATGTTCCTCGCCCTCGAGCAGGTACTGAGACCTCGTTCGGCTCCACAGGGACCTCATGATCGACCCCAAGACGCGCAAGGTCATCGTCCTCGAGAACCCGCTCTTGCCCAACCGCGTCAAGGAGATGATCGCGCGCGTCCTGTTCGACAACCTCCAGGTCCGTCCTGCCCACTCTCGCTCCTCGTCGACCCACGCACTCACGCTTCTCGTCCTGCAGGTTCCGTCGATGGGCTTTGCGTGCTCGCCTTTGCTCGCCCTCATGGCCGCAGGCGCCGTGTCGGGCCTCGTCGTCGACGTCGGCCACCTCGAGACGACCGTTCTCCCTGTGCGTCCCTCCTCTTATCGACCCCTCGCATCCCGACTCACTCGCCCCCGACACAGATCTTCCATTCCCGTCCCTTATTTCCTCTCCTCACGACCACCCCTCGCGCCGGCGCCCGCCTCACCCGCCGCCTGCGCTCCCTCCTCCTCGCGTTCGCCTCGTACTCCCCACCGCCCTCGTCCGTCAACTCGATGACGCCGCCGACGATCGGCCGCGTCCCGCGCGAGCTCCTCACGGACGAGCTCGTCGAGGAGATCAAGACGCGCCTGTGCTTCGTCGGCGAGCCGCTCCCGCCGCCGGTGCAGCGCGGCGCTCGCGCCTCTTCGGCCGTCTCGGGCTCGGCCATGAGCCTCGACGTGCCCTCATCGCCCGCCGTCGCCGTCGGCGACTCGTCGAGCGACCCCGACGCCGCGCTCGTGCAGCACCTCGCGGCGCGGTACGCCTCGACCGCGCCGAGCACGACCGACGTCGCGTTCCGGGTGCCCACCCTGTCGCAGCCGCCGGTCGCGAGCGGCGTCGGGCGCGGGTGGGTGCAGGTGCCTGGGTGGGTGAGGGAGCGTGTGGCCGAGGTGCTGTGGGAGGAGGGAGCAGAGGAGGACGAGGGCGGGATTGGCGAGGGCGAGGAGAGCGGGTTGGCAGGGGTCGTGCTCGACTGCTTGCTCAAGGTGCGTCCTGCTCTCTCCCTCTTCTCTGTATCGAGCTCTTGGACCATGTAGACGTACTGATCTTGCTCGTCGCCCGCAGCTCCCGATCGACTTGCGCAAACCTCTCGCATCGTCCATCCTCGTCTTCGGCGGCACGGCCTCGATGCCGGGCTTCTTCCCGCGCTTCAAGGCCTCGCTCATCGCGCAACTCGAGCGCTCGCACCCGCCGAGCCCGCCGCCGTCGCCGCCCCTCCCCTCGTCCTCGACGTCCGCCTCGAGCCCGACCGAGGACGACCCGATGCGCTCGTCGACCTCGCCCGCCACCGACGCGCCGACGCCTGTCGCGACCGCCGCAGACCCGCAGGCGGTCGCCAAACACCGTCGCCGCCGCGCCCTCACGTTGCGGCTGCACACGCTGCGCCACTCGCCGCGCTGGGCGCCGCTCGCGCCCCTCGCGCCGCACCTCGCCATCCTCAACCACCCCTCTCCCTCGTCTGTCTCCACCTCCACCTCCTCGTCGGCATCGCCGCTCCTCGCCTCGTCCCTCGCCCGCGAGCGCGAGGGCTCGGCACCGGCGTTCGCGCCCGCGCTCCAGGCGTGGATCGGCGGCTCGCTCGCTGGCGCGCTCAAGGTCGGCGGCGTCGAGGTCGTGCGCGAGGAGTGGGACGCGGCGGGTGCGGGTGTGGGGGCTGCGGCGGGAAGGACGGCGGAGGAGGAAGGAGAAGGGGAGGGAGAGTGGGAGGAGGAGGAGAGGGCGGCGAGGAGGAGGAGGGGCGCGAGGCTGCCGGACTGGACGAGGTTGTCCTGAGGGGTCTCGAGCTGAGTAGGGGGCCAACGGGTGGTCGTGCTCTCTCTCTCTCTCTGCCGAGCTGAGGGCGAACGAGAGAAACTCGGAACGTGCTTGCGCTGGAAATACTGCCTCTCGCCCTCGCGTGGCTGCGCATCTATCTACGCCTCGCTCGCCCACCGTACACCCTGCACTCGACCTCGCTCCTTCTCCACCGCTCGTCGCCGCTCATGCTTGATGAGCTCCCGCCGCACCTCGTCCAGACCGTCCTCGACAGCCTCGACCAGTTGCCGCCGCCGCCGGGGCTCGTCTTCGAGCAGCGCCCTCCTGCATTCGATGGCCTCGGCGAGCCGATCGAGGAGCTGCAGTGCTCGTTGGACGATGGCTGGGAGGGCGGCGGGCGCGAGGTCGAGGAGGGTGAGGGTGGCTCGGAACGACGAGCCGAGGAGGAGTGCGAGGAACGGCAGTCGGGCGTCGAGAGGCTGTTGCTCGGTCAAGTCAGCCCGTGCTCTGCTGTCTGCGCGTTGTCGATGCGCGGGATTGAGAGGCGAAGAGCCGAAAGCGCACCTGTTCGTCCTTAATCGCGAGCGCGAGAGGAGGTGCGACGCCAGGTGGACGCCGCTCTGCCGGTGCGGGCGAGCGCATCTCTCGCAGTCTCGGTGCCTTGAGAGGTTGTGCAAGAGCTAAGGAGGACGACCCGCGAGAGTGACAGGTCAACGAGGTGCTCGCCGCTTGCCGGTTGACATCGACGCGCGCGAGGGGCCTGAGCAGAAGGTCGAGGTGACTTGGAGCGAGACAAAGGGAACGAGGTGCTCGCGGCGTGCTGAACGAGGTGCATTGCGAGAGGAGGATCGGGTGGGTGTGCGTGTGCGGGGCTAGACAGGGCGAGCTACAAAATATGCGACGAGGAGGTTCGGGACGAGGGAAGGGCAGGACGACGGCTCGCTCGACGTCAAGCTCGGCCAAGCCTCGTACGAGTGCGGAGCTTGCGACTGGCGCGTGCAGCTCGACGCGCTAAGACGGACTTGGCGCGTCGAGCGAGGCGCAGCTCTCGAGGCGGCGGTGCGCGGTCGAAAGCCGAGAGCGGGCCGAGGGACGAGGAGCGAGAAATCTGCAGGCGGACGTGCGTCAAGAGCTGCACGCGAAAGAGAGAGAGAGAGAGAGGACGATGCGACGCACCTCGAACGCTCGAACTCGTGCCCCCACTCAGCCCTGCTTGGCCTTTGCGACCCTCCTCCCCCTGCCGACCTTTGCCCTCGGCTCGTCCTGCGCGCCCTCCTTGAGCCTCGACTGCCCGGCCGCCTCCTTGGGCTTCCAGTAGCCCTTGCCGTACGACACGCAGATCTCGGCGCCCTTTGCGACGCCGTGCGGGCCCGCCCAGACGGCCATGCGCGCGCCCTTGCGGCCTGCGACGCCCGGGATGTCCCACGTGCGCAGCTCGAACACGGCGTTGGCGCGCTCGTAGCCCGGCACGCCGCGGTAGTCGTTGACGAAGCGTGCCTCGCCGCCCATCTTGGTCGCGTCGCACCCGACGACCTCGAACCGCTGCTCGCGCTCTTGCTCCTGCTGCTGCTCCTGCGCGCCGGCGCCGACGCCCTCGCCCTCGTTCTCGCCCTCGGCCGTCGAGACAGGCCGTCGCTCGAGCGACAGGTCGTACTCGCTCTTGGGGTCGGCCTCGCGCTCGTCGTGCACGTAGCCGAGGTAGTCGCGGATCCAAGTCCCGCGCTCGATGGCCGCCTTGCCGTCGTTGAAAAGGCCACGCTGACCCTTTGCCGGGTGACGTGCGTCGGTGATGGTGCGGATCGCGACGCGTGGCGGAGCGTTCGGGACGAGGTGCGGCGGACAAGGCGTGCAGTAGGTGAGGCGGTCGAGGGCGGAGAGGAGGGGCGAGGCGACAGGGGTCGTGAGGAACTGGATGTGGGCGGGAAAGTCGGCTGGAGGCTTGGTAGAGGTCATGGTGGTGCTGCAGGTGCCTGCGCAGCGTGGGAGGGTGCGAGTGAGCTTCATCAGTTCGCCGGGTTTGAGGAGGTGGAGAGAAACGACAACGACGTACAGACCGGTGGATGACCTCGGCGGGGCTGCTCACGGTCTATAGATGGCTTTAAGCAGTACCGCAAGCTAGTCTGAGCGCGAGCGAGCTGACGGCGGGAGCAAGTCGGGGAGCTCGACCTCGACTCGAGCGAAGTCGACCAAAGCACTCTCGATTCCTCGACGAGCGTCTCTCTGAGCCGCAGCGAAGGTGCTTTGTGGATACCAGAACTCTTTGCGAAAGAAGAGAGCCGAATCGAGAGCGAACTGCTTGCGAGATGGATCGTGAGGGATGAGGGGCGGGGCTACCAAAGTGTCTGCGTCGTGACAGGAAGAAGGGAACGAGGGACAAGACAACGAGGAAAGGGAGAGGGGTCCGGGAGAGAGAGAGAGAGAGAGGGCGACCTCGAGACGACTCGACCTGCGCGCCGTCGTCGCGCGCCTAGCGCATCCCTCCCACGAGCGCCTCGGCCGGCGGCCGCCCGTCGTACGGCTCGGCGTACCGCATGACGCTCGGCGAGTCGAGCGACGCCCCGCGAGCCGCACTCGGCAACGGCGGCGGCGGCGGCGTCGCCAGGCCCACCTCGGCGCTCGACTGGCGGTGCTGGCTCTTCTTGCCGCCGTTCGAGCCGAACGACAGCGAGAAGACCTTGGGCCGACTGCGCGACTTGCGCACCGTGTGCTGCTGCTGCTGCTCGTCCTGCTCGCGGTCGCCGCCGACGAGGCCGAACTCTTGCGCGAGCGACGCACGCGAGTCGGCGGCCGGGCTCGAGCCGAGCGTGTACGCCGAGCGCGACGCGCCGTAGTTGCCGTACGGGCCGGCCGAGGCGAGAGGGGCGTCGAAGCTTGCCGGCGGGCCGGCTCGCGGCGCGACGTCGGCGGCGTGGGCGGCGTGGTACGGGTCGTACGGCGAGGCGCCGTGAGGCGAGGGCGAGCCGCCGCGGTTGGTCGCCTCGGACGGGAGGAGCGGGAGCGACTTTTGCGACCGAGGCTGCGGCGGCGGCTGGAGGAGCTCGTGCTCGTCGTCGTGCTGCTGCTCCGGGTCGAGGTCGAGGTCGTCGACGGCGCCGGCGAGGACCTCGGTCTCGGTCTCGGCGTCGCCCGGCCCGCCGCCGAGCACCTGACCGCCGCCAAACGACCCAGGGCGGCGCACCGAGTCGAGCGAAGGCCTGCCGACCCAGCTGTTGCGGCTCGGGACCGTCGACGCCCTGGCGCCCGCACCGCTCGCCGCCTTGTTGCCGCCGCCGCCGCCGCTGCCGCCGTTGCCGTTCGAGCGCGTCGAGGTGAACGACCCGAGCGTGAGGATGCTCTGGCGGTCGGCGGCGTGCCCGCCGCCGGGCATGGGCATGTGGTAGCTCTGGCGGAACTGCTGCTGAGGCGGGAGCGGCGGCGTGTAGGGCCCGAGCGAGTCGACGCTCGACGAGCTGCCCGACCGCAGGTGGTACCGCGGCTCGTTGGCGAGCGCCGACAGCGGCGGCGGCGGCGCGAGCTCGTCGTCGTCGGCGCCGGCGCCGGCGCCGCCGTACCGCGACCCGGGCCCGAGCGACGCGTCGAACGGCGCGCCGCGGTCGACCGCGCCCGCCGGCGCCGCCTCGCCGCGACCGCCGCCGCGAGCGAGACCGAGCCCGCCCGCCGCCGCCGCCGCCGCCGCCGACGAGCTTGTTGAAGAAGCCCTTGAGCCCCTTCTTCTTCTTCTTGCCCGCTCCGTGCTCGGCCTCGGCGGCGGCAGCCGCAGCGGCCGCCTCCCTCGCGGCGGCCGTCTCGGCGAGGACGCGCTCGCGCTCGCGGCGGTCGGCGTGGCGCGCGACGGCCGGGTCGCTCATGGCCGCCGCGCCGTACGTGTCGTACACGGCCTGCTGCGGCGAGCCGAACCCGTACCCTGCGGCGCCTGGGCCCGCGCCCGCGCCGTGCTGCGCGGCGTACATGGCCGCGCCGCCGCCGCCGAACCCGGCGCCGACGCCGGCGCCGTAGTGCCCGAGCGAGCCGTACCCGGGCCCGCCGGCGGCCGCGAGCCCGGCGCGCTGGTCCTGCTCGAGGCCGAGGTGCATGTCCATCATGCTGCCCGAGGGCGCAAACGACAGGACGCTCGCGGCCGACGCGCTCTGGCGGAACCGCGACCACATGCTCGTAGGGCGGCGCGCCGAACCGTCGCCGCTCGTGCGGGCGGGCGACACGCTGCGGGGCGTCGCACCGCCGCCGCCGCCGCCGCCGCCGGCCGGCGGGAGCGAGCGCAAGTCGGTCGACGAGCGCGCAAACTTGGGGAACGCGAACCGACTCGAGGCCATGCTCGTCGCGGGGCTCTTGGGCGGCGACGCCGAGAGCTGCGACGCGCCGGCTGCGCCGGGCACGGGTGCGCCCGCCGACGGGCTCGAGAGGCGACGCAGGGTCGGGCCGAGCCACGGCTGGTCGCCGGCCGAGTAGCTGCGCATGCTGCTCCCGCTGCTCGCGTTGCCGCCGCCGCCGCCGCCGCCGCCGTTGCCCGATGCGCCGTTGTAGAGCGACGGCGGCGGGAGCAAGCTCGCGCTCGAGTGGCGGAAGTTCTGGTTGCCCGCGAGGTGGTGCTGGTGCTGGTGGAGGTTGGTCTCGTCGGCGAGCGTCGCCCTCGAGCGGCTCTTGATGGCGCGCAGCGCGACGCGCTCCTCGTGCTCGAGCGCGGCCTTCTCGGCGGCGAGCGACTCGGGCGAGAGGAGCGACGAGGCGCGGTTGCGCGGCGGGGCGCCGACGGCGGTCGGGAGGAGCTCGATCGGCGAGGAGCCGTGCGGCGAGGAAGAGGCCGAGACGGCGGCGGCGGCGGCGGACGCCTCGCGGATGCGGGCTTGGCGGTCGAGCTCGAGGTAGTGCGCCTGGGTCGCGAGGAACGTCTGGAGCGTGCGCCACCGGTGCGCGGCCGCCGGCGGGTTCTGCGAGCCGCGAAAAAGAGAGGGTCAGTCCGCCTGCTGCGCCGAGCGCGAAGACAAGAGAGGCAGAGAGGGGAAAGAGGGCACGACGACGCACCATGGTGGTCCACACCTTCAGGTTACCGCTCGTGAGGAGCTGCCCCTTGCCCAGCCTCCTCCTGCCGCCCGGCCCGGCCCCGACGCCCGTGTGCGCACTGCTGCTCTCGCGCTCGTACACGCTGCGGCGCACCCCAGGCCCGCCGAGCGCCCCGCCGCTCTCGCTCGACCCGTTGCCGCCGCCGTGCACGTCGTAGCTGCCCGGCCCGCCGCCGCCGCCGCCGAGCTGCTCGACCTGGTCGGCCTCCCACCGCACCTGCTCGTCCCACTCGGCGTCGCTGTCGCGCTCCCACACGCGCGCACCCGTCACGTCGACGTCGGCCATGTCGCGGTCGCGCATCATGCACTCGACGCACACCTCGGGCTGCGGGACGAGGTGCGGCGGCGGCGGCGGCGGCGGCGGGCCCGGGGCCGGGGCGGTCGAGTACGCCGCCGGGGCAGCAGGAGGAGGAGCGGGACCGGCGACGGGCGACGGCGAGACGAGCGCCGCAGAGGCCGAGGGCGCCGAGGCGTACGGCGACGCGGCGACGAGCTGCGGGCTGCGGGCGGGCGCCGGGGCGCCGCCCGTCGCGCGCGACGGGGGCGACAGGAGGACGGGCGCGCTCGTCGATGCGGCCGCGGTCGTCGACGAGGACGGCAGGATGAGCGACGCGCGCGTACCGACGCCCGCCATGTCGAGGTCCCGCCTCGCCGCCGCCGCCGCCGCCGCCGAGGAGGAGGCCGGCTCGTGGAACGCCGCGAGGGAGCGCGGCCGCGCGAGCGTCGGCGCCGGCGCTGCCGACGAGGGCGCCGAGTCGAGGTAGTCAGCCTTGACCTGGGTCGGCTCGCGCACGTCGCGTGCCGGGCTCGGCGGGTACGGGCCACGGTCCTCGGGCGAGAAGGCCGGCGCGGGGACAAAAGTCGGGTACTGGCTCGCGAGCGACATGCCCGAAGCGGCGGCGGTGCGGGTTGAGGGTGAGGGTGCGCCGGGCGTCGGGGCGCGGGTCGACGAGGACGAGGACGAGGGGGACGCGAGGTGGTGCGCGGGGCCGACAAAGCTGCGGCGGGTGTGGAGGGCGGGAGGGGCGCTGTTGCTGTGCTGCTGGTGGTGTGGCGGTGGAGGGGGAGCCGGGCTGATCGAGAGCGGGCGCGAGTAGTTGACCGGCGAGTCGACGAGGCGACTTGGGGCGGGGGCGGGCGCGTGCTGGGGCGCGTACGCGGCACCGGGCGGGAGCTGCCTCGGCGCACTGTGCAGCTCAGGGTCCTCGGCAGCTCGTCGTGGCTCGCCCTCGGTGGCGCGCGGCGTGCCCGGGCCCGTCGTGGCCGGAGCGGGCACCATCGAGTCGTCGCGGGCGGAGAAGCCGACGGGGGCGCGGGGGCGATTCGGGCGCGAAGTGGGACGCCTTGGGCGAGGTGGACCCGCGTCGAGTGGGCCGTGCTGGGCCGTGCTCTGCAGGCTCTGGGTCGACGTGCGCGGGAGGCGGCGTTGGCGCCGACGAGGTGGGATCTGCGAGCACACCAAGGTGGACGACGGCGACGCGGTGTGCGCGGCTGGCTGCCCGGTTTGAGGGGGCACGGGGCGACTGGTGCACAGGTGGCACGCGGCAGCAGCAGCTCGAGCGGCGCAGGGCTGAGAGAGTGAGAGCTTTCGAGAGTAGCGCGTCTCCCTCCGCCTCCTCCTCCCCCGCGTCTCGAGCTAATTCTCGCGGCGAGACCCACCCTGTGCGCTTCAGTGCAGGTCGTTGCCACGCAGTCCTCTGCACAACACGCTCTCGTCGCACTCTCTCTCGCTTCCTCCCGCCTCGGAGCTTCCCAACTCAATGAAAGCCCGCTTCCCTCGCCGGCTCTCTCGTCGCCCGCAGCACGCGCGAGAGGAGAACAAGGTCATCGCGGTGCAACCCTCGGCGTCGGCGCCCCCGCCGTCACCTCGAACACGTCGCCGCCGAGCTCGAGCGCGCTCTTGCGCGCGAGCACCTCGCTCCAGAACCGCATGACGGCGACCCACTCGTCCCTGCCCCTCAGCATGCCCTCGCCGCCGCCGCCGCCGCCGCCGCCGCCCCTCGAGCCGGACAGCGTGACGGCGTCGCACCGCGCAAAGCCGCGCTGCCACGACGAGGGTCCGACGGCGCGCTGCTCGTGTGGCCGGAACACGACGAGCGCGCGCGTGCGGCTCTGCGTCGAGGGGGACGGCGTCGGGTGCGACAGGAGCGGCGCAGAGACGGCGACGAGCGAGCCGAGGTGGCCGTGCTCGGCGACGGTGGCGCCGCTCGTCGACGAGGAGGTCGTGGTCGAGGAAGGGGAAGAGGAGGTCGGTGCGCCGCCGCCGCCGCCGACGACGACCGGGTGCGCTTTTGCCCACGCGAGCGCGAGCTCGCCCGCACAGGTGCCGCCCTGGGCGTACCCGAACAGGTGGATCTGCGACGGCTTCCACCCGCAGCCGCCGCCGGCGGTCGCGCTCGATGATGGCGACGACGTCGAGACGGGCGCCGTGAGGTGCTCGACGAGCTTGACGAGGAGGTGCAGCGTCGCGGCTGGGTTTGGATGGGCGATGACTGCGACGTCGTCGGGCGTGGAGCAGGAACGAGAATGCGGGCGGCGAACGTCAGTGGACGACGAGGAGAGAGAGCGAGAGAGAGAGGTCAGGGGACGCACGTTCTCCCATCTCGTCAAAGCTGTCCCACCAGGCGTAGGCCTCCTCGTCGAGCAACGGAACGCGTTCTGGGGCCTTGAGCGACAGGACGGCCGTCTGCGGGAGCTGGAGGCTCTGACCCAGCGTCGCGAAGGGAACGGGCGTGTCACCTGCGAAGGGGCGGTTCAAGGAGTCAGCGCGAGGGCGGGGCAGGGCAGGGCAGAACGAGGGAGAGGATGCGAGCCCACCCACCGAGGCCGTGCAAGAGGACGAGCAGGTTGAGGTTGACGCCGTCTGGCGAAGGCGAGTAGATGCTGCCGGCGAGGAACGACGACACTTGAGCGAGGTTGGGCGGCGGGTGGACGTGCGTCGTCTGCACTGGACGGAGCTCTAGCTGCGGGTCCATCGCACTAGCCTTGTCGTGGTCGCGAGCGAGAGAGAGAGCGTCGTCGTCGTCCTCATCTTCCGCTCGTCGACAGTCGTCGCGTTGAGCCTCGACCTCTGTCGCTCCCCGTCAAGCTCGACACGGGCCAGCTGCACAGATGGATCAGCAGAAGGCCTTTGGCCGCATCACCAGGCGCGTCGCCATCGACCGCAACATCGTCCGTCCCCCTCCTCCTCCTCCTCGTCGCGTCGTCCATCTCGCCTCATCTCACTGGCACCCCTTGCACACGCGCAGCTCACCTACCGCCTCGCCGCACGCGAGCTCGGCTGCACCGTCGCCCAGGCCAAAACGTGCGTCCTCACCGTCCCCTACCCTCTCTTCACCCACCCTCCCCCCGCACGCTCACGACCCCCTCCCGCGACAGCGTCCTCAAGGCCTACTTCGAGTCGGACGTCGCAAAGGAGCGCAACGTCGGTGCCGTCTGGCTCGTGTCGGGCTACCTCGCCCAGCCGCCTCCTCGAGCGCCCAACGGCTCGGCGGTCAAGGAGGAGGACGCCATGGACGTCGACTCGAGCGCCGACACGAGCACGAGCGCGCCGGCCCAGGCGTCGCAGGAGCGAGACGGTGTGGCGGGTACGGCCGGCGAGGACGAGGTGGTGCAGCGGGTCGTACAGCGCCTCGTGCAGGACAAGGACCTCGAGGGTGCGTCTCTCTCTCTCTCTCTCCCTTGCTCTCGCTCTCTCTCCCTCCCAACGAGCTCACCCTCCTTTTCCCGCTCACTCTCCCGCAGCCCAGCTCCCCCTCTTCTCCTCGACCCCGCGCCCGCCGTCAACGCACCTCTACGCGCTCCTCCCCTCGCCCTCGCTCCCCTCGCTCGCCCTCCTCGGCCCCGCAGCCCTCTCGCTCGTCGCGCCCGCCGCGCGCGAGAAATGGCGCGTCCCCCCGCCTGCTGCCACAGAAGACGGCGCCGACGCTGGGGACCACGGCGGCGCGTACGGTGAGCTGGTCAACCCGGACGGCGAGAGGAGGAGGGTCAAGGGCGCCACGGCGGCGGGTCGCGCGGCGGGCGCGGGCGCGAGCGCGAGCGCGGCCAAGGGCAAGGGCAAGGGCAAGGAACCCGTCGGCGCGTCGTCGACGTCGCGCACGACGAGCGCGGCGGGCAAGAAGGAGGGCGACGACGAGCCCGCCGTCGCCGTCGGCAAGGCCAAGGCGGGCGCCGACAAGCCCAAGGCCAAGGACAAGAAGGCGTCGAAGAAGGACGCCGCCGACAAGGACAAGGCCAAAGACAACAAGGGCCCCAAGGCGCGCCCGATCGGCCAACTCGGGGGCCTCTTCTCGCGCACGTTCGACAAGCCGCCGCCGCCCAAGAAGTCGTCGTCCAAGTCCAAGAAGGGCAAGGGCAAGGCGTCGTCCGACTCGGACTCGGACTCGGACGGCGACTCGGACGACAAGTCGAGCGGCAGCGACGACGACGACGACGACGACGACGACGACGACGTCAAGCCGGTCAAGAAGGTCGTGCCCGCCAAGCGCAAGTCGTCGTCGCCCGTCGTGACGCGCAAAAAGGCCGTCGCCTCGCCGGTCAAGGTGTCCAAGAAGAAGGCCGCCGACGTCGTGCTCGACGGCGACGACGGCGACGAGTTTGACGACTGGGCCATGGACGAGGAGGCGCTGCTCGAGGCTGAGCGCGCTGCCGAGGTGCAGGCGGCACAGAGGAAGACGAGCGCCGGGGCGAGTGGGAGCGCTGAGGCGGGCAAGGGCAAGGCCAAGGGCAAGGAGAGCAAGGCCGACAGGCAGAAGAGGGAACTCGAGGTGCGTCGTATCTTTCCCTCGCCCCTTTTCTCCTCTGTCGTCGCGCCGTCACTGACCCTCTCACGCCCCGAGCAGGAGATGATGCAGAGCGACGACACGATGGACGTCGACTCGAAGCCTGCGCGCGCAACCCGTCCGTCCCCTCCTCTCTCCCCCTCCCTCCTCCCCCTCGCTCCTCGCCCTTCCTCTCGCCTCACGCCCCTCACTGACTCCCTCTCCCTCCCTCTCGCACGCCCCCACAGTCTCGCGCACGCCGTCCACCTCGTCCGCCGCGCCGTCCAAGCCCAAGCCCAAGAGCGCCTCGTCGACCTCTGCCTCGTCCGGCTCGGGCGCGCCGGCGCAGCAAAAAGGCCTCGGCGCGTTCTTCAAGAAGAAGTGAGTGCGAGGCGGCGGCTGTGCACGAGAGGGCGAGGGGGAGAGGGGCAGGAGGAGGAGCTTGGGCGAGAGAAAGAGGGGAGGGCCGAGGAGGCTCGTGCGGCAATGGAGCAGCTGTACCTTGGTCTCGCGCGCTCTCTCGCGAGGTACCTCGAGAGGCTCGCCAACAGATTGTGTGGCTCTCTCGCTCCCTGCCGCTGCCTCGTAAACCTGGCACCGACCGCTGCTGCTCGTCGTCGCCGTCTCTCTCGGGCGCTCGTCGCTCGTCGCTCGTCACTCGTCCTCCGAGCAGGTGCGACCACTTTCCGTCCTCTCGCGCAGTTCGACACCCCGCTCGCATACGTACATGCTCGCCGTTGCAAGCTTTCGGACCCCTCAAAAGCGCTTCGAGCGCGCCCGCGCGCCCGCACCTCCCGCGTCGTCCTCGCCTCGCCCCGCTTCACCTCGCCGCCCCTCGTCCACCTCCTCCCATGACCCTCATCTCGACCTCGAGCGCCGTCCTGGCCTCGCGCGCCGCGTCCTCGGCGCGCCTGGTGCGGAACTGGCGCCGGTACAGGAGGCGCTCGTACGCCATGTAGGCGGTGACCTGCGAGTGCGGGATTGGACGTGGTGAGCTCGCTCGCTCGCTCGGATGTCTCGAGAGAGAGGGAGAGGGAGAGAGAGAGAGAGGAAGGGGGACGCGCGGCGAGCAGGAGGCCGAGAAGCGCCGAGGTGAAGGCGAGGCCGACGGGGAAGACGGCGAGCGTGCGCCCTGGGAGCGGGGCCGAGAGGAGCGCGGCGGCGCCGAGGGCAGTCGGCTGCGGCGACGAGGTGCTGGTGCTGGAGGGGCTTGAGGACCCGAGGCTCGTCGAGGTCGAGGCGAGCCCGGTCGAGCGAGAGCGGCGCGACGAGGAGGACGACGCCGCAGCGCTCGAGGCCCCACCGCGCTCTTCCGACACCCACACCACGGGTACCGATCCCTCGAGCTCGCTGCGACCCACCGCACCCTCGCGCGACGTGACCGCCGCGCCCACCTCGTCCTCGTCGCCCTCGTGCGTGCGCTCGACCGGCGGCGCAAGCGCACGGCGTGCGTGGCGCATGCGGCGCGCAGTGGGGGCCTGCGTGCGCTCGATGATGGGGAGGAGTGCGGTGCGCGAGGGCTGCGGGGCGAGGGGCGAGGTGGTGGCGAGGCTCGAGTCGGCATGCGAGGTGGGGAGGGCGGCGAGGGCGACGAGGGCGTAGGCGGCGGACGCGAGGGGCGCGAGGCGCATGCTGGGCTGCGTGGGTCGAGGTATAGAGGGCCGGCGCCTGCGCTCGCCGAGGGGAGAGGGGCGCGGGCCGAGAAAGTGAGGCGAGGGAGGAAGAGAGGGGAACAGGGGCGGTCGAACCTCTCGCAACGGTCGCAGCGTGCGAGCTCGCCGGCGACGACGAATAGTACTGATCACTGCAGAGTACACGGTACAGGCTCCTGTCGCGCACACGCGCCCTCAGTGGCACTGCAGCCCCTTCTGGTCCTCGTCGCCCGCTCCTGCTCCGAGGTCGATCCCGCGGTGAAAGACAAAGTGCCCGAGGAACGCGCCGCTGTGGATCGGACGGACGAGGGAGTGCAAGTGTCCTGGGTCAGTCGAGGTACTCAGGGCAAGAGAGGGCCGCTCGGACGAGGGAGGACGAGGAAGAGAGAGAGAGCAGGGGGGCAAGACGCACAGGATGATGGCGCCGACAATCTGCAAGTTGTAGCTCATGACGAGCAGCATGATGTAGAACTGTGCGCGAGTGACGAGAAGGTGTCAGTACGTCCGTCTAGCGCTACGACAGCCCCAGCTCGACGGCGAGACGTCGAGCCGCAAGAGAGGGTGCGAGCCGGACGAACCGTGAGCGCAACGTGCAGCGCGTACCCTGCGCTCCGTCGCAGTTGAACGAACCACGGCAGCCGCACGACACCCCAGTACCTCGGCGCGATGCGCGACCCGCCGACTCCCCCTCCTCCTGCCCCACCGCCGCCGCCCAGGAGCGCCTCGTCTGCGCCCTCGACCATGAGCGGCCCAACCGCGCTCCCTCGGCGCGACGGCACGTTGATCCGCGACCCCCTGCGCGAGGCGCCGAGGACCGGGCTCGATTCGGGCGCGCTGTCGCCAGAAAGCGCGGCGAGGCCGCCGCCGCGGATGTTTGAGCGCAGGGCGCGGTCAAACGTGGCGAGCGAGAGGCGGAGGTACTCTGTCGCCATCGAGAGGAGGATGACTGTGTGCGGGACGGAGAGGCTGGGTGAGCGGGATGACGTGCACACAGGTCGGGAGAGGCAGGTCGACGCTCGAGGGGGGACGACTCACGGAGGGCGAGGTAGAAGACGAGGGTTGCGGACGAGGTGATCTGCATCGAGGGAAAGACGAGGCAGATGCCGATCGGGTCCGTGTTGCCGAGCATGGCCATCTGTGGGTGACGACGAGATGGGTGAGCGGGGGAAGGACGTCGAGGAGGAGGACGAGGAGGGAGGGGATGCACCTTGCAGGGGATTGCGCCGTGGTGGTCGGGCATGTGGTGGCCCGAGCCCATGTGTCCACCGTGGTCCATCTCAAGCGACAGTGAGCTGGAGGGAGGCAACCCCCGTCGTCGTCGTCGTCGTCGGCCGGGACCCAGTGGCTGTGTTCGCGCTCCCGCTCCCTCCCGCCTGGCAGCTCCTGCAGATCTTCACCATGGTCAGCTACCATCCCTCGATCTTCCGACCCTCGCACCGAGTCCCCCCGTGCCGCCGTCGTCGCTCGCGGCCTCATCTCTCGCCTCATCTCCCCGATCAACCACGAACACCTGCGCACGCCCTCCTGCACGACAGAGGCACTGACTGCTTGCGCCCACAGACCACCAAGACCTCGGCACCTTACCGCGCAGAGATCATCGGCTCGCAGAAGCGTGCGCCCCTCTCTCCCGCCCTTCTCCCCACCGAGCAGCTCTCACCTCTCTCTGCTTCGACAGGTCCCGCCCTTCTTCTCGCCAAGCGCGCCGACTATGACGCCGGCAAGTGCACCCGCGACGAGCTCAAGACGGTCGAGGACCAGGCCATCAAGGACGAGGTCGACAAGCTGCTCGACGTCGGCATCAAGGCCGTCACTGACGGCGAGTTCCGCCGCCACATGTCCGTCCCCTCTCTCGCTCTCTCTCGTCCAGTTCTGTGCGCTAGACGAGCGCATACTGACGCTCCCTCGCTCGCAGGTTCTTTGGTGCGCGCTCGACCTCCTCGTCCTCGTCCCCTCGTCTCGACCGCTGCGGCGCGACGGACTCCTTACGGAACTCGTGCGCGCACAGATGGCTTCTTCGACAACCTGGACGGCATGGTCGAGATCAAGAACCCTGGGCGCGAGCTGTTCAAGATGTGCGTCAGCGCGCGGTCCTCCTCTTTCGGCGCCCGGACCTCCCCTCTCGAGGCCGGAAGCTGATCGTGCGACTTGTCCTGCTTCTCGCACAGGTACGTCCCGGACATCAAGGGCTTCTTCGAGGTGCGTCACCCGTCTCTCTTTGTCCCGGCGATGCCGACGCACGACTGACGAGCGCCCGCACACAGTCGCACGCCTCGAAGCCGGCCTCGACCATGGTCTGCCGCAGCAAGCTCCGTCGCACCAAGCCCATGTACCGGTGCGTCTGGCCCCCTCCCTCTCTGCGCATCGTCGAGCGCCTCGCGCTCGCTCGACCGCTACGTGGAGGCCGAGGATTGACGCTTCCTCCTCTCGAGCAGGCCCGAGTTCGAGTACACGGCGTCGCTCGTCAAGCCCGACGAGGTCAAGAACGTCAAGATCACGCTCGCCGCACCCGAGTACGTCCCCCTCGCCTCTCACTCCTGCCCTCTGCGCACGCCGCTCACGCCCCGTCCCTCGCGCCCGCAGGTGGTACCACCTCCGGCACGGCGAGCACGCCTTCTCCAAGGACGTGTACCCGACCGAGGTCGAGTACTTTGCCGACCTCGCCAAGGCGTACCGCGAGGAGCTCGCCGACCTGTACGACGCTGGGTGCCGTAACGTCCAGTTTGACGACCCGCTCCTCGCCTACTTTGTGCGTCCCTCTCGCTCTTCCTCCTCCTCACTTTCGCTTCCTCTCGCGTGTGGACCTCACTGACGACGCCTGCGAGCGACGCGCAGTGCTCGACGGCGATGCTCGACGGCATGAAGGAGGACGGCGTCGATGCGCCAAAGGTCCTCGACCAGTACATCCAGCTCTACAACGACTGCGTGCGCGACGTCCCGTCCGACATGGTCATCGGCCTGCACCTGTGCCGCGGCAACTTTGTGCGTCCCTCTCTCTCTCTCGTGCCTCTCGAGGGACTCTTTCGGGTGCGCCGTCACTGACCTCGAGGGGACCGAGCGGCGCGCAGAAGGACGGCATGCACTTTTCCGAGGGCGGCTACGAGCACATCTCGAAGAAGCTCTTCAACGAGCTCAACGCCAACGTCTACTACCTCGAGTACGACACGGACCGCGCCGGCGGGTTCGAGGTGCGTCCCTCCTGTCCCTTCCCTTCCGCTCTCTCTCCCTCTTTCGCGCTCTCCTCCTCCCGAGTGAGCAAGACCTGACTTGACCCCTCTCTCGCCCCGCCGTAACCAGCCTCTCGCCGACCTGCCCGCCACCAAGACCGTCGTCCTCGGCCTCATCTCGAGCAAGTTCCCGCAACTCGAGAACAAGGAGGACCTCGTCGAGCGCATCCACCGGGCGGCCGATTTTGTCGCCCAGGGAGCGGGGCAGACTCGTGAGGAGGCCCTCGAGCGCCTGTGCCTCTCGCCGCAGTGAGCCATCCTCTCCCTTCTTCCCTTCCCTCCGTCCTTCTCTTCCCTCGCGCTTCCTCTCTTCAGGACCTCGCACTGACGGTCTATGCTTCTACAAGGTGTGGAATAGCGTCTCACGCAGAGGGCAACCCAGTCTCGCACGACGATGTGCGTCCTCGCTTTCCCCCCTCCCTCCCGCTCGGACCCCGGACTCGTCCTGACCCTCTCGCCTCCCCCGCCCTCGCCGGTGCAGGTCTGGAAAAAGCTCGGGCTCGTCGTCGAGACGGCAAAGGCTGTGTGGAGCGACGCGTGAGCCGGCGGGCTGCAACGCGGGTCGGTCGAATCGCCTTCCTCGAGAGCGGTCGTGGTCGCTCGCTCTCTCGCTCTCGCTCTCGCTCGGGCACGATGGTGCGAGACTGTCTATGTTGCAGTAGAGCAAGAGAGGGAGGAAGCTATGCGTGGGAGAGGGTACGAAAGAAGGGAGGAACGACAAGGTGGGCCGGCAAAACGAGGGAGGGGGAAGGTCGTCATGGTGGGTCGTACAGAGGGGGCTCGTCACAGAAGGAAGGGAGGTGCACAAAGGTCTATTAAGCGAGAGAGAGGGGGAGGGAGAGCTCAGAACGGGCCGCGAGAGCTGCGCCCGCTAGCACCCTTCTCGTCGCCGCCGTCGTCGTACAGCACGCTCGAGCGCGCCGACGAGAAGCCCGGCACGTCGAACGGGCTCTCGCTGCGCGCCGCAGCGGCGAGGTACGGCTTGTCAAAGTCGTCGGCGGCGCCGAACGGGCTCTGCGCGGCGGCGGCGCGCACGGCGCCCGCCGCACCAGGCGCGCCCTGCGGGCCCGTCGCGCTCGCGCCGCCGAGGTGCTCGTCGTCGCCGCCAAAGGGGGCGAACCCGTCCTGGACGTGGTACGGGCTGCTGCCCGGCGAGCGGTACTGCGGCGGGCTCGGGGGGTACACCATGCCCGGGTGCTGCAGCTGCGGCGGCGGCGGCGAGTGGATGGGCCCGCCCGGGTACGGGTCGTAGCCACGCGAGTAGGCCGCCGCGCCGCCGTCCATCATGGCGAGCGCCTCGCGCGAGGCCGCAGCCGACGCCGAGCCGTACGGGTCGCCGTACCCGCCGGCGCCGGCGCTGAACCGCCCCGAGTCGTACGCGCCGGCGCCGGCGCCGTCGTCCGCCGGAGCGTACAGCGCGCCCGACGAGCGAATGTCGCCCGCCACGTGTCCACCGCCGTACTCACTGCCAAACTCGCCGTCGTCGCCGATGCCGTGCGTGCCGCGCGCGTGCGTCTCCTGCGGCTTGAGCGTCGACGTGCTGGTCGACAGGAGCTGGCCGTCGGGTTTCAGGTCGGGCCACTTGAACTCGTCGACGTCGTCTGCAAGGTCGGACTCGTCAGTGTCTCGGGCCGGGACAGGGCGAGAGGGCGAGGGAGAGAGAGGGGAAGAGAAGGGGGCGCACCGTTGTCGAGGCTCGAGAACCGGCGCCTCGTGAGGGTCCAGACGAGCAAGACGACGCCAACGACGACGACGATGCCGCCGACGACGCCGCCAATGATGCCCACGTCTTGCCCGTCGACGACGACGACGAGTCGTTCTTGACGGGGACGGCCGACTGCGTGACCTGGGTCCCGGTCGACGTGCCGACCGAGCCGTCGGCGTTGGTGAAAGTCGAAGTAAAGGTTGACGTGACCTCGCTCAGGGTGACGCCTGCGTGACGAGGAAAGAGAGAGAGAGGGTCAGTCGGGCTCGAAAGGGGGCCGGGCTGATCTCGCCGCAACCGGCCGTCACGCGCGTGCTCGACGGCCTGGAACATCGCCGTGATCGAGAGGAGAGAGAGGAGACGTACTGCTGGAGGCTTGAGACGCTGCCGAAGAAGCAGAAGTGGCCGTTGGCGCCGACGACTGGGCGTCGGTCGGCTGCGTTCCGGTCGCGCTGGTCGCCGACGACGCTGGAGGTTGCGCATCTGGGGAAGTCGCGGGTGCAGTGGATGCTGAAGTCGCGGGTGAGTCGGCGGCGCTCGTAGACGCTGCGCGCGTGAGGAAGAAGAGGGTCAGGCCGCGAGTCGAGGAGCGAGTCGAGCTGCGTGACGGCGCCGTCCCCGCCTCTCGCACTCTGAACACCGTCCTGAACTCCAGAAAACGCCCCGACGCAACCGCCACGCTGTCTCGAACAGCCTCGCGGCCGTACGGCCTCGCAGCATGTGCTTCAACCTCCCGCCCGGGCGCCTCGCTCGCTCCACCTCTTTGCCCTCGCCCCGCCTCGCACCGCAAAGTGTCCCAGAGAGACCGTGAGAGAGAGAGTGGGGCGCACCTGGAGGCTGGGACGTGGTCGTCGGCGCCGTGGTGGCCTGCTGCGCGTCGGTCGTGGTGGTCGTCGGAACCGGAGCAGCCGTCGTGGTCGAGTCGACCGGCGGCGCCTGGGTGGTCGTGGTCGTCTGTACCGGGGCCTGGGTGGTCGTGGTCGTCTCGGCGGCGGCCTGGGTCGTGTTGGTGGCCGCCGCGCCGTCGCCCGTGCCTGCCCCCGGGGCGTCGACGTCGCTCGAGGCGGGCGTGTCGCCGCCGCTCGCGGCCGGGTCCTGGCGCTTGACGCGGGGCATGCGATAGTTTGCAGGCGGGACAAAGGGCGGGCGGACCCAGCGAGGCGAGGGCGAGGGCGAGGCGGTGACGGCGCGGGTCGTTGTCGTCGACGAGGCGGTGCAGGTCGACGGCGGCGAGAGGGCGACGAGGGCGAGCGCGAGGGCGAGGGGCAGCGATTGCGCGCGCATCTTGTCGCCGTGTGGTGGTGGTGTGCTCTCGAGCTTGAGCTGCAGACTGTGCGCGGGAGAGAGGCGAGCTGAGCGGGCGTGCGTCTTTGGCTCGAGCTCTCTCCGCCCCCGCACTTCACCGACCACCTCGCTCACTGCGCATGCCGATTGGAGCCTCCTGTTCGCCTCCGTCCTCGTGCCCAGCGTCGCTCCTTTCTCGCAGGGTAGGAGCGCAACTCGTAACCCGAAAGCGCTCCTCTTGCGAGCCACCTCACCCGCTCCTCACCACCTCACTGCATGCTCGATCACGCTCAACCGTCGCCGCACGCCTCGGCCACGTCTCAGAGTCCCCTCGTGGGCGCACGTCGGTCCAATCTCCGCCCCATCTCGCATGCAGTCAAGCCGAGCGCGCTCGTAACGGCGACGACAGAGTGCTGCGCTCAGCGCTCAGGCCGCTCGTCAATGCTCTCCTCGCTTTGCCTCCCTTCCCTCTGCTCCTGCTTCTCTTGCTGTCCACTGCTTGCATGCATGCTCTCGAGGCCGTAGTCAAGCGTTCGAGGCTCAAGAGAGCGCGAGTCGAGCGCGAGAGGGACGAACGAAAGTTGCGAAGGTCGAAGCCGAACTTGATCGCGATGCTCTCGCTGCGCTCCGTGCGCCATGGCGCTCGACGCGACAAAGATGTACACCGTGCACGACGAAGCGCTCGAACCGAGAGCCCTGCGGAAGGTCGAGCGACAAGTTCGAAGCGCTCGCGACACTCTCGAGGTCGAGGTCGGGCACAAACCGACTCGATGACACACTGAGGACGGTCTGGACAACAAGTACGAAGCACAACACGTCGACTGCGACCCTCACACGAGCTCGACCGCGCCCCTCGACGTCTCGTCGACCTCCTTCTCGTCCTTCTCGGCGGCGCCGGCGCCGAACGCCGACTCGCCCGTCTCCTGGCGCCGGAGCTCGCCGCGCGCGTCGGCCGTCGCGAGTGCGGCGGGCACCTGGGCGATCTCGTCGGGCGTCGGGACCGGGATGGGCCAGATGCGGCACAGGGCCCAGTAGACGACGAACGCGACGCCGAACCCGGTAAAGAAGCTCAGTTGGTAGATGCGCGTCGCCGTGAGCGACACGGTGGCGCCCATTTGGCCCGCCATGCCCGTGATGTTGATGGCGATGCCGGCGATGTCTGCGTCCGAGTCGAGCGTCAGGTCGTGCTCCTTGGAAGAGGGGAGGAGGAGGAAGGGAGCGAGGCGACGCACAGGCAGCGTACGCGCGCAGGTTAATGCCGCGCCAGTACGTGTAGATGCCCTCCTTCTCGTACAGGTCGTGCACCTTGAGCTGCTGGCGCGTGATCGTGTAGTAGTGGCACACCATTACGCCGACGATGGACGACAGGAGGACGCTGTACGCCGACAGGTACGTGGCGAAAGCTGTGGCGGCAGGGCTCGTCAGTACGTGTGTGAAGGTGCGAGGGAGGGAGAACGAGATGAGAGAGACAGAGAAAGAGAGAGAGAGAGAGGGAGAGGCACTCACTGGTCGACGAGCCGAGGAGCTTCCACGGGCACATGGCGAACCCGACGGCGACGGCGACGTACCCACCGCGACGAATGCTGCAGAGAGAGATCGAGAGAGCGAGAGAGAAGGAATGGGAGAGGGTGGAAGAGGAAGGAAGAGGGGCGGGAGGAAGAGTGTCAACTTGGGAAGGTCGAAAAGAGAAAAGAGGGGCTCGAGCGGGACGCACTTGAGGAATCGAGGGAACAGGCTCGTCAAGTCGGCGCCGGCCGAGAGCGTGTTGGCGGCGACGTTGGTGCCGAGCTGGGCGATGACTGGTGGAGGCAAAGCGTCAGGACGAGGTCTCGAAACACGGGAGGGAAGAGAGGAGGGAGGGAAGAGAGGAGGGAGGGAGGAGGGTGCGACCCAGGGACGGGGCGAAAGAGAGGCGAGGAAGGAGAGGAGAGAGGAAGGGTAGGCCGACGGAAGGGGAGAGAGAGAGAGAGAGAGAGAGGGCTCACTGAAGCCGATCGAGATGAACGCGACGCCGGCGCGCATGCCGTGCGACGCTCCACCCTCGACGGTGAGGAAGCGCTCCATGACCTCGAGGGGCGACCACACGTACTCGCCGAACAGGGCCGTCGTCGACGAGCCGATGAGGATGCCGATGAGCGACGTGATGGCGAAACAGAAGGGAAGGGAGATGATCTGAGGGAGGATGACGTCCGACGGCTTGCTCGCCCGCGACGCAAAGTCGACGGCGTTGGTCGCGAGTGTTGCCATGTTGGCTATACAGCTCATGAGCTGGCCGACGAACTCCCACCCGAGCTTGGAGCCCTGGATCGCCGCCTTCTCCGTGAGGAGGTCGCCTGCGCCCTTGGCTTTGACGAGGCAGAGGACGAGGAGCGCGATACCGCTTGCAGGCGCGACGATCGCCTTGACGGTGAAGAGATGGCGGATCGTGTGGAACGGAAAGAAGACGGCGACCGTGAGCAGGAGCATGAAGAGGAAGAACGAGAGGAAGTGGGCCGTGTCGGTGCCGCTCGAGGGGATGCCGTTCGACAGGTTGGCGATGCTCGGCCAGATGGCGAGGAGGAGGGTATAGACGGCCTGCACGGCGAGAGCGAGTCAGTGTCTGGCTGAGGGAAGCGAGGCTCGGAGAAGCGGCTCGAGCGAGCTCACCTGGCCGCCAATGAAACCTTGCACGCCGGTCCAGACGCACGCCATCGCGGCGCGGTTGAACGTCGGCCACAGGCCGCCGTAGATGCCGAACGACGAGCGAATGTACGATGCAAAGATGATGTGGTACCTGCGCGGCGAGGCGAGGGAGGTCAGTGCGAGTCGACGCCGCAGAGGACGACGAAAAATGGACGCACTTGGCTCCTCCATAGGCATTGAGCGCGACGAAGCATCCCGCGCACCCGTAGCCGACCCAGACAGCCAACCATGTGGCCCACCATGGTAAACCTGCCGCGACGCCCGAACTCGCGATCATGAAGGTATTAACGTTGAAGGAGTCGGCCAACCAGAACGTCCAGTAGTTCAGAGCCGTCCAGAGGCGCTCCTCGCGAGGTACAGGCAAGAGGTCCTTGTTGACGAGGAAGGTCGCGCGCTGGCCGCTCGGCTGCTGGAGCTCGACGGCGCGAAGGATGCGCTTGCCGGCCGACATGGTGCGGACGCGCTTGACGCGGTCGAGTCGGTGACGACGTGGACGAGTCGTGGACGAGTCGAGGACGAGCCGAGGAAGAGTCGAGGAGGAGGAGGAGGTTGCCGCGGTCCGAGGTCGAGGTGGGGTGCGGGGTGGAGCAAGGGCTTGTCGACGACTGTGCTTGTGCGCGACGGCGACTGGTGTGCGGCTGGCGTAGGGTGCGCCGAGGCTCGAGGCAGCGAGAGGTGCTGATAGAGGAGGAGAGGAGGGAGGGCGAGGGCGACAAGTGGAGACGAGCCGGCGACGCAAGCTTGTCGGCAATCGAGCGAGCGGCGAGATTTTCTCTCGCACGCCGATACCGAAACCGCGGGGACGGCGGAGAAGTCGACCCAAGGGCAGCGGAGAGCGCGGACGTCTCACTTGGGAAGGTCGAAGTGGGTGAGCGCCGACTCGTCCTCCTGCTGCTCAGAGCGTTTCTCTGGACGGCGCATGGCGTCGCTCTATCAGCTCACAGAGATCTAACAGGATTCCGAAGCGACAGCGCGAGCCGCGACGTCGGACGCTCGAGCCCGCGCAGGACACGTCAGCTCGAACGATTGGCGCTCGTCCGTGCCGGCGAACGCAGATCTGCAACTCTCGAGCAGCGCGAGCATCGCTGGCGAGCGTGGATCGCAGCCGTCACGCCGTGCGACCGATCCGCTAATCGCAAGCCAAGGGCCTCGCTCGCACCGCTTCGTGCCTCGCACCGCCTGCTCCGCCTTTCGCGCTCTTCGCTCGCATCGCCTCGCTGAGGAGAAGCGCGGTCGCAATCTCGTACAGAGCGCAACGATAAGAAGCACAAGGTTACTTCCACGCTCGACGAGGCGAGGCTGGAGAGATGGCGCCGCCGATAGCGGTGCGAGAAGAAGAAGAAGCGGTCGAGGAGGACGAGGACGAGCTTTCGAAACGCGCCAGGCCGTCTCTGATACGTCGGCGCACAGGAGAACGTCTATGCACTGGCAATGACACGTCCTCGAGACTACAGACCCGCCCTCACCACGTCGCCGCGAGCTGGTCGAGCAAGCTCGCCTCGTCGCCTCCCGGGCTCGTAAAGCTCGTCGCCGCCGTCCAGTCCTCGCTCGCCAACGTGTTGAAGAAGCTCGAGAAGTCGCCGGCCCCTGCTCCTGCGCCTGCTCCTGCCCCGACGCCGCCGGCGTGCTCAAACATGCCCGCGCCGACGCTCGAGCCGCCGCCGCCGCCGCCGCCGCCGTAGGGCACCGGTGGCGTGTTGGCCATGGCGGTCGCGGCGGCCTGGGCGAACGAGAAGGGCGGATGGGGCGAGGGCGCCGAGAAGGCGTTGCGGGCGGACGAGGAAGGGAAGGGCGAGGGCGCGGCGGTCGGCTGCGAGAGCTTGGCGGCGTCCTCGAGGGCGACCTCGCGCGAGATGCGCTTGAGGACCTGCGAGACGTGGAGCGTGTCAGAGAGAGAGAGAGAGACTGCGACGAGGAAGGAGAGCGCTGTGCGCACCTGAGAGAAGGGCTCGAGCGATGGTGGCGGTGCAGCGGCCATGTCGTGCGCGGCCCGGGTCGTGCGCCGACTCTCCTCGGCGACGAGTAGTGCCCTGCAGGAAAGGAGGAAGCGTGAGTACGTCGTTGACGACTTGAGATGGGCGGGCAAAAGAGGACGCACGAGAGGATCTTGCGGCCCTCCTCGACGACGACCTCGAGCGCCGGCGTCGACGTCTTGGTGTCAAAGATGGCGCGCGCCTTGTACAAGATGTCGCGTTTCTGCGTGGCGGCGCGACGAGGGTCAGGTCGGCGTGAACGAGGGCGAGAGAGAGAGAGAGAGAGAGGGCGAGTGAGGGACGAGAGCAGGCGCACCTCCTTGATCTCCTTCTCGGGCCGGTCGTGGTCGATGGCGTGGAACAGGTCCATCATGAGGACGATCGAGCTCGCGAGCGTGCCCGTGTACACTGCGGCGGGACGAGAGAGAGCGTGTCAGTCTCGCTCGACCCTGGCGCCGTCGCTCGGGCTCTCCCCCCTCGCCGTCCCCGACAGGCACAAAGAGAGACAAGAGGGACGCACCCCACCACCTCGACGTCTCGATCGTGAGCATCTCGGCGTTGTTGTTGATGAGCGCTCGGGCCGCCTCGATGCACTGCTCGTTCGAGTACCGGTACGGGCTGTTGAGGGCGTAGCCGCGCCCGAGCAAGGGCCGGTTGAGCCGCACGATGCGCGAGTAGACCTGTGAGCGAGGAGGGTGTGCGAGGGAGAGGAGGGGAGGGAAAGGCAGGAGCGTTCAGGATCGTTGTCGACGGGCTCGACCAGTCCGAGGCAGAGAGAGAGGGGGGAGCAGTCGACGCACGTCCTCGTGCAGGCACGCCCGCTCGTACCGAATACGTGGCGGCAATCCACCGACGTGGCCCTCGCGAAACACGTCGGGCACGTCCTCGAGGACGCTGCGCCACGCCTTGTCCTGCTCGAGCACGGCCGGGTACGAGAAGGGGTCGCCCGAGAGGACGAGCGTGTCGAGCGCGCGCCGGACCTGCTCGGCGACTTTGCACTGGGCGAGCTGGAACGAGCCGTCCTGCGGCGACGAGAGGGCGAGTCAGGGAGGCGCAAGGGAAGGCGAGAGGGAGAGAGAGAGAGGACGGACGGTGTAGGTCGTGAGCGGCTTGGGGGTCGGGTGGCGCCAGTCGGTGCGTGACAGCTCGCGCAGGTCGAGGTTGAGCGGTCGAGCCGTGTTGTCTGCGAGCGAGCGAGACGAGGGCGAGGGAGTCAGTCGGCGAGTCCCGTAGTCGAGGGGAAGGAGGGGGACGCACACTGCGACGGGTGCAGCATCTGCGAGTCGACCGAGGTGTCAGTCGTCGTCGCTCTCGGCCTCGTACAGAGGAGAAAGAGAAGGAGAGACGCACGTAGCAGCGAGAGACGGGCGAGTCGGACAGCCACGAGTCGATGTTGACGAGGTGGTGGAACAGGCGGACGGCGAGCTCGCGCTTGAGGGCGTTGGCGCCGGGCGGTAGCGCCGGGTCGTCCGGCGGCATCGTCTGCGGGTCGGACCCGAGGCGGTGGAGGCCCATGCGCTGCGCGACGCGGTACGCGCTCGCGGCCCAGCCGAGGAACCGGCCCTGCTGGCCCGACGACGACGAGACCTGGATGTACTGGCCCATGAGGACGACGCACTGGATCACGCGAATGCGAGGCGTGCCGCCCCACTCGCCGAGCTGGAGCGCGCGCAACGCCGCGTCGTGCCACACCGAGGGCAGGTCCTTGAGGTCCGACTCGCTCAGGCCGCGAAAGAGCGACAGGTCGTGCTGGCCGCCGGGGCGGGAGAAGAAGCCCTCGAGCGACAGGGCGAGGACCATGGAGAAGCACGCGATCCACAGCGGGTCGATCAGGTCCTCGCGGCCCTGGGCGAGCATGTCGACGTAGCGCTCGTGCTCGACGGGAAAGGCGACCGGGTCGATGACGTTGCGAAAGTCCCACGACATCTCGTCAAAGTACTTGGCGATGAGGTACTGGGCGATCTCGGGGTCGGGCAGGACGGCAAAGATCTGGGCGAGCGCGTCGTGTCGCACGGCGGGCAGGTCGACGGTCGAGACGGCGAGGTCGAGCCCGAGGCGGACGGCGCTTCCTGTAGGTGCAAGCGAATATCAGGTGGCTGTACGAGGAGGCGGGAGAAAGGGAGGAGAGAGAGGAGGGAACGCACGAGGTCGGCCGTCCTGGTCGAACGAGAGTGGCTCGGCGAGGATGCTCGTCAAGGCGCCCGTGAGCTCCATGTCGGGCACCTTGACGTACTTGTACGTCGCGACGGCGCCTTGAGCGGCGGCGTGGAGCGCGCGCAGGACGGGCACGCGCGCGCCGAACGTCTGCTCCTCGAGGTCGGCGACCGCGTCCTCGGTGTCGCTGTGCGACGCCGAGCGGACGCCGCCGGCTGCGTCTTGGCCGTTGTGGACGCCGCCAGGTCCAGGAGGAGGTGCGGCGCCGTGCTGCTGGGCCGAGGCGGGCGGCGGCGGCGGCGGCGGCAGGGCGGGCTGAGCGTGCGCGGGCGACGTGTGGTGGGGGCCGGCGTGAGGCGAGGCCTGGATGGCGGGCGATTGGAGCGAGTGGAGGGACGCTGGCGAGGCGTGGAACGAGGCGGCCGAGGACCCAGGGTGCAGGTTCGGGTGGGCGAGCTGAAAGAGCGTTTCGAGGTGGGCGAGGCGCCGCGCGAGCGCTCGGACCTCGGTCGTCTGGGCATACGGTGTCCTGTGCAGGGGAGGTCGGCCAAGTGTCAGTGACCATCGTCGAGGGCGTGGGGAGCACAGGAGAGAGAACGAGGCGACGTACGACGGGTCCTCGTCCTCAAAGGTGCAGAACTCGACGCGTTTGCGGCGCACGCACGACGAGCAAGGCATGCCGCGGTCGCACTTGATCTTGCGGCGGACGCACTCGGTGCACGAGAGCGGGATGCGGCGCTTGCGGCCGCCTGCGTCGCCCTCGTCGCCGTCGTCGGCGTCCGAGTCGTTTGCGGCTCGACCCTTGACCGTCCTCCCACTGCTCTTGACCGATCCACCGCCAGGCCCGCCGCTGCTCATGCGCGCGCGCTTGTTCGGGGGGCCTGGTTGGTCGAATGCGGCGGGGTACGAGTCGTAGCCGGAGCGAGGGTCGAGGTTGGCGGGCGGAGGAGGGAGCGGCGGTTGGTTCGAGGTCGAGGTCGAGGGGAACGGGTACGGGTAGGCGGTCGGGGGCGGATACGGGTAGGCTGCGGTGCCGTAAGGCTGCTGTTGGTGCATCGGGTGGGCGTGCGGGTGGTGGAACGAAGCCGCGGCGGGGACGACGGGTGCCGGCGTGGCTTCAAGCGAGTTTGAGGCAGTGCGGGACGGTGTGCGCTTGGTCGACGAGCGCGGCATCCCCTTGCAAGCCAGCGTGTGCTTCAAGTGCCTGTGGTTGCGAGCGAGCAGCCGAGGCGAGAGCGGGCGCGGCGAAGGCGGAGCTCGACCAGACGATCGAGCTTTGTCGCTCTTCTTGCACAGCTCTGCGCGGTAGACAGGCAGGTGCAGTACTGTCTCGAGTACATACATAGTCCAACCCACAGTCAGAGCAACTCGCTGCTGTCGAGAGTGAGAGAGCCGACTCGTCGCCGCGAGACAAGTTCCCCCCGCCCTCTCTCTCTCCCTCACCCAACTCCGCCCAGACACAAGCGCGACCTGCTACACGCTCGACACACCCATGAGCGCACCCACCACACCGCCCAAACCCCGTCCAGGCGCCCTCAAGCCCGGCGCGGCCTCGCCAGCTCGTCCTTCAACCCCCGGCTCGCGCAAGCCGACAGCGGCAGCCACCGCCAGCCCGCAGAGTGCGTCCTACTCCTGTTCTACTCTCTCGCGGGAACCTGTACCTGACTCTTTGCGCGACCTCGCAGTCCGCGCCGCCCTCGCCGCCCTTCGCCAGAAGCGCCAACCTTCAGCCGACTCGGTCGCGTCGCCCAGCCTCGCTCCCGCTCCCAACCAGGTCACGACCCCGGCTCGTTCATCGACCTCGACTCGGCGTGAGACTGGTGCGCGCGAGGTCGACCTGTCGCGAGATGCGCCCGTCGGCGACGGCGACGAGCAGCAGCCTGGCGCGCACGGCGTCATCCTCGAGTGGAATGTCAAGGGCGAGGACAAGCTCGTCGAGGCTGCTCGCACGACTGGTCCGTCCTCCTCTCACCCTATTCGAGTCGCGAGAGCCCTCTCCTGACGCTGCCCCTCTCACCCAGGTCGCCTCAACCTTGCCTCTCGCGGCCTCTCGTCGGTCCCGCCGACCGTCTACTCGGCGCTCCTGCCCCGCTCGTCCCTGTACCACCCGTCGAACCGCAACCCGTCACACTACCGGCAGGGCCCGCAGCCCGACCTGAGCATGGCGGCCGCGGCAGAGGGAGACGAGCGCACGGCGGCGTGGTACGAGCAGCAGGACCTGTGCGCGTTCAACCTCGCCAACAACGAGATCGAGTCGGTCGGTGACGAGCTCGGCGGGTTCGAGGAACTCGAGGTGCTCGATGTGCGTCCACTCTGTCCCTGCCCTTCTCCACTCTACCTCGTCCGGCCCGCTCACGCCCTTGCCTCCTGCAGCTGCACAACAACCTCCTGTCGACCATCCCAGCCTCGGTCGGCTACCTCGTCAACCTCACGTCCCTCTCGCTCGCCCACAACCGCCTAGCCGCCTTCCCGCTCCAGGTCCTAAATCTCAAGCACCTGCGCGACCTGTCGCTCGCCAACAACCACATCTCGCACCTGTGGGCCGCCGACTGGCGCCCCCAGCTCGACGCCGTCCTCGAGCCGCCCGAGAAGAGCCCGAGCGCGACGCCCGAGTCCAACAGCGGGCGCGAGGCGCCGAGCTTCTGGGACTCGTTCCCCTCGTCGCCCGTCAAGCGCTCGGCCGCCGCGGCCGCGCAGGGCGCGCCGAGCACGACGGCACCGTTCCCGGTCCTCGCCACCCTGTCGCTCGCCGGCAACCCGCTCGCGCACGACGCGCTCACCGCGCCCGGGTTCGAGCTCCCGCCGCGCCTCGTGTCGCTCGACCTGTCGGCGTGCGGCTTGACGGACCGCGCGGTCCCGCCGCTCGTCGTCGGTGCCCTGTCGGCGCTCAAGGAGCTCGACCTGTCGGCCAACGACCTGAGCGATGACCTCTTCTCGGCGACCCTCTTCCCGCCGACCGCCTCGCCCGAGCCGCCGAGGCTCTTCCCCTTCCTCGACACCCTCACCCTGTCCCTCAACCTTCTCGACTCGCTCGACTCGCTCGAGGCGTTCCTGTGCCGCCACGTGCGCCGCCCGACAACCTACACCGGCCTCGCCCACGTCCTCGACAACCTCGTCCGCAACGACGAGCGCCGCACGGGCCGCCGCATCGGCGTCCCGACGCCCGCTCGGCCCGAGGAGGGGGCAGACGCCGCCGCCGAGGGCAAGGAGCTGCGCGTGCTCGTGCGCGAGTGCCCGCTGCGCCTCGAGCAGGCGAGGAGGCGCGCGCGCTTCCCCGCGTCGGCGACGAGCGCGGCGCGCGTGGCGGCCGCAGCTGCGTCGGCGGCGGCGCCGTCTCCTCGCTCGGACAAGCACGCGCTCGCGTCGAGCAGGACGAGGACCGCGAGCCCGAGCGCGCCGCCGTCGCCGTCGCCGGCCGGGGCCGGGACCGCCGCCGCCGCCGCCGCCGCGTCGCCGTCGAGCACGCCCGCGCGCCGCCGGCCCGTCGTGCTCGAGGACTGGGAGGTCGAAGCCGCTGCGGGGCTCGCGACGCCCGGTGCGCGGCGCCGGGCCGCCGCGCTCAAGGTGCAGGCCGAGCGCGAGGAGCGCGAGCGCATGGCGAGGGAGGCGGACGAAGAGCTGAGGAGGAAGAAGGAGGCGGCTGAGGAGCGCGAGCGGGCGAGGGAGAGGGAGGGAGAGCTCGCCAAGAGGCTTGAGGCGGTCGAGCTGAGTGGGAGGGACGAGAAGCGGGCGGCGGTGCCGGCGGGAGGAGGGGAGGAGGAGGCGGGTGCGACGAGCGACGAGCCGTCCGATCAGGGCTCGCCGCCGCCCTACTCGCCTCGCTCGCCAGCGACGGCAGTCGCCACGCCCGCACCGGCACCCGCACCAGCACCTGTGCCGCAGCACGCCGCGCCGGCCCCCTCGCCCAGCCGCGAGGCCGACTCGACCGATCCCGCCGTCGAGCTCGTCGCGCCCGCCTTTTCTCGCGGGCAGACCAAGTCGACCGTCGTCCTCTCCGGCCGTTCTCTGTCGTCCTTCGCCGCGCCGACCACCGGCGCACCACCCGCCGCCCTCACCTCGCCCTCGCACGCCGACCTGTCGCGCAACCTCCTGCCGTCCCTCCCCCTCGCGGCGCTCGCCGCCTGGGGCTGGAGTACCCCGCTACGCGCCCTCAACCTCGCCAACAACCGCATTGCCGCCCTCGAAGTCCTCGGCGCTGGATCGGCGGGCGCGGCGCCGCTCTTTCCCTCGCTCGACTCGCTCGACCTGTCGAGCAACTTCCTCCCCTCCAGCGTCGCCTCGCCGTTCCCCTCTTCCTCTCCCTCGTCCCTCCCTCCCGGCGTCGTCGTCGACGAGGCGGGCAACATCCCGCTCCTCGCCGCGCTCGCCGCGCTCGCGCCTTCCCTCTCGACCCTCTCCCTGCGCGGCAACCGCCTCACGTCCCTCTCGGGCATCGGCGCGCTCCTCGCCCCGAGCAGCGTCGTCTCCGGCTCGACGGCGCGAGGCGTGCGCCGCCTCGACCTCGCCGAGTGCCGCATCCGGACCGTCGACGACTTGTGCGCCGTCGCAGAGCGGTACGGCGCCGACGAGGGCGGGGCGAGGGCGAGCTGGCGGTGCGACGAGCTCGACTTGTCGATGAACGACATCGCTATGGTGCGTCCCCTCTCTCTCTCTCCTTCCCCGCGTTCGTTGTCGCCCCCGAGAGTCGGCAGCGCACTGACCTCCTCGCCCTTCTCGCCCCGCGCAGCTCCCGCCCAAGCTCGGCCTCCTTCCACCCGCACTCGTGTTGCACCTCGTCGGCAACACGTTCCGGCTGCCGCGGCGCGACGTGTACGAGAACGCGGGCGAGCGGCTCGTCATTCCCTGGCTCAAGGAGCGGCTCTGAGGGAGGGTTCGCGAGGCTCGTGGGAGGAGGGCTGTAGCGTGAGACGTGTTGTGCTGCATCTGTTCCATCAGTCTTTGCTCTCGTGCTCGCTCTAGTGCGCAGCAGAGCGGACGAGAGGCGCGTGAGCGAGCGCGGGCGAGAGAGAGCGCTCGGGCCTCGCCGTGCTCTCGGAAGGGCTGTTGAGCGGCCCATGCTACCGCAGCTCAGCCCTTATGCTCCAATCCGTGCGCCTGCAAGGCGTTCCAAGCCCGCACGAGGTTGAGCGAGGTCGGTCGCACAGCTCGTCGACGCGCTCGTTTCTTTCTTTCCTTCCCCTTCCCCTCACCTCCCGCTCACCTCTCTCTCCCCTCTTGCTCTGCCTCTATGTCGAATTTTGCAGGCGGACCCGACCCGGACGACTCGGCCAGACGACGAGGGTGCGCCTTCCCTCCTCTCGTCATCGCGCCCTTCCCTTCCCGCGCACAGACCTCCGCCGTCGCCTCACCTCGTCAAGCCGGCTGTTCGACGTCGGCATGCTCTCGCATTCGTCTCTGACAGATCGTAGAGCAAGTTCTGCAACGCAGTCCCGCCGTCCTTGTCGTGCCGCGTCAGAGAGACGAAAGCGTTTTTGCGACTCTGCCTCGCCCAAGAGAAGCCTGAGAGAAATTGAGCGAGCGAACGGACATCGTCGAGCCGAGAGATTTAGTTAGAGCGTCAGGGACGCCGGGGGGACAGATGCTGCCGGTCCAGCTGGCCGCCACAGCGCGACTCGGCGAGGCTCGACATGAGAAGGCCAGCTTCGGCAGCAAGCTCGCACGGTGGCTCCTCTGCCCGTAGCGCCGCCTCTCGCTGAGGCAGCACTCGAACGCACACGGCGAGAGTAAGCGAGAGGAAAGGAGCCGGCAGGAAGAGCGGCTCTCGGCTCGTCCCTCGAGCGACTTGAGAAGGGCGGCGAGCGGACCCAGCTCGCGCTCTACAAGATCAACTGGCTCAGAAAACGCGCTCGATTGCATCGCAGACACCTCCTCGTTCGATCCCGCGCAAGCAGAACACCGTAACCCTGCTAGATCAAGAGCTACCGTTTGAGCGAGGGTGCGCAGGATCCCCCTGTCTCGAGTAGGTGGCCGGGCGCACGGGCGCTCCGCAGGGGTGCGCGCCGTGCGAGCGGCTCACCACAGTGCACCCGCTGCCCTCAGGGGCACGTGAGGGCGGGCGCGGCCTCGTAAGGACCCGTCCGCGACGGCTCGGACTTCCTCGGCCGCCGGGACGAGTAACGGTCGCGGGACGGGCGTGTGGGTCTCTCTCAGTTCGCTCGAGTCATGCAGAGGGCATGTCGGCGTCGGCAGGGGCGAGCGTAAGAGCAAGCAAGAGTGCGAGGTAGGAGCTTTCGAGTCCGAGAAGGAGAGGGCGCCATCGAGGGCTCGACTAACCTGCGGCGCGAGTACGAGAGGGTCAGTGCGTGTGCTCACAAGGCGTACGAGCCCATGTTCGAGTCCATGACACGGACCGAGAGAGTGAGAGGGACGCACAAGGAGCCAGATGAACCGCCTCGAGGTCGACAGCGAGTCCTCGCAAGACCAACGGCATGCCCATCGCGCACCGCCGCACCGCCTGTAGAGTGATCTAGTCAGCTCCGGGAGGCCTCTGAGAGGTGTCGCGAGGCGGTGGCGGGTGCGAGGGAAGGGGGAGAGGGCGGCAAACAGTGGGGAGGAGGGGAGGAGGGGCACGCACCTGCTATCCATCGCCCGCAGAGCCCGGCCGCCCAGCTCAGTCCACGCCAGACACCTCCTGGTACCCTCAACGAGCGCTCCCACAGGCCCACGAGTCGTTGTCGCCGGTCGAGAGAGGTGGGACGACGCAGTTTGCTGATGAAGACACGACGCGGTCTGCGCGGACGGCGAGCGCTCGCGGTGGTGCGGGTGCAGCTCGTAGTCGGTGCTGAGGCTCGCAGGTACTCGGGCGAGGCGCGAGGCGCCGGCCCAGGCGAGAGGGCGCGAGTTGGTGGAGGGAGGTCCAGCGGCGGCGGGACGAGTTGCTCTCGCTGCGCTTTCTCTCCTCCCGCGAGCACCGCAGACAGCCAGAGGCGCTACACGCGGACAGACGATAATACTGATAGATTCGGTCAAGAAAAGTAAAGCTACAACAGCGAGCGTCGACGACGCGAGACGACGACCCGGCGCCGCTCGCCCTCGCGCTCGTCCTCCTCGCTCGGCCGACCCACCGCCGCTCGGTCGGTGCCACGCGTACGCTCGACAGGCCGCTTAGTACCAGCCGAGGTAGCTGCGCCAAGTGGCCGGCGGCCCCGCCTTGGTCCACTTGAAGTCGCCGAACCGAGGGAACGTGCAGGAGCGCCAGAAGTGGACCTGGGACCAGGGGTACAGCGTGGTGCACAGGCCCGTCTTCTGGTCGACGTACCAACTCTGTGGGCGGGGGGGACGAGGCGGGAGGAAAAGGCGTCAGGGAGTGGTCGCAGGAGGAGAGGAAAGGGAGGGAGAGAGAGAGGTGGACGCACGACGCCGCCGTCCTTCTCCCAGATCTTCTTCTTCATCTCGGCGCGCAGGCGGGCGTAGACCCTGTCCTCGGCCTCGCGCGTCACCTCGACGTACGGCGCCGGGCGGCCCTTGGGGTTCTTGCGCAACTGCTTGAGGAGCGGGCGCACGAGGTGGAACACGAGGTTGAGCTGCGCCTCGGACGTGAACAGGACCGACGAGTGTCCCGTCGCGGAGTTGGGCCCCATGATCCAGAAGAAGTTGGGGAACTCGGACACGAGCGTCGACTGGTACGTCTTGACGCCCGTCGCGTTGAGGCGATCCTGGAGCGACACGCCCTTGTCGTTGACGATCTTGAGCGGGAAGAGGACTGCGATGGAGCGAGCTGGTCAGTGACTGCGACAGTCGGCCGAGCCGAGAGAGGACATCGAGGAGGAGGACGAGGAGGAGGACGCACAGTCGCGGACCTTGAAACCGGTCGCGAGCACGATGACGTCGGCGCGGACCGTACGACCCGCCTTGGTCATGACCTTGTCGCCCTTGACCGACGTGACCGTGTCGTCGGCGATGAGCTCCATGTTCGGCGCGCCGAGCGACTCGTAGTAGCCCGAGTCGAACACGCGACGCTGCAGACGGGCACGGCGAGGGTCAGTACGCTCTTCTGACGATGCAGAGGACGGATGAGGAGGGACGAACCTTGGCGGCGATGTCAAAGTCGGGCTCGAGGTCCTTCCAGTATTTCTTGGGCGCCTTCTCGTGCATGCTGGGGGTGGAGCAGGGTGAGCGACCGTGGCGCCTCGGAAGACAAGGCACGAGAGGAGAAGGTCGACGCACTACTCGCGAAGCTCCTTGACGGCGTTGCGGCGGTCCTTGGCGCCCTTCTTGAGGTCCATGATGCGGAACAGGGTCTCGATGATGAAGAAGGTGGCGCAGCGCAAGAGGAAGCCGAACTGTGTGCGCTCGACGAGTCAGTGGCGGCTCGACTAGGGCGGGAGGTGTGGAAGAAGGGACGCACGCCTGGAAGCCACCTCATGAGGAAGCGGACGAAGGGGCCGTCGGGCGTCGGGATGCGCTTGAAGAAGGTCTGGCGAGAGCGCGCGATCTGCGTCACCGAGTGGCACTCCTTGACGATCTCGGGCACAATCTGTGCCGCCGAGCAACCTGGGAGAGGTCGAGGTGAGAGAGAGGGTCAGTGCGGCTCGGGCGAGGCAGTCGAGGAGGGCGAGGAGAGCAGGGACGCACCGTTGCCGACAACGACGACGTCCTTGTCCTTGATGTCGACGTCCTGACGCCACCGAGCCGAGTGGAAGACCTCGCCGTTAAAGTCCTTCGGGTCGAACGGCGGGTCGTTCGGGATGGTGAGGCCGCCGAGGCACGACAGGAGGATGTTGCACGTGCGCTTGCGGACCTCGCCCGTCTCGTCGTCGCGGACCGTGAGGTGCCACAGGCCGTCGTCGCGCGAGAAGGTGGCCGTCTCGACCGCGGTGCGGAAGACGATGTTGCGCAGGTTGAACTTGTCCTGGACCTCGTGGAGGTCTGCGCGCGCACAGTCGTCAGAGTACGCCTCGAGGGAAGAGTCAAAAGGGTTGACGCACAGTCGAGGATGTCGGCCTGACCGGCCCAGTCGCTCTTGGCGTGGTAGGCAGGGTAGAACTGCGTAAGGAGGAGAGGGTCAGTACGCGCTCTTGCAGACCGGCCCGCCCGACCGCCGCTTCGACGAGGCTCAAGACAACAGGGAGGAGGACGTACCGAGAACGAGTAGAAGGTGAAGGGAATGTCGCATGCGGCGCCAGGGTAACGCTGCGAGAGGGGGAGGGAGCCCGGGATCAGTTTCGTCTGGCACTTGGCGAGATCCGCATGGACCCTGGAGAGAGTGGGGACACACGTTGACGTTCCAGGTTCTGTAAGGGCGCAGGGAGAGTTGCCGAGGCGCGAGGGAGGCAAGGTCAGCTTCTCGATTCCCGAAAGTTGGTCGAAAGACGCGGCGAGAGGGCCGCGGAATGGGCGACAGGGACGCACCCTCCAACGTCCGAGGTCTTTTCGCTGTTGCACGGGGCGGCAGAGAGGTCAGCGGCCGGCCCGAGACGTCGAGGACGCGCGGCCGTGTGGAGCGGCGGCGAGGTGGGGGAGGAGGAGAGGGAGGGGAGAGCTCACTAGACGAGCACGTCCTCGAGGCCGAGCTTGCGCTTGAGCTGGATCGCCGAGGCCATGCCAGAGAGGCCTGCGCCCATGACGATGCTGCGGGCGACGAGGTTCAGTGTGTGGACCGAGGGAAGTGGAGGGAGGGGGAGGGGGCGCACGCCGTGTAGTGGCTCTTGGCATCAGGCGCCGAGCTCTGCTTGAAGGTGTGCGGGATGAGGGGCTGCTTCTCAGAGAGGGCCATGGCGGGCGGGTAGTGATTGAGGTGAAGGAGGAGGAGCAAGAGCAGCGGACGCCGGGCTGGTGCCGAAGCTGGTAGCGGCGACGTGCTTCGCCGCTCGCTCCTCGTCCTCCCCTGAGGGGCTCCGGCGAGGCCGGCCCGCCAGATCTGCAGCAGCCCGGCGACCCACGTAAGGCAGCACTTCCATTCTGGCGACCCTCGTACGCGCGCTCGCCCTCACCGAGTCGGCTTCTCCTTTCGCCCTCGGTCACCTCTGTCGGCGCCGCGCCCAACGGGTAAGCCGGTCCGCACGCACCTCTTGCGCCAATTGTCTCCTGTCTGTATGCTCGCTCTCATGTCCGCCGGCTCTCGGGCTGCTGTCACGAGTAAGCTCGCTCCGCCTGCCGGCCGCTGGCTTCGCTTCGGCAGCTTAACTACCCTGCTCAAGTCTCGCCTTTTGCTCGCTTCTCTTGACGCTCGACATGGACGCACACCGCAGCAACTTGCTCGACCTTGCCGGCGCAGGTCACGACCTCGCAGGCCAGCTGCAGGGGACGCACACCTGCAGTCCCGCCTTCAAGTACATCGTCGCCGGTGCGTTTCCTCTCGCAGCTCCTTCTGGCGGCACGATTTGACTACTCTCGTCCTACAGGCCCTGCAGCAGCAGCCTCGTGGGTCCTCGAACTACCCGCGAGCGACCTGTCGAACAAGCTCGCCAGTTTGATTTTCGTCCCGACGAACCTCTGCAGGTCCGTGCGCTCTCGCCACGGCCTCTCCTGCTTCCGCCCGCTCACTCACTCTCTGTCGCGACAGGATCCGCATCATACCCTTGGTCCCGACCGCCGCCTGGGACCGCTCGTCGCACGCACAGCTCCAAGGCATCATCGTTGGCGACCGCCAACGAGTCGAGGCCGCGGCGGCACGTCCTCGTTGTTCTTTCCTTTCCTCCTGTGTGCGCTCCACACGACTGACTCGCCGACCTCGACAGGGCGAGAACTACCGCAGCCCGTACTTTTCCTTGCCTCGTCAGGTCGTCGGGACGAGCGGCGCGTGCGTCGTCGCCCCTCCTCCTCTCCCTGTAACCGACTCACTCACTCACTTGTCACAGAACGACCAACATCAAGGTCAAGCTCGAATTGTCAGGCCTCGCCATGGAGCCGGCAAATTGGAGGCTGTCGTGTCACAAGAACCCGCGGGCACCTCTCGCTCCCATCCAGACGGCACCGCCCATCATCTACAGCGCCCTCGTCGGCATCAAGCACATGCGCGAGGAGCAGTCGCGCCCGGGCATGTCCACCGCCAAGTCGCGCGACTGCGAGTCGATCCTCATGTCGGACTTTCTCGGGCTCCTTATCGTGGTCGAGCTGCACAACGTTCCCGGCGCCGAAGCGCCCAAGGGCGGCCTCGACTCGTGGCGCCACTTTGTGCGCTTGCTCACCGTCGACGTGTACAAGGCGATGCGGGACTTTGTCGCCCGCGGCGGGCTCGACGGCCGCTTTGCGCGCGACGCGGCGACCTGGTTCGTCGAGCACGCGTCGGAGGCCGACGAGGGCGAGTTCGACGTCTTCCTCGCGGCGGCCCAACGCGCGATCGACTGGGTCAAGATGCTGTTCACGGTGCGTCCCCTCTTCCTCGTCGTCGTCGGCGCTCGGGCCCCCTCACTGACCTTCCTTCCTGCAGTACGACCATACTGTGCGCCCGCTCGTTCTCTCTCGATGTGCCTTACGTGTCGCTCACTGACGCTAGCATCTCTCTGCCTCGCAGGGTCGTCCGATTCAGCCGGCCTTCGAGTTCCGCTCGCTCAAGAAGGCGGCTCACTCGGCGTTCGTCCCTCAAGCTCGTCGCGTCTTGTAGCGGCGCCAGTAGTGCTCTCTGCAACGTCGAAGCCCTCGTCTTTGTCGAGCACGACCTGTCGGCTTTAGTGCGCCAACTTTGAGCTCTCTCGAGAGAAAGATCGAGAGCGAGTCCGAGAGCGCGCCGTCGAGCGCCTAGACGCGTGGTGCGCGCTCAGCAGAACCCGGGCTCGAGAGCTACGGACTCGAACTCGACAGGGCTGTGTCGCTCGAGGCTCAGCTTGGCTTTCGAGAGGCTGGAAGAGCTTGTCAAATCGACCTTCTCAAGTCGAGCTCTCACGCTTTCGAGGCGCCAGAAGCTCTCGCGACGAGCCGTGAAAAGGCACAGAGAAGCGTTCATCTTCGTCAAGCTACGGCCGTCAACCTCTCCTGCACTCCTCGAGCCAAACCCTCAAGCGCGCTCGGCTACTCGTCCTGCTCGTCCTGCTCGTCCTCGCTCGTCCCGCCCTGCTCCTCGTCCTTCTCCTCCTCGTCCTCCTCGTCGTCGCCGCGAGCGTCGATCTTGGGGAGGTTGTACCCGCTGCGCAGGCTCGTGATGTTGGGACCGCGGCGGCGCAGGGCGGCAAGCTGCGGGCGTGGCGAGGCGACGATGAGGGCCGACGATGAGCGCGGACGAGACGGGAGGGGCGCGTTGAGGATAAAGGAGGTGGATGAGAGGGAAGAGAGCGGGGGAGGTGTCGAGGGCACGAGAGTAGACGGCGAGGGAGGGGAGGTGGACGACGGCGGCGGCGGACGAGATGGACGGTACGGAGGAGGGAAAAGGCTCGTCAGTGCCGGAAGGACCGTCGAGGCCACGAGTAGGCGAAAAGGGAGAGGCGACGCACAAGCTCGACCCAGTTGTACCGGCGGGTGCGCTCCTTGCGCGCCTTGTACGGGTTGTTGCGCCACCTCCACCAGCTGCCGCACGCCGAGAGGTCCCACTCAACGGCGTCCTCCTCGTCGACCTCGATCGCCTTGAGCACGAGGCGCACGAGCAGGACCTGGTGCTCGTCGATGCGCGACTTGATCGAGATGCGCAGGTCGTGCCCGCCGCTGTGGCGCCACAGCGTCTCAGGGTACGGCAACAGGTTCGTGAACGTCATGCTCTGGTGCGGGTCGCGGCGAGAGCCGAGGAACAGGTGCGTCGGCCGCGCGAACCAGTCGTCGTCGTACTCGTCCTCGGGGTAGTCGCTCGGGTCGGTCGACAGGCTGTCGATGCGCACGCCCCTCGTGGCGGCGAGAATGGCGCGGATGGCCTCGACGCGGATCTCCTCCTGGTACTGCTCGAAGCTCTTGCAGATGTCGGGCAGGACACGGCGCCAGATCGAGTCGGTGATCGTGACGGCGTCGACGGGCTCCCACAGCGGCTTGAATACGGGCCAGTCGACGATGTCGTCGAACGACGGCAAGATCTGCTTCTCCTCCGAGTCGAACGAGTTCGCAAAGTTGCGGTAGTAGGGCTCGAGAGCGGCGCGACGAGCAGAACGGGCTCTGCGGAGAGCCGTCTCGGCCGCCTCGCGCTCGAGTTCGGCCTGGATCCAGTCGCGGAAGTCGGCCCAGGCTACGGAGGAAGACGGTCAGTACCGGTGTACATGGATAGGCCGTCGACAGGCAGAAGGATAGAAGGGCAGGGACGCACCGTCGGCGTCATGGTCGAGCGCCACAGCTGGGACCCGCTCGTGCTCGTCGTGGTCGTCGTACCATTCGACTTGCTCCTCGGTCCAGTCGTGCTCGGTCTGAAGGCGTCCGTGAAAGCTGTAGAGGGAGGGGGGCTCATCAGTACCGTCTCGCGGGCGAGCGCAGCTCGAGAAAGCTGGACGGACCTCTCGACCTTCTGGCGCTCCTCCTCCCGCACACGAGCCTCCTCGGCCCAGATCAGCCGAAGTGCAGCCGACTCTTCCTTGCTGACGACGTCGTGAACGGCCTCGATCTCCTGTTTCGGTTCGGAGAGGCGACATGAGCCTTCGAGAACGCCGAGGCAGGGAGAGCGGCAGGGACGCACCTCGAGCTCCTTCTCGACCCACTCCTTCCTGCGCTTGACGAACGTCTCGAGCTGATCGGCTTGAGGCAGGTCCTCGAGTACCGTCTTGATGCGCCTCGACCTCGTAGACGTGCGCAGGCGAGCCGCCTCGAGCGCGTACTCGGCGACCTCGTCCTGCTCGGCGAGCTCGTACAGGGTGGTGCTCACGGCCCACAGGTCACGCACGAGATAGTCGACTGTGTGTGCGCAAAGTCAGTCCGTGTCGGCGGCAGGCCGAGGTGTGGGAGCAGAGAAAGAGCGACGCACTCTGGGGCTTGCCGTCCCACGAGATCCCATCTGCGCACGAGGAACTGGTCAGTGCGGTTTGGCTCGAGCCCGAGGAGAGACTGACGCACAGTCGAAGAAGGCGACCCAGCCGCGAGCACGAGGGTGAACGCCCTTGAGCTCGCGGCGGGCTTGTCGCCGCGAATGATTCTGCGAGGGCATCTACCGTCAGTGCCACAATCCGAGAAGAGGGAGAAAGAGAGAGAGAGAGAGAGACGCACTCCTTGCCCTCGCACGTGTGGCACAGGCGGCAGCGGAAGTCGTAGTAAAGCTCGGTCGACGAGGTCGACCTACAGGCCTGTTCGCGAGAGAGGGTCAGGGCGGTACGCGTGTCGAGATCAAAAGGGGAGAATGTCGGACGCACGTAGCACTCCTTGCCGTGAAGGAGCTCGGCGAGCTGCTGCTCGGTCATGCTGCTCGGGAGCGGGAGCTTGCGCTGCTCGCGAGCCGCCTTCCAGATGGGTGCGGCGTGCGCGCCGAGGAGGAGGGCGCGCACGACCTTGCACGTCTTGGTGAGCGACAAGAGGTCGTCCGAGCCGACTTGCGAGAAGATCTGGGTGCGGGCGGGTAAGTGTCTGTCGCGCACGCGCGAGGAGAGAAAGGAGTGAACGTACCGAGTCGAGGAGCTCGATCGGGAGCTTGAAGAGGGCGGTCTGCTGGGGCGTGTGCTTGCGCTCGACCTTGTTGCTGATGGCGTGCGAGTCGAGGTCGCGCTTGCGCTTGCGCTTCTTGGGCTTGGACGTAGCTGCGAGCGGCGGGACGAGCGAGGTGAGCGCCGACACCTCCTGGCTCGCGAGGAATGGGGAGAATGGGTGCGCACCCGTGTCCGAGTTGTCGAGGACCTTGTGCTTGCTGTCGGTGTCGCCTTCACGTCCACCGTCGCCGTTGCCGTCGGTCGAGGACGCCGTTGTCGTCATCTGGACGCTGTCGAGATTGGCGAGGTCGCCCGAGGTGCTGGAGGTGGTTTCGTGCGGGTCGACGGCGGTCGTGAGCGTCGTGGCCCTACGGCGCGGCATACTCGACTGCCACAGAGCGAGCGAGCGGGTCGAGCAGGAGCGAGGAGGAGAGCGGGGCGCTCGCGCCTTCAAGGTTCTCCGTCCACCTCGCAGGCCGGCTCTGCTTAGCCAGGCGAGCAGCTACACAGAGCGACAAGCTGCTCTCGCTCCAAGCACGAGCACGCGGTGCCGCCTCCCGCCATCGCAGGCTGCCGACCTCCTTGCTCCTCGACGGCCAGCTGCTGAGTAGCGCCGACCGCCCGCCAGCCCAGTGCAGCGCGTGCAGCAACAGACCGGCTCCTGCTCCACCGCCGCACTCGAGCCGGCCCCGTCGCGCACACCGTCGAGGCTGCAGCCGGGCGAGACCGACGGCGGCGGCGAGGACGAGTGAGCGAGGACGACCGGCGGCGTCTCGAGCTGTTGCGTGCGGGTCGAGGGCAGGAAGAGTGTCCTGGGCGCGTCGAGGGCTGCGCTGCACGAGGCGGATGGCTGCTGCTGCCGAAAGGGCGGCGACCTCCTCGTCGACCTCACCCGCGGCCACTTCGATCGACCTCTGCTCCCGCTCTCTCACCCGGACGGACGGCAGGTCACCGCCAAGGCGCGCCCAAGCTGCAGCTCGACGCCACGCGAGTACCCAGAGCCGCTCCAGCAGGATGGCGGCTCGGCTCGCGCCCTCCCTCTCGTCCGGGGAGGGAGGCTGGTCGCTCGCCCATCCGCCTCCCTCAGCATGCCTGGATGGCGGGTGGACACTCGGCCGCCGCTACAAGGCTTGTGTGCGGTGCTGCCCTCGCTTTGCTCCCTTTCCACCACTCGACTCGCCCTACACCGCCCGCCGTACCCTCCTCACCCTCCTCGCGCCGCACCCACCTCACTCAACCACCACCATGCTCCGCGCCATCCTCTACCTCGCGACCCTGTTCGCCGTCGCCACCTCGACCTGCGCGCTGCCCATCCCCTCCTTCGCGGGCCCCCTCGACCTCCTCCCCTTCAAGGCGTCGCTCGGCAACAACCCGCAGCGCGACTTTGGTCTCCCGCGCGCCCCGGCACCCCTCCGCATCGTCGAGGACGACGACGAGCACGTCCACGGCGCCCACCTGAGCGCCTCGACGTCGTCGACCGGCCGCCCGACCTCGCACGCCTCGCTGCACGCCCTCGTCGCCGAGCCGACCGCGCTCGCCGCGCCCGTCCCGAGCGCACACGGTCGCAAGGCCGCCGACGTCGACGACGACAGCATCTTCAGCGACGCCATCTACTTTGAGCCGAGCGCCGGCCCCGCCGCCGCCTCGGCGAGCTCGGTCGCGCAGGACAAGGCCGTCGAGGCGGAGCGCGTGCGGCAACTCGAGCGCGAGGGCTGGACCAAGGTCGCCAAGCGGGAGCTTGGGCAGCTCAAGGCGGCGTCGAAGCGTGCCCAGCAGCTGCGCGCTCGCACCGCCGCCGTCGCTGCCGCCGCTGTCGCCTACCCGGCCTGAGCGCCTCTCGCCTCGCCTCACTCGCCTTGCGCCATCTTCGCCACCATCCCCATCCGCGTTGACCGCGTCAATACCCTCGAGTACCATCCCTCGCCGCCGTGCGGCCTCGAGCGTCGCGAGCCAGCCTCGCCTCGCCTTCCCAAGTCGCGCCGACCCCGTCCCCAGCCGCCGCATCATCGAGGCGCGTCACGCCGCGCACGACGAGCTCGAACGCGACGCCTGCGCGCGACAGGGACGACGCGGGTACTGAGCGCCCCGACTACAGCTCTCGCCTCGATGGCGATTGAGCGCCCTCCCTCCTCGGGAGCGGCTGCGGCTCTTGTTTCTCTCTGTCTCGTAGATCCGTCGCGACAGATACTCCTTCTGCGTGCGTAACGACGACGCCTTCAACTTCTATCATGTGTTCGTGCGGGCCGAGAGCGACGAGAGCGAAGAGTCGAGAGAAAGTTGGCGAGGAGGCAGTTCTCGACGTGGCTCTCGAGGACACAGCGCTCGCTCTGCTCGCCGGGGAGAGGACCGTCCGAGTGTTGCAGGAGCTCTACGCAAACTCGGCGCGGACCTTCTGCTTCTTGCCGCCGACCTTGAGGCCGGCCCACAGCGCCTTCTCGACCTCGTCGACCTTGAAGCCCTTGGCCTTGGCCTGCTCGACGACCTTCTCACGCACGTCGGCGAGCGACACGTTGTCGCCGGCGAGGAGCGGCGTGACGGCCTCGGACAGGAACGTCTTGACCGACGGCGTCGCCGCGGACGCCGCTGCGGCCGTCGTCGAGCCGGCCTCGTGCGCCGCGCCGCTCGCCTCGGCCGCACCGACCTCGCCGCCCTTGGCCTTCTTGCTCTTTTTCTTCTTCTTCTGCGCCGGCTCGCCCGCACCGCCGTCCGCCGCTGCTGCCGCTGCGGGCGCGGGCGCGTCGGCCACAGGCGCCGCCGCCGCCGAGGTGTCGTCTTCCCGCGCGCGCTTCTTCTGCTCGGCCTCCTTGGGCTGCGCCTCGACCTTCTTGACCTCGGCCGGCGGTGCGGGCGCAGATGCGGGTGCGGGTGCGGGTGCAGGTGCAGGTGCAGGCTCGGGAGCGGGTGCGCCGTTCTGGCCCTGCTGGGACTTCTTGCCCTTGCCCTTGGGCGCCTTGTAGATCGACTTGTGGTACCGTTGCTCCTCGGAGACGCACGACGTGTGCGCGCGGTACGATGTGCCCTCGAAGGTTGTGTTGCAGTCGATGCCTGCAGAGGAGGAGGGTGCGAGAGAGAGAGGTCAGCTCGGTTCGGGTGCGCCACAGCACCAGGACCAGCACCTCTGTCGTGCATGTGCCGTAGCGCAGAGCGACAGGGAGGCTGCGGGATGCTCGAGGCGCGACGAGAGTGCACGAGGGAGTGGACGCACAGGTGAAGTAGGCGCCACGGCAACGGCCTGCGTGCTGGTCGAGCTTGGGCTTCTTGACCGTGTCGTTGCACTGCTCGCAGCTGAACGAGACCATGGCTGGTGCGAGTCGGGAGATGCGGTGGAGCAAGAGAGCAAGGAGGTTCCCCGCCGTCAAAGCTCTTGAGAGCCGCCAGCCCGCTCTCTCCCACCGAGAGCTCCTTGTACCACCCAAGGCTGTGCGTAAGAGCTCCACTAGCCTGCTCAGCATACCCTCGACTCGCCCGACCTTGTGGTCGCCTCGTCAAGCCTTCATCAGCTCTCGCGGCGATGATCCCCACTCCGACCACCTCTCACCTGTCTGCGGCCGACTTTGAGAGCGTCTACGAGCCTGCAGGTGCGTCTTGTACCCTTTCCACACGCGCGCAGAACCAGACTGACCCGGTCGCTGCCTGCAGAGGACACCTTCATCCTCCTCGACGCGCTCGAACAAGACGCCGAGCTCCTCAAGGGCAGCAGGCTCGTTCTCGAGATCGGGTCCGTCCTCTTCTCACTCTCATCGACTTTCTGAGCGGAGCTAACCCCGGCTTTGTGCGCAGGTCGGGCTCCGGCTGCGTGTCCGCCTTCCTCGGCGCCATCTGCGGGCCTTCTTCTGCACGTGCGCCAGCGCGCCTTTGCCTCGCACGACCGGGGCGACAGATCACTGACTCGTTTTCGCCCCCGCAGTCTACCTCTGCACCGACCTCAACCCGCACGCCGCCCGCTGTACCGCCCTCACCGGCCAGTCCAACTCGGTCCCGCTCGACCCCGTCCTCACCGACCTCACGAGCGCGCTTCACCCGCGCCTCGAGCACGCCGTCGACCTCCTCGTCTTCAACCCGCCGTACGTCGAGACGGACGATGCCGAGGCGTTCGACGCGCAGGAGGACGGCGTCATCGAGCGGGCGTGGGCGGGTGGGATTGGCGGCATGCGCGTCACGAACAGGCTCCTTGAGCAGGTCGAGGTGCGCTCTCGCTCTCTCTCTCTCTCTTTCTCTCTTGAGCGGGCTCGGCAGGGAGAGGAGCTGACCTCGAGCACTCCCGCAGACGCTCCTCTCGCCGCGAGGCATCTTCTACCTCGTCGCCGTCCCCGAGAACAAGCCGCTCCAGATCATCGAGGACATGAAGGCTCGAGGTCTCCACGGCGAGGTGCGTCCGGCGCATCCTCTCTCTCTCTCGCGTCGAGAACGCGCGAGTCGAACCCGGCCCTCGTCCCACAGATCACGCTCAAGCGCCGAGCCGGCCGGGAGCACCTGCACATCCTGCGCTTCTCGCGACCAGCAGAGTCGCACACGGCTGTCGACGACCCGACGCCCTGATGAGCTTGAGCGCTCTCAAGCCGGTCCCGGCTTGCGGTTCCAGCTTGGCGCGAGAAAAGGGTCGAGCGGGCCTCCGTGCTCAAGCGCACGGGTCGCACGTTCATCGCGGTCGGCGCAGCAGCATTGCGACGTCGTGCTACAGCTCGTCCCGGGCCGGCGCCGGCCCCGTCATCCGCCTCTCGCCCTCGTCGCCTCGCACCCCTTCCTCCTCCTCCGCCCCGCCCCGCCACACCAGCACCCTCACGTCGCCCCTCCTCCTCTCGTCCTCGTGCCACCCGCCGATCGTGTTCCACAGCCGCCGCTCCTCGACGTACCCTCGCTCGCTCAGCAGGGCGCCCACCGTCCTCGGCGCCCAACCGCCCTTTCCCTCCTCGCGACCACCACCGCCGGCGTCGCACGCGACGTCGAGCAGCGACGAGAAGAGGACGATGCGCTCGGGCCACGCGTGGCGCCACCCGAGGTCGAGGTCGAGGTCGAGGTCGAGGTTGGCGTGCGCGCTCGTCGAGGTCGAGGTCGAGGTCGAGAGGAAGGGGCGAGGACGGACGGGGAGCGGCGGCGGCGGCGAGGGCGGGAACGACGGGTCGACGGCGCGAGGGAAGCGCGAGTCGAGGTACGCGCAGGGCGAGGCGTAGAAAAAGTCGGACTGGTCGAGGTAGGTGCGAGGGTCTTGGCCGCTGTCGACGAGGGGGGCGACGAGGGTCAGTGCGCTGTGGAACGAGATGCCGTGAATGCCCCGTCACGCGCCCGATTGAGAGTCTCGAGGTGCGAGAGTAGAACAGAGAGCGCGCGAGGACGCACAGGACCGGCGGCTCGCAAGTCAAAAACCACGCTCTATCGCCCTCGCCCTCGCCCTCGGCCCCGTTCTCGAGCCACGGCGCATGCATGCCCGCCTGCCACGCCGTCGAGTGGCACGGCATGACGAACCCGACGCTCCTCGTCGGCGGGTCGGTCGCGTGGAGGTGCGCCGGGACGAGGGCCTGGCCGAGGCCGTGGAAGGCCGTAAGGTAGATGGCTGGCGGGACGGAGGCGAGGACGACGAGGGCGTGCGAGGGGCGGATGCCGAGCGTCGTGCGGCACAGGCGGCTCAAGGCGGCAGTACTCGACGCCGAGGAAGGTGGGTGAGGGCCGCGCTGGACGAGCGAGAGGGCGACGAGGAGGTGCATGGCCGGGAGGAGCGGGTGGAGGAACCGCCACTCCTTGTGCGGGAGGAGCGAGTAGACGGCGATCGTGCCCGCCGTCGCGCACGCGAGGCTGTTGAGCGCGACGGTCGACCGTATCGGGGTCGAGGAGCGGACGAGGCGCAGGGCGCCGTCGAGGAAGAAGGGCAGTTGGGTCGCGAGGAGGAGCGGGATGCCCTGCGACAGGTAGAAGTGGGCGGAGTGTACGCCGTAGAAGATCGAGATGGACCGCGTGACGTTGACGTCGAGGAAGCGCAAGGGCGTGAACGTCGGCGTGCCGTAGAAGGTCGAGTCGAGGGCGAAGGACGAAATGGTGGCGACGAGGCTGCGCGAGGCGTTGAGAACGAGTCAGGACACGCTCACGGTCGATCGAGAGAGGTTCGACGCACCCGATGACGATGACTGAGCGTAGGATGGCGAGTCGGCGCGCGCCGCTTGACGAGAAGAAGAGGTGCCCGCCGAGAAAGAGCCAGATGACGGCGTTGGACGGGCGCATGATGGTCGCAAGCGCGGCGAATGCGAGCGCGACAGGAAGAGAGGAATGTCTGCGGACATTGCTCGTGTCAGGTCTACTGCTCGAGAGCGAGAATCGAGAGGCTCGGACGCACTGAGGACGCTCATGCGCCGTATCGCCCCGCCGCTCAACCGCCTTGCCCTCGCTCTCGCCCTCGCGGCGCTCGACCCACTCCCACGGCCAGTACACCCACGCCCATGCCGTGAGGGCCGTCTCGGTCGAGTTGCTGAGCGTGCGAGTCGCCGTGTGCAGGTTGAAGAAGGACGACAGCGAGGCAAAGAGCTGTGGGTCGACAGGGCTCGTCAGTGTCGGCGCTGGGCCATCAGGACGTAGAGGAGAGTCAAGACGCACCGCTGCGTTGACGTAGCTCGGCCCGAGCGTGCGCCGTGCGAGTCGAGCGACGGCGAGATCGGTCGAGGCGGCGATACACGCCTGCACGAGTCGCGGTGCGAGAGCCTGCTCGGTGATTCGTCGTTAGCTCGTGCGGCTCTGAGCCTGAAGAACGACAGTGAGAAAGGAGGACGCACGAGCATGGCCGGGCTGTCAAGCCCTGCCGCCTTGAGGACGGCGTACGCCGCCGCCGTCGGGAGCACCGCCAGCGGGCTCCTGATCCCGCCCCGTCCTCCCTGCAGCACCGTGTCCCACCAAGCCCCACTCCCAGCTGCGCCCTGTTCGCCATGCGGCTCGACGCGCCACTCCCAGGTCGCCCACCCGAAGCCCCACATCCAGCGGTGCGCCGGTTCGAGGGCCTGCCAGTATTCGTCGGGCTGGAAGAAGGCGCGCGAGAGGCACGCGTTGGCGAGGCGGACGGCGAGGGCGAGGCTGTAGATGCGACGAGAGGGGGAGGTGGAGAGGCGAGAGGGCGAGGCGGGGGCGAGGGGCATGGGCGGGTGCGCCAGCGAGCTAGACAGCTGTGCTGTGCTGCTGCTCGCTGCAGCGTGTGCAGCTGCGGCCGAGAGCGAGTCGTGCGAGAGCAAGGCAAGGTGGTCGAGCGAAAGCTGCCGCCGGCCGAGCGGGGGTTGCGAGTGTATGCAGAGCAGGTGGAGCGTCGAGCGACGACGACGAGGAGCGCGCGAGGCAAGGCCGGGGAGAGGCTGTTGACGGTGAAAGCGGGACGACGAGCTGAGAGCGAGGCGAGCAGAGGCGGCCAGAGGACGAAAGCGGAGGGTGGCCGAGGGCAGGTTTTCGAGGGGAATCTCGAGACGGCATTGGCGCGCGGAGGAGGAGCTCGGAGGGAGAGATTCCCTCGTCGCGACCGCCCGCTGCTCGCCCTCGAAGAGGCCAAGTCGGCCCCCTCCCCTCCCTCCCTCCTCCTCGTCACCCGCGTCCCGCTCAGCTGTGCACGCCCGACTGTACACGAGTGCACAAGCCCGCAAGCCGCCCACCGAGCACCAACCACCTCCTGGGCACCTCGTCCTCTTGCTCGTCGTCGCACCGAGCCAGCGAGGTCGCCCTCGCTCGCCCGCCCCGACTCGCCGCGCACCACCAGGACCCGTCAAGTGGGACAGTCGCACCTCGCCAGCCGCTATCGCCGCCCTACACACCCGTGCACCCCGTGCGCTCGAGTCCCCACACGGCTGCACCGCCTCAATCGACTTCCCTCCTCCTCCTCCTCCTCACCCGCCCTTGCCCCCCGTGACGCGACTAGCCGTCACTCGCCTCTCGCCTCGACCGCGCACCCCTCCACCTGTACGCTCGCCGCCATGCCGCTCCTTCGCCGTCGCCCCGTCCAGCTCCTCCCTCTGCCCAACCTCGACAACGTGCCCCAAGACACGCCCGTCTTCTACCTCAAAGCCACCGGCGAGGTCTTCCTCGACTACGAGTGCGTCCTAACCCCCTCTCTCTCCTCTCCCCAGGTTCAGTCCCTGACCTTGTCCTCCTCCTCCCTCCCCACCTCGCTCCCCTCGGCTCGTCCTCCCTCCCTCGCCCGCGCACAGGGCCTACGCCGCCCGCCTCTCGTTCCTCCTCACGCGCCAGTTCCAGTGCGAGTACTCGGGCAAGAGCAGCCTCGACTACTTTACCGCCCTCCAGAGCGAGAAGACCGAGTCCAAGATCGTGCGCGAGCGCTTCCCCGACCCGCTCAAGGGCCGCGTCCTCGCCAGCGTCCAGTTCCGTGCGCCCACCTCCCTCTTCTCTTCTTCACAGAGATCGCCCAGCTGACCAAGAGCCTGTGCAGGCGTCATGGGTCGCCTCGACTCGCTCGTCGACCTCGTCTTCGACCGGTACAAGGACCGCTACTTTGCCGGCGAGAAGGTCTTTGTCGACCTGAGCGGCGACAAGTGCGTCGTCGTCCTCTCTCTCTCTCTCTCTTGACGATGGCGCTGACTGTCGCGACACGTGCAGGTACTTTGCCCGCATCAACCGCGTCTTCCCTCCGCCCAACGTGCGCGCCAACGCCGACGCCGCCGCTTCGACCTCTGCCGCGCCCGAGCCCGACTACAACACGTTCGCGCACAAGGTCGGCGTCGACCTCAACGTCGAGGCCAAGCAGGCGCGCGCCAACGATGACCCGGACGAGTACCTGTACACGCTCCAGCTCATGGACGAGGAGCACAAGTTCGAGGGCAGCTCGATGGAGGTCAGGGCCAAGGCGCTCTCGTGCGTCCCCCTCGTCTCTCTCTCTCCCACCTCGAGGACCAGAGCCGTCACTGACCTCTCGAGCGCCCGGGCAAACAGCCGCGACCGACTCGCCTTCTCAAAGTCGATCCTCAAACGGTACCTGCGCGAGTGCCTCATGCGCGAGGCGGCCATCGGCGCCCCGTGGATCGTCAAGCCGTCGATCGCGCGCGCGTTCAACATCCCCGTCCAGCAGAGCGGCACCATTGAGGAGCGCAACCGCGCCGCGCGCGAGGCCAAGCTCGCCAAGCGCAGGAAGCCGCTCGCCGAGGGCGAGTCGCCGGCCCCTGCTCCCAAGAAGCGCAAGACGGGTGCGCTCGACGTCCTCCACCTCTCGGCGTCCGAGCCGGGCGAGATACTGACAAAGCCCCTCGCCGCCCGCAGCCCCGACCGAGCCCAAACCTGCTGCTGCTCCCGCGACGCCCAAGGTGCCCGCCGAGCCCAAGAAGGCCGTCAAGTACCCGATCGAGGACCTCGAGCTCGACCCCATGTCCATCATCGACGGCCGCATCCTCCGACGCGTCAACGCCGAGCTCCCGTCGCTGCCGCCAAAGCCGCAGCCGCATCGCGACCTGCCCGTGCCGGCCGACGTCTTTGACCGCTTCATCGAGACGTGGAACATCCTCAACATCTTTTCGTGCGTCCTGCGTCGTCCTCTCGCCTCAAGGACCGAGTCCTCGAGCTCACGAACCTTCCTCTGCCCCCAGCAAATCGCTCAACCTGTCGCCGTTCACGCTCGACGACTACGCCGGCGCGCTCAAGCACGACACGACCTCGCCGCGCTGCGTCCTCCTCACCGAGATCCACGCCTCGCTCACCAACATCATCGGGACCGACACGTCGCGCGTGCTCGGCTCGACCATGGCCGTCACCTCTCACGGCGGCGGCAGTGCCGGTGCGGCCAAGGCCGACTCGGCCGCGACGCCCGTCCCCGAGGACGGCGCCGAGAGCGTCAACGGCGGCGGCGGCGCCAACGGCGAGGGCGTCGACGAGCTCGCGGCGTCGGCGGGCGACGGCAACGACGGCGACACGACCCTGGCCGACGCGACCGACGACATCCCGTACGAGGAGTCGGAGCTCAACAAGCTCGTGCGCATCGGCATCTCGTACGCCAAGCGGTGGGACCGCCAGGCCAAGCTCAAGTACTCGGAGGGCCGCGACGGCTGGGAGAAGCACCTCATCGGCGCCATGTGCCAGCGCGGCGGCCCGCACTACCTGTTCAACTTTGTCCGCATCATGCGCCACTTGTTCGCCGGCCACCCCAAGCTGCCCAAGCCCGACTTTGTTGACGACGAGCCCGTCGCCGGCGGCGGCGAGGTCGACGAGGACGTCAAGCCCTCGACCGCCGAGGGCCCGAGCGTCGCCGCGACCAACGGCGACTCGTCCGCCTCGGCGCCCGCACCCGTACCTGCTCCTGTCGCCGCCGCCGCCGCCGCCACCGGCTCGTCGCGCGCCGGCTCGCGCCGCACGTCGCCCCAACCTGTCGTCGTCGAGCAGGACCCCGAGAAGCAGTACCTGTCGCTGCCGCTGGAGGACAAGCTCGACATCATCGGGTACCTGTGCACGCTCGTCATGGGCTCCAAGGCCGTGCGCGGCTACGTCGACGAGTGCGACCTCAAGTTGACCGAGCTGAGGAAGACGAGGGCCGACGTCAACAAGGAGCGCAAGTCGCTGTGCGTCCCACTCTCTCTCTCTTTCTCTCACTCTCTCCTTCGCGGCCTAAGTGTGGCCCGACTGACACTCGAACGCCCTTGTCATGCAGCACCGAGCAGAAGACGATCGCCGACGCCAAGGCGGCGGGCAAGCTCGACGCGGCGACCATGAACGGCTCGAGCGGCGGGTCCAAGGCGGCCAACGGCGACGCGATGGACGTCGAGTCGGCGCCGGCGTCCGAGGCCGACGGTCGCTCGTCGCGTGCGCCGTCCGTGAAGCCGGGCAAGCCCGTCGGCGGCGAGGGCGACGACGAGGACGAGGACCAGCTCGTGTCGGACGCCGATTCGTCGGTCGCGCCGTCCGAGGCCGGCTCGCTCTCGGCCGCGTCGCGTCGCCAGGCCGCCCTCGAGGAGAAGCGCCTCGAGAAGCTCGGCGGCAAGTCGTCGGGCCGGTCGAGCCTCGCCGGCGGCACCCGGGCCAAGGGCGCGTCGCTCACGGTCGAGGACCGCCTGCGCGTCAACGCCGAGCGCGACGACGAGGTCGAGCGCGAGTTCCGGCGGTACCTCAACGTGTCGCGCTGCCGCCCGCTCGGCAAGGACCGCTTCCACTGCCGGTACTGGTGGTTCGACGGCGTCGGCTCGATGGACCTCGTCTCGGACGGCGCGCCCGTCCTGCGCGACGACGGCGACAACGTCGTGTACGGCACGGGCCGGCTCCTCGTGCAGGGCCCGAGCGAGGAGGACTGGGAGGTCCTCGTGGACCAGAAGGACAAGGGCGACGAGGGCGCCAAGGCGATCCTCGCCCGGCGCATGCGGGAGGAGGTCGTCGACGACCCGAGCCTGTTGCTCGGCGTCAACGAGTGGGCGTGCTACGACGACGACGAGACGGTGCGTCCCTCTCGTTCCTCCTCCTTCTCTTCGCGCTCGCCGCGAGACCCGAGACTGACTCCTCGCCCTCCTCACAGATCGAGACGCTCCTCGGGTGGCTCAACAGCAAGGGCACGCGTGAGCTCGCCCTCAAGAACGCGATCACCAAGTGGCGGCCGTTCGTGAGCGCCGGTTCGAAGAAGCGGCTTCACGTGCGTCCCTCGTCCTCCTTCTCCTTGACCCCTCCCCCTCCTCGTCTCTCCCGGACTGACCGTCCTCATTCCGCTACGCAGGACCTCGCCAACCCCGAGCTGCCGCGCTACGAGGCGCAGGTGACGTCTGGGCGTCGCTCGAGCCGCAAGGTCGAGTACCAGGTGCGTCCTCGTCCACCGCCTTCCTCTCCTGCGCCGGCGGTTCCTGACTCACTCGACCTCGTGTATGCAGCCCAACACGTACCTCGGCTGGCAGAACCAGAACCCCAAGTTCGTCTGAGCGCGAGCGCCGACGAGGAAAAGCGCCTGGCCTGTCTGTCGGGCTTGAGCGCGAGCTGTGATTCCTTCTCCCTGTCTTTCCTGGCCCCGTCTCTCTGTGTCTGTCTGTCTATCTAGCGTACTGCACTGCACCGTCGTTCCTTCTCTGTCGTCCGCGAGAGAGGGGAGACGTCCGGCAGCCAGTCCGCTCGAGCGCGCTCGACAAGGTTCGCGCCTCGCTCTCGAGCTGCATGCCACGCGGTCTACAATGCACTCGTAACTTACGGCTGTGATTGAGCTCGCATCGGCTGCGAGATTCCATTCGCCACGAGAGGGCGGAGTTCCGGCGATGGCCTCGCCCGCCGCGCTCGCGCTCCTTCTCCTTCGTCACACACGCGTCCACGTACGCTCAAGGCTCGACAGCGGCCCGGTGCACTTCTGCGGCCGGTGGCACGGCCGACCCTGCACACCCGCGAGCTCGCTCGCCGCCCGCAGCGACGAGCTGGCCCCCGCTTTTCGTCGTCGCGCTCGCACTCTCGCTCGCACGGCTCAGCTGCGACGCACGGTGCCGACACCGGCGTGTGTGGCAGTACGGCTCCTGGGCTGAGCCGAGCTCTCGATCGCGCTCAGCTCGTCGTGCTCGCGTGGTACTTCTCCGGCCTCGACGCCGGCGAGGGGACACAGTTCTCCTCGATCGCTTCTCTCCAGAGGTCTGTTCGCTCGGCGGTCCGGAACTTGTTGGCATAGAGGACGACAGAGAACCGCGCTGAGCGGCGGCGGGCCTCGAGGAGTGATTTCGTCCCCTTCCCTCTCTTTCTCACTCTCCTTCGCCCGATCCTCCTCTATCCCTTTTCCCAGCCTCTCTCTCGCCTCCTACACCCACAATGACTCGCCACGCTCTCGCTGTCCTCGCGCTCGCGCCCGTCTATCTCGCCCTGGCCGCGACCGTCACCGTCACCGTCCCTTCGGCGACCGACATCGAGGTCAACACGATCCCGACCGAGGTCGACTTGGGCCCCGACTACTACGAGGACCAGGACTGGTTCCAGCAAGAGTTTGGGACCATCTCGCTCGGCACTTACCGCGAGACGCCGTGCGTCGAGCTTCGTCTTCTCGCTTTCCGACCCTCGACTGACTCTGGCCGTCCGTGCACAGGCCCGCCTCGGTCGTCGAGGTCCTCACGACGTCCTACAAGACGCCCGCCACCTCGACGATTTACTCAGAGACGGTACGCCCTCGCTCTCTCCTCGAGGCCCTGCTCGAAAACTGACGAAGGACCTCCCACAGGTCTCTACCTCGACGCCGGCCACGCGCACCGTCACCGTCAACGAGACGCCTGCGTCCTCGACTGTGTACGAGACGTCTTGGACGACGACCCAGCCGGCGACGTCGACCGTGACGGCTCTCGTCACCGCCGCAACTGGTGCGCTCGAGCCTTTCCTCCGAGCGTCGAGGCTCTCCTCGCGCCAATGCTCACACGTTCTCCTCTTTCCCTGCAGGCACTGCTGCATGCCTCGACTACCGTCTCGTGCGTGCTCCCACTCGCTCGAGCGCGTTCAGAAAGATCCTGATCCTTCACTCGCAGGTCTTCCCGGCATCCTGCTGCCCGTCGGCGTACGTTAAGCTGAACAAGATCGGCCGCCGCCAGGTCGACCTCGAGAGCGACACGACCGTCACGGTGACCGAGGGCACGCTGTACACGACCTTCGTCGCCTACGAGACCGAGTACGCCCCTCGCCCCGAGGTGCCCGTCTCGTCGATCGTGTACGCGTACCAGGCCACCGTCACCGCCCCTCGGCCGACCATCACGAGCACGAGCACGATCGTGAGCGAGGCGGCGACCCCGGTCGTGACGGTCCCGAGCGTGCGGGTCGTCGTCGCCGACGAGCCCGTCGTGACCAAGACGGCGACGGCGCAGGCCTCGACGCAGACGGTCACGGTCACGAGCACGACGACGCTCGCTACGCCTGTCACGACGACGACGAGCACCCTCAATGCGCAGGCGACGGCGTGTGCGCAGAAGGTACACCCTCGCTCACTCTCTTTCTCGGGTTCTCGTTCATTGCGACGGACCTGACCTCACCTCCCTCTCTCTCTCTCGCAGACGGTTTGGACGCAGAATGCGTGCCCTGCGTCCGTCCTCGTCAAGAACCTCGTGCAGGACGTCCAGGTCGCCAAGCTCAACCTGTACAAGGCGCTCGGTGGCAAGTCGGTCGTGGTCGACTGCGGCTCGGCGGGCACTTTCCGGTACTAGACGGGCTCGAGGGCAGGGTTCCATCTCTCTCGCTGCAATGAGCACTTTCTTGACGTCACGACGAGGCGAGAGGTCGAGAGGACGAGAGCCGGCCGTCGCTTGCAACCTTCTCAAGCTCTCAAGCCGCTTCTCCTCGTCCAAGTCTCGTCTCGCGCTCTCTCTGGTCTGCGAGAGATCCTGAAAGAGCGACTCGCAGTGGAAGAATCAGGGGAGAAAGATAGAGAAGCCGCTGCTGCGCCTGTACCAAAGCTGTTTCTCTGCAGAGAACGGACGAAAAGCGCGAGTTGCAGCTCGAACCTCCTCGCCCATTGATGCACAGACCGCACCAAGCCCGCCTCTCGACCGTCGTCACAGACTCTCCATCTCGAGGCTAAGCCACACAGGCCAGTGATCCGACAGCGCCCCGATGCCGACGCTGTCTCTCGGGGGCCAGAACTGGCGCTTGACCTGCTGGCGGATCTGGCAGTCGCGGATGTGCGGGAGGAGCCGTTGCGAGACGATGAAGCCGTCGACTGAGGGTGTGTGAGAGGGCAACGAGTCAGTATGTGCGGCAGGGGAGAGGACGGGACGAAAGAGAGAGGACGAGGACGCACGACGCCAGCTGCCGCACTTCTTCGAGGCGTGGCTGCACGAGGGCGTCGACATAAGGCACCGGTCGCGATGAGAGAGAAGGACGTAGAGAGCAGCAGGACGCACGTGTACTGCCTCCTCTGCTCGCCGTAGATGAGCCTCCACACATCGACGAACCCTTGAGCGCGCCGTTTCGGGTTCTCGAGCCAGCCCGGGTCGCCGACGAGGCGCTCGTGTGCGTCGCGCTCGACGACGTGCGTCCCGGGAAGCTTGCCCATGTTCTGCGGCCAAGAGAGGTCGTTCGTCTCGTTCGAGGTCGGCGTGATCGTGCGCACGACGTTGAAGTCGCCTGCGGGATGAGAAGCGTGAGCGAGGGTGCGAGCGCGAGGAGCTCGCGAGAAGGAGGAGAAAGAGAAAGAAGTGGGACGCACCGGTCCAGATGACGGGCTTGAGCCTGTCGAGCTGCATGGCGACGTCCCGCTCGTAAGAGCGCGCACGGCCGCCTTGGAGCGGACGACCACCATCTTGCTGACCTCGACGCGGCCCATGCGGGCCCAAAGGTGCTTGACGATGCGCTCGGGCTCGTCGGGAGGAGCTTGAAGCTCGCTCGACGTCGGCGAGCGACCTCCGCGGAGGTTCCTGTCCGGCGGTCGCTCGAGCCACCTCCGCGGCTCCCGGTCTCCTGGGCCTCCTTTGTCCTCCCTCACGCTTCTCCTCCTACGTCCCCGCCGTCGGGCACCGTCCAGCCACCAGCCGCCGGGCCCCCATCCCCCGCCAGCTCACCGCGCTCAACGACCTCCTGCGTCCCACACCCGCCTCGGCCATGCGCCACGTGCAGACCGAGCAATGGCGCAACGACACCCGCACGCTCAAGGCCATCCTCAAGCAGAAGGCCTACGAGGAGCGCGCCCACAAGCAGCTCATCAAAGGCGAGCGTCGCCTTGAGCGCGGCGAGGAGGAGGGCCAGCCGTCGGCGCCGCCGAGCGAGGGCGGCGGGGACGATGAGCTCGAGGGCTACGGCTCCGACTCGTCGGGCGATACTCGTCGCTCGCACCGCATCGCCGAGCTGGACGAGGAGCGGGAGGCGGAGGAGCGGCGCAGGACGGACCGCCTCATCTGGCAGGCGCTGAAGGCCGAGCGCGCGCGCGTGGAGGCAGCCCGCGTCGAGCACGACCGCAAGCTGCGCAAGCGCACCCGTCGCCGCCGCAAGACCGTCGCCGAGCGCGTCGCCGCCGACGAGAAGAAGCAGGACCCGCTCGCGGCGTGGATCCTCGACCCCGACCACCTCAAGCGCGTCGACTTCTTCGCGACGTGGGTCAAGTCGGCCATCATCGACCAGATCCGCATCGACGACCTCAACGACCACTTCTTCATCACCCTCGACGCGCTCGACGAGGACGAGAAGGCGCATCTCGGCGAGACGGCCGACTGGAACGCGCGCGCCCAATTCGGCCCCGACCCGCTCCTCCTCGCCACCCTCCTCGAGCACCTCGCCCAGCACCTCTCGCAGCAGCGTGCCGCCGCCCTCCTCCCTCCGCCGCCCAACCCGCTCGACTCGACGGTTCCGGGCTCGTCGCCGCTCTCGTCCCTCCACGACGGCGAGTCGTCGTTCGCCCACCCGCCCATCCTCAACGCCGTCCTGTCGCTCTCGGCCTGCGGGCTGATCAACAACGGCGAGCCGTGGCGCCAGCTACTCGAGCGCTACGACGACGAGTGGTACGACGACGACGGGCCGACCGAGCAGCACGAGCACTACAAGTACGAGCTGCGCGCCCAGCTCCTGCCAGGCTTCATCATCATCCTCGATGTTCGTCCCCTCCTCATCCTGCACCTCTCCACCACCGCTCAGTCGGGCGCGAGCTGACCTTCCTCCCGCTCCTCTCCCTCCTTCCTCCTCTACCTCCTTCCTCCTCTCCCTCCTTCCTCCTCTCCCTCCTTCCTCCTCTCCCTCCTTCCTCCTCTACCTCCTTCCTCCTCTCCCTCCCTCCCTCCTCTCGCTCCTCCCTCCTCCCTCTCCCTCTTCCTCCCTCCTCACTCGGTCGCTCCTCGCTCGGTCCCTCCTCGCTCGGTCCCTCCTCCACCCCCCCTCGCGCATCTTCTGCTCACTCACCGCGCAGGACGTCCTTCGCTGGTGCGGCGGGCCCCTCAAACGCCTCCTCCACTACCGCAAGACGTCGAAATACCCGACCAAGAAGGTCGGCATGTCCAAGGAGTACCTCGCGTTCGGCAAGAAGATGATCAACCGTGCGTCCCCTCTCCCCCTCTCTCTGCAGCTTTTGCGCCCTCAGGAGGACCGAAACTGACTCTCTGCGTCCCTCTGCAGTCACGTACCGCGCTCTTGCCGTCGACAACATCCAGGTCGTCGTCGTCGACGCCTGCGGCAAGGACCCGCAAGTTGCGACCCGCACGAGCTTCTACGGTCGCCTCAACTGCGGCAGCAGCTCGTTCCTCACGCGCAACCTGTTCGGTCGGCGCGTCCACGTCAACCTGCGCGAGCACTCGACGATCGCCCTCCGCACGCGCTCGCCATGGCTGCGCGGCCTCATCTTCATCCGCGACGTCTCGACCATCCTCGCCGAGAGCGAGGACTTCATCGGGCCAGTCGACGAGACGCTCGGCTCCATGACGCCCAAGTCGGTCCTCGAGCACCTCAAGCGCGAGTACCGCGAGTACAACGAGTTCCCGCACGCCAACCGCTTCGAGCGGCTCATCCCGTTCGACGACCTCATCGCGCGCATCGGCGGCGAGCCGTCGACTTTCGCGCAGGCGCGCGACCGCGCCCACATCGTCATCGCGTCGCTCTCGCAGTCGGGCCGCAAGTGGCAGATCGGCGCCGGCTCGACGCCCGTCAAGTCGTCCGGGCCCGAGGGCGGCAGCATCTTCAACCTCCTCACCCGCCGCTGCACCGAGGAGTCGGACGGCGTGCCGGTCATGTGGGCGTCGCTCGACTCGACGACGCAGTCGAGCCTCATCTACTACGCCGCGGTCGACTTTGACGGCCCGCCGCCACCGGGCACGGTCGTGAGCCCCAAGCAGCTCATGTCCAAGTACTCGTTGGGCATCCACGCCCGCCGTGTCGCACGCCTCGAGGCCGAGTCGATCACGGTCAAGGTCAATCCGCACGCGCTCGCCCGGGCCGAGAACATCTTCGCCCTCCAGAACCGCGGCGACAACATGGTCCGGCTCGACTCGCTCAACGTCCAGCTCGCGGCGTGCGTCACGGCCGACATCTGGCACATGTACGCCGGCGGCTCGAACGAGACGGCGACCTCGAGCGACACCTACGAGTCGCGCGGTCAGCACAAGCGCGTCCACGGAAACACAATCCTCCTCCAGTTCTTCCGCCGCTCGCTTCCGCCGCACCTCCACCTGCGTAGCGTCGCACACGGTGAAAAGGCGACGCTCCTCAAGAGGCTCCGGCAAAAGTCGACCATGCTCCAGCCGTACGGGATGAGCATCGGCAAGTACCTCGGCAAGAACGGGTACGAGATGGGCTTCACCAACGACCTCGAGGGCAAGTTCCAGGGCAACCCGCACCAGGCGCAACTCGCGCGCCGCATCTACGAGGAGGTGCTCGGCGAGATGGAGCGCAACGAGTGGCCGTGCGAGGCCCTCGTCAACTCGGTCACGCCGGCGAGCCACGACGTCGCTCGCGCGCGCGTCATGTTGTTCGCGGCCGGCATCGTCCAGGTCCGCCGCATCCCGTGCGTCCGCCTCTCTCTCGCTCTCCTGCCGAATCAGGCACCCGAGACTGACCCAGCGTCGACCGTCGCAGTGTTCCTCCCGTCGACCCGTCCGACTCGAGCGCCATGTCCGTCTCGTCCGTCGGGACCGACTCGACCCTCTCGTCCGTCGACGAGAGGCTGGCCGCCGTCGACGAGGACGAGGTCGGCGCCGCTGTCGACGTCGAGCGCAACGACAGCCCGCTCGGGCGCTGGCTGCGCACGCGCCCGGCGGTCACCGACGAGGAGGAGGGCGAGGAGGAGGGCGAGGAGGACGGCTACGAGGGTCAGGACGAGGGCGGTGGCGGGACCGACATCGAGCACGAGGTCGACGACGACGAGATCGCCGATGACGAGGCGGAGGAGGACGAGGCGGAGGAGGACGAGGCGGAGGAGGACTCGGACGAGTCGTGGGAGGGATTCGTCGCGGAATTCTCGGAGGCGTCGGACGAGGAGCAGTAGCTTCCCTTCCTCGCCTTCCGCTTGTGGAGCCCCTTTAGCGTCTTTCTGTAACTCCTTCTCGGTGATTTCGCACTCGCAGAAGCTCGGAGAGAACGTGTAGGACGAGGACGAAGTGTGCGTGGAAGCGGGCCGACGGCGGGACGAAACGACAAGCGGTGATGGTACTTTGGGTTTGCAGAGGTCTGTGCGGCGCGTGCTGTCGACTCCTGCTCACTTGCAGCGAGTGCGAGAGAAGGAGAGTAGCTCGCGAGGACGGGTTGACCTTCTCAAGTTGACCTCTCCTGAAGGGCGCACTCGTCGTCGAGCACGAGGCGAGGCGAGGCGAACTTCTGGGGGAGAGACTGGGGCGAAAGGAGACGCGCCAGGTACAGTGATTCGGGTGTATTCCGTTGAGCGAAAGGGGAGGGGGATCGCTAGAGAAGAGGGAGAGCTACTGCACGACCGCCTCCAAGATCTCTCGCTGAACCTCCGCCGTGTCTCGGAGTTGCCGGCGAGGCGAACGACGAGATGTCGAGAGGGTCTGCGAGCGAGAGAGAGAAAGGCAGCGACGTTCGAAGAGAAAGAAAGAAGATAGAGAGAGAAGGAGGGACTCAGCTTGAGGAGGACCGAGAGAGCGAGAACGAGGCGAGGGCGGTCCGAGCCCTTGCAGACGAGGACGAAGTGTGCGTGGAAGCGTGCCTGCGAGGCGGCGGCGAGTCGTGAGCGACGTCGCTCGCGAAGGAAGAGAGAGACGACGGAAGGGAGTGGGCGAGGGACGCACTTGCTCGGCCGTCCTCGGGATCGTACTGCTTGCCGTCGGGGAATCCAAAGATGGCCGGCGCGACAGGACGTATCTTGCTGACGATGGCGGTGCGGCCCTGCCAGTAGCGATGCGGGTACCGGTCGCGCAGGAACTGCCAGTCCGGGTCGGTCTCGAAGAACACGGCGGCGTCCTTGTGGTTCACCTCGGTGAAGGCGACGATTTGGGCGTCTTCGGCCTCGATGTACTTGCGCAGGCCGAACTGCGAGGGCGAGAGAGTCAGTCGACCAATCTCGAGAAGGGGGAACGGGCGCGACGACGAGCGACAGAGCGCGCTCGCCGCCCGCCGCCTCGGGTGGAACGACGGACGCACCTGCCACTTCTCGGCGTTGCAGCTGACGAGGCCAGCGACGTTCCAGGTCGAGATTTGGACGGTGCCGCTCGGCTCGCGGTGGAAGCGGAGCGGGTTGTCGGGGAGGAGGTCGAGCCGAGCGCGCTTCGACGAGCGGCTGTCGGGAGGTGCAGGTGAGCTTGTGCTCTTGCGCGAGGCGGCCGGCATGGCGGGGCGAGGTGTGCGGCGACGGCGAGTCGAGGCGGAGGGTCGAAGTGGGGAGAGGGCGACGAGCGAGGTGGGACGAGTCGCCGAGGCTGCGCGGCCTGTACAGGCGTGTTCTGAGCAGCTCCCTGAGCGTACTGAGCTGGCGCAAAGTACCGCTCAACGTGGCGGGAGAGGCGAGAGGAGCCACCTGCGTGGTCGTCCTCATCAGCTGCAGCCACCATGTCGACCCTCGCCAGTACGAGCCGCTGGACCCTCGACTATACCACCGCAGAGTGCGTCGCTCGACTCGCCGACTCGTCCCAGTCGCCCGCACTGATGCTGCCCCTCTCCTCCTCCAGGTCGTCTCGTTCGTCAGTCCGCGACCCTCCCGGCTACTCGCCGCAGCTCAGCGTAAAGGTGCGCCCGCCCATTCCTCTCAGTCCCAGCCATCGCACCCCTGACGAGCTGCGCCACCCGCACAGGACCGCGCAAAAGCCGCCAACGTCGTCACCTCAAAGCGGCCCGAGGTCGACCTCAACGAGCTCCGCCAGGCCAAAGCTTGGGAGCTCGCCCTCGCTCCAGCCAAGGCTGTACCCATGCAGGGTCCGTCCCCACCTCTCGCTGTTCGTCCCCATCGCTGCTACGCGAGCTGACCCTCCCTCGTCCCTGCCCCCCTCGCCGCGCAGCGTTCATGATGTACATGTCGGGCGGCGGCATCCAGATCTTCAGCATCATGAGCGTCTGGTTCCTCCTCAAGCAGGCCGTCAGCGGCATGATGGGCGTCGACAAGGGTGCGTCGCCTCCCTCTCTCTCTTTCTCTCTTCCGCCCGATCGAGCACAGCCTGACCTCGAGGCTCACGCCCGCAGCCTTTGCGCCGTTCGAGGCAGCGTCCAAGGCCAAGGTCGGTGCGCCCAAGGTCGAGCCGCAGTCGTTCCTCGAGCAGAAGATCGTCTACGTGATCTGCCAGTTTGGCCTCCTTGTGCGTCCTCTTCTCCCTCTCTGTCCCTGTCTCTTGCGCCGACCTCCTGTCTGACTCTCCCTTAACGTCGCGACAGGCCGTCGGACTATGGAAGTGCAACTCGATGGGCATCCTCCCGACCTCGGCCGAGGACTGGGCGCCCGTTTTCGGTCACTTTGCGGGCGCCGGGCCTGTCGACGCACCCGCCCCGGGCTTCATGCCGATCAAGGTCGTCCCTGCGCCGCCTCTCTCGAGCGCTGTCGCGTAGCAGAGCGAGCTTGTCGTAGATCTCTCTGCCCCCCTCTCCTTCTCGTCCTGCAAGACTATCCTGTACCGGCTCGAGCTCGTTGTGGTCTATCTGAGAGGGCTCTCGAATGACAGCTCGCGCTCGCTCGTAAAGCTCTTATGAGCGACAGATGGGTTGCAGCTCGCACGCGAGCCGACAGGAGAAACGCTACGACAAAGACCTAGACCAAGGAGAGCGAGACACGGAGGGAGAGGAAGGACGAGGGACGGGTAGACACAGATGGGCACATTATGGGCCTCGAAGGAAGGCGCGAGAGTGGAGGGAGAGGAAGAGGGAGAGAGAGAAAGGCGAAAGGACGAGAGCGCGAGGGAGGGGAGAGACTCAGGGCGACGGCGCCGGTGCGACCGCGCCCTCGCGCGCCAACGAGCCCGTCATGTCCGACCCTGCCGACGCCGGGAGGTGGTGGCCCGTCTTCTCGTTCGACGGCGTGTGCGACACCGAGCGCGACATGTTGCCGAGGTCGCCGTGCTCCTCGTCGAGCTCGCGGCGGATCGAGACCTGCTCGGGGAGGGACGAGAGGATGGTGAGCTCGCAGACTTTAGTAGGTGAGGACAGAGTGAGAGGTCGAGCGCACGTAGTCGTAGCCCATCTCGCCGCACTGGTCCTCGTCGATGCCGAGGATCTCGCCCTCCTCGGAGCAGCGCAGCTTGAGGCCCGGGATGTGGTCAACGACGAACAGGATGATGTACGTGACGACCGCCGTCCACGCCATGGTCGAGACGGCCGACGCGAGCTGCCAGCCTGCGAGAGGGAGAGGGGTGGAGCGTCAGTCGAGGGCGTCGAGCGCGACTTCGGAAGGTCGGGAAGGGGCCCGAGCGGGCTCGAGGGAGGGGCAGAAGGACCTACCGAGCTGCTCGTAGTTGTGGTTGATCCATCCACCGCCGGACGAGTAGCCGTCGAAGCCCGTGACGCGCGTGTCGGCAAAGAGGCCGGTGAGGATGGCGCCGCTGCAGTGGGAGGAGGAGAAGGAGGACGAGGGACGGCAAAAGAGTCAGTCTGTGTGGCTCGCGCGACTCGGCAGAGCTGAGATGTCGAGGAAGCAGGACGCACGTGAAGCCGCCGATGCCGTGGAGCGCAAAGCCGTCGACGGCGTCGTCAATCTTGAGCAGGACCTTGATGCCGGTTGAAAAGTTGGCGACGATGGCAGTCACGAACCCGATCGCGAGCGACGACGGCGTCCCGACGAAACCAGCTGCAGGCGTGATGCCGACGAGGCCGGCGATGATGCCCGAGCAGAGCGAGACGGCGGACCACTTGCGCGTGTAGAAGCTGCAGGAAAGGCGAGGACGGGTCAGTGCGTCGGCTCATGTGCGACACGCTCGGCGGCACGCGCGCTCCTTCGCGAGTGCGCTCGACAGACAGGGAAAGGAGGACGCACAAGTCCATCGTCATCCAGGTGAGGCCGCCCATGGCGGCGGCGACGTTGGTGACGATGCCGGCCTGGACCGAGCGAAGGTTCATGGCGGCCTCGGAGCCGCCGTTGAAGCCGAACCAGCCGAACCAGATGAGCGAGCTGCGCGAAGAAGAAGGGAAGGCCGGCGAGGTCAGTCTCGCGCCTCGGGAAGGGAGGACAGGAGGAAGGAGAAACGGTCGACGCACGTGCCGAGGATGACGTGAGAGACCGAGTGAGGTCGGTAGGCGAGCTTGGCGGTGCCGTAGCCGCGACGACGGCCGAGGTAGAGCGACCAGATGAGCGCCGCCGTCCCGCTCGTGATGTGCACGGGCCCGCCGCCAGCAAAGTCGAGGTCGCCGTGCAGGTAGGCCCAGCCCGATCCAGACCACGTCCAGTGAGCCACTGGACAGTACACGATCGTGGCCCAGATGAAGCTGACGACGAGGACAGGGAGCAGGCGAGCGCGCTCGGCGACACCGGCCACGGCGATGACGGGCGTCAAGTTGGCAAACACTGCAGAAGGAGGGCGTCAGGACACGCTCGACGAGGTCTGAGGAACGTTAACGACTTACTGCCCTGGTAGAAGCAGAAGAGGAGCGCAGGGATCTTGGACGAGCCGACCGAGGGAGCGTCGAGAACGCCCATCAGGCCGAAACGGTCGAGGTTACCGATGAACGGGTTTGACGCCGTGTCGCTGAACGCGAGCGAATAGCCCCTGCGGCGCGCGAGAAGGACGTCAGCCGCGTGGGGCAGAGAGAGAGGGCGAGAGAGGACGCACCAGAAGAACCACTGGACCGACACGACCGAGTAGACGGCTAACCCCAAGAAGAGCATCGAGAGGGCGTTCTTCCTCCGTAAGAGGCCCGCATACATCATGGCTACGCCTAGGCACGGCCAAGGGAGCGCGTCAGCCGCCGCAGGGAGGGTAGGAGGACGGGAGGAGCGCGAGGACGCACCTGGGGCCATGATCATGACGAGCGCCGACGCCACCATGATCCACGCCATATCGCCCGGGTTGTCTGTGCACGGTCGAGCGAGGTCAGGCCTGCCGGTTGAAGCGGGAGAGAATCAGAGTAAGGAAGAGGAGGAGGAGGACGCACAGGTCGCGATGCCGTCCTCGCCGGCCGAGGGGTCCCAGTTGGCGACGAGCGAGCCGTCGGGAGTGTACGAGACGTTGGGCATCTCTGCTGTGCGAGCGCGAGCTGCCGAGGGGAAGGAGGAAAGAGGTCAACGACGTTGCGATAAGCGGAATCGGGAGGAGAGGTGGAAGGGCGAGCGCACCTGTCGAGAGGGTGGGTGCGGTGTAGGATGGACGCACACGGGCGAGTCGAGAGATAGCGAGCGAAGCGAGGAGCGAACGAGCCTGCGAGAGGTGGAAAGAGAGAGGGAGAGGGCGGGCGAGAGAGGCGACGAGGGGAATCTCGGACGAAGTTGGGTGCGAGCCCGCTCAGTCCCTCCCGGCCGCAGGCTCTGAATCAGGCAGGGGCGGCCCCGGAAGCCGACTGACCGAAACCGACAGCGGGCGCGTGGGCGAGTTTTGCGCTTTCCTCGCAATCGCTGATTCTGGGAGCGAGTACGCCCCACCTGCGCGTGAAGCACCCTGACGAACGACTCGAGGGAAGAAGTGGGAACGCACAAATTAGACTGCAATAGACAGTACCCAGAAGCCCGCTCGTCCAGCACCGCTCGACCGCGGTCGACCTTCCCAAGTTGAGGAAGGCGCCGTCGGCAGCGCCTGTGCGCGCGCCCTGCGGCACGGCCGACCTCCTCGTCCACCCACTCGACGCAGACAGACGCGGGCTCGAGTACTCGAGCCGCACGACGAGCTCAGACGCTCGAGGTCGGCTCCGTCGAGGCCGCCGGCGCCTTCTCGTGCTTCTCGTGCGGGATCGGCGACTCGCTCGAGTGCATCGACGGCGCCGCCGTCGTGAGGCCGTCCGAGTCGTGGACCTCCTTGCGGATCGCGAGGAAGTCGTAGGCGTACTGCGTGCGGAGGGACGAGAGGAAGGTCAGCGCCCTGGCCTCCTGCTGCGGATCTCGTTATCGTGCTCGAAGCGGCGATAATGTCGACCGTCTTTCGCACTCGCACGTGCGCGAAGCTTGTTGTCGATGTGGCTCAGGCACGACGCGTTTGGGCAAAGATTGCTGAGCGTGTGCCGCATCGGCGGACGCTCCCACGGCGGCGCCGCGACGGCGACAGCGCTCCGCGGCGGCGAGTCGAGCCCTCGGACAATCGGCGTCCGTCAGACGCTCGCTCACGGTCCGAGAGCGATATCGAGTCGACCCAGGAGCCGCCGAGCCGACGCCGAGTGTCGGGACGGCGACACCGAGGAGGAGGCTCGTGCACGATGTCGACGAGGAAGAGAAAGAGGAGACGCACCTCGCCGCACTCGGCCTCGTCCATGCCGACAATCTCGGCATCCTCGGACGCCCGCATGTGCAGGCCCGGGATGTAGTTGATGATGTAGCAGAGGAGGAGGGTCATGACGAAAGAGTCTGTCGAGGGAAAAGGTCAGCGCGCTCTCGGCGAGGGCAGAGGTCTAGGCGAGGGCACGCACAGGCCATGATGGTGACGGCGCCGGCGAGGTTGTAGCCGAGCGCGATGAACTGTAGAGGCCGGCGGAAGGAGGACGAGTCAGTCTCGCGAGGAGCGAGGAGGGAGAACCGGCGACAGAGACGCACGTTGCGGTTGATCCAGCCTGCGCCCGACGAGGCGCCGTCGAAGCTCGTGACACGCTCGTCGGCAAAGAGAGCCGTCAGGATGGCGCCGCTGTAGGTCAAACAGGAGGGTCAGGTCCGGCCCGCGAGGAGGAAGGGAGAGGGCCAAGGACGCACACAAAGCCGCCGATGCCGTGCAGCGCGTACGTGTCGACAGCGTCGTCGATCTTGAGCAGGACCTTGATGCCCGTGGCATAGTTGCTTGCGCAGGCGGTTACGAACCCGACGCAGAGCGCGGCGGGCGTGCCGAGGTAGCCAGCGCCGGGCGTGATGCCGACGAGGCCGGCGATGATGCCCGAGCAGAGCGAGACGGCCGACCACTTGCCCGTGTAGATGCTGCGCGAGGCGAGTCGAGGTAAGTAAAGACTCTCGCCGCGAGTCGAGACGGGAGGTGCGAGCGCGCCGAGACGCACTAGTCGAGAACTGTCCAGGTGATGCCGCCCATCGACGCAGCGACGGTCGTAGTCATGCAGGCCTGGACGGCGCGCAAGTTCATGCCCAATGCCGAGCCACCGTTGAAGCCGAACCTGCGAGAGGAGCCGTCAGTTTGGGAAGGTCGACGGCGACGGCGACAGGCGTCGCGAGCACCTCGCCTGGCGGGCAAGCTCGCTAGGGAGGCAGGACGCAGCGCGAGGTGCCCCAGAGAGATCGTGCTCACCAGCCGAACCAAAGAAGGAGGCTGTAGAGGCGAGGTCCGAGTCAGTTGTCGATCGCCCTCGACCCGACCGTCGCCCGAGTCAGGGCACGAGGACTCACGTTCCGAGGACGACGTGAGAGACCGAGTGAGGGCGGAACGCGAGCTTGGCGGTGCCGTAGCCGCGACGGCGGCCGAGGAAGAACGAGAGCGCGAGGCCGGCCGTGCCCTGGAGGGAGGAAACGAGTCGGTGCACGGCTCTCGTGCCAGGGGAACGAGGGGACGTACCGAAGAAATGTGAACAGGTCCACCACCGGCAAAGTCGAGGTCACCTGTAGGTCGAAAGGTCGGTCAGAGACGGTCTCGCTCGACTTGAGAAGGTCCCGAAGGACGACGACGACGACGACGACTTACCCAGTCCAAATAACCACCCCTGGGACGCCCAGACCCAGTGGGCGATCGCGTTGTAGACGATGGTGGTCCAGCAGAAGATGAAGATGAGGAGGGGGATGACACGCATGCGCTCGGCCGCGCCGCCGACCGCAATGACCGCCGTGACGCCGGCAAAGGCTCCCTGTAGCGAGGGACCGAGGTCAGAAGGCTGCACAGGCGACTGATCGAGGGAGCGAGTCGAGGACGCACCTGGTAGAGCGCGAAAAGGAGGACGGGGAGAGAGCCAGACGGCGCGATGTCGACGTTGACGAGGCCGCCGTTCTTGAGGTCGCCGATGAAGCTGCTGCCCTCGCCGAACGCGAGCGAGTAGCCCCAGAGGAACCACCTGCAGGTGAGAGGCTGTCAGTGAGGCGGCGAGGGACAAGAAGGAGGCGGGAGGACGCACTCGATGTAGACGACCGAAAAGGACATCAACGAGAGGAAGAGCATCTGCAGTGCGTTCTTCCGACGGAGCAACCCAGAGTACAAGAATCCAAGGCCGTCATACGAGAAGCCCAGGGTGCAGGAGGTCAGCGCGGGACCAGGAGGAGCGTTTCCCGGAAGGAGGAGGGCGCCCGACGCCTCGACGGGGCGTAGCAGGTCGCTCGACGCACCTGGTGCCATCGTGAAGACGAGCGTAAAGGCGACGAGGATCCAGGCCATGTCGCCGTTGTTGTCTGCAGGCATTTGAGCGAGGTCAGCGAGGAAGAGAGGGAAGGGAAGGGAGGAAGGTGCGACGCACAGACCACCGGCTCCATCTCGCCCGTCTCGCCCATAACGTACGTGAGGACGTTGCCCTCGGGCGTGAAGCTCGCGTTGACCATGTTTGAGCGCTTCTGCGACGAGGAAGGGCGATGTCAGTCGCGAGGCTCGAAGAGGACGAGGAAGGTCGACGATTGCCTCACCTGAAGGCGATTCGTGCGTGAAGCGAGTCGAGGGAGCAGAGAGAGACGAGGAGAGCGTCGACGACGACGAAGCAGAGCAAGATAGGGAGCAATCGGAGCGAGAGCGAGGACAGAGGGAAAGCGGAGGCCGGCCGAGGGAAACGAGGGACCGGCCACGTCTCCGCTTGGCCGTCCCTGAGCTCCCCGCGCTCGCTCGCACAGTGCAGCCAGACGTCCGTTCGTCGCCCCTCTCGAGCGGGCCGCACTCGAGCCGTCCGTCCCTCGACCGTCCGCCGCCGCGGCGCAGCCGACGCCCTCCTCCTCAGCCCGCCCGCTGCTGTGGGTCGGCGCGAGCGACGCTGCAGCGGCCCACTGAGATCAATGCCAAGCCTTCCTGCCTGTCTCGCGAGCATTCGAGCCGGAACGAGCCAGCTGAGCGGCCGGGGAAGGTAGAGATAAGCTCAAGGGTCGCGCCGCTCTTCCTCGGCCGCGGCAGCGCCCAGCTTCCACAAGCTTGTCGAATGTTGATTGCAAGCTTCCACCTCGTTCCCGTCGTATCGAGCGTGAGCGTGCGAATCGCTCTCAGTCGCCGTCGACCGTCGAAAGCAGCCGTGCACGGACCCGCTCTCGCCCCAGCTGCCGCCGGCTGCGCGTCGACCGGCATCGACAAACTCTCTGCCCGACCGAGCGGCAGCGAGCTCCGCAGGGAGCAGAGTGTGGAGCGCGGAGAATGGGAGGCAATGGCCTTGAGAAGCGGAAACTGTCAATCCCGACGGCTCGCTCGCTCGCTCGCCGACGATGATTGCGATGCGAGATTAGGTCGAGCTCGTTGCAGGACGGCGTGTACTATGATACGGTAACGTGTAGTGCAGATGATGGAGGAGCGGGGAGAGGGAGAGAGAGAGGGAAAGAGAGGGAGCTCGCGATCGTCGGCCCACGAGCTGCCGACGCCCCGCCTCACGCCCGTGCCCGCCTAGACCCGCCCGCCGCGCCCATGTCGCCTCGCAGCGGCACGTCAAAGCTGTCGCGTCCCGGGCCCGAGCCCGAGCCAAAGAGGCGCGTCTCGTCGTGCCGCAGGTTGTCGTCGTCCTCGCTCAGGTCGTCGTCCTCCTCCCACCCGCCGTACCCGTCCGTGTGGCCGTTGGACGGACCGCCGTTGCCGTTGGCCGTGTGCGCGAACGGCTTGGGCAGGCCCGACTCCTCGTCGAGCGGGATGGCGCTCGAGGCGGACCGGGTGCGGTACGCGGCGGGGACGCCGTGCGTCGTCGGGTGGCGCAGCTCGTCGGGCATCTTGCTCAGGTAGTAGTAGAAGAAGGCGCACGTGAGCGAGCCGCCGGCGACGAGGTCGATGAGGTAGTGGTGCGTGAGGTACTGCGGGCGGGCGAGAGTTCGTCAGGGCTCGCTCAAGGTCCGAGTCCGAGGCCGAAGAGAGGGAAAGAGGCAGAGCTCACCATCGTGCTCCAGTACAGCAGGAAGACGTAGGCCCAGTAGAACGGCCGACCCTTGGGGAAGAAGTGGCTGAGGAAGAGCGCCTCCATGGTCGAGCACCCGGCGTGCAGGCTCGGGAAGGCGCCGAACGGGACCGGCGCGCCCGAGAACGTCGTGTCGTAGCCGTGGCCGCCAAACAGGGCGTCGATGCGCGCGAGGCCGCCGGGCGAGCCGCGCATCTGGTACGTCGCCGGGACGAGGCCTTCTCGGAGCTCGTACCCTGTTTCGACGCGAGACGTGCTGGTCAGTGACTCTGCGACGACGGACAGAGGACACCGAGAGAGAAAGAGAGATAGGGACGCACAAGGAGGTGCGCAAGGGAAGCAGATCTGGATCAAGACGCCGGCGAGGTTCATGTAGCCGAACGCGGCGCCGAAGAACTTGACGGCGCCCGGCGGCGAGAAGACGAACAGGCACGCGGCGACGACGAACGGCGCGACAAAGTGGATGACGCCGTACGGGAGCCACGCGAGGACGTCGAGGACCGGGTTGGTCCACCGCGTGAGCAGGTCCGAGATGTTGGCGCCGTACAGGACCGACTCGAGGGTCGGGAGGACCGAGACCCAGATGTGCGGGCGCCAGCTCTTGGGGATGAACTGGGACGAGTAGAACAGGAGGAGCCACGAGAAGATGGGCGTCGCCGGGAGGAAGAATTGCGACGTGAAGGGGATGAGGAGGGCGAGGGTGTAGACGGCGACGAGGAACAGCTTGAAGACGACGGGTTGCGCCATGACCATGAGCGAGAAGATGGCGAGCTGTCGGCGGGTGCGAGATCTAGGTCAGGTGTCTGCTCCCCTCGGCTGAACATGAGGTGCTTCGAGGAGGACGAGCGCCGCGTGGCTCGGGCGCCCGCCGCCGCCAGGTCTGCGCACCCATCGAGTGCGCCATACTCGTATCTCTGCACATCACCCTGCTCGATGCCCAAAAGTCCTGGCCCTCTGCCCCGCCGCCTCCACGAGTGCCCGACCTCATCGTCGCCCTCGCGCAACGGCAGACCGGCTCACCCCAACGAGAACACGAAAGGAAAAGGGAGAGAGGACGCACCGCCAAGTCGACCGCGTATTCCCAGTCCCTGCCCCACTTCCAGCCGTACCGCCTGAGCCTCCTGAGGCTCAGCTGCACGTCAAAGCTGATCTCGAGGCGCGACACGGCGCCGAGGAGCGGGTCGCGTATGGGCGCGGGGAGGTAGAGGCGCATGGCGACGGTGCCCGGGTGGCGCGGGCTGGTGGTGGACGAGGCGGGACCTGGACGGGGCGAGTCGAGGACGGGCGGGCGGGGGAGATGATGCCGAGGAGGGGGGAGGCGAGGGTGGTGATAACGGCGCGTGGCGCGTTGTGCGCGGGGCGAGAGGGCCGTAGGGTGCTCTAAGGTGACGGCTGCACGGCTGTAGCTGGTCTCGAGGGTCGGCGAGCGCAGACTGAGCGAGGTGAGCGCGCCTTCTCTCCTCGGCGGACGCGAGCAGGCGAGGATGGCTGAGTCGCAGTTGGCCGGCTCTCTCGCTCTGTGCGCGGTACCAGAACAGTACCGACATGATTACGAGCAGGTCACAGAGACAGGAGAGCTGCGACCTCGAAACGGTTCTCGAGATCGGCTCACGGACCCGCTCGAGCGGCTCGATCTCTCTCTCGCGCTCGCTCGCGACTCTCGACCGGCACCTGCAGCGCAGAGAGGCACAGAACTTCGATGCATGTACACTTTGAGAACAGGCTCTTGCGCGTTGACGAGCCGACGACCGCGTTCGAGCGCGGCGCCGGGAGGGAAATTGCGAGGCGGAGAGGTGGTGGTCAAGCGACGGGTTGGCGGGCCTTGTTTAAGCCTGCACGAGGAGGAGGAGGAGGGGAAGGAGAATGTCAGGACGGTGCGCGACGAGAGCCAGAACCGGAGCCCTGCGCCGACGACGCCGACGACCGCGAGACGAGGAACGAGGCTGAGCGACTTTCCCGCTCCATCGAGCGCCTCGTCGCCTCGCCGTCGGGGAGCTGGTCCTTGTCGACAGTGCCGCCACTCACCTTGTTGGTCGACGCGCCCTCGGTCTTGGTGCTCGCCTTCTTGTGGTCCGGGAGCGGGTCCTTGCTCGAGCGGTCGGCGTGCACCTCCTCGGCCGCGCGCGACGGCTTCTCCATGTGGTCGTGGCCGCTCTTCTCCGGGTGCTGCGCCTTCTGCTCCTCGACCGGCTTGCCGCCCTCGGCACGACGCACGGCGCTCGACGAGTACGAGCGCTTCTGGCCCGCACCAACGGCGTCGGCCACCTTGCCGGCAACGTCCTTGACGGCGTCCATGGCCGACTGGGCCGTCGACTTGGCCTCGTCGACGGCCGAGCGGGCGGTCGACGACGCAGACGAGGCCGCGGCCGCCGCCGAGTCGGACGCGGACGGCGAGCCGCCGACCTTGACGTCCTGGATCGGGTCGACGGGCGCGCGGTCGGCGTGGACGGCCTCCTCGGACAGGGACGGGTTCTCGAGGTGGTCGTGGCCGCTCTTGCCCGGGTGCTGCGCGCTCTGCTCCTCGACGGGCTTGGACGCGTTGCGGGCGAGGGCGGTGGTGCGGAACCCGCGGGGAATGATCGAGGGCGTGACGCTGCGAGGGGGGAGGGCACACAGGGTCAGCTCGTACTCGCTCAAAAGTGCGGGCGGCGGTCCAGAGCGCGTCGGATGACGCGCGAGGGAGGGAGGGGCGGAAGAGGACGCGGCGACTGACCGCATCGTGCGGGGCGCGGCCGACGAGCGGACGGCGCCGACGAGCTGGCGAGCGAGGGGGGCGGTGAAGGCGGGCATGTTGTAGTGTCGGGGCGTGTAGGGTGGTGGTGGTGGTGGGAGCGGGAGGAGCGAGAAGGAGGCGAAACGTCGTCATCGAGATCGTGCGGGCGCCCCGTTCGCTCGCTTTCCTCGCACTCTTTCTCCCGCAGCAAGCTCCGCCAGCAGCAACGTGAAGACAAGACACGTCGAATGCACCGGCGCGATCATCAAGAGAGAGAGAAAGGGAACGATGCGGAATAATGCAGAGGGCGCTCGAGGAGCGAATCAAGAACGAGGGGAAGAACGGGTGGGTGTACAGGACAAAGAGGGCGTCGAGAAGGGGTCGTGGGACATGCTATAGGCGAGGGCGAGGGCGAGGGCGAGGTCGTGGAAGGGAGACGAGGAGGGGCGAGAGGGCTCAAGCGCGAGAGTAGACGACGAGGTACGCCTTTGCGGCGAGGACCTCGCTGATGCGCACCCTGCGCACCTTGTCGTCGTCGATGGCAAAGAACTGCAGGCGAGGGGGACGAGAGGCCGAGTCAGGAACGAGGATGCGTCGTTGACGGAGAGAGAGAGAGAGAGGCGAGGAGGAACAGGGGACGCACGTCGTCGTTGCCGCGCACGTAGGCCGTGTAGTGCCCCTGACTGAGCGTCCCCTCGTGCGCAATGACGGCCATGAGGTTGAACCGGTGCGCGTCCGACCTGTCGGCGGGCAGGCCTGGGTCAGGACTCGCGCTTGACGTACGAGGACGACGAGGGAAGGGGAAGCGGACGACGCACGGCTTGTAAGCCGCCGGGTACTCGAGGTTGGTCGTCAGGTAGGGCGCCATGTCGAGCTTGAGCGGGTACCGCACGGGCGTGTCGAGCTTGTGCGCCGCCGACGTGATCTCGAAGCGCTGCGAGGAGAGGCGGACCCAAGTCAGGGTCCGGCCCGGGGCAGCGAGACGCAGAGAGAGAGAGAGGCGAGCGCACCTTGAGCTGGATGCAGAGCGCCTGAGGGAGCGTCTTGAGGCTGAGGCGCTTGCTCGCCGACGGGACGCCGTCGCCGCACGCCGCGCAGCTGTACTTGGACGGCAGCTGCTCCGGGGCCGTAAAGCTGCGGGTCGGGGCAAGCTCACGTCAGGTCCTCGCGCTCTGGGAAGCGACAGAAGGAGGGACCGGGTCGGGGCAGGGCCGGGACGCACCTGGTCAAGCACTCCTTGAGCGTCTCGGCGAGTTTGCCACTCGCGCGGTCGCGGATGTCGAGGCTCAGGTCGAGGAACGGCTCGAGCGTCTCGCTCTGGTGGTGGCACCTGCCGCACGTGATCTTGGACCGCAGCTCGCCCGAGAAGGTGCGGTGCACGACGCAGGGGCACGTCAAGGACGGGTTGTCGGTGTGCGACGGCGAGGCGTAGTGCAGGAGGTTGAGCGCTGCGAGGACGACAGGGGACGGTCAGGGGGAGGTCGAGGCGAGAGAGAGAGCGCGCGAGGACGCACAGGAGATGAGGAACTCGTGCGCGTCTTGCTGAGCGTAGCCGGCGGCGTCGAGGCTCGATTGCCAGAACGAGTAGAGGAACCGAGTCGGCGCGAGCGGCGTCGGGTCGACCGAGTATTGCTGCACGCACGTGGAAGAAGAGTGTCAGGAATGGATCTCGAGACGTTCCTGAGGCACGACGAGAGGGCGACAAGGGGACGCACCTCGGAGAAGAGGAGGTCGAGCTCGCACGAGAGGCAGGGCTCGCCTGCCCGCGTCTTGTCGCACGACAGGCGGTTGTGCCGGTCGCCGAGAAAGTGCGTGCGCAGGTACGGGTTGGCGAGGAACGACTGGAGGACGACGCTCATGTAGCAGCTGCGAGGACGGAACGACTAGGTCGGCTCGAGGACGGGCAAAGGGGAAGAGAGAGACAAGCGCACCTGTTGCCGAGGTTGCGAATGCCACGAGCTGTACACCGAGGCTGATGAGCACGTGTGCGGGGTGAGAAGAGGCGAGGAGAGGGGGCGTACCGGTGAGAGCGCCAGAGCCTGACGAGGAAGAGACGGGGGCGACGAGCTCCCACTTCTGCATCGTGACCCTCTTGCGCTTCGTCGCTGCAGAGACAAGGGTGTTAGTGTGCGGGCCGAGTCGATCGTGTAGAGGGAGGGGACGGACCGCGCTGAGCATCGCCCTCGGAGCGACGGTCGGCGACGACGAGGCGCTGTGCGGCGGCGTAGCGGTCGACGACCTGGTGCCGCACGTAGCCGACGCACTCGAAGCAGTACAGGGAGCATGCCCGAACGTCCCACGCTGCAGAGGCAAGCCTCGAGGGCGAGTGAGCGTCTCCCCCCACTTGCGCGCGACTCTGGGCGGGGCGCGAAAAATCGGGAGGGTGACGGACCGAGGTGATGCTGGGTGTCGAGGGCGTGTTGATGAGCGTGGCCCGAGTTGGGGATGCGGCCGCAGGTAAGGGTCGAGCAGGCGAGGCAGAGGAAAGGTCGGAGCGGGCTGGTGCCGCATGACGAGCAGGCGGGTCGAGGTGTTGCCTGCTGGGGGGGTTTCGCGCGGTCAGCCGTCGTCCGAGGGTGGGTGTGAGCGAGGTAAGGGTGCGGACCTGGGGCAGCTTGGCGCGAGGCGGGTGCGGGTCGGTCGAGAGGGCGGCGTCGAGGCGGTCGAGGGCGTGGTCCGGGTTGGCGGCGATCCACGCGACGAGGTGGCCGCAGTTGGTGGGTGGGTGCATGTTGAGCTGTCCCGGTGCAGGTGGCGGAGCGGGAATGGCGACTGGCGGGTGGGTGAGGGTCACGGTGGTCGCCATGGTCGAGTGTCGAGCGAGGAGGCGGAGGGGCGAGTCGCTCGAGGTCGCGCGAGTTGGCGGGTGGTGGTCGGTGGACGGGTCGAGGTGCTGGGCGGCACTCGAGGTGCGCACTGTGTCGAACGAGGCTGGGGCGGGACGAGGAGCGGCGGCACCTCGAGCTGGCCTGTCAGTTCATCTCGTCTCGCCCGCGGAGTCCGACAACGCCCGCCCTCTTTCTTGAGCGGGTTCACTTGCGGCTCGAGAGCACTCGAGAGTACCTCGAGAGTACCTTGAAGCCACCCGCGCCGTCCTGGAGAGCGAGTCGACTGACGCCCGCTCGCTTACGCTCGGTGAACAGAGACGGGTTCGCGCTCGCTCTTCGCACACGTCCTCGACCGACCGGCTCGAGCACACTCGCTGCAGACCCCAGGCAGCTCACTCGACCTCGCCAGCACTACCGCCGAGCCGCACCGACCTCCCTCGCCCGCTCGCCTCCCCACTTGCCGACCCGCCTCAATGCCTCGCCCGTCCACCCGCCACGCCTCGCACGCCGGCTCGTGGTACACCTCAGACCGTGCGCCGACCTCTCCTCGATCTACCGAGCCGCACAATCCTCACGCTCAACCCTCCCCTCGCAGCCCGCAAGCTCGACGACCAGCTCTCGACCTGGCTCGAGGCGACCGCACACCCGGCAAAGGGCGACCCGCTCACCAACGCCCCCGTCAAAGGCTGCAAGGCCATCATCGCACCGTGCGCACCCTCTTCCCCTTGTGCACCGGTACGAGCGACCGCGTTGACCTCTCTCTCCCTCGCGGCCGACAGCCACGCCGGTTACTCGTACTCGGGCCCAGCAGCCGCTTTCGCCTACCGCTGCATCGACGTCGACAACATGTGCGTCGCCTGTTCCCCAAGCTCGAGTCATCCGACGAGGACGCCGCCCTGACCTTCCGCCGTTCCTTTCGCCCCACCGCAGCAAGCGCGTCTTCGTCCTCGGGCCCTCGCACCACGTCTACCTCGACGGCTGCGCCCTCAGCAAGTGCAACGAGTACGAGACGCCGATCGGCAACCTCCCGCTCGACCTCGACAGTGCGTCTCGGACTCTCTTGCCCTCTCTTTCTCGGACCACCTCACTGACTCGAGCAACGACGCGCGCAGCCATTGCCGAGCTCAAGGCGACGGGCAAGTACGACCAGATGGACCTCTCGACCGACGAGGACGAGCACAGGTGCGCCCTCTGCTTCCTCTCGCAGACCTTCTCGCCCTCGTTCGTCCACTGACCGCTCGTCGAGGTCCTGCAGCATCGAGATGCACTTGCCGTACGTCTACACCTTTCGCTCGACATCACGATGACGCTCACGCACGCTCTCGCTCGCAGCTACGTCCGCAAGATCTTTGAGGGGTGCGTCCTCGCCTCGCGACTGCGCGCACGGGCCCCTTCCTGACCCTCTCTCGTCTCGCCTCGTCTCGTCTCGTCCCGTCTCGCAGCCGCGACATCCACATCGTCCCCATCCTCGTCGGCTCGATCTCGACCGCGTCCGAGAAGCGCTTCGGCGCCCTCCTCGCGCCGTACCTCGCCGACCCGGCCACCCTCTTTGTCGTCTCGTCCGACTTTTGCCACTGGGGCCGGCGGTTCCGGTACACGCACTACCACCCGCCGGGGTCGGACGACGTGCGCGACGGCGTGACGCTCAAGGCGGGCAACTTTGCCGAGACGGTCGGGCGCGGCGAGGAGGGAGGAGGAGGTGGAGAAGTGTGGGAGGGCATCGACAAGCTCGACCACCTCGGCATGGACGCCATCGCCTTTTCCCTCCCTGCGTCCTCGTCCTCGTCCTCGTCCTCGACCACGACCGCCAAGTCGCCCTCGACGGCGCACGACCAGTTCGCGGCCTACCTCGCCGCGACCCGCAACACCATCTGCGGCCGGCACCCGATCGGCGTCCTCCTCGGCGCGCTGGCCGCGCTCGAGCACGGCGGCGGCGGCGACGGCGAGGGCGAGGGGAGTGAGGGTGGGTGGAGCGAGAGGGGCATGCGGTGCGAGTGGGTCCGGTACGAGCAGAGCAGCAGGGTGAGGAGCCTCGGCGACAGCAGCGTGTCGTACGCGAGCGGGTTCGTCGCGGTCGGCGGTGGCAGTGCCGAGGCGTGAGCCACTCGTGTCGCTCTCTTTCTCTCTCCACTCTCTCTCTGTGTGTAGCTCGCCCGGCCCTGTAACCCTGCCCGTCGGTGCCCTCCTCGAGCCTCGCCCTCTTTCTCTCTCCCTCTCTCTCGCTCTCACACGAGAACGTGCAGGTGCGCAAGCAACATCGAGACTTTGCAGGCAAGGAGATGCGGATTGGGGACGTGGGACAGCCGAGGAGGGAAGAGAGAGAGAGAGGAGGACCGAGGCGAGAAGGAGGGGGAGGGGGTCAAAGCGGGTACAACCTGGGGCACGAGAGACGAGAGATGGGGGGCTCTAGCCGACACAGAACGTCGACGACGAAGGAGAGGGGAGCTCTACAGGCCGTCGAAGGAGGGACGACGGCGGACGGGAGGAACGAGTGAAGAGGAGAGAGACAGGGACAGGGTGTGGCGTGGCGAGGCGGACGAGGGCGGGCCTCATCGCTGCTGATGCTGGTCGTCGCGCTGCCCACCGTGCTGGTGACCGTGACCGTCGCTCGGGCCGCGCTGCTCGGCGCTGTGCTGCGTCGCCCAGTTGAAGTGGCCGCCCGGCGGCGGACCCTGCTGCGCCATCGGGTGGTGCCCGTACGGCGGGTCGTGCGGGCTCCAATGGTGCTGCTGCTGCTGCTGCTGGTAGTGCTGCTGCTGCTGCTGCTGCTGGCCTTGCGCGAGGTGCGGACTGCCTGCCGGCGGCCCTCCACCGCCGCCCGACGAGTGCGACGCGTACATGCCCACGCTCGACGGCGGGCCGCTCGAGCCGTGGCCCGAGCCCGGCGGACCCTGCTCGAGGTGCGGCGAGTGCATCGCCGAGTGCGGGTGCCCGTGGTGCGGGTACGCCGGCGGCGGCGGCGGGTGACGAGCGCGCGCATAGTCGTACGCGCTCCCTGCAGCGTGCGACAGCGGCGGAAGCGACGCGTGCGTCGGCATCGACGGCATGCCCGGGTGCGGCGCCGACTGCGGCGGCGGCGGTGGGTGGCCGGCGCCGTACGGCGACGGGTAGCCCATCGGCGGGAAGTAACTCGGCGCCGTCGGGCCGCCGACGCCCGGCGACGAGTACTGGGGCGTGTGCGTCATCGTCGGCGACGGCGCGTGCGAGTACGGGCTCGGGAGCTGGGGCGCCGAGGCGTAGTAGGGCGTGTACGGCTTGGGCGCCGAGTGCGGCGCGTGCGTGAACGCCGACAGGTCGTACGCCGCGCTCGTGATCGGCGAGTGCCCCGACAGCGGCTGCGAGCCCGGCGGGAGCGATGCGGCTGGCCCAGGCGTGCCCGTCGACGACGAGTCGCCAGCCGCCTCGAGCGCGGCGAGCTTTTGCGCCGCCGCCGTCGCCTTCTTCTTGCTCTTCTTCGGCGGCGGACCACCGTTGGCCGCCGCCTCGGCCTGCTTCTTCTGCCGAGCGACGCTGCGGGCGTAGCGCAGACCTGGAGAGGCAGGAAAGAGAGTCAGGTTCAGGTTCGGGAGGGGGGCAAGACGAGGGAGGAGAAGGTCGAGGACGCACCGCACGCGTTGCAGAGGCTCTTTGCGCCGGTCGGGCCCTTGCGCCACTCGGGGCTGTTGACCGTGCCGCAGCTCTCGCACGCCTTTTGGTTGGGCTTGTACACGGGGCCGTCGGGCCGCTGCTTGGGCGGCTTCTTGACCTTCTTGGCCGCGTCCGCCGGCGCCGCCGACCCGGCCGAGTCGCCCGCGTGCGACTGCTCGCCGTCGTCGTCGACAAGTGGCGGCGGCGGCGGGAAGGCCGAGGTCGGCGACGGGTTTGCGGCGCCGAAGGCCTGGTGCTGCTGCTGCTGCTGCTGCGGCGGCGGCTGAGGCTGGTGCTGCGGCTGGTGCTGCTGCTGGTCGAACGGCTGCGACGTCGGCGGGTACAAGCCCGAGTTGGCGCCGGCAGGCTCGTGCGGCGACTGGGGCGCTGTCGGGAAGTAGCCGCTGTGCGACTGCGACAGCGGGTGCGGGAGCGCGTGCGGCTGGCCGTACGGCGAGTGCGAGCCCGGGAAGAACGACGCGTGCCCGCCGCCCGAGTGCGGCGGCGCCTGGGCGTTGTAGAACGCGGCGTACGACGACGGGCTGCCGCCAGCCGGGCGCTGCTGCGGCTGCTGCGGCTGCTGGCGCTGCTGGCCGGCGTCGGGCGCGTGCGACTCGCCGCCGAGCGAGCCGAGGATGGCCGACGCCGACGCGACCGTCGGCGAGATGCCGCCGGCCGTGATCGAGTCGACGTCGAGGCGCGAGCCGAACATGCGGCCGTTGGTCGAGATCGAGAGGCCGTTCTGCTGGTGCTGCTGGTGCGGGTGCCCGTGCGGGTCGCTCGAGCGCGGCGAGCCCGAGCTGCCGTTGGGCGAGGCGGTCGACGTCTGCAGCCTCGGAAGGACAGGCGGCTGGAGCGGCGTGTCCTTGAACCGCTTGCTCGGCGGCGAGTCGGCCTGGCCCTCGTCGTCGTCGCCGTACAGGTTGCGCTTGGCCGACATGTTGCCGCCGCCGCCGCCGACCGTCGGCGTGATGGGCACGTTCTCGAGCGCGAACGAGGGCATGGTGTCGGGCGGCAGGTCGTTGGTGACGAGGCTCAGGCCGGCTTTGCGCGCCGAGGTGAGGTAGACGCCGCCCGTCTGGAAGCACGCGAACGTGATGGCGCCGTACATGATGACGACCGACTCGACCGTCGTGAGGGTGCCGTTCTGCATGCTGCGGGCGAGGCGAAGAGAAAGGGTCAGTACTCGCGCTCGACGCTCGAGCCCCGCACGACGCAGGGAAAAAAGGGGGACGCACACAGGATGCTTGCTCCGGTACCGCCTCGTGCAGCTCGTCTTGCTCTGGACCGCCTCCCTCGGGCGCGCCATGACCTCCCTCGCGAGCGCCGAGAACTGCTCGACGGCGTGCGCCGCATCGGGCCCGGCGCCGGGGTCGGGGAAGCTGACGACGGCGCGCCCGCTCGTGTCGAGGATCTGGAACACGTGCGCCGGCGGACCGCCGTCGTCGAGGCCGCCGTTGAGGACCGACTTGAGCGCGCCCTTGTCGCCGTCCGAGGTGGACGTGCCCGGGCGACCAGACGAGGACGACGAGGACGACGGGTCGACGCAGCGCTTGAGGGCGGCGACGAGCTCGGCGCACTGGTCGGCCGTGAGGTACGACGGGTACTCGAGCGACGCGCCGCACCAGTTGCTCCACTCGGTGCGCTGCTCCTTGTCGTTGTCCTGCACCGGGTCCTTGTCTGCGCGATGCCCCTCAACGTATCAGTACTTCGTCGCGAGGCGACAGAAGAAGCGAAAGGGCGAAACGAGGCCGACGCACCGGCCGTGACGTGGAAGAAGCAGAGGACGGCGCCCTGCTGACCCTCCTTGCCCTTGCCCTTGCGGTCGCCGGCGATCCAGCTCGTCGTTATGTCGAGGTTGAGGTAGTCGTTGTCGAGCGCGTACGCCTCGGCGCCCGCAGCTTCAGGAGGCTGCTGGCACCCGAGGCGGCGGAGGATGCTCGTCAGGCGCGAGTAGCGGCAGCTGCAGAGGCGGGTCAAGAGGTCAGTCTCAGTCGCTCGAGGAACAGAGAGAGAGAGTGAGTGAGAACGAGGGCACACCGAGTGACGCTACCGAAGACGCCGGCGCTCTCGACGCCGGCGACGCGGTCCTCCTTGGGGAGCAGGTCGTCGGCGAGCTGCTCGCGCTCGTCCGGGTGGACCCAGTCGAGGACGTTGCTGCCGCGGAACGCGTTGCTCCACTCGCCCATGTGGTACGCGAGCGTCGGGTCGAGGTAGACGTATTCGAGCTGAGGCGTGAGGATGGTCCAGTAGCACCGGATGCGGCCGATGCCGGGGAAGACGGCGGGTGCGGCCGAGGTCGACGATGTCGACATGGCGGGTCGGGTCGAGTGAGCGTCGGTCGACGGGGCGAGGTTGGTGGTCGAGTACGGGATTGGCGGGTACGCCGCGAAGGTCGGGTAGCTGCCGCCGAGGTAGGGCGGGTACGTGATGGCGGACGGAGTCGACGAGGTGCTGGCGGCGAACGACGTGTTGTCGTACGCCTCGTGCGAGTTGTGCGAGTGAGGAGGGTGCGGGTAAGGTGCGCTGGCGGCGGTCGACGACGAGTCGAGGTGCGACGACGGCTCTGTGGCCATGATCGAGGGGCGGCCTGCAGCAGTGAGCAAGAGTGTCAGTCGAGTGCGCTGGGTCGTGCGGGTCCTGTGTGCGCCCGTCGACGGCGAGAAGGAGCGATCGCTCTGTCCCCGCCGGCAGCCGAGTCGCCCTCGCTCGCGCCCGCCGCGCCATGAAGGGTGCACCATCTGCGTCCGAAAGCTCTGCCCTGCTGTGTCCGTGCCCCGACACTGGCGAGAGCGGCGCGGCCATCGAGGGGGCGGCGGACCGTCCGCTCCGGCCGAGGACCCTCGCTCGGCCTCGAGCGGCGAGGCGAGGCGCTCCGACGGCGCGCGAGACGGTGCAGGGGACGGATGGGACGCACCTGGACGAGGTGCTTCTCTGCAGAGCGAGTCGCGGGGCTCTGGTCGTGCTGCTGAGGCGGCGGCAAAGGCGCGAGGTCGAGGCTCGTCGGCGAGGTGACCCTGGGGCGAGCCGAGTCGGGCCTGACGAGCGAGCGTGACGGTGCTCGAGGCGTGCAGCGACGGCTGTCGGTGCTCGAGACGGCGACTCGAGGGAGCCGGCCGAGGAAACACAAGGTGGACGAGGAGAGGACCGCTCGATTGCTCCGTCGCGAGGACGATCGAACTTCTCCCTCTTCCTGCGAGACGGTGGTCGAGACGATCATGCTGTGCTGCGACACTTGCATCTCTCGCACTCGCACAGTTTGGAACGAGCGTCTATGTCCATAAGTTACATGCTCGTCTCGCCTCGCTCTACTGCGCCCGCCCGCCCCCTCACATCTTGGCCGACGCCTGCTGCACCGGCTCGTCTCCCTCGCCGAGCGACGGCAGCGGCACCGCCGGCGTCGACTCGCCCTCGGCATTCGTGCCCGACGGCGCAGACGGAGCAGGCGGCGGAGCGTCGGCGGTCGCGGCGGCGGGAGGGACGCGCTCGTAGAACCTGCAGCAGGAACGATTCTTTCGGGTCAGGCCTCGTCCGACAGGAAAGAGTGGGAGAGAGAGAGAGACGCACAGCATGTAGGCCTTGCTGCGGAGGACCTCTGCCTCGCTGACGGCCGTCACGTCCTCGTCGCTGCAGAAGACCCACCTGCGCTCGCCCTTGCCCGCCTCGTCGCCGCGCCCGTACCGCTTCGACAGGACGTACGACGCGTAGTGGCCCGTGTCGAGCGAGCCGTGGTGCACGACGGCCGCGTACAGGCGGTACCGCGCGTTGTGCGCCGTCTTCTCGAGCTCGATCGGCGCCTCGGCCTCGAGGTCGACTCGGGACGACAACGACGACGACGACGACGGCGTCGGCGCCTCGGGGTGGTGCGCGTGTCGGAGCCCGCTGCGCCAGCTCGAGCGCTTCGTGATCTCGGCACCGGGACCGGGCGCAGAGGCCGACGAGCCGAACGCGTTCGGGTTGACGCGCGGCGGGCGACCGGGCGGCGCGAGGAACGGCGTGAGGTCCATCTCCTTGGGGAACGACACCGGGTCGTCGCGCTTCTTGAGGTTGACGAACGCGGCGCCAAACAGGCTCGACTTGCTCGTCTGCATGAAGCGCTTGAGGTGGATGACGAGGACGGGCGGCAAGTCGTCCGACGAGATGAGGTACCGCTTGTGCGCCCGGCGCAAGATGTGGCGCTGCTTCTTGGGCGGCGGCTTGGCGTTGACGGCAGGAGGAGGCGCCTTGGTCGACGCGAGCGACTTGCCCGACGTGGCGCCGGGCGACGGCGGCGCACGAGTGATGCCGCCGCCCGAGGTGGCCGAGCCGGCGGCGGCGGGCGCCCGCGAGGGCGGGACGACGAGGAGCGACGGGTCGGCGGCCACCTTCTCGACGTTGGCCGTCGTGAGCGGGAGCTGCTCGGCGCCGAGAGGGGCGACGGCGGGCTCGTCCTGCGCCGCCGCCGACGTCGGCGGGGCCGAGGCCGGCGCTGCCGCCGGTGCGGCGCTCAGGCTCCCGCTCAAGCTCGCGCCGTCGTCGAGGCTCTGCGACGCGTTGTCCTCCTCGTCGGTCGTCGTCTCGAACGCGTCGCTCGACAGGCCGGCGTCGTAGCTCGTCGAGGCGGCCGAGGTGCCCGCCGTAACGTTGCTCGTCGCGGCCGACGACATCGAGAAGGAGCGCATCGGGGCCTGCGAGGGCGTGGCGGCAGCGTCGGGAGGAGGAGCGACCTTGGCGGGCCCGGGCGACGAGAGAGGCGCGATGGACGGGACCTCGGACAGGCCCGAGAAGGCGGCGACGACCTTGGGCGAGTGCGCGGGCGTGTTGCGCGCCGTGCGGTCGGCCGGGTCCATCTCATCGTCGTCGTCGTCGCCATCGTGCTCGCCGCCGTGCGCGACGCCGTTACCGTTGTCGTTGACGGCGCGCGGCCCGCGGCCCTCGCGCTCGGCCCTGCGCACCTCGCGCACGCGCTCGCGCGCGCTCTTCTTCTGCGCACGCTCCTCGCGCCGCTTGGCCTCGAGGTCCGGGTTGAGCCACTTCCAGCAGTTGCGGCACGCGAACGAGTTCTCGCCCTCGAGGACCTCGACGCCCGTGAACTGGCGGAAGCACTCGAACAGGTCCGTGTGCTGCCAGTCGGCGGCGCCGTTGGCGATGCGCAGCTTGGCGAGCGACGACCGGGCGCTGTCGACCGACGAGGCGTCGCTCGTGGGCGCCGACGACGGGACGGCGCCGCTCGAGCCGGGCGGGCGAGCGACGCGCAGGCCCGGCGGGAGGCTCCCGGCGGGCGTCGACGAGCCGCCGAGCATGGCCTCGGCCGCCGGGATGTCGTGCAGGACCTCCTTGATGTACCGCACCTGCTCGGGCGTCGGCTTGGGGATCTTTGCCCGGCGCGAGAAGTGGTGGTGGTGGTGGTGCCCGTGGCCGTGAGAGCCCGACCCGCCTTGGCTCGAGCCGTTGCTGAGGACGCTCAGGGCGCGCCCGAGCGGCGACGGGTCGCGCGACGTGGCGGCGCTCGAGACGGCGCTGTCCGGGCGCAGCGACGAGCGGGCCGTGTCGCGCGTGAACTGCGACGGGTCTAGGCTCGCGTGTCGCGAACGAGGGAGCGCGCCCGACTGCTGCGCCGCGTTGACGGGCCCGAGGCCGTTGCCGTGCGCGTGGCCGGGCGGCCGGATGTGGTCCTCGTCCGTCTCGTCGGCCTCGGACGCCGACGCGCTGCCGCCTCCTCCCGCCGCCGCGGCGCCCTCGTTCTCCGAGTACGAGCGCCCGTTTTTGGGCACGCCGTTGAGCGAGCTCGTCTTGAGCGCCGCCGCCGACGAGGACGAGTCGGCGTCCGAGCCTGACGCCTTGCCCGACTTGCGCGAGAAGAAGCCCGCCTGGAGCGTGCGGCGGATGCGGTCGCGCTGTGTGAGGGCAGGGATATCGTCAGTGATCGCGCAGGTGGGGCGAGGGGCAGGAGACATTGGGCGTGGGACGCACCTTGCGCATCTTGTTGCCCGTGTCGTCCTTGAGCGGGAGCGAGATGTCCATAAAGTCCTCCTTGGTGAGCGACACTGCGGGCAAGGGTGCGGCATCGTCAGTACGCCTGCCTGTGCGCACGAGAGAAGGTGCGAGAGGAGGACGGACCGTTCTTGCACTCGTCGCAGATGATGAAGCTCGCGAGCTTGCCCTCGAAGATGCTGCCGACGAACGGCCGCAGCTGGCGCTTCTTGCGCTCGCGGGGCGACAGGGCGCGCTCGTCCGAGTCGGACTCGTCGTCGCTCGACGACGACGACGAGCTCGAGCCGGACGACGACGACGACGCGTCCGACTCGTGGCTGCTGTCGTCGGCGGCGAGGTGGGCGGCGCCGTTGGGCATGGGCATCTCGGTCGCGTTGCGGTCGGGCATGCCGGGGCGGTGAGGCGACGCCGTCTCGGGGACCAGCTCGACGATCTTCTTGATGAGCTGCGAGGCGAGGAGAGGGGGGGTCAGTCGGCGTGCTTCGGCGACCGATGCGGACGTGGGGGACAGGACAGCGCGACGCACATCTTGCTCCTCCATCATGACGCCGTCAATGAGGTGGCGCAACAGCTCGTGCGAGTCCTGCTGCGTCGCCTCGGCGTACTCGTCATGCTTGAGGCTCAACTGGCGCAGGAGCCCTTTCGGGTTGAACGCCTTCTTGCCGCGCGTGCCGTCGCCGTCGTCGGTCGGGTCGAGCTTGTCGAGGAGGACGAGGAGCGCGGCCGTCATGGGCAGAGGGGACGGGAGCGCGTCGAGGTCCGGGTTGTAGTCGGACGACGAGGGCGACAGGGTGCGCAGGGCCGGCGACGACTCGGGCGCGGCCTTGATGATGTCGTTCAGAGGTTGCGTTGCCGACAGCGACTGGACGATCGTGTTGTAGAAGCACCTGTGGCAGGCACGGGGTGCGCAGGGTAAGTCCGGTGCCCTCGTGCCGCATGCGCAGGCGCCGAGCCAACCCTGACGGGGTGACAACGCGGTCGTGCAGGAGGAGGAGCGGAGGACGCACGAGTTGCCGAGGTTGATGAGGCCGACGCTGCGATGCGGGGGACACGAGAGAGGGTCAGGCCCTGAGCTCGCGTGGGACGACGTTACGCTCTGCGGCGCGCAGCGTTGCTGCTGCCGGCAAGGCGGCGAGATTGAGAGAAAGAGAGCGCGCGTGGACGCACTGGAAGATGTCCTTGCAGATGTCGTCCTTGAGGGAAGACGAGTTGGAGGCGTTGGAGCCGCGGCGCGAGCCGAAGCTCGGGAGCGCGACCGACGAGCGCCTGCGCATGGTCTTGCGGAGGCGTGAGCGGTCGTGTCTGTGTCGACACAGAGGGTCAGCAAGGGGTTACGTCGCGACGGTGCAAGGCGTTCGTGGGCGGGAGAAGGATCGAGGCCGAGGGCGGGGGAAGAAGATGGGGGAGGAGGGACCGTCGGCGCAGGGCGACAGCTCTCGAGGGGATGGAGAGGGGGTCGACGGGGTGCGCAAAGGGAACTCACAGGGTGTGGTGGTGCCGGTAGCTGGCCTGGTTGCCGTCGCGGACGAGTTGAGGCGAGCCGAGAGGTCGGCGGGCTTGATCAGGACGAGGGGCGCAGGTCGATGAGCGCGGTGCCGGGTTGAGCCGGTGTAGGGTCGCGGTCGGGTCGGACTGTGCTTGCTCGTGGGCTCGAGCAGGCTGCCGCGTGAGGTGCGAGAGGACGAGAGAGCTGACAGCACTCCGCCTCGTGCGTCGTCCGAGCCGTCCGAGACACCTCGCTCGAGTGAGCCCTGGCCCAGAGAGCGGCTCGCCAGGCGCACAGGTATCGCAGCCACTTTCCACGAGCTGCCCTTGGCTCACGAGAGACGCGAGGTGAGAGTGACGACGGCCCTCAGAGGCGGTGCAGCTCTCTCTCGCCCGCAACTGGTCGCCTTGCCGCCCACACAGCTCCAGCAGGCACCAGCGAGTGCGCACGTTACTGCACCCGACTACTTCCACCGTCAGGCGAGCTCGTGCGGCCCTCCCGCGTCCACTGCGACCCTCCTGTTCCACCTCGACCTCTCGACCAGCTCGGCCACCGTCAGCTCCCCGACTGCAGCACATGCGCCCATGAGCAACGACCCCAACTTCCCCAAAGGCCTCGCGATAGCGCCGTCGCGAGCCGCACACGGCCCCGGTGCGCTCGTCGACGATGGACTCTGTGTCGAGGACGACGGTGCGTCCCCCTCTCGCTCTCCGTCGCCCAGCCCCCCTGCAGTGCACTGACAGCTCGACCACACAGCCGCACAAGACGTCGAGCGCTTCGGCATCGCCGGCCGCACCTGGGAGGCGGCGTATCTCTTGCGGTCCTACCTCGCCCTCTCGACCTCGACCTCTCGCACGTCCTCGTCGACCCCGCCTCTCATCTTTGACCCACCCTGCCCGCTCCTGTCCGACCCTCCCTCCCCGCCCGACCGACCCTCGACGCGCAAGCGCAAGCGCACCATCCTCGAGCTCGGCGCCGGCACGGGCTTCCTCTCGCTCGCCGTCGCGCCGCACCTGCACCGCTCGACCGACCGCCTCGTCGTCACCGACCTGCACAACGTGTGCCCGCTCCTGAGCGAGAACCTCGCCGCCGCACGAGCGAGGTGGACCGCTCGAGGCGTCGACGCGGCCGAGGTGCTCGTGCGCCCGCTCCCTTGGGGCGACGCGCGCGCGCTCGAGGCGCTCCGAGTCGACGACGGCATCTTGCTGCCCGACCTCGTCCTCGCGAGCGACCTCATCTACTTTCCCTTCCTGTACGCGCCGCTCCTGCGCACGCTCCTCGGGCTCACCGAGCCGCGCAGGGCGTGCGGCGCCGGCGACGAGGACGTCGACGACGAGCGAGGGTTGCTCGTCACGAGCCCCAAGGTCGTCTTCTCGTACAAGGTCCGGAGCCTGGTCAAGGAGCAGCCGTTCTGGGAGGCGTTTGGTACGTCCTCCTCTACCTCCTCTTCCCCTTTCCCTTTCCCGACGATCTCTCGGTCTCCCCTCAGCGGCTCGAGACGGTACACTGACACTCCTCCTCGACTGCAGGTCGCTGGTTCGACTTTGAGCCCGTGCAGCTCGGCAGCCACCCCCCTCCCTCGGCCGGCGAGGACGACTCGCCGACTGGCACCTCCTCCTCTCCCGCACCTCCCACCACGACCTGGACCCGCTTCGGCGCCGCACACCCATCGTCGACGAGTCCGGGCACGACCGACGAGCTGTACGTGTTCGTCTGTTCGCGTTGGCCGGGGACATTCGGGTTCGACGGCTCGGGCGTGAGCGACGCCGAGCTGCTCGAGGGGCGAGGCGAGCGCGCGAGGGGCGTCGAGGCGGGCGCGACGAGGTTCGAGGAGATGCTGCTCGCGGCGACAGAGTGGGATTGAGGGTGGTGGAGGACAGGCGGCGCGGCGAGGAGGAGGAACGCGACTCGAGACGAGGCGGCGCACTTTGCAACTCGGACTTTCGCTTCCGCCGCTCGCCAGCATGTCTGTGAGAGCTTCGTGTGCACTCTTAACAACAGCAGAGAGCCGTGCGAGCTGTAGCGGGAGATTCGAGCGAACGGTTCGCGTCGGTGCGCGCTCCCTCCTCGTCCCTCTCCTCTCGCCCACACGCTCTCGCTCACCGAGCACTACAGCACCAGCACGACCATGGCCGGCAAGAAGCGCGTCGCCGCCCCCTCTGCGTCCCCCTCGCCCGAGCGCACCCCGCCGCCGCCTTTCCACTTCCCCTCGGTCCGCCGCGGCGAGCCTCTCTTCGACTCGTACACGTTCCACTCGGTCGACGCAGAGCGCGCCGAGGCTGCTGCTTCGGTGCGCGCGTTGGGCGGCGCAGAGGACAAGGGCAAAGGGCGCGCGGTCGAGGGCGAGGAGGGCGTCGCTGGGGCGGACGGCGACGAGGGCGAGCGGGTCAAGGTCGAGGGCGAGTGGATGCTCGGCGTCGACGAGGCGGGACGTGGACCTGCTCTCGGTGCGTCCAGGTTTCTGCTTCGAAAGAGCGGTGTGCGCCGAGCCTGACCACCTTGCCCCTCGTCCTCCCGTTCGCTCGTGCAGGCCCGCAGGTCTACGGCATCGCGTTCTGCCAGCTCTCGTACTCGGACACGCTCAAGGAGATGGGCTTTGCCGGTGCGTCCCTCCTCCTCTGTCTGCCCTCGTCGCGCAGCGCTGACCCTCCCCTCGTACCCTCCGCAGACTCGAAGACGCTCACCGACCCTCTGCGCGAGGAGCTCTTCAAGGACATGCTCGAGCACGCCGAGGACGTCAAGTACGCCGCGACCGTCATGAGCCCGGCCGACATCTCGATGGGCATGCTCCGCAAGACGCCGTACAACTTGTGCGTCGACCTTCCTCCCGACTCGTGCGCGTTGTCGGCGCACCTCACTGACGACGCGCTCGACGTTTGGCGCGATGTCCACAGGAACGCGCAGAGCCACGACGTGACGATCAACCTCATCCGCGAGGTCGTCGAGCGAGGGTACCACGTCAAGGAGGTGCGTCGGCTCGTCCTCTCTGTCTCGTCGCCCGTTCCGAGAACTTTCGCATCGGGCCGCGTGAGCAGGATGCACGGGTTTGGACTGACACGCATGCCCGACGCCCGCAGTGCTACGTCGACACGGTCGGCCCGGCGGCCGACTACCAGCTCAAGCTCGAGTCGTTCTTCCCGACCATCTCGTTCACCGTCACGTCCAAGGCCGACGCCCTGTTCCCGATCGTGTCGGCCGCGTCGATCGTCGCCAAGGTGACGCGCGACCGCATCCTGAGCCAGTGGCAGTTTGCCGAGCCGGGCGTCGCAGAGGGCGACGGCGCCGAGGACCGGAGGCTGTTCGGCAGCGGGTACCCGAGCGGTGCGTCTCGCACTCTCTCTCTCTCTCTCTCTCTCTCTCTCTCTCTCTCTCTCTCTCTCTCTCTCTCTCTCTCTCTCTCTCTCTCTCGTCGTCGTCGTGACGTCGCGAGGCCGTCGAGCAGGCACTGACCCTGCCCGAGAACGACGCACGCAGACCCGAAAACCGTCTCGTGGCTGCAGGACAACTTTGACCCCGTCTTTGGGTTCCCGAACGTCGCGCGCTTCAGCTGGGCCCCAGTCAAGAACGCTCTCCTCAAGAAGGGCGCCGCGTCAAAGTGGTGCGTCGCGCCTCGTGCCCTCTCTCTCTCCTCTCGCGGTCGCGCGGTCGACGCGCTCGTCCGGCTCGAGCGCTCACTGACTCGCCCGCCGGCACTTTGCCCGCACGCAGGGCCGACGAGCCGGCGTCGATCCAGAAGTACTTCTCGGGCAAGGCGGCGGGGCCAGAGCGGGCGGCGCTGTGGAAGGACTACAACCTCGTCTCGGTCGGCGAGTTCTGACGAGGGCGGCGGTCGTGTTCCCTCATTTGTTTCGGTAGACCTGTCGAGCCTGTTGTGCTGGTATTCAGACGCTGTTTGACACCCTGCCTCGCCGCCCGAGAGTGAGCGTCGAGACGAGGTCTCGCAGCTTCGCCTCGGTTGGTCCACCTCGCTCCTCCCGCTCGCTCTGTCACTCTTCATCTAGCTCGCGCCGGCCGTGCAGCACGCACAAATGGACAACCAGGTGCGTCCCTGTTCTGCACGACCGCGCTCGCCCTCACTGACCCTGTCCTCGCCCCTCTGCAGAACCTCATCAGCTCGTCGTCCTCCCCTCCACCGATCCTCCGCCTGTCGAACGAGCTCCTCGACACCATCTTCAGCCTCGCCTACGACAACGAGCCCAAGCACTGGGCCGGGCAGATGCCCGTCTGCCGCCGCCTCCTGTCGTTCCACCGCGCCCAGCTCTACCGCCGGGTCCAACTGCGCTCATACGCCGCGCTCAAGTCGTTCCATCGGACTGTCGTGGCATCAAGCAGCATCGCAGAGCTCGTGCGGCACGTGGAAATGTCGGGTTGGCGCTCGGAGAACGTCGACGCCGCCGGCGCCGCGCGAGGATGGCGGGCGGGACGTGGCGACGACGAGGGCGACTGCAAGCTGGTGACGCCTGTCGAGTTCGCCGCCCTCGTACCGCGCATGGTCCATCTCGAGTCGCTCAAGGCGTACGACCTCGACCCGGCGCTCGTCGACGTCGTCTTCCTCGACCAAGCTGCCTCGAGCCGCCTCGCGTCACTCAAGGAGGTCGACTTCTCGTGCATATTCGACTCGCTCGTTCAGGACGGTTGCGATGTCGTCGCCTGGGTCCGACGGCTCGCGTGCCTGCCCCGGCTCGCCGACCTCACCCTGTGCCAGACCTACCAGGACGACCCGATCCTGCCCGCCATGCCCGTCCCGCCGACCTTCCCTCGCCTGGAACGTTTGGTCCTCGAGCAAGGTCTGCTCGAAGACTGGCCCGGGTCGGGTTACTCGAGCCCTGCGCTGAGCCAGATGGCCCCGAGCCTCGTCCACCTCGAGCTCAGGGGCCGGCAGGTCGGGTGGTTCGCCTCGACGCTCGCGTCCGCGCCCGTCGGCCTGCGCATCCTCTCTCTCGCCAGCAGCGACGAGCATTTCGACTGGGACCACATGGCCGTGCCGATCAACACCGTCCTTGCGCGCTTCAAGACGCTCGAGCAGCTGTTCCTGTGCCGGTGCGCGTTCGACACCTCCCTGCCGTCGAGCATCGCCGACCTCGTCATTCTCGACGAGCTCGTCTACCTCTCCTTCGAGGACGACGCCGTCGTTCCCGATGCCTTCCTCGCCGCCCTCTTGGCCAACCCGTGCCACCTCCCGAACCTCGAAACCCTCGAGCTCAACAACGTCCGGTCGCGCAAGGGTCGCACCGTCGACTCGATGCGTGGCGCTATTCCGCCGTTCGAGACACGTCGCGAGTACCCGCACTGGCCCATGTGGGACGGCTGGACCGAGCCCGAGTACCCGGACGGCTCGACGCGCCGAGGCCTGACCGAGGTCTGGGCAGCTGCAAACGAGAGGGGCATCGCCCTCGTGGGCCAGACGCGCGTGTCGTTCGACTGGCAGGCGGCGTTCGAGGCCGAGCAGCGCGTCGCGCTCCTCGCGCTCGGCGACCTGACGGGCGACTACAAGCGCGCAAGGTCGGTCCTCGGCGCCGAGGCCGTCAACGCGCACATCCTCGCGCGCTCGCGCAAAGCCGGAGGCGCCGGCAGGGGCGGCGAGGGCGGCGAGGGCGGCGAGGCGTGAGGAGCGCAGCAGCAGGAGGTCGGCGAGGGTCTCGAGGAGGTTCCAGCGAGAGGTCGTTCGTGCAAGCTGGTTCTCCTCGGTCGTCGAGCTCTCGCCCCTTTCTCTCCTTGAGAGATGCACAGCGAGACCGCTCGAGAGCTGCTGTGCGCCTGGCTGCCTCGTGCGACGAGCTCTCGGTCTCGAAGCAGGAGTCGAGCGCAGCTGCGACCGCCGGTCCAGCTCGCTCCTCGGTGCTCGCGACCAGCACGATGCAGCAGACTTGTCTAACGATAGACGCTGAGCGGCGACGAGCGACAGAGAGGCTCAGCCGTCGCTCGAGCGAGCGTCGTCCACGAAAGCGCTCAGGCCGCTTCGTCCTCCTGCGGCGTCCCTCGTCGCTTTTCACGTTCCTTCCTGTCAGCTTCTGCTCGCACTTCACACGTCTGCCTGCTTGCGCCGAGTGGCTGTCGTAGCGTAGCGAAAGGACAACCGCGCCCCGAGCGCGGGAGGTCGACGTCAAGCGCGCTCGTCGCGGCGACTCTACCGAGCTGTGGATACTAGAGAGGCTCAGCTAGGCAGTCACCAGACCGCTCAAGGCTGCTCGAGCAGGGCTCGCGAGGTGACGGCGCGCTGTTCGCCGCGCTCGCCTCTCTCGCTCCTTCCCCTCACTCGCGCGGTCCTCTCACCTCGCTCGAGATGCCGCCCCGCCGCTCGACACGGAGCAAGGGCACCAACAAAGCCCCCGACGCTGCTCCCACGCCCTCGCCGAGCCACGCTGTCGACATCGACGACTCGCACAAGAGCGAGTCGGCGGCCACCTCGCCTGCGCCTGTCGGCACCCGCAAGGCCAAAGCCGCCCGCAAGACCAAGCACGAGGCTCACAACAGCTCTGGCGAGGGTGCGTCTTCTCTCTCACCCTCCGTGCGCGGCACTCGCTCACCCTGCACCGCCTCCCCCACTCGCGCGCGCAGAGAGCCCGCCCAGGAAGCGCAAGACGCAGCCCGGTGCGCCTCGTGCGCCCAAGCCCAAGCCCGTCTTCAGCATCGACCTCCTGCTCAAGCTCCCGTTTGACCTCGTCGCCGAGGTGAGCCCCGGCCGTTCCTCTCCTCTTCCTCCTCGCTTCTCGCCCGCCAACGTGTGCTGATCGGCTGCTTCCACAGATCTGCTCGCACCTCAACGGCGGCGAGCTCCTCCAGCTCTCGCGTACCTGCAAGACGCTCTACAAGTTCCTCCTCGGCCCGCAGTCGTCGTCCATCTGGGCGGCGTCCCGCCTGCGCCGCAAGCTGCCGCTGCCCGACAACACGACCGAGCAGCAGCTCGCCAGTCTGCTCCATGACGACGAGTGCTTCGTACGTCCCATCGGTCCTTCCTCGAACGTCAAAGGCGCAGTACTGACTCGGCGCTGGCCCTCTCGCTCGCAGGAGTGCGGCGACGTGACGACGTACCCGGCCGACCTCTTCCTCCGTTGCCTCGTGTGCAACTCGTGCAAGAAGAACCTGTGCGTCCCTCCTCCCTTCTCCTCTCGCCGCGGGACGAGCAGGCCCTGACTGGCCTCCTCGCAGCGTCGTCATCAAGGGCAGCAAGATCCGCAACGGCCTCAAGGGCCTGCACCCGCAGGCTCGCAACTGCGTGCGCTTCGACCGTGCGTCCCACCTTTTACCAGCATCGAGGACGCTGTCGGCCAAACGAGCTGACCCTCGGTCTGCGACAGCCGGGCACGAGTGGGCCGCCAAGCCGCAGCGTGCGTCTCTCGCTCTCTCGCCTGACAAGAGTCCTCGACACCGGCCCTGACGTCCTCGATGCGCAGCCACCTACCTCGTGCGCGACCTGTGGGCGGTGAGCACCGTCCTCTACGACCTCGCCGAGCAGGACGCCCTCGCCAAGCAGGCCATCAAGGCGTCGTCGAGGTCCAAGCGCGCCAAGGGCAACCTCGGCACGGCGGCCGACTCGGACAAGCTCGACAAGTTCCTCGAGGAGAAGAAGGAGTGGGTCAAGAAGGAGCAGGAGGTGCGCCGCCGCCGTTTCTCCGATTGTCCTCGTCGTCGACGCCTCGCTGACCCTCTTCCCTCCTGTACATCCAGATGTCCATCAAGCTCCGCGACGCCATCCAGGCCGAGAAGGTGGCCTTCCAGTATGGCCGCATAGACGAGATGATGCGTGTCGCCGAGGAGCGCGCGGCCAAGATCGACAGGTGCGCCCTCTCTCCCTACTCTCCTTCGCCCCGCACCTTCCTGACCCAGGTTTCTTCTCGCAGCATCAACCGCGAGCTCGAGATGAACCACGGCTGGACGAGGGCGCAGCTCGACTGGCATCACCGCGCCTCTGCGAGGGCCCCGCGCCGCGAGCCGGCGGACGACCCCCCAGGTGCGTCGACCCGTCCTCTATCTCGCTCGAGATGCCTCGCCGTCCGACAGAGACTGACCCTCGTCCGACAGCCTGGGCCAACTTCCGCGACGTCGTTCAGCTCGAGATCGATCGCCATGCCGCCATCGTCGCCACGGCCGCAGCTCGCCGAGCTCGCCTCGACTCGGTCAAGCCGTACTACGAGTCGTTCAAGGCCGCCCAGCTCGGCGTCCTGCAGGACGCCGTTCCCGAGCTGCGCTACTTCATCGAGTGGGCCTCGATCAAGCCGCTGTGGGAGCCCGACACCGCCGCGCCGCTCTCGGACCGCATCTGGGCTCGCGCGCTGCCCGTCATCCGCCAGAACTTTGCCGACTACCAGGAGACGCTGCGCGTGGCAGCGATCCGCGCCATCCTCAAGGCGACGACGGGCAAGGCGCCGACGTCGACCGACCCGGCCGACTACCCCGAGTCGACCTACGACGAGGAATGGTTCCAGCGCCCGACGGCCCACTTCTTCGGCGAGATGGTCACGAGCCCGCCGGGCTACATCACGCGCGGCCCGTACCCGTACCCCGACACCCTGCACGCGCACAAGTGCGTCGGCTCGCGCATCGACTGGTTCGCCCAGCACATCGACGCGCACCAGGTGCGCCTCGTGCGCCTCGTCCTCGAGGGCCTCGGCGAGACCGAGGACTCGGTCACGGTCGACATCCTGTGCGAGCTCGGCGCCGTGTGGCGCTGGAAGAACATGCCGTACAAGGTCAAGAAGGAGAAGGAGAGGCGGTACCGCTTCACGGAGCTCGTGCGTCCACTCTCTTCCCTCTCTCCCTCGTCCGCGCCCACCCGCATGGCCCTCGACCTTCGACTGACCCGCTTCGGCGCTCGCTCGCTCGCTCGCAGATCTACGCCCTCCAGCGTCGTGGCCCCAAGCCGGCGCAGCTCGCTCGCGGCGAGAACGTCCCCGAGATCGGCCTGTGGGACGACGCCTTCGCGGAGTGGGGCATGGACATGGCCATGGAGGAGGCGTGGGCCATGGGCTTGGGCTTGGGCATGGACGAGGAGGAGGAGGAGGAGTGCTGGAACGAGGCGGCGCTCGAGGACCCGGGGTGCGGCTGAGCGCGGCGGCGGCGAGGGAGGAGGCGACGCGGTGGGACGCTTGAGGGGCCTGATTTGCTTGTAGCCCGCGCTTGAATGCTTGTCTGTGCCGTTCGTACTCGGGCCTGGGAGAGCATTGAGCGCAGGAAGGGCAGCAGAGCCAGTCACTCTCGTCGCCGCTCGCGCACCTCCTCCTTCCTCGACCAACTCGGGCCCTCTCGCCTGTGCCGGCGCCTCGCGCCTCTCCCGAGTACCTGCAGGCCTCAGCACCGACCACGAGCTGCACCCGCACCACCGCGAGCGCTCGCCGTCCGCGCAGAGCGCGTCGCGTCCTCATCAGCAAACGGCGTCGGTCCACCTCTCTCGACCGGCGACAACGACTCGTGGGCCTGTGGGCGTGCTCGTCGAGGGTACCAGGAGGTGTCTGGCGTGGACCGAGCTGGCCGGCTGGGCTCTGCGGGCGCTGGATGGTAGGTGCGTCCCCCTCGCCCCCTCCTCCCCACTGTTCGCCGCCCTCTCCCCCTTCCCTCGCACCCGCCGCCGCCTCGCGACACCCCTCAGAGGCCTCCATGAGCTGACTAGATCATTCTACAGGCGGCGTGGCTGTGCACGATGGGCAGGCGGACGATCTGGTGGCACGAGGACTCGCTGTCGACCTCGAGGCGGTTCATCCAACTCCTCGTACGTCCCTCTCGCTCTCTCGATTCGCGTCATAGACTCGACCGTGGACTCGTACGCCTTGTGAGCACGCGCACTGACCCTCTCGACCTCGTGCCGCAGGATAGTCGAGCCCTCGATGGCGCGGTCTCCTTCTCGGACTCTAAAGCTCCCGCTTCGTGCCCTTGCTCGCTCCACGCTGGCCCCTGCCGACGCCGACATGTCCTCTGCATGACTCGAGAGAGCTACGAGAGACCCACACGCCCGTCCCGTCGCGTGTACTCGTCCCGGCGGCCGAGAAACCCCGAGCCGCCGAGGACGGGTCTTTACGAGGCCGCGCCCGCCCTCACGTGCCCCTGAGGGCAGCGGGCGCACTGTGGTGAGCCGCTCGCACGGCGCGCACCCCTGCGGAGCGCCCGTGCGCCCGGCCACCTACTCGAGACAGGGGGATCCTGCGCACCCTCGCTCAAGCGGTAGCTCTTGATCTAGCAGGGTTACAGTGTTCTGCTCGTGCGGGATCGAACGAGGAAGTGTCTGCAATGAGATCGAGCGCTTCTCCCGAGCCAGTTGGTCTTGTAGAGCGCGAGTTAAGGCTCGCACTGCCCTTCTCAAGTCAGTCGAGGAGCGACTCGAGTGCAGCTCTTCCTGTCGGCTCCTCTGCTCGCGGGCTCTCTATTCGAGTCTCTCTGAGTCTCCCACGAGCAAGAGAAAGTGCGCCGACGCCTGCAAGCTGCGCAAACCTCGTTCTCCTCCTCGACTTGCCCCGGGGCCTTCTTCTCGCTCTTCCGTCGCGAACTTGTCGCGACCCCGGCGGCGATAGCTCGAGAGCGGTCCTGAAGCTCATAGGTCGCGCTTGACGACGTCGCACACGATCCTCGTCGAGCTGCACACTCGCAGAAAGCGCTCGAGCCCTCGCACAGCCCTCCCCTCGAGCGAGTCGAAAGCTATGCGAGAACAGCTCGCGCTGCGTAATCTCGCTAACGGCTCCACCTCGAAGCTATTGCCGAATACAAAAGTTGAGCGCGACGTCGTAATCTCGACAACTCGCGCCCCGCACCTCGCTCGTCCTCCACGCGCAACTCGGCCGCACCGCTGCTGTGCCTTGCCGACGTGTGTCCAGCTCTTCTGCATCGCATCATCTGTCTATGGGGCCTGCACCCGCACCGCCGCGAGCGGCCGCCGAGGGCGCAGAGCGCGTCGCATCTTCATCAGCAACTCGCGTCGTCCGACCTCTCTCACCTGGTGGCAACGGTTCATGGGCCTGTGGGCATCGTCGTCAAGGGCCATGGCAGCATCGAGGAGACTACTGGGCCAGGCGGCCGCGCTGTGCGGGCTTTGGGCGACTGGTGCGTCCACCTCCTCTCCGCCTCCCCGTGTTTGGCTCCCCTCTCCCTCTCCCCTCGCCCCCTCTGCTACCTCGCGACACGGTGCGGGGGTCTTGGTGGACTGACTCGGTCACCTTACAGGCGGAACGGCTGTGCAAGGCGAGCAGGGCGGTCTTCTGGGCGGTGCGAGGCGGGCTCTCAACCTCGGGGCGGCTCATGTTGTCCTTTGTACGTCCCTCGCACTCTCTGTTTTCCCTTGAGGACCTTCACATGGGTTCGTACTCCTCGCCGAGCCGCGAACTGATCATCTTGACCTCGCGCCGCAGGTTAGTCGCGCCCTCGATGGCACCTCCCGCTTCTCGGCCTCGAAAGCTTCCCCTCGCGCCCTTGCTGCGCCGCGCGACGGCGCCCTTTCCTCTCAGAAAGCTCTCCTCGTCCCTGTCGAGCGATCCCAGACCGCGCAGAGTTCTCGTTCGTCATCGCACTCGTCCCGGCGGCTCAGCGAGTCGAGCCGTCGCGGACGGGTCCTTACGAGGCCGCGCCCGCCCTCACGTGCCCCTGAGGGCAGCGGGCGCACTCTGGTGAGCCGCTCGCACGGCGCGCACCCCTGCGGAGCGCCCGTGCGCCCGGCCACCTACTAAAAACAGGGGGATCCTGCGCACCCTCGCTCAAACGGTAGCTCTTGATCTAGCACGGTTACAGAGTTCTGCTTGCGCGGGATCGAACGACGAGGTGTCTGCAATGAGATCGACTGCGTTTCCTGAGCCAGTTGATCTTGTAGAGCGCGAGCTGGCTCCACCCGCCGCCCTTCTCAAGTCGCTCCAGGAGCGACCCGAGAGAGGCTCTCTCTGCTCTCTCTGCTGCCTCTCTTTCTTGCGAGGTCTCGCTGTGAGTATGTCAGAGTGCCTGCCGAACGAGGGCAAGCGCGCCGACGCCTATCAGCAGCGCAGACCTCGTCCTCCTCCTCGACTTGCTTCCCAAGCTGCTTGTCGCTTTACCTCCTCGCTTCTTTCGCGAACGCGCCCCGTAACAGCTCGCAAGCAACCTTGACGTCGCCGAGTCGAGCTCGACGCGGTCGCGCTCGTGCTGCGCTGCGCTGCCGACTCAGAGAGAAAAGGCGCTCGAGCCCCTTCGCGAGACCTCACCTCGAGCGAGCCGAAAGGTCCGCGAGCTGCACCAAAATCGAGTGCGCGTGTGTAACGTCGACAGCAGGCCACCTTGATGCGACTGCCGGATACCGACAAGCCGAGCCACCTTTGCTTCGAGGGGAAGAAGGGCTTCGCTAGCTTCCCTCTCGGTCTCTCGCCTCGCCGCTCTCGACGCTGTCGGATACTGCAAACGATTGGGTTTCGATCCTCGGACGACAAGCTGGTGACTAGAGAGGGAGGGGGAGGATAGAATGTCCGGTGACGAGGAGGAAAGGCAAAGAGGGGAGGGACAAGGGAGAGGGACGACAGGAGGAGAAAAGGGAGAGAGGGTCTGCTACTCAAGGGCGAGGACGGACCTGCTTAGAAAGCGAGGACGGCAGCGAGGGCGGCAACGCCGGCGAGGGCGCCGCCAACCTTGGCCGACGAGGCGTCCGACGAGCCCGAGGCGCCAGCCGACGGGGCCGAGCCAGTCGCGCTCGCGACAACCGACGAGATGGACGACAGGGCGGCCGAAGCCGACGACTGGATGCCCGACGCGGCGCCCGAGGCCGACGAGGCGACCGACGAGCCCGACATGCTGGCCATCGACGACGCGCTCGCGACGGCCGACGAGAGGGCCGACGAGACGGACGAGACGCCCGACGACGCAGCAGCCGACGACGACTCGCTGCTGGCGGCAGTCGAGGAAGCGGCACCGCCTGCGACAGGGAGCGAGCGAGGTCAGTGCGGGAACCGAGAGCGAGGGGGGAAGGAGGGAGAGAGACGCACCCGACGAGACGGTGAGGCTGACGCCGGCGGCGGCGCAGGCCGAGGTCGAGTACGACGCGGCGGCCTGGAGGTCGTCACCACTCTGCGAGAGGCGAAGGAAGGGAGGGGAAAGGGTCAGTTTGCCGGCCAAAAGTCGACGCCGAGGAGAGGAGGCCTGAACGCACGCAGGACGTCTGGATGCACTGGGTGGTGGCCGACTGGAAGGCGGTGTCACGGCCTGTTTGTGGCAAAGAGACACTCGGTCAGTCAACACGGTCGGGGAGGTCGACGGTGACCCGGAACAGGGAGGAGGAGAGGAGGGGGACGCACACAGGCAGGCAATGTCGGTCGCGCCACTGCACGACGACGAGCCGAGGTTGGACGCGAAGCAGGTGAGGAAGCACGTAGGCGGCGTCGACTGTGTGGGTGCGAGAGGGGAGGTGACCATTGCGGGGACGAGACCGTCAGTGGCTGTTTCCCGCGCGGACGAACGAGGGGGAGAGAGGGACGCACCTGGGCAGCGACGAGCGAGGCGGCAGAGCCGAGGGCGGCGAGGGCAAAGACAGAGGTGCGCATGGTGATCCTGGAACGACGAGTGGAGCGGCGGTGGGAGGAGGGAGAGGAGGGAGAGGAGGGGAAAAGAGCCAGGGCGGCGGGCATGTGTGCGCTCGACCGCGTGTGGGGGGACCCGCGGCGAGATCGCCTTGCCCCCCTCTCAGGGGCAAACCGGCCAAACGCCCGCCTCGTTGCCCTTTCGATCGCCCCTCGTCCGCCGCTGCGTACGTCGAGCCGCGAGCTGTCCCGCTGCCCTGGGCCCGTAACCTCGAGTGTCGCTTTCAGCGCTCTCTGGTACGCTCTGCACACCTCGACGCTGCCACGCCGCACACTGTACATGTACTGAGCTTGCCGAGCGGTGAGTTCACAGCCGCCGCCGGCCGGCGTTCCCCCACGAGGTGGCAGCTCGACCTTCCCAAGTTGGACGCTCGAGCCCTCGGACTCTCAAGCTCCAGGCTCTCGTCGTCTCGCGCCTCTCTCGGCTGCAGTGCCGGCTTCCGGCACGTCGCGAAAGGCGAATCGTCTCTCATCGCTGTGCTTCTGATGCATGCGCAACTCGACGAGCTCGCTCGGACCGGCCGGCGGACGTGCCTCGCTCAAAGGGTTTGCCGTGCGGCTTGGCGTTGAACGCGCTCGCTCTCGACAGTCCCGGTACGAGTGGCGCACCGCGAGACAAGCAGGTACGAGGCGGACCCAGCGCTCAAGCAGAGACTGCATGCGTGACGCGCCGCCTCGAGAACTGGACGCAGCAGGCCCTCGACCGCAGCCGACAGCGCCTCGTCGTCGTCGAGAGAGAGAGAGACGCAGATCTATCCGCAGAAGAAGGAGGGTATCATCATTGCTGCGCCCTGGCACTGGATAATGCTGAGGCGGCGTGCGCCCCTGCGCTGCGGCGCCGCTCTCTACGACTCGTCCTCGCTCTCGCACCCTCGCCCGTCGCACGCTCCTCGGCCGCTCACCTGGACGAAAGAGACGGTCAGTGACCATACGAGAGAGGACGTCGAGAGAGAGAGAGCGAGAGGAGGACGCACTTCTGGCGCTTGTACACCTTTGCGAGGAAGCTCTGGTACACCTCGCGCTTGAGGCCGTCGGCGCTGCCCTCGGCCGGGATGGCGTCGATGAGGCCGTTGATGCGCGTGTACGAGTCGTGCTCGTACTCCTCAAACTCGCGCGCGAGCTCGAGCTCGCGGTAGACGGCCTTGACGCGCGCCTCGCTCTCCGAGTTCTTGACGCCGTAGTTCTCCTGCGCGCCCGGTCGAAGAATCCTGAGTCAGTACTTGGCGTCGTGCAGGTCCCGACCGAGGGAGAGATGAGCGGGACGCACGTCGAGGACCTTGCGCTGCTCCGGGTTGGCCTTCTTGAGGGCGAGGTTGACGAGCCACGAGCACTTGTTGTCGAGGATGTCGGTCCCGATCTTGCCAATCTGCTCGGGCGTGCCGTAGCAGTCGAGGTAGTCGTCCTGGACCTGGAAGTACTCGCCCATGGGGACGAGGATGTCGAGCGACTGCTTGAACGCCGACTCGGACGTGACGCCGGCCATGTGGAGCGCGAGCGCGACAGGGAGGTAGAACGAGTAGTACGCCGTCTTGTACACGACGATGAGGTGGTGCCTGCGCGCGAGGGACGGTGTGAGCTCGTCGCGAGAAAGAGAAGGCGGACTCGGGACGCACTTGTCGAGCGAGAACTTGCTCAGGTCGACCGAGTCCTCGGGCGCCGTGATGAGGTCGATGAGCTGGCCGAGCTCGGTCTGGAACGTGACCTGTGTGCCGGGTGCGAGAGCGCAATCGGTAAGCGACGCTTGAGCGACGACGAGCGAAGGAGCGCAGGTCGAGAGGGGACGCACCTCGTGGAACAGCTCGAGGAGGTCGACGTAGTACTTCTCTTGCCGGAAGTGCTTCTTGAGGAGGTAGTAGATGGCGGCCTCGAGCATGAAGGCGTCGTTGATCGCAATGTTGCCGACGCCGTCCTGTTTTCGGCGCTCAAGAGGAGGGTCAGGTCGTCGTCGTCCGGGTTCGAGAGGGGGCGAGAAGGGGGAGACGCACGACGCGGTACCAGCACGGCTGACCCCGGCGGGTGATGCTCTGGTCCATCATGTCATCGGCGACGAGGAAGTAGGCCTGGAGCTGTGGGCACGTCGAACGACCACCAACACGACAGGGTCAGGTACGGCTCGTGCGACGACCGACAGCTCGGTGAAGGGGATGGGACGGGGGCGCACCAGCTCGATGCACCAGCCGAGGATGGCGGCGCGCTTGTACTCGTCGTCGGTGAGGCTCGCGCCCTTGAGGATCTCGACCGTGTCGACGACCGAGATGCCGCGGTTGAGCTTGCCTGCGCACGGTGTCCTGGGTCAGAGTGTGTCGGTGCAGAGCTCGTGTGAGAGCAGTGCGCACCACCGGGCGTGTTGTAGTCGAGGCTCTGCGCGGTGAGAAGGGGGGAGTCAGCTCGCCTTTGTCGAGGCTGGGGGAGGAGGGGAGAGGGAGGGAGCGCACCCGCTGGAACCAGTCGACGGCGTCCTTGGGCATGCCCTCGCCACGGAGGTAGTCGACGAGCTCGGTGGCGAGGCTCGGCCACACGGCGAGGAAGGCGTCGCGCTTCTGAGCGGAGGACATGGTGGATGGGGGAGATGAGGAAGTGGTAGGGAGCTGCGAGGGGCCGCACGGGGTCAGTGACCGTGTCAGAGCGCGTGTCAGGCCTGCAGGCTACTTTGTACGCCAACTCACAGAGCGCAGGGAGCGTGGTGGGAGAGCGAGAGCGCGAGGAGTCGAAGGTGGCCTCATCGTCCTCACGTTCGCGGCTCTGGAGCGGGCGGTGCGAGCGGGCTCTCTCTCTCGCTTTCTTGCGCTCGCCCGAGTGACAAACAGACTGCGCTTGCGATTACGGGCTGCGGGTGTAACTCAAAAGGGTATCGCTACAGAAGAGGGACAACTCGACCGCCGCTACTCCGACTTCCACCTCCCCGCGCCCTCCTGGTCGTCGACGTGCGCACCGAGCCGGATCTCGAGCGCCCACAGGGCCGTCACCGAGAAGAGCGACACCCACCGCCAAAAGGCTTGGTCGCCCTGCGACTCGCTCAGGAGGAGCAAGTGCGTGTAGACGCCGATGAGGAGCGACCGCGAGTACGTCAGGACGACCGTCATGACGCGGGCAGCCTGCGCGCGCGAGTCGGTCGACGGTCAGGAGAGGCTCGTCTGGGCGGCACTCGGGCACAGAGAGAGAGAGAGAGAGAGAGGGACGCACGGGCTCCTCCTCGCTCAACTTGCGGTTGTCCTCGTACCCGCCCGTGCGGCGCTTGAGGGCGAGCACGACGCGTGTTGCGGCGTACATGACGAACACGCGATAGAAGAGGGTGACGATGACGCTGAAGGGCAGGGCGGACGAGCTGCAGGAGAGGACAAGGCAGGTGAGTCCTCGGCCCAACGATGGAGCTCGACGACCCGCCGCGTCTGCAGCAAGCCGGCTCGAGCGTGTGCAGAGAGACCGATAGACTCACGCAGCCATGACAAACTCGACGCCGGCGCCGAACGTCTGGCTGACGGCGCTCGTGACCGCGTCCAACCTGCGTCGTCCTCGAGGGCAGGTCAGTGCCGCGTTCTGGGGCCGTGTCGCCGCTCCACCGAGGGAGAGAAGGGCCGGGACGCACGACTGGAGCACGACGGGCGGGAGCGGCGGGTGGCCGTTGGTGCCCGAGGCCTTGAAGACGTGCTTGAGGAGGCCCGCCGTGTACATCTGCGGCCGGTTCGAGAGGTGGAAGATCTGGAAGACAGCGTAGCTGTGGACGACAGAGAGCTCGTGAGTCGCATGACCCTAAACATGGAGGGCGACGCACGCGCCGACGGCCGAGCGCGCGCCGCCCAAGACTGAGAGCGAGACGGGGACGCACGCGAGCATGAGGGCCGTCTCGATCACGTTGCCCTTCTGGACGCTGAACGAGATACCGCTCAGGAAGAGGATAGTCGTCACGGCGACGCCGATAAAGGTGGACGAGAGGCGGTCCGTCACGGCGCCGTAGCTCTGCGGGCGAGAGGGCAGTCAGCGCTCGAGGTGCGAGACTCGAGCTGAGGGGCCGCGACAGAGAGAGAGAGGGGGGGCGCACCTCCCACAAGAAGTAGGCGCTGATGACGTAGATGCCGGACGCGACGATGAGGACGAGCATCTTGAGGAGGTCGGGGCTCCTGCTGTCGTCGATGCGGGCGACGGTGAACCGGCTCACGGCCTGGATGCACAACAGGGTGCACAGGCCCTCGAGGATGGTAAACACGGGCGACGACTTGCGCAGGACCGTCTCCCACGCCGAGGGGGCCGCGCGTGCGACCGAGACGAGCGTGTCGTACAGTGTCGACGCGTTGGCGGTCGAGGGCGCGGTCGCGGTCGCGGTCGAGGCGACGAGGTGCGGGTGGAGGACCTTGTCGCGGAGCGAGGGGGCGACGGTGTTGGCGGTCGAGGTCGAGTAGAGGTTGAGGGTGAGGAGGAGGAGGGCTGGGATGAGGAGGGGCGAGAGCCACGAGAGGAGGGTCGACACGGGGCGAAGCTTTGTGTTGCGGACGGCGAGGTGGAGGGTGGCCGAGATGCCGAACGCGACGGCCAACATGAGCGAGAGGGCGACTGTGGGTGGGGGAGGGTGAGAGAGGGGTCAGTTGGACGAGTCGCTGAGGAGGAGGAGGAGGACAAGGAGGAGGGGAACGGACGCATGGCCTCCTTGCCCGGCTCTGCGATGTCGAGGGTCAAGGGGAGGTAGAGGAGGACCTGTGCGAGGCTGAGGAGGTGGGCGCCGACACGCAGGACCGACGACATGATGCGCGAGGTGGGCCAAGTCGGGTCGACGAGGACGGGGTGGGGGCGCTCGGCGGGTGGTGCAGCTCGAGGCTGTGAGAGTACCGAGTCGATCTAGCGGTGCTGTGGCTGGTCCTGGTCGAGGCGGGTGAGGCGAGAGAGGTGGACAGAGTCGATGTCCATCTCGCTCTCGGTTGACGACAGCCCGCCATGTCGCTCGCCTTTAACCTGGACGAGGTGCGGTCTTCTATCCTCTAGCCATCCTTCGCATCACTAACGCGGTACTCGCTCCCTCGCAGGAGGTGCGGCTCGCGACCACCAACGCCGACCGCGAGCGCATCGACGAACTCGCCAACCTCTACTCGCTCGTCCTCAGCTTGAACTACCTCGAGCGCGCCTACGTCCGAGACTCGATCACAGCTGCACAGTGCGCCCCACCCGCCGTTTCCTCCCTCTCGCCGTCGTCGTCGTCGTCCCCGCGGCTCATGTGGGGAGGTGCCCGCTCGCAGGTACGCCCCAGCGTGCACCAGGCTCCTTGCCCAATACAAGACCATCATCAAGCTCGTCGGCGACGCCGTACCCAGCCTCGACGCCTTCATGCAAGAGTACCGCGTCCGTCCACCCACCTCTCCCCCTCCATCCACCGCACCGCCGCTCACCCGCCCTCGCACCCTCGCAGATGGACTGCACCGCCGCCGCACATCGCCTCAAGGTCGGAGTACCCGCCACGGTCGAGCACGCCGCCGAAGAGAGCGGCTCGGGCGGCGCAGAGACGGCCAAGTGGGTCGCAGAGACGACTCAGGTGCGTCCCCCGCTCCCTTTCCCTCCTCCTTCCTCTCTCTCTCCGCCGAGCTGACTCGCTCGGGACCCTCACAGAACTTTATCACCTTCATGGACGCCCTCAAGCTCAAGCTGCGCGCCAAGGACCAGCTCCACCCGCTCCTGACCGACCTCATGTCGGGCTACACGCGCTTCAAGAACTCGAACGAGTGGGAGGGCCGCCCAAAGATCCTGCACTGGTGCGTCCCATATCTCTCTCGGCCGGGCGGCGAGGCGGACGAACTGCCGGTGCGGCGGGCCAACGAGCTCACAGAGGACCCCTCCCCCGCGCAGGCTCATCACGCTCAACCAGATGCGCGCGAGCGAGGAGATCACCGAGGAGCAGTCTCGTCAGGTGCGTCTCGCAGTTCTCTTCGGCCCTCGTACCTTTCGTCCGAGGACTGATATACCGCTGCTGCGCGCACAGATGCTTTTCGACGTCGAGCACGCCTACTCCGAGTGCGCCTCGCTCTCTCTCTCTTTCCGACCTCTCGTCCCTCTCGAACACGACACTGACCTCCTCCTCCTCTCGTGCCGCCTGAGCAGGTTCTTCCGCTCCCTCTCGTCGTCGCACTAGCGGCACCCACCTGTACCTCTCCCTCGCCGTACCTCGAGCCTCTCTCTCTCTCGCTCTCTCTCGAGCGCTCCCTGTTGTAGTAGAACCCTGCAGTGCACCTCGTCCATCTCTCAAGCCCCCCCTCCCTCGTCCGCTCCCTCGCTCCTGGCCCGAGAGCGCCGCCCGCCCACCCGCCGCTCAGGCCCCGGCGCACCCGGGGCAGAACCCGAGCGCGTCGTGCACGAGCTTGTCGCACTCGAGGCAGAAGTCGTGGGCGCACTTTGGGCAGCGGTACCGGCCGAGCGGCGAGAGGTCGCCTGCGGCGGCCGGGGTGGTCGAGGTGGTGGGTGGCGGGGCAAAGGGGAAGAAGCAGGAGAAGCAGGTGGGCGGGTCGGTCGAGGGGGAGGAGCTGCGAGGGGAGGGACCGCGAGTCAGTAAGGTTGCGCTAGAGAGGAGGGAGAGGGAGAGGAAGGACGCACTGGAGGACCCGCTCGTAGTTGGCGACCTGCGCGAGGGAAGGTGCTCGTCAATCTTTGTCCTCCTCGACACGAGCGCTCCCACCCCAGAGAGAGAGAGGACGCACAGGGAACAAGTGCCGGTAGCTCCTCGCGAGCTGAGGCGCGTTGACGACCGTCAAGGCGCACACCCTGCACTCGGTCGGCACGTCGCACAGGCGCGCCTTGCACCTCGGGCAGCTGTACCCGCTCGTCTTGAGCTTGCCGTGGCACGCGCACACGGCCGGGTACGTCGTGTGCACGAGCGCCGGGAAGCCCATCTGCATGAGGTCGGCCGACGACGAGCCGAGGACGTGCGCCGTCTTGGTGCCGGCGAACGTGGGCGGCGGCGACACAAACTCGAACAGGAGGTCGCGGAAGGCGAGGTCGTCGCGTGCGACGCGGTAGACGCCTGTCAAGAGGAGCTGGGTCAGTCGGGCGAGCGAGGGGAAAGGAGAGAGAGAGAGGCGCACGGACCCTTGGTCTGCTCCGAGATGTCGCGGCAGATCTTCATGTCGGCAGTCAGGCCGATGATGTTGACGCGTATCCTGTCGAGGTGAACGGCGAGTGAGTGGAGGAACAGGCGCGTGGAGGAGAGAGAGAGGGAGAGGGGGACGGACCGCTCCTTCTCGGTGTCGACGATCGTCTGGTGGATGTTGGTCGGGTCGCACGTCGTGAGCGAACCGAGGATGACGATGACTTCTCGCGAGCCATGTGGAGGAAGATGTCTGTTGAGCGAGCGAGTCAGGCACGGTCGAGGGAGGGAGAGAGAGAGTGGAGGGAGCGAGCGACGCACGCGAGTCCCGTCTTTGCGAGCTGCAGCACGTTCTGCAGGCTCGGTGCGCCTCGCGCCTCGAGCTTCTTCTTGTTCTGGAGCACCTTGAGGTGATCGGCCGGGTTGCCTGCGAGGGGAGGTGGCCGTCAGGGTCGGGCTCGAGGGAGACGAACGAGGGGGACGACGCACCGCTCAGCGGCGTCAATCGCTCGGCGAGGCCGTCTCGGGTCACCATGATGGCCATCTGGCCGATCGGGTTCTGGTCGAAGAACTCGGTGACGAATTCCTGCAGGCGCGAGAAGGTGAGCGACCGGCGAGAGGGTGGGGGCGGGAAAGGAAAGGGGAGGACGGACCTGGGCGTACTGGACGGTGAGGTCGAGCCAGGTGGCCTTGTAGTCGCGCACGAGCATTGCCGACGAGAGGTCGATGACGAGGTAGACATGGCGGATGATGCCGCGCTGGATGGACGAGGTGTCGCGAAGCAGCCTGCGAGGAGGGGGAGGGGTGAGCGGGTCCGCCTCTCGTCGACAGGGGTAGAGAGAGAGGGTTGCGCACCGTCGAGACTTTGTCGAGAGGAGCAGGTCGCTCACTGCGCCCTCGAGTGTGCCGCGCTCGTCCTCCTGGACCTGGTCCCAGGTCCGCTCGAACTGGCCCTCCCACGCCTTGCCCTTGCCCTTGGACCGGGTCGCCGGCCCTCCCGGTGCGCCTGCCGAGCTCGCTGCGCCTCTCGCGGCCGTACTGCCCCGGCCTCGGTTGGAGCGGAGGCGAGCGATGCCGTCCGAGTCGTCGTCCGAGCCCCCAAAGTCGGATTCGTCCTCGTCCTCGCGCAGGAGCTCGTCGTCGTCGTTGTCGTCGACGACAAAGTCGCGCTGCGAGACACGCTTGCTCATCGGTCGCAGCTGGTGCCGAGCGCGAGTGGGTAGCGGAGCAAGAGAGAGTCGCTCTCCCCACCTCTCGTCTCTCACCACCACTCGGCTCACTCCCTCGCCAGATGGCCATGAACGCTCCCAAGGGCAAGGGCAAGCAGGGCGGCGGCAAGGGTAAAGGGTCCGGCAAGCCTCGCGGCGGTCCTGGAGGCGGCTACACCTCGAAACGCCAGGTCGGCGGCAAGGGCATCTTTGTCACCACCATCCGCGGCAAGGAGTCGCGCTGCGTCGGCGAGATGTACGACCTCCTCGACGAGGTGCGCACCCTCCTCTCCCTCTCCCCCCTCGAGGCTGTCGCCGACACGAGCTGACTTCCCCCTCCTCCTCATCAGGTCGCAGACCGCCTGTACCCTCCCGAGCGCATCGACAAGATGGTCGCAGCTCGCCAGGCCGACATCGACGCCAGAAAGGCCCTCGGTCCACCCGCACCCGCCGCAGACGCCGACGCCGCCGACCCGTCCCCCTCTCCCACTTCCGCTCCTCCTGCGCCTGCCGCCCCGACCGCCCCTGCCCCGAACTCGGACGACGACTACGACGACGATGACGACGACATCGAGGCGAGCATACAGCGCGAGCTCGCCGCCCTCAAGTCGGGCAGGGGCAGCGGCAAGATGGCGCCGGGTAGGACGGCGGCGGGAGGAGCACCGGGCGCCGACGGGCAGGACAAGGGCAAGAGCAAGGAGCGTCCGCGCTTCCAGAGCATCGCGACCGACACCGAGTGCTGTGCGTCCCTTTCGCTCCCTCTCTTCAGCCTCGCGAGCGGCAGCTGACCGTCGTCGTGCGCGCGCAGTGTGCTTCATCGCGACGGCGTGGCCTTACGACCCGGTCGAACTCACCGAGGCGCTCGTCGCCGAGGTGCAAGAGACTGGGCAGTCCCGCACTCGGTGCGTCCGCATCGTCCTCGTCGTCTCTACGAGTGGAGCCTGACCCTCGAGCCCGTCGTCGTCTGCAGCTTCGTTCAGCGCCTGTCGCCGACGACCATTACGTGCCACTCGCTCTCGCTCGAGCAGGTCGAGCAGCAGTCGGCGGGCCTGATCGAGAAGAGCTTCGCGAGCTGGGCCGCAGCCAACAACAAGACGACCGTCACCGTGCGTCCAGCCTTTTGTCTCTCTCTTCTCTCTCTCGGCCTCACTGACTGTCGGCCACCCACAGTACGCCATCGAACCTGTCCTTCGCTCCCACACCCAGCCCCTCTCGCGCCACCTCCTCCTCCAGCTTCTCGGCTCGCTCACCTCGCGCCTCTCGTCCGCGCCGACCATCTCGTCGCCCGTCCCGGACCGGCCCATCCTCTCGGTCCGCGCCGACCTCAAGAACCCGGACCTCGTCCTCCTCCCGACCGTCCTCAAGAACGTGTACGGCCTGAGCGTCGTCGAGGGCCACCTGTGGAAGAACAAAAAGTTCAACCTCGAGCAGATCGCGCTCGACGTCGGGAGGAAGAGGCTCGAGCGCAGCGAGGCCGACAAGGCGGCGGCGGGAGCGGGTGCGAGTGCGAGCGATGTCGCGGCGAGCGATACGGCGGGCGCGAGTGCTGCGGAAGAAGGCGGCGAGGCGGCGGCGGTGCCGGTTGAGCCCGGGTCGAGGGACGAGGCAGCGGCCGTGTAGCCATCTGTGAACGCTTGAGCGATGATGCGCAGCCTCTCAGTTCCTCCCTGTCTCGACGAGAGTCTGCTCGGGTGTCGGCTATGCTCAAGGGCGACGAGGCGAGGGCCGAGCACATCTTTCAGAGGGTCTCGCAGCCGGTTTTTTGCGCCCGAGAGGCTATCAAGATGCGCTGCGTCTCTCGCTCCGAGAACTTGAACGTCTCGACGGTAAATACACGTCCTCTCGCTCGGTGGCGTCTACGACCACGCCCGCTTGGCATATTCCTCGAGGAGCGTGTTGGCCGACACCCACTCGACGTACCGCTCGACCTCGTCGAGGCGGTACCTGCCGCCGTCCTCCTTGCCGCCGAGCGCGTTGAGCCCACGCACGACGTCGATCGCGATAAAGTCGAAGAAGACGACGTCGACGCCGGGCTCGGGCCCGCTCTCCTCCTCCTGCGCCGACGCCGCCGCCGCCGCCTCGCCGCCCGCCTCGGCGCCGATGCTCGAAGCGCCCGGGAGCGCAGTCGAGACAAAGATGGGCTGGCGCGCCGAGCGGTACGACCGGTGCAGCGTGTCGTCGCCGAGCTGCTCGACCGGGTCGGACCCGCCGCACGCGTCGCGCGTGACGTAGCCCTCGGACGCCCGCCGTATGCGCCACCGCCCGTCGTCGTGCGCGCTCGACGAGCTCGACGAGGGCGAGAGGGGCGGCGACGAGGCGCGCCTGTGCGCGTGCTCGAGGGCGGCGGCGTCGGCGGCGAGGCGCACGTCGGCGCTCTGCTGCGCGAGCCACGCGCGCTCCTCGTCCGTCTCGGGCGCCGACGCCGAGGTAAGTGCCGAGGTAAGTGCCGAGGCGGTCGACGCGAGGCGGTGCTCGCCGACGACGTTGAGGTGGTGGAGGAGCTTGGCCGCACGGGCCCTCGGGACCGAGGGGAGGAAGAGGAAGTTGTTGGCGAACGGGAGGATCTGCCACTGGTCGCCGCGAGTGAACGGGCCCTTGAACAGGTCGAAACGAATGCTGCCCGTGTTGAGGACGAGGTACGGCGCCGCAGGGCGGTCGGGCCGAGTGATGAGCTGCGGCAGGACCGACTCGGTGAGGAGGCGGAAGATCGAGCGGCGGTCGGTGTGCGGGAAGCGGTGCAAGAAGTAGTCTGTGCGGCAGTCGAGCGTCAGTCGAGAGTTGACTGGAGAGGGGGGCGAGAGAGAGGTAGAGACGGACCTTGAGGGGCCACGCCAAACTGCTCGGTCAGGTTAAACCGCCGGGCCGTCTCGCTCAGCTCCTTGGTGATCGCCTTGCCCTCGGGCGTGTCAAAGCCTTTGCCGACGTGGTACTCGTACTGCATGGCGGAGCGTGGGTGAGCGTCGTACGAGAGAGGGCGAGAGAGGAGACGGGCTCGAGCGCACCGAGTTGCGGTTTTGGTCGATGTACCGGCGCTTGAACGTTGGCGGCTTGCTCGAGTCGTTGAGGCCGCTCGCACCTGTACGACAAGTTTGTCAGATCGGGACCAGGGGGGGAAGAGAGAGGGAGAGAGCCGAGGGCGACGCACTCATGAATCCGACAGTCTCAAAGTACCGACCCGCAGCGAGGCTCATGCTGCACTCGTCCTCCTGGACGCAGTCGCGGATCTTCGAGGATGTGAAACGAGTCAGTGACTGCTTGCGAAGGACCATGGCGAGAGATAGGGAGACGAGGACGCACGTGGTGGTGGCCGCCAAAGACGAGGACCGGCACCGTCGGGTGCACTTCGCGAATGGCGCGCACGACGGCGCTCCACTCCGAGTCGGGCTCGGTGCGCAGCGACATGTGGCCGACTGCAAGAGGAAGAACGAGGAGGGTCAGGCTCGTCTCGAAGAAAGAGCTTTCGCGAGCGGTCCGTGCGGACGATCGGGGAGGGCAAGACGAGCAGGGACGGACCGAGCAAGAAGATGTCGGGCGCTGTAGCGATCGCCTCGCGGAACCAGGGCTCCTTGACCATGCGCGACGGCGCCTGGACAGCGAGACCGGCCGCATGAGCTGCGCAAGGGAGGAAGGTGAGTCAGTCGCCGAGTCGCGCTGCGAGGCTTGCTCGCCGGGAGAAGAGTGAGTGACGCACCCTTGAAGTCGAACAGGGGCCCGAACGCAACGACCTCGCGCCCTTGCTCCGTCTCAAACCGCCGCATGCGGTTCCCGAGGAGCCGCTCGACCTCGCGGCCCGACACGTCGTCGTGCGCCGTGATGTTGACGTTGCTGACGACCCAGCGGTCGCCAAACTTGTCGTGCATGACGGTCGAGACGTAGGAGGCGACGGGGTACTTGTACAGCTCGTGGTTGCCCTGTGTGCGGAGGTGCGAGGTGGGGAGAGAGGGAGGGAGAGCAAGGTCGAGGTCAGGTCGCGGCGAGGGAGATGGACAGTGAGAGCAATCACGCACAGTCGTGACGACGTCGTAGGGGACGCGGCTGAAGATCTCGAGCGCCGTGTAGCCCTTGGGATGCGGCGACGGCTCGGCGTCGACGAGGCCGTTGCCGTCGACTCGGTCGCCCGCGTCGACGAGGAGCAGGTCGACGCCTCGCCGCCGCGCCTCCTCCTTCATGCGCTGCACGAACGAGTAGTAGTCTGCGGGCGCAGGGTGCGCGCGGCACAGGGTCAGCAGGGTGAGCCGTCGTGCGAGGTGCGAGGTGCGAGGGCAACGTGCGAGCTCACCTCCCCAGTCGCCGCTGAAGCTCGGCTCGTTGCGCTGGTGGCCGAGGAGCCAGCCATGCCTGCGTTGCGGTAGGAGGCACGACAGGGAGAGGCGTCGGCATGTGGGGGCCGGTGAGGTCCACGTCTCGAGGACGACCGAGGGAGGAGAGGTGGACGCACGTGTCGGTCGTGGCGAGGACATTGACCTCGCCCCAGGGCAGCTGGCGGTACGGATAGTCGACCGGCGGCGTCGAGTCGGGCTGCTGGAGGGCTCGGCTCGAGTCGGCGAGCGAGGAGGGTGGGGCGAACGGGAGCTGGAGGGCCGCAGCGAGGGCGACGAGCGGCGACGAGGTGGCCAAGGTAGCAGCGAGGGCTACCGTGTGCAAGCGCATCCTTCGGCGCTGGTGAGGTGCGAGGACGGCGAGCTGTTGTGCTTAAGTGCGGCCGGCGAGAGCGCGACGAAACCGCCTAATCTCGGTGCTCCTTGCCGGAAAGGTTTAGCGGGCGAGAGGCCCCGGCTTGGCGGGGGCAGAAAAGCTGCTTCGCGGAGGCGAAAGTCGGGGTTTCAGTCATGGCGCAATCGCTCCAGAGTCAACTCGCTCGCCGCCGCGCCGTCGTCTCTTCTCTCTCTCTCACCCCTCACCGCGCCCACTCCAGACCACCTACCCGCCTATCCCAGCCACCATGGCCTGCTAAGCGCACCCCGGAACCTCGAACAACAAGCGCTCCCCCTCGTCCCCCAAGAACTCGCACAATCAAAGAGTGAGTGAAAAACCTCGTCGCTCCTCCTCCCTCTTCCCCCGCTTCCCTCGCCGCCTATCTACACCGCGCGGTGCTGACACAGTCTCTCCCCCTCCTCTACTACCCGGCCCTGCAGTCCAAGGTCTTTCCCCCCAACCACCAACACGCACCACCAACATGAACCTCGCCATCGCACAACCGCCGTGCCCCACCCCGACACCTGAACCCTGCCCCTAGATCCGCCCCACGAGCATCTACCGACCTCCCGCCAGTCGCACCCGTCACCACCACGACCGCCATCACCATGCCCGTCGCCAACCCGACCGCCCGCACCACCTCGCCTGCCACCGCGCCCGTCCAGCCCGCACACCGCACCCGCCAAGTCACCCGCAAGATCATGAACGAGTACACCCACATGTTCAACGCTCAGCCGTCGGCAAAGGGCGCCTTTGGTGCGTCGCCCGTCTCGCTCGAGTGTGCGCGAGAGAAACGACGAGACTGACTCGGACCCGTTCCTCTGCGCAGACGAGGCCGCCGCCGACCTGACGGCTTTCCTCGACTTCTCGTCGTACAACACCGACAGCATCGTCGTCCCCGAGGCGACGCCCGAGTTCGGCACCGCGTTTGGCGGCGTCCAAGGTGCGCCCATGGGCGCGCTCCGCCCCGTCGACGACTCGCTGCTCGACTCGCCCCTCGACCTCGAGCTGTCGCCGGCGTCGTCGTTCGCGTCGTCCTTGTCGGGCAGCCCGTTCGACCTCGCCATGTCGTCGGCCGACTTTACGTCGCCGCTCCTGTCGTCGTTCGACTCGCCCCTCCTCGAGTCGTTCTCGCTGTCGCACTCGGCGGCGGGCGAGTACCCGAGCCTGTTCGCCCCGGCGCCCGGCGCCGACTTCCTCACGTCGTCGTCGACGGCGGCGTCGTTCGCCATGCCGGCCGAGTCGCAGTGGGCGCCGCAGGACCTGCAGCTCCCGGCCCTCCCGCCGGTCGGCAACGGCCTCGCGACGTCGTCGCCGATGGAGGACGTCAAGCCCGTCATCCTCGCGTCGCCGCCGACCCTGGCCCGCAACGAGTCGGCCCTGTTTGACGCGTACGCCATCGCCGCCGCCGTCGCCGCCCCCGAGCAGCCCAGCGCCTCGGCCGCGGCACCCGTCGCCGAGCCTGCGCCCGCTCCCGCGCCGCAGCACACGGTCGGCGTCGAGACGGCGACGCACACGGCGTCGGGCAAGCGCAAGTCGGTCGCGCAGCTGCGCAAGGAGGCGGCCCAGGCCATGCCCGAGCAGTCGTTCAAGAAGGACAAGTTCACCGGCGTGCGCAACACGAAGAAGCCGATGATCGACCTCGACGCGCCGACGCTGCCCAAGAACTACCTCACCGAGTCGGCGACGAGCAAGAAGCGCGCCGGGTCGGCCAAGTACGCGGCGTCGATCGTCAATAAACGCCAGCGCTCCATGTCGTCGGCGACGCCGGCGCCCGAGCTGCCCCAGACGCAGCCCGACCCGATCGACGCCGAGAACCTCGACGAGGAGCAGCTCACGGCCATCGAGATGAAGCGCCGCTCGAACACGCTCGCTGCGAGGAAGTCTCGGTCCGTCCCATCCCTCTCCTCCCTCCTCTCCTCGTCGTGGGCCCGACCCTGACTCGCCGCCTCCCTCTTCTGCAGCATGCGCAAGGCCCAGCACATTGCCGAGATGCAGGACGAGATCGCTCGCCTGCAGAGCCTCAACGAGACGCTCCAGGCCGAGCTGGCTGCCGCTCGCGCCGGTTGCTCGTGCGCCAAGTAAAGGAGGACGCTCGGCGCCAGCCCGGTCGTCGCTCGGTCGGTCGGGTGTGCGTGTGTGCGGGCCGGATGGAGGTCGCTCTCGGTGCGCGTTGCGCGGCGAGTGTGCGGCCTCGGTGTTGATGCTCTCCCTCTCGGCCTCTTTTCCCCTCTCTCTCGTCCCTATTCTTTCTAGCGATCTCTCCCCTTGTGCAACGTCTTTGTTACCTCTCCGTCCTGCCATGCGCGCGAGAGCTGTTGAGCGTGAGAAAGGCCGGCTTTGGAACTCGACTGGCTTCAGACGTCGACGTCGCCGATGTCTCTTGCTCCCTTCACACGCTTGACCATGGCCGCCGCGACTGCGAGCGCGCCACCAGCACCGCCAGACAAGTCTCTGCTGCCCTCGCTGCGCCTCGGCAGCCTCGACGAGCTCCTCGTCGGCGCCGTCCTCAAGGCCGGAGGACCATCGACCGGTGCGCCTCGCTCTCCCTCTCTCGGCCTCTCGTGGGTGTGGCACTGATCCACCGCCGTGCCCACACAGTCCAGGGCAGCAAAGAAGCGCTCTCGCTCGGCAGCACGACCGTCAACTTTCGCCGGTGCGTCGCCTCGAACGGCCGCCCCACTCGGCCACCTCCTCCTCCTCGTTGAGCTCGAGCATTGACCTTGCGTGAGCCCGTTCTACACACAGGTTCGTGCAGAAGTCGGGCCCGATCTTTGTCGCGCAAGATGCGGTCGAGGCCGTGCTGCGGTGGGAGGACCCGGCCAAGACGCTCTTCTTCGCCTTCTCGTGGGCCTTCCTCTGTGCGTGATCTTTCCCTGCATCTTCCCAGGACCTCCGGAGCGGGTACTTACTCGGTACTGATGCGCACTCGCAGGCTACTGGCCATCCCTTGTCATCTTCGTCCCCAACCTCGTCCTCGTCTCGATCCTCCTGTCGACCTACCACGCCAAGCGCGCCGGCGGGCCCCCTCCCGACAGCCAAGAAGGGCCGACACTGCTCGCCAAGGACCCTCCCGACTCGTCGGTCGACTACCTCTCGAACCTGGTGCGCCTCGCCTCTTCCTCCGCCTCTCCTCGCCAGCGCTTGGCTGACCCGCGCTTCCCTCGCGTCGCGCAGCAAAACATCCAGATCATGATGGGCCGCGTCGCCGACCTGTCCGACGCCCTGCGCTCGATGGCGCCCCTCGTGTCGTGGCGCGACGAGCGCCTCACGCGCGCCCTCCTCCAGGCCGCCGTCGTCTCGTCGTTCGTCCTCGCCCTCGTCGCGCCTTTCATTCCCTGGCGCCTCGTCTTCCTCGTCATCGGCGAGTCGGCCTTCCTCCTGTCGCACCCGCTCGCCCAGACGTTCGTGCGCGACGCGACCGAGCGCCTCCAGACCCCCCAGGCGCGCAAGCAGCGCCAGCAGGCGACGCGCCGGCTCCTCGAGGACGACGCGCTCGGCGACGACGAGCTCGAGGGCGACGTCGTCGAGGTGCAGAGGCTCGAAGTTGAGAGTCGGGCGCCCGGAGCGAGCGCGGCGGGCGCAAAGGAGGGCGAGGTGTGGGGGAACGAGGCCATCGTCGGCGGCGAGCTCCCGGCTGGCTTCAGGTGGCTCGGCGAGTGGGAGGACACGGCACCGGCGGACGGAGCTGTTGATGCTGGTGCGTCACCCTGCCTCTCTCTCTCTTTCTCTCTCGACCTCCTCCCAGGACAACATCTCACGGACCTCGTCTCCTCTGCACGCAGACGGCTGGACCTACATCCACCTCGACGGCACTCGCAGCTCGACGCCGTTCGTCGTGCAGGCCGGGCAGGGCGACAAAGCCGGCGTCGCCGTTTGGGCCCAGTCGCGCCGCAGGAGGCTCACGAGACGAGCGATCAAGAGTCCGCTCCTGTAGTCTGCCCTCTCCTCTCGCTGTACTGCATGCTTTTCCGCGATCTCTCGGTTGACTGCGAGAGAGGAGAGAGCGCGTGGAGCACGAAAGAAAAGGCCGATGACCTGCACATCTATAAAAACCCGGCGCTCAGACCCTGTCGCCCTCTCGCGTCCCCTCAGACCTCGAGCCCGAACAGGTCCACCGCGTTCGCGCCCATGACGCGAGCGCGCTCGGCGTCGCCCCACCCTGCGACGCCCGCGATGGCGTCGAGGTTTTCGTCGACGCTCTTCCAGCGGTCGCCCTGGCCCTCGAGGGGCGGGAAGAACGGGTGGTCGGTGCCTGCGAGGTCGCTCCTGAGGTCAGTGCGGGAACCGACAGAGAGCGAGAGAGGAGAGAGAGAGAGAGGTGGGCGCACCAAACATGATGCGGTCCGTGCCCGGGAAGACGCCCTCGGGCGCCGTCAAGTCGCGCCGCTCGTTGACGCGGTCGACGTACGCGAGCTCTGCAGGTCACAGCAGCTCGTCAGGGTCGTCCGGACGAGTCGCGCCGAGAGGAGAGAAGAAGGGGACGCACGCTCGTCCTTGCTCTCGTAGTTGTTGGCCCTCGCGACGACGCGCTCGGTGAGGGCGAGCTCCTCGGGCCCGTACGTGACGGCGTCGTAGTACATCTGGCCGAGGTAGTACCGGAAGTCGTGCTGGAGGCGGTCCTTGACGTGCGGGTCGTGGACGATGCAGGACGAGAGGCGCGACGAGAGGGCCGGGAGCGCGCCGGCCGAGTGCGCGAGGAGGAGCTTGAGCGTCGGGTGGCGGTCGAGGACGCCGGCGAGAACGAGGCGAGCGATGGCCTGGGTGGAAGGACAAAGTCAGGGCGGGTCTTGGGGCGAGAGCGGGACGAGAAAGGGGGACGCACGATGGTGGTCTCGAAGGGGAAGCCGAGCCCGAGCGCGAGCGCATGGCCGTTGTCCTGCTCGCCGAACGCATTCTCGATGCCGTAGTGCGGGTGCTGCAGCAGGAGAGAGGAGGTCAGTCGAGGGCGGCGAGGAGACAGAGAGGAAGAGAGGCGACGGACGACAAAGACGACGAGGCCCGACGCCGCAATCGCCTCGTAGATGGGCTCCATCTCGGGGTCGTCGAGGCCCTTGCCGATGCCCTTGGTGCCCATGACGATGCCGCGCAGGTAGCTGTGGCCCTTGACCTGGTCGAGCGCCTGAAGGACCTGCTTGGTCGAGATGCCCGGGACGAGCGGCAGCGAGCCGAACGCGAAGAGGCGGTTGCCGGTCTGGGCCGAGTACGACGTCGAGTCGGCGGCGGCGTGGTCGGCCTTGAACGTCTCGCAGTAGGTCTGCATGTCGTCGTTGAGCTGGCGCGCGGCGTCGACGGCCTCGGCGGGGGTGAGAAAGTCGAGCCAGGGGTTGGCGAGCGACACGACCGAGACGTCGATGCCGTGCGTGTCCATGAACTTGATCTTCTCGGCGCGATCCCAGTACTGGGGGCCGACGGGGCGGCCCTTGCTGTTGGCGCCCTTGCCCTCCTCCTCCTTGAGGAGGACGACCATCTCGTTGCCGGCCGTGTCCTTGATGACCTTGGGGATCTGCTCTCGCCGCCTCATGAGGTCCATGTACGACGGCGGGTAGCTGTCGAGGTCGGAGCGAGGGAGCGCGACGGCAGAGGAGGGAGAGAGGGGGGCAAGACGAGGTCAGGGTTCGCTGGCTCACGAGCAGGGCGGGCGAGAGAGAGGTGGGACGCACATGTGGGTGTGGACATCGACGAGGAGCGGGCGGGTGGTTGCGGGCATGCTGGCGGGTGTCGGGGCGGGCGGGACGATGGAGACAGAGCGGGGGGAGGAGGACGAGGTCGAGGGAGGGTGTGGCTGTGCGTGGGCCGAGCGAGGTGCGTGGCGAGTGTTGAAGAGTGCTCTGAGCTGGTAGCGCGGGTGGACAGAGCCTTGGAGCGAGAGAGAAGCGAAGCAGCTCCAAGCCGCCCAGCTCGTCCGCGTCGGCCGTCTCCTCGCTCCGCGGCCGACGCTCGCTATCTCTCCCTCCGTCCGGCTCACACGCTCCGCCCGTCTCTCGGCTCTCTTTCGCACGAGTGCGCACCGTCTCCCAGCTGCGAGTCGCGAAACTCCCACTGCACATCCACGCCGCTCGCGCTCGAACCTCGCCAGCTACGCACTGCTGCCACTTGTTGCGTACTCGCCCCTCAGCTGCCTCCAAGCTGTGCCGCTACGATTTGCGAAACCCGAGGAGGATCGCCCGTCGCCCCGCAACAAGCCGAAGCGGCTCATCACTCGAGAGCAGCAGATCGGTCTCGCCGCTCTCTCTCTCTCTCCTGCACCCACCTCTGCTCGCTCTACACCTTGCTGTGGACGCTACATCGACTGCATCTAGACTGGCTCCTCCCCCCTCGCCTTCTGCATCAGTGCGTCGCTCCTCTCGCTCCCTCCTCCTCCTCCTCGCAGCGCCGTTCCCTGACGTCCGCACGCCTCGCAGTGCCTCGACTAGAAGTTGCCGTCGGGCCTGACCGGTTCCACATGAGCACCGCCTGGGTCAACCAGCCGTCTCGACCGACCGAGATCTCGACGCCGCACTTCGTCGGCCGGGTCACCGTCTTCGTCAAGGACTTTAACGGCGTCACGCCCGACGGTTCGCCGCCCAAGCCCGACGCCGTCTACTTCGAGGGTCGTTCGCGCAAGTTCGCCATCCTGATCGAGGGCAAGTTCCGTGCGAGGGCCGGCGTCAAGCCCTACTCGGCGAGCGAGGTCCAGTTCGGCTCCGACTTTGGTCCGTCCCGTCCGCCCTCGTCTGCCCAGATTCACGGGACTGACTCGTGCCCCGAGCAGACTACCTGCCCGACTCGTTCCCGATGGGTCCCTTCCAGGCCGGCATGAAGGTGGCGCAGTGGATAGACCCGGCCACTCATTACGAGTTTCGCCCCGCGCACGGCCGCCCTTTCATCATGTCGCCGTGGGCCGCCTGCGTCCACACGTTCAGCGCCTACCCGTCGCCGTCGGCCCTGTCGCGCGCCGTCGTCCTCTCGCACGACTCGTCCGCCGCCGACGGCGTCGAGCAGGCCTCGTTCGTCCCGACCGAGGCCATGAACGACAAGCACAAGTGGGTCGAGCGCCCGCACTGGAGCTTCCTCGGCCTCAAGGGCGACCCGCGAGTCGACGCGTTCCTCAAGGAGCACTCGGAGCTGCTGCCGCCGAGCGGCTCGAGCACCCCGACTGCGCCGCCGACCTCGACCACGTCCTCCTCTTCCCTCGCTCCGCCAGCACGACCAGGCATGGGTCAGCGCCCCTCGTCCCTCATCCTCGGCACCTCGTTCGCCTCGTCGCGCCCGAGAGTGGCCGACGCCCTGCCCGCACGGTCCGACTCGCCGCCGTTCTCTGCCGACGCGAGCGCAGGCGGCGCAGGCCTGTGGGGCGCAGCGATCCCCAAGTCGGACGACGTCGAGTCGACGCCGCACTCGGGCTCGTCGACGCCGAAGAAGAAGAGCAAGTGGGGCAAGTTCTCGCTGTCGTCGCTCGTCGGGGCGCTCGAGACGTCGTCGACCAAGGACGACGCTCACGGGCACGTCGTCTCGGCGGACGAGCTCTTGGGCGCTCAGCGGGCGGGCCTGCAGAGGGCGCAGAGCGACGTTGGCGCGTACCGGGCGAGCGAGGAGGTCGCAAAGGAGCTTGGGCCGTGGCGGTTCGCCGACGAGAGTGTCGACGCAGCAGAGGTGCGTCTTGCCTCTCTCTTTCTCGTCCTCTCCTCTCGGTCATTGAGGACTCACGAAGCGTGCTGCGCCTGCAGGACACCAACTTTGTCTTCCTCGACCCGTCGCATCCTCGGACGGTCGCGCAGCGGCGTAAGTACTTCTGCCGCAAGGACAGCGAGGGCTTCACGTACGACCCGGACACGGTCTACGCCGCGTCGTTCCACGCGCCGTTCTGCGACCTCAACACGCTCGACCTCTCGTGCGTCCTCGTTTTCCCTCTCGCCTCTTTCTCGGAGCCGCTCGAAGCGACGTCGCACTGACTCGTCACGCCGCCGCGCAGGATCGGGCCCGTCAAGATGAACATCGCCGAGCACTTTACCAAGATGCCGATCCGGTACACGCTGCGGTCGACTCGCCTCGCGCCTCGGCCGGACGGGCAGGAGGGTCCGCTCGAGGAGGAGTGCTTCGCGACGATCAGCTTCCGGTTGGTCGACTAGACGGAGGCGATGCAACTGTAGATAGCGAGGAGCATTCTCTCGTCGTCGTTCAAGGAGGAGAGCTCGTGCCAGTCGCCCGAGAGGACTCGAGCGAGAGAGGTCCGTCCGCTGCGGCCCGCTGATTCCTCGCTCTCCCTCTACGAGCAACGCTTCGAGCAACAGGTCCTGCCGATGCGCTGCACAGCAGCCTGTCTGAGGCACCCGAGAGCTACGAACGAGCGACTGCGAGCGAGAGGAGAGCGTCTCTTCGCGCGCCAGCGGCACTCGGCGCCAGCTTGGTACCACACGCCTCGCCGACAGTCACCAGCGAGCGCCTCGAGATCGCCAGCATGCAGGTGCGTCCCGCTGCAGTCCTCTCGGTCCGCCAGCAGGCCCACACTGACCTGTCCTCCTGCCCGTCGTCCCTCATCGCTCGCCCAGCCGTCCACCTCTCGCGTGGTGTCCACATCCTCGACCGGGCACGCGCAGCCCTCGTACGGCACCAACAAGATGGCAGTGCCCGGCCTGGAGCACCAGAACGGCACGGCGAGCGGGAGCAAGGGCCAGCCGGCCTCGGACGAGGTGGACGGCCGGGGGAGGAGGAAGCCCAGGGTGCTGCTCATGGGGCCAAGAAGGTGCGTCGCTCTCCCTTCTCAATCCCCAAGCACCACCGCGTCACACGCACGCACGCGCCAGCACGAGCGCGCGACTCTCTCGCCCACGCCGGACTTGAGCGGCAAGTGGGGAGGAGGAAACTCCACCTGACCGCTTTGCCCTGTGCCGCAGTGCGGGCAAGTCGAGCATCCGCAAGGTCGTCTTCGAGGGCATGGCGCCGAGCGATACCCTCTTCATCGAGCGCACCAATAAGTCGTCGCTCGACGACATCAAGTGCGTCTCGACCGCTCTCTCCCCTCCTCGTCGCGACCCAGCCTGCACGACCAGGAGAGTTAGTTGACCATGTACCCGCACCCAGCTCGTTCCTGTCGATGCGCATGTTCGACCTCCCGGGAGGCCAGCTCGACCCGGAGCAGCTCAACCTCTCGTTCGAGGACACCGACGCCGTCATCTTCGTCCTCGACGCGCAGAGCACGCTCCACGACATGATCCGCAAGCTCAGCGTCACGATGCACAAGGCGTACACGGCCAACCCGGGCATCCAGTTCGAGATCTTCCTCCACAAGGTCGACGGCATGTCCGAGGACTACCGGCTCGGTGCGTCCCTTCTCTCCCTCTCTACGTAAATCTCGCTCGAGGACACCGTCACTGACTCTTCCTGTCCAGACACGCTGCAGAATCTGCGGGACCGCCTCACCGAGGAGCTGTTCGACATGTCGCCGCAACTCGAGAGCAACATGAACGTCTTCTACCACCTCACGTCCGTGTTCGACACGTCCATCTACGAGGCGCTGTCCAAGGTCATCCAGAAGCTCGTGCCTGAGCAAGCCTCCCTCGAGCGACTGCTCGACCTCTTGTGCTCGGTACGCCCCCTCTTTCCCTCCTCTTCGTCGTCCCGCCCGTTCTCGAGCCTGACCGCCTGCGTCCTCGACAGCAATGCTCGATCGACAAGGCGTTCCTGTTCGAGACGTCGTCCAAGATCTACATCGCGACCGACTCGGCGCCGCTCGACAACCAGACGTACGTCATCTGCGCCGACTACCTCGACCTCGTCGGCGACTTGACCCAGCTTTACGAGTGCGTCGACCCTCTCTCTCTCCGTGACTCTCGCGCCTCATCCACACGCGCTCGGCACTGACAAGGGTGTTCTTCGCGTACTGCAGGACCTCGAGCACTGCCGCCTCGCCGCAACCGGACCTCCCCGTCTCGCGCTCGGGAACCCTCTCGCGCACGACCGGCCGCGTTGGCGGCTCCGAATCCTCGTCTCGGCGCGAGTCGAACACGGCGCACGCAGGGCCGGAGGGGAGCCGGCCCTCGAGCGTCGCCGGCGGGGCGGCGGCGGGAGGAGGGGACCTGCAGCGGAGGAGCAGTGGGCGCGCGAGGCTGCCGCACTCGAAGGTGCGCCTCGGGACGGGCGCGACAATCGCGCAGTGGAGCATCAACGAGTGCGTCTGCCTCTTTCTCTCTATCGCTCTCGTTCTCTCGGCGGGACCGTGCGCTCAACGAGAACGTCCTGTCGCGCAGCCACCTCTCGCTCGTCGCCCTCTTGCGGCCCCACACGCAGGACCAGCATGCCGCCCTCATCGACTACAACGTCGCGACGTTCAGGCAGGCTGTACTCGCCGTCTTTGACGTCGGCGTCAACGCGCCGGCCGAATGAACGAGGGCGGCGAGCGAGCCAAGTCGCGCTGTAGCGAGGAGCATTGTTGTCACGACTAGACTGCGCATATCAGACTGTGCACACGAGCAGTCTCTCACGCGAGAGCGAGAACGAGAGAGAGAGAGACTGAGGAAGGAGATGCTGCTCGTTGGCAAGAAGGTGCGAGCGGGAAAAGGGGATTCAAGAACGCTCTATCAACAAGCCCTGCTCTGCTCCTCCTGCACCCTCGACCCTCGAGTACCCTCGTCGAGAGAATGCGCAACGCTCACGCGCCGATGGCGGCATGCGGCGGGCTCGCGCCCCTCGTCGAGGCCATGCCCGCGCCCGCCGCCGCACCCGCACCGCCGCTCGCCCCGCCGCGCTTCGGGCTCGGGCTCGCGTTGATGAAGAGCTCCCAGCTCGCGGCGCCGCCGAGGCTCGGCTGGCGCTGCCGGCCGGGCGTCGCAGGGCCGCTCGGGCCGCCGCCAAAGACGCCGCTCGGGCCGCTCGTCGCGCCGCCGCTCTTGACGGGCTCGAGGGGCGCAGATGACGGTGCCGTCGTCGACGAGGTGGGCGCGGTCGACGACGTCGCAAAGGGCGCATCGAGCGCCCCGGCAGGGTGCGCGCCGCCGAGCTCGCCGCCAAAGATGCTGCCCGGGTCCTGCCCAGAGCCGCCTGCTCCTGCCGCCGACGACGCGTCGTCGCCTGCGTCCATGCCCATGCCCGAGAAGAGCCGCCGGCCCTTGATGCCCGAGCCGTCGCCGAGCGTCGTCGGTGGCGCCTTGCGGCTCTGGACGGGCGACGGCGACGCGGCGAGGTACAGCATGAGCTCAGCGGCGCCCTCGGCCGTGCCGCTGTCGTTGGCGCCGGCGCTGCCACCGCCCGGCGCACCGACGCCGTCGAGCTTGACAATCTGCCGCTCGGGCGTCGCCGGACGAGCGAACGGCGCCCTCCTGCCGCCGTCCTCGACCTCGCCCCTGTCGTCCGCACCCTGCCCGTGCCCGTCGACGTCCATGCCCCTCGCCGCCGCCGACCGGGATCCACCGCCGGCGCCACCCTCGTCGCTCCCGCTGCCCTGGCTCGACGGGTCGCTCGGCGCCCTCGCCATGCCCGTGAGCGCCGTCGCCGCGTCGACAAAGCTCGAGAAGGTCGGGTCCGAGCTCGACAGGGCCTCGCCCGGCCTGCTGCCCGGCCCTTTCGCGGGCGACGAGCGCCGGGACGGGACGCGGCGCGGACGCGACGAGCCGGCGCGCGACGAGGGCGACGCTGCACCCGCCGCGGGCGCTGCGCTCGCCGAGGCGCGCTGCTTCCTTGCTGCGGCGGCGGGAGGCGCCGTCGAGGGCGCGGCGAGGTCGGGCTGGGGCGCGAACGGCGGGCGCGAGGACGAAGAGCCGGCGGGCTCGCGGTGGTACACGCTCGCGGTCGAGTACGGCGACACGGTGTGCACCGGCTGTGGCGGCGGGGCGTACACGCTGTGCGCGCTGTACATGTCGGCCTGCTGCTGCTGCTGCTGCTGCTGGGGCGCAGGGCGCGAGCGCGCGTGCTGGTACGGGTCGTCGAGGCGGGCGCGCTTGTGCGGGTGCGACGATGGCGAGGGCGCGCCGAGGACGGCATGCATGTCGTACTGGGGCGTGTGCTCGTGCTGCTGCTGCTGCTGCTGGTAGACGGGCTGGTGGGGCTGCGGCGCGTAGGCCTGGTGCGCGAGGGGCTGCGACGGGTAGTGCTGGGCGGCAGGAGCAGCGGCGACAGGGCCCTGGCTGCGGCGCTGAGCCTCCTGCTCGAGGTGCGGCTCGATCGTGTCGAGGCCGACGTCGTGCCAGCCGCGCGAGGCCTTGTACGACGCGAGGGCGAGCCTGTTGCGGAAGGCGCGGGCGAGCTGGAGGAGGAGGGGGGGGGGGGGGGTGTATTGACAGGTCCTACTGAACCCAACTCACGTACCTCTTAAATCAACGACCACTTAACCCTTCCCACCTTGTGGCACCAGGAGGATGCATGAGTTGAGGTCGGCTTTCTCTATATATTTAGACCGATCTCCTTTCTCACATACTGGCAGAAAATGACCTGAGAACCTAACCAAGACCTTAATGATCTAGATCTGGAGAGATTAACAAATCCCGTGGATTACCCTACCGTTCTTACTTTAATTGAAAAGTATGATTATTCAAGGTTGTACGCCCGTCCCAGTATAATACTTAAAATTCCCTTAATATTTCTTTTCCAAGCAACCCCCGATGTATTAAAGCTGCCGAACAGG